CTACTACAGTAATAGGATCTCGCTCTTAGCATACAGCTGCATCTACTATGTTAACAGGAAACGTTCCTACTAGCCCTTAAAGAAGCTTATAAGAAGACGTTTACACTAGAGAACGTTCGCGCAGGCTTTTAAGGTGCTAGACTAGTCCTATATAATCTAGAGGCTGTGTTATTAAAGCTAGATGTGCAGCTGCGTCGCCGACGCTGCCTGCACTAGGCACTGTCGCCAGGAGGCGCAAACACCGCGCAACGCCCGCGAGATAGAGGCGCAATCTACGCTGATTTGAAATTGCATGCAAAACTACTAAGGGTTACTAGTGTTATTAGACGAGCAGGTTAAGCAGCTAAGTAAAGGCGCTTAGCAGATAGCTTATAATATAGTGTTAATGCAAGAGGAAGTAAGAAGCCTTTAAGAAGCCGTTAATACGCTTACAAAGCGCAAGACTCGTAAAGGTAGTACGTACGCGCAGAGGAGACTCTAACTGTTAGTAAGGTATCTAACTTAATTACTAAAAAGGAGGGTAGTAGGCGTAAGGACGGCGAGACGCCTGTAAAGAGGGTACGTGCAGAGAGGCGCTGCGGCCGTTGCAGCGAGGTTAGGCATAATTCTCGCACCTGTAAGGTAGAAAGAGGGGATGTAGATAATAGCGTCGCTTCTAAGTAGTAGTAATTTGTTACCTATAGTACAATATTGTGTTCTAGTGCTACACTACGTTGCTGCGCAGGCGTCGCGCTAGTGTTAGGGTGGCGACCCGCTTGTGTTAGCGACTCGCTTGTAAACCACGTTAATAGACTTATTAAAGTTTTAAGTATCTTATCTATAATACTAACGTGGTTCACAAGCGAGCGCCCCACCCAAGCGAGCGCCCTACAAAACACTAGCGCAGCGCACGCGTAGCGACGCAGTACAACACTACAACAAATTATTATACTTTACACAATAATGTAGCATTATTTCGAAGCGTCGCTATTATCTATATCTAATATTTCTACCTTACAGGTGCGGGAGTTGTGTCCAATCTCGCTGCAACGGCCGCAGCGCCTCTCTACGCGCACCCTCTTCGCAGGCGTCTCACCCTCCTTATAACTACTACCCTCCTTTACAGCAATTAAGTTAGATACCTTACTAACTATTAGAGTCTCCTCTACGCGTACGTACCGCCTTTTGCGAGTCTTACGCTTTGTAAGCGTGTCAACAGCGTCTCGAAGGCGACCTATTTCTTCCTGCACTAACACTATATTATAAGCTATCTGCTAAGCGCCTTTACTTAGCTGCTTAACCTGCTTGTCTAATAAGCTTGCTAGTAACCCGCAGTAGTTTTGCACGCGATTTCGAATTAGCGTAGATTGCGCCTCTATCTCGCAGGCGTTGCGTAGTGTTTACGCCTCCTAGACGACAGTGCCTAGTGCAGGCAGCGTTAGCGTACGCAGCTGCACATCTAGCTTTGATAACACAGCCTCTAGGTTATATAGGACTAGTCTAGCACCTCGAAAGCCTGCGCGAACGTTCTCTAGTGTAAAGGTCTTCTTATAAGCTTCTTTAAAGGCTAGTAGGAACGTTTCCTTATAAACATAGTAGATGCGGCTACGTGCTAAGAGCGAGATCCTATCGCCGTAGTAGCGCTTTAACAGCGAGTAGGGGACAACGTTAAGAGGCTGTAGGAGGTGCGACGAGTAAGATAGCATGTAGAGAGCGATAATCTTGTTCTCCTTACAGTAGTCCTGGAATTCTGTTAAGCAGTAGCTCTTATAGCCGTTGATAATAAGCATCCTGTACGCCCTAGCAGAAGACGCCTTCGTATAGGCATTAAAGTGCTTAAGCTACATAAGCGCGAGGTCGTTATTGATTAAGCTAGTAGGAGAGACAGCGATAATCTAATTACAAGGTAGATCTGCGAACTAGGAGGTAATAAGGACCTTGCCTGCAAAGATGAGGAAGGGTAGGATAACGCGCCCCGTCGCAGCGACGCCTTGTACTAGGGTAACCTACTCGCGATTACTAGGCTGTAGTTTCTTCTATTTCCTAGGTTTCTCTAAGCCTGTAACAATAAGCTAAGAGGATATCTTGCCTATTATAAAGCCAGACTTATTAAAGTTCTAGGTATCCTTATCTACAATACTATACTTTGCCTTTATTGATTAAACTAGGCTGAACTAAGGCTGGATAATTGCTGGGTCCTCGCAGGCAGCTCGCTGGCGATCGTACGGACGGCTCTATCGCGTGCGCAGCTCAGGTGTACGCTTAATAAAGTTATCAATCTAGTTCTTGCCCGTAGGCTTCCTACCACGCTCCCTTAGCAGTCTATCCGCTATATCTTATACGTGCGCCTTTGAGGGCGGTATTCTACGTAGACTCTCTTCAAGTACACGCTGTACAATTGCCTCCTCTTCTAGCTTAGTAAGGCGTTTTAAGTTTAGCTCGCAATCGCGTCAAGGGCGCTTTCCGTCGCAGCGCCGCTGTATCGTCCTTTAGGGAACGTTGTAGATTGCCTCAGCGCGTCGTAGGCTTTTTACTTAGCTGCTTTGAACATTAGAGACAGCAAGCTGTACGTCGCCTTTAGTATAGAGTCTTAGAGCTTAGTGTTGTTGTAACATTGCGTGTTGTCGCTGCGCGTGCGCTGCGCTAGTGTTTCGTGGGGCGCTCGCTTGTGAACTACGTTATATTCTACCTTTGCTAATTAAATAAGCGTAAACTAGGGCCTAATAACATCTAAGTTTTAAAAGATAGCTTACTAGTAGTTATATAAATAGCTTAATTACGTTTATAGCCTATGTATACGCTTAATAAAGTTATTAACTTAGTTCTTACTTATAGGCTTTCTATTACGCTCTCTTAGTAGTCTATTAGCTATATCTTTTACGTATGCTATTAAGCGTAGTACACCGTGTAGAGATTTATCTAGTATACGCTACATAATTAACTCCTCCTCTAGCTTTGTAAGGCGCTTTATATTTATCTTATAGTTGTGCTAAGAACATATCTTAGCGCCTTAGTCTTGGAGCGTAGATTAAAGGACTTAGTAAACTACTACAGCGTGTCTTACAGTTTAAATCTACTTAAATCTACTATTAGAGATAGTAATATATATATCTTCTTTAGTACAGGTCTTTTATAGGTTACGTTATTAAGTTATAACGCGTTATTATTGCATAGGCATTTTAGTAGGGTAAAGTAGCTAGCTTATTTAGGTAGCTAACTTCGTTATAAACTACGTTATACTAATAAGTATTACGCTCTTATTTAAGCGTAAGTAATATTAAGAGAGTTCTAATATAGTGTTCTAAGTATTCTTTAACTAGTGTTACTTGTTTATAGGTAAACTACTTATAGTCAAACGTCATTAGCTTATAAATACTTAGTTATATAACTATAGCGTAGTTACTATACTACAATTCTGTAATTATATTAAATACTCCTTTAAAGTACTTAGTCTAACCCTAGGTATTCTTTAGTTTAGATTACAACAGAGGGCAATTATATACGTATACTAGAGTTGTATTAAATAGAGAAGAGACCTATAAGTAGCTATAGTTCTAAAGATTATATAGGAGGTAGTAGCTTAGCGTATCCTCTAGCTAGGCTTACTTATGCAGAATCTAGGTGCTAACTAAGGCATCTAGATTCTACGGACCGTGCGCCTTACGCACGTGACTAAGACATTATCTAGGATTCACTTATTAGACTCTAGCCTATCACAGTAACAACTGTCTACAACTTCGCAATAGCTAAGGTATCTTCCTAGCTTATGCGATCTGCTATCTCTAATCGCTCTCTGTATTAGGTTTCTAGCATTATAAATAGTAAATGTCTTGCGTAGGTATGATGATTTTGCAGGTGGCGCATTGCGCGATCTAGCGCACTTCGCGCACGGACATATATTACAGCTCCTTGAGCAAAGTGACTCATACGCCCTACGTGTGGCATGCGCAGCGTTACAGAGACTTTCTGACTCTCACAAAGAATTCAATTACTACATCCACAGCGCGTGATTTGCTATGACACGTACGGCACTCTTTGTGATCGATATCCAAGTTGGATTGGCTCAAAATGCAACGACCGAAATACCACACGCGGATCGAATCCGAGAAGTTGGAACTAGGATCCTACAAAGAGCATGTCAAATAATCGACTCGGCTATCGAACGTGGAAGAGTACCAGATTTGGAGATTGTGTTTGTGCAACATGAGGAGGTTGCAGAGAAAGGAACTTTATAAAAGGGAGCAAACCCTGGGAGCTCGTGTTCGAGCCACGAGACAATAACAGATGGGAAAGATTAGTGTCAAAAGATATTCGTGAGTGATTTCGAGCGTACGATTTTTGGTGTTCATTCTGCTTAATTTGACAAACGCTCTTAGGCGATGCATTCGAGTCCAACCCTCAGCTCACAGTTCAACTGAAAAACGAGGGTGTAGAGACGATTGTAGCTTTTGGAATACAAAGTGAATGCTGCGTGCTTTCGACTTGCAGAGGTGCGCTAGCCTCTGGATTCAATGTCGTCTTGTTAGAAGGTGCACACTCTACTTACGACATCGATGGCAAGCTAGCGGGGGCCATTGAAGGAGAGGTAGAGTCTCAGCTTGAGAGGGCCGGCGCTAAGGTAGTGCCCTGGGAGTCATGGAGGTTATCAGCTTCATACATGTGATGATAGTTGATCAGTGTACAAACGCGCTCTTGTCTATTTGATCTATCAGCCCTGTAATATGCGAGGAGTATTACAACAGATTAAGGGTTTAATACAGTATATAACCGCCCTTAGCCTTTGCGAGTAATTTCGTGCTGTTGCGGCTTAACTACTATGACAGCCTATATATTGTAGACCACAACATCTAAACTATACATAATCATCTCCTGGAATTGCTACTTTGTCTATTTGTGTAGTGTATGAAGATTGAGAGCACTGCGGCAAGCAGATGGCTGTGGTTGTGCTCTTCCAGTACGCCACTACCAAACAGCGTAACCGCCGCTGACTCGATTTCTTTTTCTTCTGATGTAAATGGCTCTTAGACATACTTCCTCCCCTTCTTCAGTGGCGTATGATCTCCTTCCATTTGTCCAATTGCCAAACTCCCAGTCTCGTTGTCTTTCTCTACGTCTTTCAATCGTATGCGCACGTCTTTCAGGTACCGCGACCGCTCCAATGCGTCGAGGTGAGTCCCTGTTGTTGGTAGGGCTAGATAAGTACTTTCTCGTGTTGACAGACTGGAAATGTTCATGAGTATGTCCGGGCCGCGTAAGAAAAATGTCCGGAGGTAGAAGGGGATCAAGCTCGCTGTGATCAGTACTGTTGACGAGACCATGAGGGTTATGACCCAGCCCCAATGGGCTTGGAAAACCTCCGTGTCACTACGTTTTGTGCCTCTGCTGTACCATGCTCTCGCTAGATAGGCTAATTCGACACTATACCTAATTGTGTAGATGGGTTTCGTGCCATTTTGGCCACCGTGTTCTGTCATGTCCTGGCTCCCATCCTGATATTTCCATGAGGTCGTATTGTCTGCCCAAACTGTAACTTCGTTGAGGCCACTTGTGAGCACATTCTTGCCGTTCATCGCTGCCCAATACGTATTCAGCATTTGGCCAAGTCGTATTGCGGCTTTGTGGGGAGGAGGCTGTGAGGGTTGTCCAAAGTTATCCGGACTGCTTCTTGGGTCTTCAAGGTTGTATAGGTAACCTCTAGAGAAAAGCTGCGATGACGACAAGATCGCTTTCTCCCACATCGTTCCATTCAAACCGTATTCTAGCCCCAATAGTGTGTAAGCTACTGGCGGGTGCTTGAGGCGAGAACGTCTGACCAACGGTGCTGCACAAGCAGCGTATGTAGCACACGACACCGCAACTTCGACATATGTTGTCTCGATGGTACAATTCAAGGCACCAAACGTTGCCCATTTCAACGTGAAAGCAAATGGTTTTAGATCGTCAGCAGGTATTCTGGCCCGTTCCGTCGTATCTTCGTTCCAAGATAAATTCCCAAACCGACTTTCATTGTGATTGAACTCAAAGTGGACATCATCCGGGGTTGAGGAATTGTCGCAGTTGAGATGAAAGTACATAGCTTCGATCGTGGCTGCATAGTCAATGTACTCCATCGAGTCCATACCGCTCATCGGAATACCAATCAGAGAGCTATAATCGTCTCCGGTACCATCACTCGCCTTGTACCAGCCTTGGTCGTTTGGAGTCGACGTGTTTTCATAGTGTTGGATCCTGGGAACTTCGATATGACCCCATGCATCACGCGGAGAGCCTTTTTGGGTTGCTGAGCTAAGAAGGGCAGCCACAAACATGCTGTTCAAGATCGACTCGCTTGTTCCTCCATCGGGAACCCACATCTGAGGCCCGGGGGCAACATAGAGATACGTTGCGTTCTCGGACGTGTCCCTTGACCCAAACTTTATCTGCCGAAAGGAGGATTGACCACCCACGGGAGATAGCATCCAGATGGCGATTAGGCCAAGGCCAGCATAGCTGACCATCCGTAAGTGGAATTGCGAAACAACAGTACTAGTAAGTGATGTACTACCAGCTAGTATGTCTAGAATAGCGATACGTTGGCCCGTCTCAAGCCCCCAAAGCAGGATCGCATGTGTGGCTCGTCCAACGACAGAGGCAAAAAGTATGGGATACATTGTCGGGCCCTAGATCTGGTCAACGGGCTGATGTTGGCGTCTGATCACATGCGCACTTACCCATTTTGAAGCTTGCTCGAGCCTCTCAGCTGCTTGTCGATGAAAGCTTGTGGGCTTCTGATCGTACAAGACGACGCACCAAGCGAAAGCGAGGAAGGCGATTGAAACTGCCAGCAGAGCCATATCGACAATGACGTACCAGATCATCGACCCGATGGGCATCTTAACTGGCTGCGGTGATGTCGGCCAACCCCGGAGCGGTTCCAGACCCTTCTCTCGTAGAGGGGCATGGGGAAGTACCGGGTCTGGGATGGTGCTCTGGTCTGTTTCATGTACGCTAAGTATGCCACTTTCCGAATCTGAAGCCGCTGGCTCATCGCGATAAGAGAAGTCTAGCAAGGATACATTGGTGCTGAGTTGCGAGTCGAACGAAAGTCGCCCTGATTGACGATGGAATCGCGTTCGATGTCGGATGTGCTGTACCGGTGTTCATTCAAATGGGTGGTAGTCATGGCGAGAATGTGAAAGGAGAGATGAAACACAAAACATTTGTGTATTCTGGGTGCGAGTAAAAGCTGAGCTTCTTACGAGGCTATGTAGTCCCGGTAATGATGCATATCTAAATGTGGAGCTATGCGAGTGCATCTGAGGAACTGATTGGGCAACTTATATGTCTGTGTGGCATGATATTGTTACACAGCAGCGCCACCACTGCTCTTCCTGTCTAACGAGAAGGTACCCAACCTTGGCAGACCCAGGAACTCTACCTCGAGGGGCCACTGCAGCGACATAGAATTAAGCATCGGGCGCAGCCACAAGAACTTGCAGCTGAGAACTAGTACCTTCTTGTTGCCGTTAGTTGTCAGTAGGTGGTCGTTATTTGCAATCTGGGTATACAATCGTAAGTGTGACTCGTATGCCGAGTCAAGCATAATTCATTGCGTGGGAAGCATATATGATTTAACATGCCCTTGGTCCATAAATCCGGTACTGATGTAGACCTTTCTCGTTCACCACGAAGCTTTGATGGGTAAGCCAAGAACGCGCAGCGATTGTGACGTTCGAATATTCCTCCTATCACGGCCTATGGCCCCCACCCAAGCAAAGCTTAGATATAGCGACTCATCCGAACAAGGCTCGCTGCTTTGGAGACCACAGTTGGTCTGAGAGGCTGCGCACACCCGTATCACATTTCCGCGTGGCTGAGGCTAGAATATGCGCCGGCAATTCAGGAAGATACGCCCTCGTGGTCTCTTGAGTTCGATACTTCCATCATTACAATTGTACCATACCCCAAAGCACAAAACCAATGACTGTTAAGATACAAACCCCAGGCCCCAGCAGCCCCGAAGATAACATCTCTATCCTCGTTCGATGCGTCCAGGATATATCGGAGGAGGGTGTGAGAGAGTATGCGTGGACTTTGCGAGCAAGCTACGATACATGAGATGAGAGGAGGTTCGCCGATGCCTCTGAGGCTGGCAAATCTGCCGAGCTTGTGCACGTGACGGTATGTGCCGTCGGACGCGTGCAACACCCGTGGACGCGTCACACACAAATCTCCGAGGAATCGCATTCCGATACCAAACCTTCAACTCTAGTATCCATATGGTGTTCAACGCATCTTGCGTTCATTGTCTTGCACAACTGCTCTTCTTCTTACCCCACTTGCACTGCGAGAACCGAATATGGGCTACACCACGCTACTAACTCTTCTTTCTCTCCTATCAAATTACTATTGCTGTACTCCTAAGACAGCGATAGCCCGTCAATAATAAGGCAACTCGCGGCATTAGATCTCAAATGGATAGAACAGTGAATACAAGGAACGAACCTAGACAGCGACACTTTATCGTACTCTACTTTTCCCCTGTCCCTACTCTCTGATTGACAGATTGTGACCAACCAAGGGATTATGAAACGAACCTACATTTACCACCGATATATTAACTTTGCTCCACTCGAACATATTACTTACAAGTGCACCGCCCACTGAATACTTACGCACCTACTTTCTACAAGTACTTTTACAGCGCGCTTCACTTCAACAGCAAACAACACCTTCAAACTACTCCGAATTTTAATCAAAAGGCAAAGATCGCTATTAATGTCCATTTTCATCTCATGGAAGGAAGAAGAAAGGAAGAACTGCACAAGCTTCCGGTATTGAACTCCGCCAACCCCACCACCGTCCTTGAGACAGGCGCAGTAAAGAAGAGCTACTCCCAACGAATCCATAATCTTACATGCTCTCCTGGGAAACCACCCCCGACTTCACTCCCCTTCAGCAATCTGCGCTTAACGTTTGCGCTTCTTAGCCTTGCCATCATCCTCGTCGTCATCATGAGCAGCCTCCTTATCCTTCCTCGCCGCCTTTTTGTCAAGCTCGTCCCAGCTCTCACCCTCCGAGAACTCATCTTCAGAGCCCTCGTCGCTCATCTCCTCGGATGCATTCTCGTCAAAGTCACTCTCATCAGAACTCTCATCCGAGATGGCGAGTTCAGATTCCGAGACCTCAAATGCGGATTCCTCTTCCTCCTCGCCATCGCCCTCGTCGTCTGTTTCGCTGGACAAGAACGACCAACCGCCATCGGCGAAGAACTGATGCGGATCACTCGTTACGGTCTTCATGATGGTCGCCCAGTTCAAGTTGAGTGGGCCCTCGGTGAAGGGAATATCGACTGAATCGAGCCAGTCCTTGACGGGGTCAAGGGACTCCACTGGGATGGTGTTGATGTGAACAGGAGGGCGATTATAGTCCTTGAATACAACCACCATATCAAAGTTCCTCAGACCAAACTGCACACGTTCAAGATGCACGATTTCAATCTCAGAAAGTGTAAGACAGGTGAATGGAGGCTCGGTGAGTTGGACCAAGCAGTCGGTTGTGGGTTGCACGAGAACGGAAGATCGCGATGGGACACCGTTGAAACCAAGCTCGCGGTATGGGATGTCGACGCTCACGTTCTCGTTGCGCGCCGCGTCGGCGATCTTCTCGGCAAAGTTTTTGAACTCCTTGTCGAGAGCTGCACGGCGCCTTCGCTCCTCTTGTTCTTGCTCAAACTCTTCTTCGTCACCGAACTTGTGGCGGCGCTTGCGGTTACCCGTCTCGTCGAACTGCATCTCTGTAGCTTCTCGAACGAACTGAACATCCTTGGTCTTCTTCTTGCCGAGCATGATCGGGTTCTTGAGATGCACGTGGATGATGACGATGAGTTCGTGTTGTGATGGTTGGAAGAACAGGTGCTTCATGTTGCTGAATAAGACATCGATCTTGGCTGTGCCGTTGCCGTGGACGTATCGTAGACCATTTTGGTGAATCTCGACACTGCCGGGGATGCGCTTACCGTCGAGCGCCGGGCGGATGAAGATGAGGTCGAGCATATGAGGCTTGCGGGTCTTGAGTGGGATGAGCTTGTCCTGCTCGACGACGTCCTCCATCTGCTTCTTCTCAGTCTCCCTTCGTACGACATCCTTCTTCAGCTCTGTGATGTCCTTAGTGATCTGGTCGATGCGATCAACATCGTGCGACTTGAAAGTCAAACTACGAATGAAGTGCGCGTTAGGGTCCTCGAAGGGTTGATCATCTTTGCGGCCTACACCTTGACCTGGCGAGAGGAAGTTGATACGGAGGGATGTAAAGTCTGCCTCGGGAGTGTGCGACGCGTTTTTGATGGTGTGAATGTGGAAGGGTACAGGTCGACCCATGATTGGCAGAAGAACGGTGAGGTTCTTCTTGTCAACGACAATCTCCAAGTTGGCGACCGAGTTAGGGAACTGGTTGTCGCGCTTGTACGACTCGAACTTCTTGAACTTCTTCTCTTCAGTACCGTTCAGAGACTTTGCGCCTTCGCTGTACTCGGCAAGACCCTGCTCCTGCTTCTTGGCGTGCAACTCTCTTTGATGTTGTCTCCGTTGCTCCTCCTTTTCAGCATCCTGGTTTGTTGTTCGCTCGTGTCGGGTACGGGTCTTGGTAATGTTCGTCTGCGCAATAGCGGGGCGCTCCTTCTTCACTTTGGGCTTCGCTTCCTCCTCTTCGTCGTCGAAAAAGAACGAGACGGCATCCAAATCTGAAGTGGTGTCCTTGGTGAAGACCGCGCAGTCGGCCGAGCTGACGCGGACGGTGTCTACCAAGACGAGCGAGTAGTTCTTGCTTTTCTTGTCCTGTGGTTTGCTGTTCTCCAGGTCTTGTAAACCAGTCTGAACGACTAGAGTCATGCCGTCTTTCAGGACACGAGTGTTTTTGCCGCTCAGGAGGAGAGAAGAGTCCTTGTTCTCAGTACCGATACCGTAACCAACGTTCTTGGGGAAGTGCTTCTCCCACTCGGGCTTCTTCGACTTGAGATGTGCCAGGGCTTTGTTGTAAACATCCTTGGCCACAACGCCATCCTTGATCGACTTGATGACCAAGTCGTGAATCGCCAAAAGCAGCTTGTAGGCGGTCTCCTGCTCCTTGTTGGGGCCAACCATGAAAGTTCGACCAATCATGGCACCATATGTCTGGTAGCGCAGGCCGAGGACCGAAATGATGACGCCCGCGTGCAAGTTGTTCTCGTCAGGTTCGGCAGCAAACTTCAGGTCGTACGAGCCACCACTCTGGATTGTAGGCTGGAGACACCAGTCCAATTGCATCGAGTCGAAAGTCTTGGAGAGCTTCTGCTTCTCAAAGAACTTGGCATCGTCGATCTTGTTGGAGACCTTGTCGGCTAGGGCGCGATGGGAGATCTTCTTCTCGGAATCGAGGATATCGGACATCTCCTCGACGAAGTAATTGGACATGAGGGCGCTCGAGGCTCGCGCGGCATCGCGGATAGTTCGCTGCAAGATTAGCTGCGCGCAGTGCGGGGATGTGGCTTCAAGCTTACCAGTTCTTTCTCGTCCTTGACAGACAAGGCAGCGTTGGACATGATGGAAGCCAGATCTACCTGGTCTTCCTCCTTGAAGCCAGCCTCGTCGAACGCAGCCTTCCACTCGTTTGCGAAGGCGTTGTTGGCATTGTCCTTTTTCAGCACCGCAACCTTCTTGCCGGCCTTCTTCATCGTCTCGAGACATGTCTGGAACTGCTTCTTGTTCTCTTCGGCGTCCTTGCCCCGCACAAGAATCTCAACAGGCACCTTGCCACCCTTGAGCGGCTCTAGGTAGGAAGCTGCATCACCTGCATTAGCAAATATTGCCAATTTCAGGCAGCCGCGGCTGACTCACCCTTCTTCTTGGTTGTGACGATCTGGAGGAGGTCGGGGGTGAGGATGAAGAGCGTCGCAGGGAACTCGTAGCCTAACAGCCATAGCTATGGGGGGTGTTGTCAGCTCAGTGTCCGTCACATGTCAATATGCGCAATCTTACCTGGAACGCTGCTGGCTTCAAATAGATGCCTGGCTCACTCGCCTTACCCACCAGCGTCGCGATCGAGCTTGCGCCCTGGAAAACCTGGTCGCCGGAGCGCTTGTCGGCCTTCCATTTGGTGACGAGGTTGTTGAGGCGCTCGTGGAAGAGCGCCTTGTCGATGACAATATCGTTCTCCGCCATGTTTGAAGGTGCGCGAAAGAGAACCTCCAAGTAAGTTGACTGGGCTGGGAGGTGGAGGTGGAGGAGAGAAGGCGACAGTAGGAAAAGTCGCGAAGGATGATGCGACGCGAGGTACGCGCTGGATGGGCCGTGCACCTATCAACTCCACAACCGCACTAGTGCCCTTCAATTCACCTTGGAAGTTTGGAGTGGCACCAAACCCCACGTCCTGGTCAGTAGCTTATAGGCAAAAGTCGAATTTCTCCCTTTGTTTCGATCTCCATTGTCTTTTCTGTATTGTATATCCAAAGGTGGAAAACGACGTCACTCCTGCCCGACCTGTGACCATCCCACGCGGCGCACCTTCACCTTGTAGCCCACCAACACCCCCGCCCATGCGCCCGCAAACCTCATTCACCTCCCATGCTATGCGATGACGACCGGCTCCAGTCTCCGCGCTGGGGTCTCCCTCCGAAGCGATTTTACCAATGACACAACAACCCCCGAATCCTCACAGGCACCCAACAAAGCACCAGCGACAGGTGTGCAGGCCGCTGGTATGCGAGCCGTAGCAGCGCGAATGGTCGCCTTTTACTTTCGAGCCCCAGTAAAGGCCTTTTTCCGGGGCAGAATAGATTACATGAGCTATGCAAGAGCTATCAATCCTCATGTTATGGCGGATGCGAAGTGGTCATGGAGAATGACTACGCCTGCGGTACTGGCACATGCTATACGGACTGAGGGATGGGGTTTCATACCGAAGCAGGTGTTGCCTCCTTTAATGGCTAACACATGGTATGGATTCCGTGTTCCATGGGCATGCACATGTTGACAGTGAATAGCATCGGTGCAGTGTTGTATACGGCATATCTCCACAGTCTCTCCGCGCTTCATGAGCCCTCTTCATACCAGACCAAACGCGTCTACCCTCCGCCACCTCCCTCTGTGACCTTCACTGCTGGCTTCATCGGGGGAAGCATACAGTCTGTCATCGCCGCCCCCTTCGACGCACTACAAACCCGTTTCCGCACCGCCGACATCCTCGAAGGCCGTCATAAAACCATGTGGCACTACGCCGGTTACAAACTCCGCTCTATCGGCGTCCAAGGAATCTTCGCAGGCTGGTCTCTGAGTTTCATGAAAGACGCGTTCGGCGCCGCAGTCTTCTTCGGCACCTTCGAGACGGTCAAGAGCCAAGCTTACCTCGAATTTGTCACACGATACTACGGTAGTCGGACGCGCGATACCTTGCTGGAAAAGTCCATACCCTATCTTCAAGAGGATCACGACGATCGTCCCGTCATCCGACCCCATTACATGCTCGAACCCATGTTCCTCCTCCTAGCAGGCGTCTCCGCATCCATCACCTCTCAACTCATCCAACACCCCCTCACCGAGATCCAAGACGTACATTACCGCCGACTAGAAGCCCTCGACTTCCAAGCCCATCAAGACAATAAGCCTTCGCATATCGTACGACGATACTACCACGCCTACGAAGAAACCTTCGCACAGTGCAAGATACTAGCGAAACGTGCTGGGGGCTGGAGAAAATATCTCTACAGAGATTTCTTCATGAGTACAATCAAGCAGGTTCCTAGTACGGCTGCTGGTCTCATCGTTTTCGAAATCGTGCGGAGGAAGTACTCCTTCGAGAATGAGGAGGTCATGATCAATCATGAAGACGCTAGAATACTGTTGACGTGAGAGGATGAAGAGCACGAATTACTCGATTCGCATTGGGCGCTACTCGCACATGATACCCAGATATAGACTGACAAGATTCATAGACTTTGTATATTTGTATAGAAACTCGTACATAAGATAACAATTCGCAACGCATTACCACCCCACCGAACTCTACCCTCATGTTACAAATCTTGCTATCAAAGTAGACTGTCTCAGCGTACATGCCCAGCTAACTCCCCCTCTCTTTCCGCTCTCTCCTTTTCTCTTTCCGCTCTCTCCCACTCCCTCTCTGCCTCTTCCATCCTCTCCTTCAATTTCCTCCCCAGCCCCCACATCTCCAGCCCCAACACCCACCACACCAGCCTTCGTCCTAGATGCCACTCGCCAAGCAAAAACTCTGCTTGTTCGACCCTGTAGCATTTCGCATCAGTTCCCATGTCTCACAAATGCTTCATTTTCTGTGGCCACACGGCAAAGGGAGTTTTCACTTCAACAAACTTACAAGAACTGGACGAAGATAAATCCAATAACACACCAGCAGAAGACACCAAACTGCCTGTTTTGAGCGTCTGAAAAAATGCTCCCTGCGCTTGGTGTTGCATGTAGCGGTCGCGCAGCGGTACCAGACGTCTCGTTCTTGTTGTTCAAAGAGGACGGCAGAAAGGCGCGCCAACATCCCAACCCCACAGCCATGGGTACAGTACTGGGGAGACCGTCGGGTGCGGTCATGATGGAAGTGCTAAATTGGGGGCAGTCCGGGTCCCAAATTATCGGCTCTGTGGGTATAGAGGCTTTGGCTGTTGGTGCGGGAGTTGGTGCGTGAAGCGGTGATGATGTTGTTGTTGTTGTGGGGGGGAATTCAAAAGATACGCCGGCAGCAAGTGAGGGGATGTTTGCTTTGGATTTGTGAGAGAAGGGCATGGTTGAGGGGTCATTGTCAAGGTCATCGCCATTGTCTTCAGGTGGAGTATCGTCGATTGCCTTGAATGTGGGTGTGGGTTCCTCAGCGTCGTCTGCAGGGTTACTCTTTGTCGGTGTATTCTCGTCGTTGACGTCTGCAGATGTGCCTGTAGTTGGAGTGGCGTCGGCATCGTCATCGTGGTCTGCAGAAGTCTTGGTATGTGATGATTCACTCTTGGTAGATGTGGGTTCCTCGTCTTCATCGCCATTGTCTTCCATGTCAGGCTCAGCTTCTTCGTCTGGTGTCTGTTCTTCGTCGGCTGCATTTGCTTCTCCCTCATCTTCATCATTTACATCATCATCGTCGTCTTCCATCTCGTCATCTTGCTGCTTGTGCGCTAATTCCGTTGCAAGTGCCTCCTCATATTTCACTCTAGTTGTATCAGCAATGACTCTGGTAGGTTCTTTGTCCTCCACAGCGATATTGAAGAACTCCTTCTTTTCCTGCTCTGGCTCGTCATCTGGACCACTGCCTTTCATTCTTGAGTTGAGGACTTCCGTGGAACGAACTTTATTATCTCGGCGCCAGAATAGAAAAGGTGACGTGAGTCGCTTCATCGCAGCGTTAGTCGACGGCACTGAGATCCCCGTTGGAGAGGTTTTGCCATGGTCGGAGAGCTGCTTAGTAGAAACGGTGCCTACCCAGCTGTAATAGGAGTTGTAGTTCATGCTCGAGTCCGTCAAATGGGGCACGTGTTCCGCCCCGGTACTCTGCACTGCCGCTGTAAGCGCTACTCTTCTGCCAAGTTTCACAACCCCATTTATAGAGTCGGTAGTCGTAATGGGAGACAACTCGGCACTGTCTGCGGTGAGTGTCGAGTCTGTGGCAGTCTCTAGATATTCGCTGATGTAGGGGTACCACGAATTCATGCTTGATACAGTGAAGAGTTCGTCTGTGCTTGTATCCGGGGTAGTACTGGCAGGGAGTGCAGCTGGTGTGGCTCTAAGCGTGAACGAAGCATCTGAGTCGGTCGATATTGTGTGTGAACCGTGGTTCTTCTTCAGTGATGGTGTAGAACTTGAAGTATCTTCAGTCTGCTCATCCTCGGAAGTTTTGGACTCCGTCTTGGTCGAATGTGAGGTAGTTCTTGTTTCTGACTTGGAGGATTCGACATCCGTGGATTTTCTTTTCGTCAAAGTAAGTGAAGATTCAACTGCATCTGGTGTATCTCCACTGGCTTCGCTCGATAATGACTTAGCTTTGGTCTTGCTGGCAATATCAGTTGCTGAGACTAGGGTGATCAAACTAGGGTCCGAAGAAATCATTGAAGTGGATGCGTGCTTTGCAAACTCGGAGGTCTCCGAACCATCACCATTGTCTTCAGTATACGAGTTTCGAGATTTGGTAGTCGATGACGAAGTGTCAGAGTCAACCTCTGAAGCTGTTGCTTTGGAAGACGTGTGTTTGGATTGTCTCCGTGTACTCTCCGAAGACTCATCACTACTCGAGGTTGTCGTCGCCTTCTCCTTGGACGACGAAGCTGTTGCCCCCGAGCTTTCAGCAGCTTTGCTACTCATTGGGCTGTCGATGTTCTCTGTACTATCAAACTCGAGGCAAAAGCTAGCAACATCCTCTCCGTGAACTGGTATGGCGACTTCCTTTTTAGCGTTTAGAACAGCGAGATACAGTTCACGCACCTTCGGCCCGACGTCCGATCCTCGCTCTACCTGGCCTTCACAGAACGTGGAGGCTGTACTGTTAGGCATATAGACGAAGATGTAGCCTCCAGGCGCAAGAGCAACCCTGAGATTGTAGAGGTTGGCATTTCTAGTGTTGATAGTCCCAAATTCGGGATTCACAGTACGGCCGTGCTTAATGGCATAATTCGAAGATCTGGGTCCGGCCTCCTTCGTATTGAAGATACCAGGCACGCCTGTCACGGGTAGTTGAGAAACCGTCGGCATTTCTCCACCAGGCTTCCTCGGCAGGAGGTATGCTGGTAGTGTTGATGAGGCTGCATAAATACTCTCGTCCTCGACGATCCTCTCGATGGAAGAAGCTGCAGATTTGTTGGAGATTGCGCCTCCGCTCCTACCACAATAGCTCATGTAATTGTTAGACAACCTTTGTACTTCTGTATGATAGATCGTCTTCGTTATTGTCGGTGTCGGACGACCGCTGCGCTCGATAGCGGCTGCTAGCGCAAGGTTGAAAGCAAGAGCATGTATGCTCTGCGATAAAGTCAGCAAGCGGAGAACCGTTTTCATATTGATGCCGCTCTGCGGTGTTGTGTAAGGAGTAGCAGAACAAGGACCGGGAATGATGAGTACCCTATGTATAGTGATGACTTATATTCATTGTTGAAAGGAAATCCTAGTGATGTGTAACTACCTTGAAGCGCGCAGCCATGGAATGTAAAGACTGGATATCATTGGAACCTATGAACCTAGCTGTGAAGACGGAGCGTACTGTCGAAAACCTTGACCAGATGTCATTCGCTCCCTATTCTCGGACGCGTAGGTGATAGATTACTAAATTGGCTAGTGTCGTAGAAAGCAGCGCTTCTTCATAGTTACGGTAGCGTTGTCGTATATGCATGTAAGGTTGCATCGAGAATACTAACGCTTACTTACAATATTTCCTTCCTTATATTAGGTCTACTTTGCTTAATCAAAGCCAAGCCCTAACACTATGCTAGGCATGAAGGTTGACGTTTAAACATGAACAAAATGTACAGGCTAACTCGTAATAGCAAAGTCCCATTCACTTGTAAGAGCAGTGCCTTATCATCGTTCTGGACTTAACCTGGTAGTGGGATTGTATCGGCGAGGCGTAGCCGGTCAACTTGGAAGCCACAAAGGTAACGTAGAGGCTGGCGCGTCTGGCCTTCACTCAGTGGTTATCGATTATCTCCATCACCATATATTCGGCGCTCTTCCAGTCAAGTTTGCAGCGACTCGAATCTGTGCTATATTGTTCGTTCAAGGCTAGGCAAGATTTTTTCACCCAATCTATGGCCTTTGGCTGAAATGCTCTGCTCACTGGCCTGCTTCTCTTGTCCTTACAAGGACTCGGCCATATTGTCTTGGAATATTAGTTCGAATTGGTCCCAGAACTTAGCTGCAGTCCAAGAACCATTTTGCGCTCTGAGCGCTCTTCGGCGGTGAATTTCTTCCGAACTTTTCGGACTGCACCAAGGGGAGTTTCGTGTTGAAGCACAACTTTATTGTAGTCCTAATACGAAGACCAAGTGCCTACCGCTTTCGACGTTGTGTTCCTTACATTGGTGGCGCATTGAGGTATAGGGCAGAGGGGTGCGAGGCTGTGTGGTGTCGAGCTTAAGCATGTGATTAGTCAGCTAGCTCGGCGCGTCCTCCACCGGAACCCGATCATCGGCCGCATCCACCCTCCAGCGCTTCAGCGCATCATAACACAGCACCACCCGCACCCGCTGTGCGCAATCTAGAAGGGGAAACCTTGCGTCTTTGCATGACATAATGCGTACAAGGTCAAGGAGCTGTGTGTATACTGGGTTCCAGTGGGCATGACGGCTTCGTCAAGGCTATAGTAGACCCCTCCATCTAAACCGATGCAACTGCCGAAATAGCTACCTGTGGTATGCAGTAATGCATCCTATACGAACATCGTGATGCTTCGACGACTTTTCTCTCCATATCGTCGTGTTCCCTCTTCCAAAAGCTCTTCCTTTCATCTCTCTATACGCACGATGTCTTCGTTACCCATCAAGCTCGCTGTTCTCGATGACTACCATAACATAGCAGCAAAGCACTTCACCCACATCGACTCCTCCAAAGTCGATATAACCGTATTCAACGACACCCTGCCATCCTACTCGCATCCTCGAACCTCCGATGCCGACCGCAAAGCCCTCGTCGACCGCCTCAAACCCTTCGCCGCCCTATCAACTATGCGCGAGCGCACTCCCTTCCCAGGCGAATTACTTCGTCAGCTACCGAACCTCAACATAGTATTCGCTACGGGTGGAAAGTTCGAAAGCTGGGATCTGGATACAATGAAGGATATAGGTATCACGGTGTGCGCCGCGCCCGGCAAGGGTAGAACAGATGGCAAGGGTAGTGGTGCGTCTCCGCGTTCTTTGCCAATGAAACAAGGTGGTGGTCATCCGACGACACAGCATGTTTGGGCGCTTATATTGGGTCTTGCCCGGAACATAGCCGCGGATGATGCTGTCGTCAAGGGCAAAGGTGTGCCAGCTGGGTGGCAGACTGAACTAGCGATGGGATTACAGGGAAAGACGTTAGGCTTGGTTGGTCTAGGAAGAATTGGAGCGCATGTCGCAAGAGTTGGCGTGCTCGCTTTTGGCATGAAGATTGTGTGTTGGAGCGCGAATCTGACACAAGAGAAGGCTGACAAACTGGCTGAAGAATGCGGCCTGCCGGTGACCGGTGGAGGCATGACTGGTAAGAACGACAAGACATTTAAGGTGGTCGCCAAAGAACAGCTTTTTACATCTTCTGATGTGGTAAGCGTACACTACGTCCTTAGCGAACGATCGAAGGGTGTGGTTGGCACACAGGAGCTGCAGTGGATGAAACCGACAGGACTCCTTATCAATACCTCTCGCGGACCACTCGTGGATGAGAGCGCATTACTGGATACGCTCCGACACGGACGCATACGTGGCGCTGCCCTCGATGTGTTCGACATTGAACCTCTTCCCGCTGATAGCCCATGGCGGAATGAGGACTGGAACGTCAAAGGCAAGAGCCGAGTGTTACTAACGCCACATATGGGGTATGTTGAAGAGGGAACCCTGATGACCTGGTACGAAGAGACAGCAGAGAATCTGGAGAGGCTGGTTGCGGGGAAAGAGCTGCTGCATCGGGTCATTTGATATAGATATCACATTCGAGATATACCGATGTGTTGGAGGCACATCTTCGAGCATTAGTCTCACGTGGCTATTCTACGTAACCACACGCACGACTGTTAGATTTAACATCTACGCTATCAGACTACCTACTGTTGTAATACATATGTGCCCAGGTCCGTTGACATGGTTAATCCCAACTTAGGGTACTCTTCAATTTAGATGGCATCGCAGTTGGGTCGCTTCTTGTTTGAACAGCTCCTGGCCATGAATTCAATGTTAATTCAACAACTTTGAGCTTGCGTGTCGGTCAAGGTTGTGGTGGATAAGAGATAAGTCACCCGCGAATACTATCAGCTCGCCTACGGTATTTCGGGCGACGATGTTGCGCGGAACTGGTGCTGGCCTATAATTGGAACTTTCATGGTGGTTCTTACGCAACCAGAACGGAACTACATAAGTGCTCCCGTCCGATAAAGGAAGTAATCTGAAAGGCCTATGCTTTTGGGAAATTACAATATTGTCATGGGTAGGAACTGCTATATATACTTGCGTCTTCTATGCAGAAACCTGGGTCAGGTCAGCGGTAAACTCCGGACTAACTGGTTCTGCGATGACACATAGCGAGCAGCGAACCACTCTCATCCAACGTTGCCCGCTTGAAATCACGGTCGCAGATGATAGTCGTCGCAACATGCTTCGTCTTGCTTCTTTGTTCTATTCATAAATACTTAAACAAGCTTTAGCGTCCACCGTTTCCACGCACCCGCCCCAAATCTACGATCAAAGTGACTAAGATCTTCCTCTCCCTGCCATATCGCCATCCTTACAAGTCCAACTCTTTCAGCAACTTTCGCCTCTTCATCGACCCAACGAAGCAATAACATATCCACAAAGCCTCTCGGGTTGCGCCACGCATCGGCAATCAAGAACATGCAGAAGTCGTAAGGAAGTGCAGGTTCCAGCGAAGTACTCTGCGGTTGCGCCCCAAAATTCACATTCTCATAGTCCTTCTCCTGCCGACCCGGCCCGCAACAAGAACAGTCGTACGTGTTACTCCTATCAAGAACAATAGTAGGACCACTAAAGCTATCTCTAAATATGTCTTCTGACAACCGAACGAACTCGCTGTGTGTAATACACGTGCCCTCTACAATGATGTAAGAACCTTCTAGAACAGCACCGTAAGGGTTAAACTCGTCTTGCAATACCATGTGATGCTTGATCAATCTCAGCTCAAACATCTCAGCCCATGTCTTCCCTAACTCGTCTGTAGGCGGGAGCAGGATCTCCAGGTGTGATCCCAAGATCGAAGAGCTGACCGCGCCGTTCACGCTTGCCCAACTCCAGCTCGGTGCTGTGTATACTGGCGGCGAAGAAAGAAGAGCCCATGGCCGAGCCCAGTCTAGGCTTGCTGCAAGACGTAGGCTCCAAAGACCGGCTAGGTAGTTGCCGAGTACATAGTTGTGGTTAAGGACTGACGCGACGCCAGCCAGGGCGTGGAGTTTGTCGGTGGGTACAGTTAGCGACCGCGAGGAATACTCGTCAACGCATTGTTGCCATGTTCGGAGCTGATGCAATGACTCTACTGTGATTTTGACCCCGAGATATGAACCGGTGTAGTCGGCCGGTCTCCACCATCCGGGATTCATCACACTTAAAGCCTTTGCCACGTAAGGTTGTAGGTTTGACTTATGAAAATGCCAGTCAACCTGCCCAGAGCCAATCTGCTTGTCACAGATAGCTGATGCTTCAAATTTAAGCCCGTCCGCACATTCCCAGATTATTTGCCGTTTTGTATAGTGCAGGATGCGAGGGGCTAGCATCCTTTCTTGCGCAGTCCAGCCACGAGTAGCCAAAACAGATCTTTTAATATCCCAGTCCCAACGAAGTAGTCTTTGGCGCAAGCAATACTTCTTTCCCTTCCCTAAGACGGGCGAGTAAGGCACACTCCGGTCTGTTAAGATTCCTTTGCTACTATCCTCAGCAACAGTTGCAGAGATCATGAGCGCCGAAAGCCCATAGTATAATGCCATTCTCGCTGCTTCGTGCGCCCAATCCTCAGCATTGCCTTGGATGATGCACAGTGCATCGATCCAGAGGTAGCGAAAGCCTAGTCGCCGCGTGATCTCCATTGCGTCTTTGAAGCTTCTGGGAAGCAGTTCAAGTTGGATGGCTTCTTGATATCGAGCGACTAGTGAGTCTGTAAGTTTTGCGATGCCTTTGTTACCCCAACAGTGAGATAAAATCACGTATTGACCCAACTCGCCGTTGGTGATTCGCAGTCTAGGCGATACAGAAGGATCGGCTGGTATCTCGATAACCCGCTTTGGCAGAGCTACTGGTGTAGATCTAGAGCAGACTGTATGTTTCGTGCACTGGTGTATCCATTGGCTAATCAGATCGAAGCAGCTGCTATCAAGCGGGTCAGTAGGCACTGGCCACCTGCGATCTATCTCTGGATGAAGATCTAGACCAATTGAGATTAGCGAGATGACTGCAGCCTTTTCCAAATTAACGCACCTTGACTTTCCTCTTCAGTGCAGACGTCGAACAGTAGATCGTCAATAGAGTACCTGCGTCTGTCCATCTCATGTGGCGCCCTGACATCTAGCCGCATCGATGCTAAGACAACAGTATGGCCTGATAACTCCGATACGCGACTATTCCAACGATTTGATGTTTGTAGGACCGCGCAGAAGAATGCGCAACCACCGCAACCATCATAATGGGTTCCGAGGCCGTGAGATCTTTCAAGTATGTCGTCATACAGTCCGAGGATCTGATCTGGTGTATTCTCGAGCCCTAGGTCTAATTGCGAGCAGACGCTGCATAGGCTCATGCTCGTTCTTTGCTTGCTGTCCGTTGGGTTGGGAAAGGATTGAAAAGATGGCCGGGTTAAGATTAGCATGACGCGATCTCTCATGTCAGCGGCTATATGGATCCCGTGACAGTTGGGGTCTGAGATTGGAAGCGACCAATCTTATCAGAGACTGCATTTTACCATGCAAACGCAGCAATAAATTTTCCATGAGGTTTTGTTGGAGAGAACAAGACTAGTTGAGGAGACTCGAACAGCAGAGCCACAAGTTGGGGTTGCGCGTCATGGCTTGCACGCGCCCCACCTTTGGCGCTGGCGCATCTGCTGAAACACATGATCATTCCCTTCGACTATGCCACAACTCCCGAAGAGGTCTGATCCAATACAACACACGCAACAAAACAAGAGGAAGCACTCGTCCCAACGATAACCTCATAAATAGTGCGAACGGTCAGAGCAGGGAGGGAATGTGATGACTTTGACTAGTGCAATGGCGCCCAGTGCAGGTCGATTTCTAAGTCTTTAAACTCAAACATATTTACGGCTTGAATATCAGGCTTCATCAACCTCATATTAAAGTGAAGTTTCTTGTCTCCTTGAGTAACGTATAAATCTTCCGTCCAGCCGGATCAAATGTCATGAACGTAAATCCTTTCCTAGATTTCCTCATGCCTTTCCGACGAGTAAATGTCGATTCGATGACGGCATTATCAAAGTCGAAGCCATGCACTCTCCCGTGACCAATAAGTCTGAAATATCCGTTCTCATAACTGCGCAACACCACTGGTGTTGCACAACCATAGATCGCACAGACTATGTCGCCCACCTTTGCTCCCTCAGGCATCAACCCCATGTATCGCCTCTGAGTAGTGACAAACTTCTGCGCCAAACATGTTTGGCTCATCTTTGGGAGCTGTGACAGACGATGCAGGAAGTTTGACAGCGCTGCGCACCCTAAAACATCGGATAGAGCATCGGCGTGTTTGGAGTGAATCTGTTTTTCGACATTGCCAAGCGTGACTTGGACATTCTCGATCGCTTGAGGAAGCGCAAGGCAGCCATCGGGTACCTGATCCTCTTTCCGAGTATCGTAGCCATTCAACATGCTCCATAGCGCGCTTGATAAGCTCTGTCCGGTTGGATATGGGGTACATGTTTGAGCCTGTCTTACGCATTCCTCGCTCCAGACCTTGAGCAATTCAAGGTGGTGATGACATTCTCTCGCTTCTTCCGTAAAGTCCTTGTTCTGCGGCCCGAAGGAATATGAGCTTTGATCCTGGGGAACGACTTGGGAGGATATTGTTTTGATCGTGTCAAATTGTATACCCGTGACCGTCAGTGTGTTCTCATGCCCGATTCTGAAATATGCTCCACAGCGATTGGTAATTTCACAAGGTATAGCAGTCCATGAGTTCGGGGTTTCTGAAGATTTTGGTAAGGGACGCCAAGAGTGACTTCCGTTCTTGTTGATGGGTTCTACGGGAAGATAGTCATGAACGACATGTGGCATGGGATTAGCCCAATCAGCTACCCAGGATGGAAGGTTGCTGGTACTGTTCGGCTCGTATCTTGCGAAGCGAAGTATCTCTAAAGATCTCGAAGTACAAATTATGGCCTTGGTAACGTTAGTGAAGAGCTCTTCCTTTGTCAACTTATAGTCGATCTCGAAAGGACGTTGCGGTAAGAGTTTGTCGCCGCAGAAATGCTCATAGCCCAATGTTCGCGCGTCACTGGCGAGGCTGAAGACGCCATAAATCTTATCCAATGGATTCGTAGCCTCCGCCCATCTTGTCTCTGCCATGAAGTTCAACAGAGTTCTTTTGAATTTGTGCTGCATGAAAAAATCCATATTCTCGAATTTCGCCTTCACTAGAAAGCTTAATTGCTCGAAGGCTACCTTCAGCGGCCCTCCGGAAAGTTCGTGTCGATTGGGATGGAAGGCCAGAACCGACTTCAGTATCTCAGCTCTTGCCAGAGAATAGATGAGCTTGAGGAACAGGTTCATCTCGACGATGTCTTTTCCGCAGATCATCACTGCATGTCGAGCGCACAATATCTCTTGTATGATCCACATACGGCGGAACCAGGGGCGATACAGTAGCTCACTGATCGCTCTCCATATCTTAGGATGTTGATTCATGGATGTCATAAGATAACCTCGCGGTACAGCTCCATCCCAATCAAGATGTTGTCTTAAGCCATGCAATCCGTCAATCGCAAGCTCACTGAATTCATCACTGTCTCCCAACCAAACCCAAACTACGCTTGCTCTTTTGTAAACTTCGTCCATGTGTGAGACTTGTCTTGCGCGCTCGTCCAGGTCTTCTTGATTGATGCACAGTGCATCGACCCAAATCGACGTCACTTTCCGTTTTCGGAGATGCAGCAACGCGAGATACAGATTTTCCGAAACGAGCGCGACTTTGCCTTGCAAAAGAATGGGTATCGAAGGAGCTGCTGTTCCCCAGGTGTATGAAAGCGCTGCGTATCTGTCCGCATATTCCAAGTCTATGTACATGAATCTGCATGAGATTGTGCTCATTGCATTTCCAGGTTGAATTCGTAACAGGCGGATTTCTCTATCACGAAGCGGACGCTGCGGTCGCGGCGCACGCTGAAGACTCCGTCGCAGATAAAGTGCTAGGGTGAAGGTCAATTGATACTTTCGTTGTATCAATCTGGAAGATGCACGTACTCTTGATATCGCGTAGTGGCTTCGATCGGACCCACAGCTTAGCTAGGAAGTGAATGCGAAATTGACGCGACATGCGTCTCCGAACAATTTGCCAGCCACGCATCTCATCGTTGAACATGATGTTTTGCTAACCCTTGAGTTCGGTTGCAGGATTGTGGTCGGGAGAGTAAGAAAGCTGTATCTCTGGTGTGCTGACAATTCTCGGACTCTGAAACGAGGCTGTGTCGCTTGCATGCAGTCGAAATTCAGGCTATGATTTTGGGGCTGAGGTGATCAGCATCGGGTCAGTGCACGAGTTTCACATTGCACCATCGATCAAATCAGAACCATGGGCAATTTCACAGTCTGACTATGCGAGCGCGAAATCGAGCTCTACACTCCTGTTAGTGAACTACAATGGAACATAGTATCGACGATGGTTGGCTAGATCAAACGGAGGGTGCTGAGGCGGTTCGTTGAAGCGTGGCTAAGATCTGGAGTGGTAGAAGAGGCATGGAGAAAGGGAATTGATCTCTTCTTCCCTACGTCCTCTAGTCGCAGACCAACAAGATAACCTTTGATAAGAGAAATAGTCCAATGAAACAACCATACCCAGCTTGTGACCAAAGTACCATGGCTCATGTAGAGGCCATAGCTAAGTGAATCTCTCGTGGGATTGTGATGAATCCTCTTTTCGCATATACTGTTGCGCCAAATTCACACCCTACTGCGAATGGTAGATCGAAGAATCAGTCCAAAAGCTCCGCTCGGCGGTGCATTTAAGACTGCGTAAGCACGTTATACTTTGCAAGGAGACACTTGACGGATTCGAAAATGAAGGAGCTCTCGGATCTAATGCCACGACGTGCAGGATCCTTACCTGGCGAGCTTGATCGAAAGTAGGTGTACCGAAGTCTTGCGTATACCTACATACTCTGTGCGGCTGAGAGTTCGACAGGGGCATCGACATCATTGGCACAAAAAGTATTGGATCCTGTGGGCTCTGAGGAAGGTAGCTCGACGTCTCAGATCAGCGTTGTCTTATCCCCTATACTTCCTCTCAAACATGTTGTCGTGTGCGCATTCAACAACAACTTCCGACTGGTCTTTCGATGTCATCTGGAAACCCTGTTTGGAGATAGCGATTTTGAAGTCGCCGGTGGTAGCGTGTTTGCGCAGTAACAAAACTCGCAGTTCAACGTTCTGGAGTAGGGGTTCATGACGCCGTCTTCCGGTGAGAGCTCCGGCGTGGACTACACAATGGGTGATATAGTGAGATTAATCTGGGGTAATGCGCGTGGTTAGAGGAGGAAAGAGAGTTTAGGTTAAGTATCATTCCTTCATACCGCTGATAGCAGCGTCTTGTGTGGGCGCTTGAGGTGAGAGTGACTCGCGGTGACGCGCGCTTTCCCACCTTGACCTCTGAGCACGAGCATAGCAAAATACCGCGGCTGTTCTGCATAGACCTCCTGGAGCCCCGTGTGCCCTTCACAGCCCTCCGTTGGGTCTCTACAAGTGTCTTCTCCTTGTCGGAGGTTGAGTAGGCACACATGCGTGTAGATCACATTCACCCAAAACGATTCAATACGCCTATGCCAATCTAACTGTAGTGTACAACCCGCGCTACCAAATCTTCTATCTCCATCGAAAGTGCTAGTGGATCTGCCTGCAAGACACCTGTAGATCCCATATTACACAGCTTTCATGAATGTCGGCTTGTGACAATACTATCCTTAGACGACCATCTTCCCCTGACCGACCTTGTTTCGCTATTTTACCTTGTCCATTTTGGCCCCTTCTTCTTCTTTTGCGCACGCTGTAGACCTCCACTCTTTTTCGGGGGTTTCTGGATACTCACCTCTTGAGGCAGCGGCTCGCACATGCGGTCGAGAGAACTGAGCATTTCGGGCTTGAGCACCCACTCCCCCGACTCTTCGACTTGTATATACGGCTCTTGTAGAATCCACTCTCGCCACTTCCTCAAAACCTTGACTACGTGCGATTGGGCGGCATCGAACCACTCTTTGTGCATTTTCCCACAACCTTCGCATTGCCTTCTTTTCCTGTATTCCTTCAGCTCAGCGTGTACAAGCTGCTCGACGCGATGCGCATGAGGTATCTCCACCTGACATTCCGTACTAGAATGGTAGACATGTTCGCGGCCGCATTCTTTATTCCAACTCGCAAGCCGTTTGGTAAGATCTTTAGTGTAACCAATCTTGACCATGCCGAAATACTCTTTGTCCCAGAATAGGTATACGAAACCCGGTTTCTGAGCTATTACCCCTAACGGAGCAGTAGCCTTCTCATGTACAGCATCGAAGACGGAGAGTTTCTTGGACTTTATCGATTGATAGGGTATGAAGTTCGATGAGAAGGAGACCTGCGTTGTGGCCACAACAGAATGAACCTTGGATACGGGTTTTAGAACTATCTTGGGCTGTGTAGCTGGCTTGGGGTCGGTCGCGATGGTGTGGAGCTCGGGATCGTGATCTTCAGGCGCGTCTGGGTTACAAATTGCATCGACCCATCGCGCAAGAGTCGAGCGATCCAATTGCGTCATTTCTCCAATGTCTTGAACTCGGCTACGCAATTGCGCCATCCTAAATTCAGCTTTGGGTTGTTGAAGCACCGTATTTCGGTGGGTGCCGCACATGACTAACTCTACAAGCTCCTCGATATGGCCTAGCATGCCAAAGTAGTCTTCGTGAGTCCCACATCGTCCCAGCTTCTTCAAAATGCTGTCAACATCTCGGGATGATCGCTTAGAATTCTTGCACCGTACGGAAGGATTTCCCACAAGCGATGCAACGCACTTCGTCGATTCACTGGCCAGTCTCCTATAAAGATTGTGTGGTGTGATTTGTTCCAATAGCTTCCAAAATGTGGTTCGCGACGGCGGGGTACTGGTGATTCCGATGTTGCTCTTTTTTTCATCAAGTGCAGCATGTATGGCCGATGTCACTGGTGCTTTGCTGCCGGTCTTGGAGCGTGTGCGCGAACTGACGGAATCGTTGGTGAACACAAATGAAGGGTTGATGTTGTATTTCACGCAAGAAGATGCAACGCTCTTCTGGGAAACTGGTGTATGTCAGTCAGATACGATACTGTCAGCTTCAAGATTGATGTACACGCACTTGCTTCGAGCTCGAATGTGAGGTTTCGAAAAATCTTAAATGGCCGGACAAGATCATCCTGCGGTGCCACATCCTCCTGTCCGGAAACTCGTTGCTTGGTCACTGAACCGACTTCAACACCAAACGAAAGCTTGGAAACTGGAGTGAAGTGTAGCATTTTGGAAGACCCAGAGGGTGTAGGGGGTGTCAAAGGCGTCAGGATATTGCGTGAAGAGGCTACGCTTGACTTGCCAGAGGGCGTCTCGGGAGGATCCCAAATGTCATTCAGGTCTGCCGGAAACGATGCAGTCGAACTCATTGACATCGGGGACAACCATGAGAAGTTCTTCGAGTCCTGTAGAGGTAGGCGATTGCGACCATCATCCCTCGGAAGAGAAGTTGGCAGGATAGTAGCACACGGCTGGCGGAAGGCGGTTGCTTTGCGAGGCGTAATATATTCCCTCTTGATCGTCTTCTGAGAGAAACTGTCTACGCTCATGTCCTGAGAAACGAAAGTCATGATGATGGCTCTAGTTCAAGGCTTGGATGAATGATGATAATGATGAGAAAATGAACTTAAGGCCAAAGTGAGGAAGATGGATGTACTGTCGATGACACCAAGAGCTTGATTCAAGCCAGTATATAGTCTTCAGCTTCAGTGGACAAGCATCACACTTAAAACTAAAGATTCATCGGCGTCTATATCGCCGAAGCCTCCAGAATACTGCAATGTCAGGCTCAGACGTTACGATCGCATGATACTCTAAGCGCAAAGGCTGCAGGGTAGTCCAATCGCGCAGCCACACTACTACTATGGGCAGGTGAACTCCCCTCCAAAACGTGTAGGAGCAGCCTAAGGCTAAGATGGATGCGTAACCTTGAGGCTTGCGTTTTGAATCTTTGGTGGCTGCATGACCCGTGCCGCAGAGCCGCAGGTGGCTGCCTTGCTCAGCCTACTTCAACCCATGGACGAAGGTGACGAGCGTTAACTACTCATTGGCAAGACTGGAACATCAGCTTGTCCTCTATGACATACAATAAATTTATCAAAAAGAGGTCTGACACTGGCAATCGTGATGTTGAAGGATGGACCAGGGACATTGATGGAATGCAGCCTTTCTCGATTGCTCTGAATATTGGCCCCATACAGAAACATAGCTTCGAAACCTCTCGCGTAATATGTAGTCCTATACACTGTAATTCCAGAAGCATGCATGCGCCATCTCGCGTTCAAATTGTGTTAGACGCCTTCCTACCATTTGCCGTTTTCCGATCAGGACGTGGGGTTTGAAACAAACGTCATGATCTTTTCGTGGGCCGTGCTGACATTCGCGCCCCCGGCGAACATTTGATAGTTATTATGAACCATGGAAAGGTCACGAAGCAGAGGGGTCGTAAGAGACTGGTGAGCGTCTTGACGATTCCTATTCAGCTGGGACCAGATGAATCTCATGAAGCTGCGGAGTCGAGTGGATACGATGAAGCTTTAGTGTGTCCAAAGCAATCACCCAGTAGTGTAAACGTGGAGAGTGGGTCAGCCGGCCCCGCGCGGGAGAGCGGCTTAGCGGAAGCCGCTGCGCATCGGCTGTGTACCCCCCGACACGCCAGCCACGCAATCAACACTACTCCTTCTATTTGAATCTTCTTCTGTTTACGCTCGAATCCTAACGGATGTGACTGTATGATCCTCAATATTAGTGGGGCTTAAGTATATGCCGTTGTTTTAACGAAGCCCGTGAGAAGATATCTCGCTCAAACGGGCTATAGTAAGAAGTCGCGTTCGCCTAGGCTGTGATCTAAGCAGCGAAAAGCGAAGACATGGACGAGAATGTTGAGATCCTTCCTTGCGAGATGAACTCTCTATCTCCTTAATCGTGCAGCGATGGTCTGTGCCCTCCTCATTATTGTAAAACTGTGGCTGACGCACCAAGCCCATCTCTCCTGAGTTCTTTCGGTTGCATGCCCGTTCGTGCAGGAGATCCGTGTACTGCTTTGCGGCGCAGCAACGTCACTGCAACTAGTCAACTCTGCACCTTCCAAATCTTGTTACGATAACACCATAAAACTAGTAGAGTCTACTGCGTTCTTCTTCTGAAGATATCGACTTGATTCCTTCTCCAACCCCGCTTTCACAAGCGGTCTACCAAGATCTTGCTGTTTTCCATGGCTCGCCAGGTTTCGCTTGCTTCAGGCTCGATTGACCAAACGGTCACCCCTGCACGCAGACGAAATGCAAGCAAAAGACTGAATGCTTCCTTTCAAACACCAGAGACATCATCAATCACCAGGTCAGACTCGCCCAGAACACCAGGTTCTACGCCAGAAACCCCGATCTTGATAGACTCGGACGACGAAAGAAACAATACACCTACCAAGCAAAAGCAGCCGAGTAATCGACCTTCACCAAACAGCTCAGGGAGGATCCCAAGATTCGGGCAACTGGACATTCCAGTCCGCGCTAAGCATACGACGAGTCTGAGTGCTAGAGAAGAAGCCCAGGACAGCAAAGGCAACGAGGATAGAACGAGTGATGCCCAAGTGGACAAAGAAGATACTAGTAACTGCACACAGCTGGTACATGCTAGACTGGGCTCAGTCGCTTGTGAGAAACTTCCAAAATCTGAAGAGGAGGGCCATCTATACATCTTCCATGATCCGAAGCACAAGGGTGCAGTCAAGCTTGGATATTCAAAAGATCCCAATAGACGTACCAAGGAACACGAAAAATGCGACCTCGATTTGTTCTTCGTCCATATCTCAGGGCGGGTCAAAGCAATGAAACGTGCAGAGCAGCTCATCAAGGCCGACTTGAGGCACTTGCGGAGGCCATGGAAGTGCTCTACTTGCAAGCATACTCACGAAGAATGGTTCGAGATCGATGAAGAGACAGCAAAAGAAAGAGTGTCTCTTTGGGTCGATTGGATCAACGATTGCGATCCCTATGATACGCGTGGAAACATCAAACCACTCTGGAGGTACCTGATAGAGTATGGGAGGAAACCCCGAGAAGATCTTGGCACTAAGAATCACGAAGCTCGATGGAGACACTGGAACTGGGTCTTGTCAGAGCCTGTACCTACCGACATACTGGGATTCCAAAAGCACGAGAAGAAGTTCAGCAGTATCAGGAGGCGGACGATGCCGTCACAGTGGGATGGCAGCGACCAAATTGCTCTTACCCATCAGCAGACTGTCACACATGTTGACGAAACCTCGATCGAAGCACTGAAGGCGTTGGGAATTAGCCAGTTCCTTCATGCAGCAACACAAAGGGCATCAACGGGCGGTATTAATTGGACGCTGAACATAAACGTCCAGTGTGAGGCTCATGTTTCTCAAGAGAAACTCTCAGCCAAGGGGTCTTCATGAAACTGATCTGGTAGTTTAGAAATTAGTATACCTTTCTTTAGCATTCATCATTACAATATAGGCTGCTAAATGTTTTAGTTATTTAAACTGTAGAATTTACTATTCCTCGTCCGTTTTGGGCTTGTCATGCTACTGATTCTTGCCTTTTTCATGTGCGTGAATCTCCACATCTTAGCCTTCTCCCACCGCAAGCCTGCAACGTCATTCCTCATCTGTAATACTGAACGAGTTTTCAACGATACAAAGGTGAGTAGGCGTTTACGCTCACACAGGCGATCTGCAACCAGACCTTATATCACCCGAACGAAATCGCTGACCAGTCCTAACACTCTTGACCACACATGCACACTCTTCGACTGAGCTGCGCATAATACCTAGGTATGAGGGCAAGCCCAGCCTCGCAACTGTAGAGGCCTCTATGTACAGCCAAACTTAGGTTGGCGCCACCAATCACGCTACAGCTATGGACCGAGGTGTCAAACGCGAATCAAAGTAAAACAACAGGACTACGCTGTGAGTTCAGTGGTGAGGAACAGAGAGGCTGGGGTGCCCTAGAAAGCAAAGAACACCGAGTGGTAACAGTAACGGTGTTTTCTCCGCTATTTACATGTGAATGCCGAATGCGAGCACACAAAGAGGTATATATGGCAGGCAAAGCAGAAGATCAATAGCAACGTGCAGTCTAAGATATATACAAGGACACTCTTACAAGGTCAAATGCTAGCTAGTATACCAATATTTTCTTCCCGCGCTATCGCCTAGCACTTGAACACTGCCGGTCCAGGACTAGTGTATGTCTTGCTGCCCGTGTAAAGGTTGTAAAGGATACCAGCATCATTCTGCTTATACGCACCAGGGAAAGACACAGTAGCAGGCGTCTTACTCGCCTCACCCCCAATGATATTGAGTTGCGCACACTCCATGTAAAACTGTGCGCCCATACTCGAACTCGCCGAGTGCAGCGCAATCAACTCTCCCCTGAGCAAATACTGCCCAGGCGCAATGCACTTGGGGATGGTAATCGTTTGGACACCTTTGTTGGCGATGAGGCGATCAACGCCCCATTTTGTGCCGTCAAAGGCATCTTCCGAGATCTTGAACCAGCCGTTGCCGACGCCCGAGTCGGTCTTTGCGTCGCTGACTTTCTTGAGGTAGGCCATTACGGGGCCTTTGTGCGAGGCGTCGATGACGTCCGAGGGCCCTGAGGTGAGGGTGTGGCGCCATGTTAGGGTGGCCGTGGAGCCAGCTTGGAGGGTGATGACCGTGGAAGTTTTGGCGGTGGGGTTGGGGCCGCCGTTGCAGACTATGTCGTTGCTGGATACGTCGTTGATGGGCTGAGGCGGCATTAGATGGAGTAAGATTGGATTTGAAGCGGGAGGGAACTTACACCGTCGTAGGAGGGGACGCGGACACCGTCTCCTACTGCACCGCCATTGACACTGACGAAGATTGTGTGTGCGGATGCTGAGCTGGCTGCTGCAGCAAGAACAAGAGAGGTAGAAAGCTTCATTTTCCGGTTGGTGTTGCTTGGATTGGAGTGCTGGGGTTGAGCTTGATGCTCCAATGTCGATGTCGTCCCCGTAGCTTATAAACAACTTCTCTACCCCAACATCCGAGCTTGCAACCCAAACCCAAGCTTTACAGATATATTACATGTCCGATGATGTCGCACACGTATTACCGGATGCGAACAAGTCCAAGTTTTACACCCTAGGTGGGCGGAGCATTTCCTTTGTATCCACCAACTGCATCGCGTGCCACCACGGCACAACCTTCAACCACGTGCTACCAAGCAGCGCTATACCAACCAAAACCCGGATGGTAAAGACCGTATCGCTGTAGTTGCAACTCGATTATATTAAGCAATGTGTAGGACGTGTCGAATGTTCTTCGAAGGCTTAAGCGAGCTTGACTTTAGCCAATGGCTTAGCCGTGTGTAGATTGCAGGGCCCGCGTAGGCCAAGGCTCCCGGGGATAGAGTGCCGCCTCATATGAAGAGGCTTACTTGTGACCCGGTTGACGTGTTTCCGCTAGTGCAGAAGTGCCGACCCGATCGCGACGTTTAGGTTTCTGTTGGAAGGATAGACCGCATGCGAAACGCTTAGGCAAGCGTGATGTCTTGGAGCGCGATATCCTCCATAGACATGACTTCGCCCTCCATGATCCCATGTACGTACGCTTCACCCAATAGCTCGAACTTTCCAACGTCTCCACCAACTTGCTTCCTCCTAATTACAAAGGGTACACATGCCCTATCAAAGATAGCAACCTCATCACCAAGTTGGGCACCTCTTGGCACTAGCGCAAAGTAACCCTTCTCGGTTACAGCAAACCGGCGCATCTTCAACGCGGCCCGCAGCGCCGTGTGCAAGTCTTCCAGAATCTTTGCTGGCTTCCTGATCTTGAGACTATCGAGGTTGAAGTGACCTTTCTGCCGTCGGATGCTCATAGTCTGGCCGGGGAGGGAGAGAGACTTTCCTGTTGTGGCATCGAGGATCAAACCGAATACCTCGTTGTGATCTTTTGAGGGTGGTGCAACGCCCGAGCCGTCACGTCCTGCGAGCAATGTGTGTAGAAAGGCGTCGTAGGTTGATGTGCCTAGTAAGAGGTATGTGTGCGTTCGACCCGCACCCATGATAAGCTCGGCGTAGGATTTTAGATCACTATTGCTCAGTAGCGGATCGTTGATATCGAGGATAGGATCTTGGCTGACATTGCCTATGATGGCGATGGTATCGAAAATCTTGCCGCACAGCGTGATCTCCTGCTTGTCGCCGCTCAAGATAACCCTCGGTGGTTGCGCTCCTGTGACAGGCCTACCGCCTGCGCAATACAGAGCCCAGGATTTTGTCAAGTAGCCCAAAGCATCGGTTACACGCGGGGTGCTCCAGTCAGGTACCCACGATGGCCGGAGTGGCTCCTCATGATCGACGCAGCTCAGCAGCTCATATATGCGTAGCGGTATCTCGGTTAAGCAGGCATCATGATAGACTTCTCTAGCAGAAACCTCTGGACGATAATCCGGTACTACAGTCGAATCTGCTATGCCCAGTACACCGTAAATCTTGTCTTTTGGTTCCGTCGCTTGTGCATATCGTGTCGACACCAGAATGGTCAGTAAAGCTTCTTGTTGGACAAGTGTCAAGCCTTGCAATCGATCAGCCTGTATCGAGTTGGTCACGGTCGCTCCTTGTGGTGGCAGTGTCCAAGCGTTCCGCACTTCGCCATACCTTTCGACCAACGCGGCATCTGCTGTTAGCCAGCCAAGAAGATGCGTTTCTCTCAGATCGTGACACCATGCTGCGAAGTCGTCCCAGCAAACCTCGGCCTTGCCACACTTGATGAACAGATTTCTTGAAAGAACGGCTTCTTGTATGGTCCACAATCTACCGAACCAAGGTCGCCGGAGGAGTTGGCGGACGGCCCACCATGCTCGATCTGAACTAGACGGAAAGTCCAGCCTCTCAAAGTCAGCGGGCGTCACTTGCGCATCAGTCCCTTGAAGCCGCACGTAGACGGTCTCCATCAAGTCGAGAGCCAGAACTGGGTCTTCTCCGTTATCGTCGCCGAGCCATATGAGGGTGTTGGTAGCATGTGTATAGATCATGCCCATCAGTGGAATCTGTTGCACCTTCTCAGGGGTGTCGAGTTGGTTAATGCAGATTTGATCCGTCCATAGAATAACACTATGCTCATTTGACCGTAGATGTTCCAAAGCTCCAGCGAGGGTTGCTGTTATCTTTTTTTGCCCATGCTCAAAAGATATGGTGTGGTCGAAGTCAGGTGCACCCCAGACATAGCTCAGCGCAGTAAACCAAACTGGTTTCCCAGTGACAAGTGAAACAGCATGATTGGTGTGTCTGGTAAAGGTCAAGGTTCTTCTACTCGTGTTTGCTGGATTGTCGAAAGGCTGGGTATATTGCTCCTCTCTTGCAGGATGCGAGAAGTCGATGCTGACTGTGTGTAGAGTTCCTTGCAACGGGCTTCCAGGTTCTCCTGCATGCAGCTCCAAGACGCGAATTTCTCCATCCATCAGTGGTTGGTAAAGCTCTGATGGTGGCGCATTTGGACGCTGGCCCCCCTGGGGCCTCTTTTGCTCCACAAAGCCCTGGACATGAGCTTGCGCAATCTCATCTAGCCGGCCGTCAACTCCGGCAGGACCTTCAAACGTAGCAGGTTGAAAGACGGCCGTCTTAGAGAGTGCGGAGAAAAAACAGTTGCAGGCACCTGATGCATGACGAGTTAGCAAGCGATATCGGCGAGACGAGCTGAGGCGGAAGCACTGCACCTTGCGCGTTCGTCGCGCACGGACAAGAGTAGGCATGCTCGATATGGTAGTACGTTTTCTGAGGATTAGCCATGTTGTTGTGGTGTTGCTAAACGTGAGATGAGAAGTCAGGTCGCAGTTTCAGCAGGTATGAGATTCGGGCCTAGGCCCGACTCGGAGTGGGGGCCATTACAAGAGGGCAGGAGCTGGCGACAAGAAGTGTTTGAAAGTTGTAATCCTTATACATTACTCTGTTGTCGTTGATGACATGCCACTGAGTCGTTCGCTGGTTACTTTTCATACGTTTGTAGCGATACCAATGAACATGAAGCTTCTGCTCGGCTTCAATTGTGCGTCCACTGCATGTTCACATAACATTGCCGCTTCAGTCCGCAAGCCCCAAGAATTGTGTGATACCATGACCCTTGGCCTGTCCGCCTTTGTTCTTCTTTCTCTTCTTGCGCTTCTGCTTTGGCTCGTCCTCGTCGCTACTTTCGTCCATATCCTCGTCGCTATCGCCACTTTCATCGCTCTCGTGATCCCGCTTGCCATTGGCAGGCTCCTCCTCATCATCGTCGACATCCTGCCAAGTTTGTTCGCCCCATACTTTGACGGTCTTTCCACCGCTGCTTATCATTCGACCAGTGACGTCGAAACCAAGGCCGATGACGCTCTCCTTGGACAACTCGTCGTGCTTGAGCTCTGCGACAATCTTATTTGGGCCGAGCTTAGCAAAGCGAATATCTCCGTTGCCCAAGCCTACTGCAATGTGCTTCCCACCAGGTCCAACACCGTCTGGTACGACTGTGATGGAGTCTAGACTCTCACCGCCCCCCTTGGAGCGATCGACGATGATACGCTCGTCTTGGTCGTCCCAGACTCCGCGCTCCCAGAGTGTGAGTACACCATCGCCTGCACCAACTATGACCTTTTCACCCACACTTGAGCCCTTCTTTGGCAGTCCGGTGACAATGGTGGAACAGAGCAGCTCCTCCTCTTGATCCTCGCTACGGACCATGACACCCCTCCGCAGATCGGTGACGGCCAGTGTGCTGCCACCTGTTGTGACCCATTGCTTGCTGAAGCCACTAGTACTCGCTTGCGTGGGTGGTAGAGGTGTGAGGGAGGAAACGTAGTCGTCGTGCGGGTGATGCGTGTTCTCAGGCCTCAAGGACACCTTGTCGCCACCCTTGAGATTCCTAATGTCGTAGATGTGCAGCGCGCCGGAGTCAGTAGTGAGGATGAGGGATTGCGGCGAGAGAGCGTAGACGAGCGTCGGCGCATCGACACCGCCATTGGCGCTATGCGGTGTCAGTATTGCCCAAACGAGTCTTGTGTCTGGGCTACTCACGGATCCAGCGGTACAGCAATCTTCGCAGTAACGTGGCCGGTCATGCAGTCTGCGACCTTGACGATGCCATCTGTGCCTGCCGAGTACAAACTTGTGCCATCGACGCTGTATCCGAGTGTCCGGCAGCTTCCCTTGTGTCGCCGTGTGCGCCAGACACTGTCTATGGTACCGAAGCCTTTCTCCGAGGCCAATGTCGTGTCATCGTCGTCGCTGTCGCTCGCGCCAGAAGGCAGCCTGTATGTCTGCACATGGCCGCTAGCCAAGCCTACAGATATAATCGGCTCTTCTGGATGAATCGCCTGCACGAAGATATCGTGCTCCACCGGAAGTGCGCACAAATTCTCAAACATCTTCGGGCTAAGGATGCTGTGCAGAGTTGGATGCATTCCGCGACAGCTTCGATAATTTTTGTGGAGCCGCGGCTGGTTGCAGGCCAGCTGCAGCCAATGGCCTTGGCAGGCACGCTTCGCACGTGGGCGAGCTTTCACATCCAACATCACCACGTAGGCTATCTCGGCTATATTACTTCCATTCTCTCATCAACTCAGGCAGCATCTTTACACTAATGGTGTATGAAAGGTGATGAACGGAGAAGACCAAATGTCGCAACCAATCCATCAGATATTATGCATTTGCTCCGTGCTATAACTCTCCAACGTCAAGCTGTTCCACATGGCATGCATGCACCTCGAAAGCATCTGCACTACATTCAGCCATTTCCCCTCGAGCAAGCTTGACGGCACCCGAAACCAGGTCTATGGACCACAAGTCTTCCACTGGCAGCTTCGCAAGAGAACTCCGAACAAGTTTTTCCTCCCAATCACGGCCGTGCTATACAACACGATGTTTCCCCATCAGGTTTCTGATCTCCATCGGCCCATCGTTAATGATGCTTGGCCACCGACGCGACAGGAAGGTCGACTCCCTCCCTCATGCGCCAAACCTCCACAGGCAATGCAGCCGAATCACGTTTGCTAATGATTGGCTACCGGCAACATGAACGGCTCTTCTCCAAGTTCACCGTTGTGCATCCGGCGCAAAGACGTCCGACGTCACGCATGTCTTAAAGAGACCCTGGAACCCATCGTTCTTCCGCTTGACAGGCGTTGGATCAGCATCTGAAAACAATTTAATATATAATCTGCCCAACATGCTTGCTTCGTCGCTTCTTTATGGTCTTTTGGCCGCTGCCTCCTCGGTTAACGCGTACCATCACGCAAAGACTATCAACTACACTGTCGTAACCGGTATCTTCCAACAAGACGATAATGCTACCAATCCATCAACTTTCGATTTCCTCAGCACGAATTTCGGTCTGATCAATCGTACGTACCCCAGCGACGCATCCCACCCGGATCGCAAACACGCAACCCAATGGCAACGTCTTGCGCACTATCTCTCCACCCTGAACAACAAGGCACCGCGCAATGAACGCTACACCCTCTTCTTCATGGGTCGTCACGGCGAAGGCTTCCACAACGTCGCCGAATCCTACTTTGGCACCCCGGCGTGGAACTGCTACTGGTCCGAACTAGATGGCAACGGCACCGTCACGTGGGCTGATGCACAGCTCACGGAAACCGGTATCGAGCAAGCAAAGGTTGTAAACACCTTCTGGAAACACCTCATAAAGGATGAAAAGATTTCTCCGCCAGAGACATTTTACACTAGCCCATTGCACCGCTGCCTCGACACTGCCAGGCTCAACTTCGAGGGTGTACCGCTTCCGCGCAAGAACCCCTTTGTGCCTGTCGTCAAGGAATTTTTGAGGGAGGGTATCAGCGCACATACTTGCGATCGTCGCAACAGCAAGTCCTACATCAGGAAAAACTTCCCTGGCTTCAAGTTTGAGAAGGGTTTCGCGGAGGAAGACCCGTACTGGACTGAGCTGTTCGCCGAGCCACGCGCAAACCAAGACGCTCGTTCCAAAGCTGTTCTCGACGACATTATCAGCAATGATGATAGCACGTACATCTCCATTAGTTCACACTCTGGTGAGATTGGAAGTCTGCTACGAGGTAAGTTCTCTCTTCGTTGCTTTGGTAATATGTGAAGATATTAACGACAACGCAGTCCTCGGCCACCGTGAGTTCCGTCTTGCGACTGGAGCTGCTATCCCCGTTTTGGTCAAGGCAACGACGATTAATGCTCCTGCTCCTCCTACTACCAGTTTGCCGTACACACCGCAGAAGACGTGTGCTCCCCCGCCTACTATCCGTGACTCGAGCTGCAACGACTGCTCGTGCTGCACTTAGATTGATGTTTACAGGGGACGGGGTGCACTTTGGGTTTCTTGTATATAATTGAAACTAGATGTCAAGTCCGATACACGCAATGTTATTTGTATCCGATTTGCACTCCAGAATATCGGTGTTCCAGAAGGATTTCTTCCAACTCTGATGACTTTCAATCTCGCTTGCCTGCCGTCTTTTTCATTCGGACTATCCCGTTGTATTTTGCAATCACCACCACTATCCGTGCCGACAAGAAGGGTCCATGCTCCTTAGTACAAATCACTCTGTCGGCAAGGAAAATCCCTTGAAAATGTATGTACCCAGGAAGTAAACAACAAACATCCACTCTTCAAGATCATCCTCGGACCTACCAGTCTCGAAAACAACAACATGCTCCCTCCCTGCACCAATCAAGCGATCGACCGTTATGGCTGCCGTACCACCCAAAGTTTATATCCTCACTCCAGCGGAAGAGCGCGGAAATCACCGATTGGCAGGACGCGGCAGAAGGCTCGTCATGGCATTTGGTACGGTGTTTGACTTGTTACGCCAACTTCATCAAAGTAGCTCCCAGCTCCGATCACCAACTCTTCCACCAATGTGAGGGCTGAAAGTGGGTTTTAAAAAGGCCCGATTGAGATCGAGATCTTGGTACGCTAGCGCCGCCGCCCGCCACTTCAACGCTCAAGCCATCCTGTCCACGTCTACCGCTGGAGATCTAGATGGAGACCGGAGCCTCTCTAGCGTCGGATGAGACGAGTTAGTGTACCAAACTGTTGTTTTGGCCGGCAGTGGTTGTAGCGGCATCGAAAACTAAACCTTGGATGCCCGGAACCGCGGTTCTTCTATATATGGAGACTATGATTTGGAAGCATCCGGTTTTTTGTGGAGATCCGAGAGGTGGCAGTCGGCAGGTGTTGAGCTAGTGGTTAACCAGCCTACAGGTGCGACGTTGACCGGTCGGTGGTGGTCGGCAGAAAGTCTTAGCTGTGAGAGAGTGGGGATGAGATCAAAGGGTAGAGGACATGAGGTAGGTATAGGTGGACAGATGGTACTGATAGTGTTGAACAGAAAGATGATCGATTGTTGTATGGCAGGACAATAACGTGCGACTGTTGGTAGTTGTGATTTGTGTATGATAGTCTGAAGCATCAAGGCTTTGTGGTAGTTCATGTTCGGTAACGAGAATCTTGCTTTTCAGAGTTGCGGTACGGTAACCAAGTGTCATTGAGATGTCACTGAGACATTGGGATGGTGCATAGTGACCAGCTCGTCGTCATTGTGATTGTCATATTACAAGTGCCCACGTAGCGGGTGACAGTGATTGCAGGATGTGTGCAATAATCTTTGCATTCGTCATTAGGTAGTATGGACTAAAATGTACAAGGGTATAGGAAAATGTCATATCGCTTTTGTAATGCACAAGGATTGGGTATACTTCATCACTTCTTTGCCTTGGTGAATTTCAACCTGACCAAGCGAGTCAAATATGACTGCGATTCAGGCCGCTGTGGGGCGGAAGGATTCCAGACACCTGGTGCATTTGATCGCTCTGTTTGCGATTGCCGAAGGAGGTCTAACGCCTCCTTTTTCCGCTCTGTTTGAGCCATTTGTTATCTTGTGGCCCAGATCTTGCTTCTTTTCGCTTGTTCGAAGCTGTAGCTGACGTAGGGCCTGGGTGCTGGTACCAGGCTTACTTGTTCGCGACATCAAGTGCAAGCGAACAATGAGTGCATGGCATCGCCGCGGATGTGCGAGAATGGCACCAGAGTCACTGCCTTGAAAGGCCTGTCGTTGGCGCATTCCAGCCAGGGCTGTAACGCATCGACGCAGTATACATCATTTCCAGGACGTGGCGTGGCATCGTGCGGCTTCGTAAGAACGAGTTGAGGTGAGTGAATGTAGGTATATTGCTGAAATTCATCATCTGTAGGGTGCAGAGAGAACCGACCCCCTCTCTTCATCTGTGATGTAGAACGACTTGGACACCAAGATTCCATTTTGGAAATTGTCCTCCTCACTGCTCCGAGAGCTCTTGATCCTCAAACTCCTCTCACTGTCGTTGTCTGAGTTGTCCACACGCGTGGTCTTCTTGGAGTTGGGCGGGGCGCCGGTGCCGAACCAGTTGGGTGATTTGGGAAAGGATCCGGTTTGCGCCGGTTCGTCGTTGGAAGTGCGCGTTTGCACAGTGGCTGATAGCTTGTACATGTCGGGCCGTAGTTTGTCAGCTTTCGAACCGGGTGCGGCATTAGCGGGTAATGGGGCGGACATGCCATATGCGGAAGGTCGATATCCTGTTGGGCGTGTAGAAAGACCAAGTTTGTGCATGGCGATGAAGAAGAGCGGGCGGAGTGTTGCAAGGCTTCCGGCGGTAATGGCAAGGCCTTGTTCAACTGATGACCAGATGGCGATGTCAAGAGTCGACCCTGTCAGGGTTAGTAATCTGTAAAGTCGCCAGTAGTGCGTAGACATACAAAGGAAGTCGGGGGAGTTGAAGTAGTGGATGAATGGCAATCGCGCAATGACTGCAGCACTTGCAATACAACCCATGGTGATCAAGGGGATTAAAGCAACTTTGGTCCTTCTCTTCAACTGCAAGTGCCATACCAAGAAGCCCGGAATGATAGCGAAAGTAAAGTCGGTGATGATACTGAAGATGCTGTAGACGTAGCCGAGGGCGGTAATGACGGTGTTGTCGACACACTTTCCTTCCTGCGAAGTACGATCCCACATGTACGAGACCGGGTAGCACTGGAAAAGACAGACGAAGAAGAAGGCCCCTCCAGCGATGATAGAGACACACATGGCGGTGTAAATGATCCTGGTACTCTTAGTACGTGTCGCAAGTGGCTTGCCGGTGCTACTGCTTACCATGTGTGAATCCTGCGAATACTGATTCGCAAGAGAAGAAACCCAATGGAAAGCTTCGAACATATCATGGAGACGGAGTAGAATAGATAGCAAAAGTACCAGGCATGCTTTGCGTTTTGTACACCCTCAATGGGCAGGTCGCGATGGTGGCGTCCAGTTCCATAATGTATCCCGACGCAAGACGAAGTTGAGTATGAAATGAAGAAGAGCTAAACACCCAGTCAGATGATGCCCCAATTATTATATCAGCCCACACTTACCGTTGCGAAAACCATCAACCAGTCATCTCGACCAAATGCCTTGACCATTTGGACGCGAACATAAATCCTCAATGCACAAGCCAGAACCGCTGTGGTGACGAAGGCAATGTTGACTGCGAGCAGCTCGGGGCCTCTGTTTGGAATAGCCATGGTGATGGTGGTATGTTGTCGAAGCAGTTGACGCTCACACGGCGAGGAGGAGCCCCAGAATGAGCACGCCCAACCAGTATGGGGGGTCCAGGATCTTTTACGTAGCTAGATTCTTTATCGAATAAGCACGGTGGAGCTATAGAGGGCACCGCATAATGGGTGCCGCCACGAGAGATGTGGGTCTACGGGCGGGCTCCCAGCACTCATTCCAGGGTCTGGTCCGTTTCAAGGAGACACCATTACGAACAGGGTCGCTTTCCCGCGGAGCTAGGACCTCGAACTGTGAATTTGGCGAAGTCGTTCATGCGTTGACAGGGCTATCCGGGGACGCATAGAAGCTTACTGCAGTAGTAATGATTGCCGCAAACGAGATTGTCCACTGGCAGCAAACGGACATGACGGAAGCAGGAGTAGGAGATCAGCGCACATCAGCGTCTCGCAGGCCGTTGATTAGGGGAGACTTGTAACTCGCATAGACTTGAGACTCCACCACTGCTCGAAGGGAGCTCGCAGTAGCAAAACTTAAAAGAGCGGCTTGAGTAACGGTAGTGATGCTCCATGTCGTGTTTTTGGTGGTGCCTAGACGCGTGCCGCTCGAAGCAGTTTCGCGATGTTAACCGGCCAAGCGAGACCTAATCGAATACGTGCTTAGTCTCCTAAAATCCTGCAAGGGCTGCATCCTCCGTGCCTTCCGCTTCTTGGTTAGTTTCTACACTCAGCACTGACATTGAACGCTCCTCCACATCCGTCAAGCTATTCGGAGCTGCCAGCTGTTGCTGCTGATCGGCTACATCATTGCGCACTATGTCTTTAGCCGTTGGTTTCAACTATTCTACGACTCACTGCCGGTTCTCTCAATCAGGAAGTGCTCTGCAGTGCTAGGAACGGGAACTTGTGCCCGCTAGCCGGACAGTTCCTAAACCTCCGTTGATCCTCACTGACAGGTTTGCACAGAGCGACAACTCTCCAATGCCATCTGCAATCTTGCCATGACAGATACTGTGGCTCGTGGCGGTCAATGCAAAAAGTAAAGAATGTCGCCAAACTACTCAGGAACCTCGGCTTCAACACATCGAGCCCGCAGCGTTTCACGAGTACCTAGCGCGCTAGCTGACTCGCTATCATGGCCGTCGGCACTTGGTGGAGGCACTGTACGACCTGGATTTGGCTCCAAACTTGCACCATTCGAAGCGCTATAATGGTCTCTTAGATGCAGAGTGCGTCGCACGAACACCCATGGTTCGCAATTGAAACCCATGCTTAGAACATGGTTATATGACAACGGTTAGTCGTCCGAAGGCATGTCAATGGCTTGCCTGACGCCTATTGCTCCATTATTCGAACGATCAGGAAACGGAAAGGTATATCAACAGGGATATCGCAAGACATCAGGTCCTTGAACCCTGACTTCAAGACTCAAACAGGACATATTACACGAGGTGGAGCCCTGAATGGAAGGGACGATTGCGACATGACCGTCGCATGCATCAGGGTAGCACAACACTTTCAAGTTACTGGAAACAACTCCGCAACGACAATTCCCTGGCGGGACGCCTTCCCAACGTCAGCTGGTCTCAGCTCAACGTTCTTCCCGCCTGGTAACTTTGTCTTTAAACTGCCGGGGGACGTTTACCAGGCCTCCGACCGAAGGTTCAAGCACGGGACGGAGAGAACTCCTGCAGTAAACCTCCGGTTTCATGATGGTAAACTCGTATTCGAGATCGGAGAACAAGACGGCGTTCGTTCGCGCAAATGCAACATACAGCTCTTCGGGAGTTTCGCTCACTGCACGACTCCAAGCCGCCTGGTTGATACATTTTCCAACCAACCCTTGCAATCGCTTGCGACGATCCTATGATAGACTGGGTTGGTGCAGATCTTCAGTCTTTCAGGATGACGTCCGCAAGGTTCAATTACCCCAACTAAACCTTGGTAAAATGCAAGCAGTTGCCCGCTGACAAGGGAAAGGTCCACGGTTATATTCTTCATCTTGCGCTGACGTCCGAGGCCCCTATATCCCGATGTGTGGTGGGTGCCGCTGTTCGTCGGGTAATGCTCGCTCATGCGAAAACATGGATTAAGTTTCAAGCCGTCAACGTCTACAACAGATGGGCAACATGCAGTGAACTGCTGTTCACACTGTGAATCGTAAACTTGCGCCATTCAGTAAAGACGTCCCGTGCAGCTTCCTAGTCAAAATACGGTTCTCAATGCAGCCGCGGCTACAGGAGCAGAAAGGAGTACCACAACAGCAGACCCGAACGAGACAAGGCTACCTAATTATCGACTGATCTGCTATGTCCTATCTCATGTCACGGAGGTAAACATAACTTGGTGCACAGAAGAAGCACAACGACAACATAATCTTCCCACACCACATCAGTCGAGGACCACCAGCTGAACAAGGCTGCATCGAGTACCCGACCTTCTGGCTCAGTACCATGCAGCTACAACTTGTTTTTTTTTGTTAGTTCTTGAACTCGTCTCGAGTCGACAGTTTCTTATTTCCACAGCGCGACAACACGTGATGTCGCTCCTCGGATAGATCCTAGCGATAATCCTCGTCATTACTTCTTCCCATCGATCTTTTTTCATTTTGCTTTCTACATGTTGCTTTTAATTATGCATGCATGCATACATGCGCTTATGCGGCGCAGTTTCGGATGCATCCACCACACCACACCCACCAACGCGAGCGCCCCGGAAAATCCGGGCGGTTAACCTGCGGCCACCCAACCACCACACCCGGAAATTCTCCGCATCCTGCCAGCCCGTGTGAGTGCCGCCTGGGCGGCGCGGTTGTGGCGTGCCTGTTTCAATTGGTACCTGAAATTAACCAACCGCTGCGTTCTGCTGTGCCCCCGGTAGTATGTTTCGTGAGTGTAGAGAGGAATGCGGCGTGGTTGGGGTAAGTGTGTGTATATACATGAGAGAAGCGTGGTTTACTAGCTGCGTGGTACAGCGCATCGTACTACAACACCAAGACTCTTCAACCCATTATCGGACCGATCTTTGCTAAACGTCCCGGCCAATTCGGATTACGAAAACCATCTTTCTGCGACATCTGCCATTGCAAATGATCTCCGGCGGATTACCCGAGCACAACATGAAGGCTATCCTCACACTCGTAACACTCATCGCCTTTGCATCCGCTTCCCCGATACCCACACCCAAACCTTCTAAACCCCTCCCGCTCATCTCCCTCTCCCTCATCGGCTCACCATCACACTACACAATCGGCTCATCTCAAAGTCCGCAAACTTCCACTCCCACATCCAGCAATGCGTGGTCCATACATATACCTATTGATGTATCCCTTGACCTAAGCGCGCGGCCGGAGCATGTACAAGCGATCGAGGTCATCGGAGTGGAGTCCGGAACGGACCTACAGGAAGGGGAGATAAAAAGGGATGATGTGGATGTGCTGTGTAAGGCAAGTTTAGAGTGGGGAAGCGAGGGCGTCATTGTCAGAATGGGTGGGCCGAGGGTTGTAGTCAACGGGGGGAAGATGGGTAGGATTACTGGGGTGAGTTGTTGGAAGGAGAGCGCGAAGGGTACGTGTGCATGTATGCATGAATGATGGAGTTTGGAAGAGCGGGATGGGTTGCAGGTCAACTTGGATGACGATGATGCGTTAACATAATTTTTGAGATGTACATAAACTGGTTTCATGTAATCATGGTCTATGTGTATCTATCGTGGATATACCTTGTAATGTAGGATTTTGTCATGTTTCACGAACCATGCTTACCTGTCTTGCATTTACGTCGGTGGCTATGGCAGGCGTCGCCTTCACGCTCGGTAACCTTGCATCAGCTTTTCTACTATGCTGATGCCCACTTGCTCGTCTGCAGAAGGTGCTTCTTTTGGCTTCTCTTCCTTGTCAGATGTGAAGCCTTCTCTTTGCATTATCTGCTCCATCATGCGGATGCCTCTTAGCTCTTGTAGAGGCGGGATATTCTGTACACCTTCTGGGTCTACAGTATCAAAGTCCACACCGCCAGTGGGCTTGACTGCACCAACTATCTCGTGAAGTGCATCTGGTGTAACGACAAAGTCGCTTTGTACCTCTCCCGACTTCGTCGGTATTACCTTTTCCACGCCCAGTTGTGCCTCGTCGACGACTTGGCATGTGTGTGCCACAGCGACAACGGGAGCGTTGGGCTGCAGTACTTTCAAGTCCTGCAGCATGGCCCACTGCACCTCGAACAGATTATGACCCTCCCATATTGTCACCCCCTGCGCATTGAAGACAAGACCCCCGATAGCGCACATGTCTACCTTGAGGCACTCGTCACGCATCTGCGAAAGTGACACCGCTCTCCCTATGCCCGGCTTCTCCATACCATCGAGACACGCAGCCATCTCGTACTTGCTCTCGCTGATCCGCCCAGGATGCAATAGTACGAAACCCCTACGCAGCCTATATGTAGCTACCAACACCCTCTTCCCGTCTTTCAGGGCTCTGTACCGCAATTGTTCGAGGCTGTTATCGGGCGTAACGAGGATGACACTGGCGGATTGGTAACACGAAAGTGCCACTAAGCGATCGATAGCAGAACTCGAGCCTCGGAAGTCGGGGGTGAAGGACATGAAGTCATAGTTGAATCGCGCGTCGGGTACGGCGTGTTGGACAAGGTCTTGGTATACGCGCGCCCATAGGAGTTTCCTGCGGTCATCGGAAGAAGTAGGGGCCGTCATTGGGAGATATCGGGAGCGAGTGACGTGCGGCTATAAGCCTGAAAATGTGTGAAGCTGGAAAAGCGAGCGGTGATGTGTGGAGTCTGCGCCGTGCAGCGCAGCAATGGATCGCGGGGGCATGTCGACTCAGGCGCTGACTAACCGGACCGCCTCACCACCTATGGCCTACTTCAATCCTTACCTCAACACCAAGACTGCTGCTAGATTGATATGCTAGCATAATGTCTTCATCATGTATGATTATCGCATTCGTGAGAACATCGGTACAAGCCCGGGTTCACCCGTCCCCGCGTCATTGGGGTAAAGTCCTTGCGTCGGGTTACGCTAAATCGGCTACATGATTACGTCCGTCATATTACCGAAGAGTCACATATCTCAAGCCAAGACGCATTCCAGAGCACACTGGGAGCATCAGGAGCAGATCGTTTGAGCATAAACCAACCCGCATTCACGATGGAAAAGCACGAGGAGTTCGAGCTACGGACAACGGCGACACCATCCGACCGGTCGTCAATGGAAGGCAGCGAAGGAACGACACCAGAAGAGCGCATCACAGAAGCAACCAACATGGACTCTATCAACACCGGTCCGCCAGAAATTGGATTTGAAAGATCTATCGAGCCTCCCGCAAATGTGCCATCGAATGCCGGAGAAGGGAACAGGTCGGCAATCAATAAGAAGACGCCCAAGCGTGCAAAAGCCGTCGAGATCCTCAAGTGGTTCGTCAAAGACCAATGGTTCCTTCTAGCAATGGGCGCTGTAGTCCTCATCTCGTCTCAAGTCCAGGTTCCAGCATCACAGCAGCGCACGAAACGCACAGTAATCACATACCTTGCAGTCTCCGTCATCTTCTTCATCAATGGCTGTACGCTGGATACCAGGGTCATGCTCGCCAATTACATGCGGTGGAAGCTGCACATCTTCGTACAGTTGCAGTGTTACCTCGTCTGTTCGGCAGCCACCTTTGCCATTGTCAGCCTGTGTGCAACAAACCCCAACTTCATGGACCCATGGCTATTGATCGGCTTTCTCTTTGTCGGCAGCGCACCAACAACAATGTCCAGTAACGTTGTCATGACGAGACAAGCTCATGGGAACGCGGCGCTCACGGTCGTTCAGTCAGTCATTGGTCAGTTCCTGTGTCCCTTCTTGACGCCAATCATCCTGCAGATGTACCTTTCCACGGGGTCATGGTATAGCAAGGTTCTCCAGCGCGGTTCTGGTTACGCAGGCATTTACCAGCGTGTCTTCATGCAACTCGGCCTGTCGTTGTTCCTTCCAATGCTAGTCGGACAAATCGTACAACGGCTATTTCCGAAGATGACGAAGAAAGTGTTCTTCGAGTGGAAACTGCTAAAGCTATCATCAATTGCTCTCCTTACAATGGTGTGGCAGACCTTCGATCAGGCGTTCTCTTCTGGTGCGTTCGAAGCTGTCAAGTCGTCCAACATCATCTTCATCGTTTTCATCACGATCGCACTGTACTTCATATGGCTGGCTATATGCTTCACGGCTGCTACCATGTGGCTGCCGAAGAAGGACGTCATTGCATGCTGTTATTGCTGCCCAGCGAAAGCTCTTGCCATGGTTGTCCCACTAACATCAGTCATGTACATCAACATCGATCCCGTTGACCAATCGAAGATGCAGATACCTGCGATCATCTTCCAGGCCTTTCAGGTTGCTATCGGTGGCATCATGACAATCGGTTTCCGCAAGTGGATCCGACCGGAAGAAGAGAAAGAAGAGGCAGAAAAGAACATCGAAGCAGGCGCAGCGAAGTAGGATTGGAAAGTAGACGAAACATCGTCGATACGATTCATGCCCAAAAAAGTTTGTACTATGCGCGAGCATCCAACTCTTCCATGGTAGCCCGGAAGGCAGCCCCTTAGTTTTTTGCAACTACCTTTGCGTAGTCTTCTCTGCTCAACCATCATTCCCGCTTTTTGTACTGCAAGAAATGTTCCGCCATATTGTATGTAGTAGTCAAGAACGCCGGGTATGGCAAACAAGAATTATTTCGTCAAGCCTTGTGCTCAAGTAATGCAGCAGCATCCGTTGGGAATCTAAATCCATCAGCTCGATTGGTCCTTTACGTGGAAGAGTGTACATACGCATTTGCATATTCCAATAAAGCCATCGCATGGGCACTCGACGCAAGAGACTGAGGCAATAGTACCATCCGCGCTCCGAACCTCCTTGACGGATCGCTCAAGACTGACCTGCGTAATCGATTAGTTGCGGAAGCCTTCAAGTAATGCCAGAGTGCCTACCGCTGCGGGTGACGCAAGCGCAACCGAGGCGGCGACCACTGCAATAATAGCCGAGAGCTTCATGATGTCGAACGAATCAAAACCTGCGAATGCCGACAATTGAGCATACAATTCCAAATGCGACGAAGGATCCAAAGAGTTTCTGATTTTGATCGACGCAACAACAGCACAAAGAAAAAGCAATTCAATAGACGACAATCCCGCCAGTTCTTAAGCAGCAATACTTTTGCCCACCAATCTACTAATCTCACATCCTTGCGGTGTCCTAGCTCGCCTCCAAACTTTCTTCCCTTGCTTCCTCATCAATCCGCATATTGTGTACGACGCGCGCATCGGTTCCCCGCCCTCGTGGCAGAATATGTTTTTGCAGGCGATTAATCTACGTTATGCTGGCATTGACTGGCGCAACTCGCGTAGTCGATAACTGGGGCATCTGACGTTCCGGAACATCGGAGTTTACCTACATGTCATGAGCCGCGACATTTCTTGCATCCCGGGTAAATGGTACATGAGACTGGGGTGCATATGAATAGCGCAGGAACGGAGTGTTTGGCAGCGCATGGACGCAATTTATTTCTACTGCCGAAGCAGAATGTTATTGGACCAAGGAAGATATCCTTACGATAAGATCATAGTATGTGCAGGGCAGCATGCGCGGACGAAAGCCTAGATCGAGCCCACATCCGTCCACGTGTTGCTCTTTGCCTGGGACAGCTGCCGACGGCGAAAGGAGCGCGCCCCTTTATGTTGTTTTGCGGCGTCCGCCCTGACGTCGTGGCACAATCGACCCGAAGACCAGTCTTGCACATCGTCAGATGCCTTTACGCACGTCATCTTGCGACACCTTGATTCCTCGCATGTAATTATCAGGCGATTTACTGCGCGTGTCTTGTATCTTTGATCGCTGATCCGGCACACACACACGCCGAACCCACCCTCAGTTCTAGACTTCTGAACATCTCCCGGAGCCCGGCACTAGTATTGAGTACATATACGAGCATGCAGTCGCTCTGACTGCGAACTACTGCACGCTTGGCATGTTCACCGACAAAGCTCGAAGCTAGCAGCGTCGCCTACAGTTATCACGACTCTTGACAGTGCTGTGGCGCATCAGCCGTCTATCACGATCACTAAAAGGCCTCACACAGTCTAGAGCGAAAGCGTCGGTGTTTGATTCCGATGCTCCAGACAAAGAATCGCTTTGGTTGAACCGATCTTCGGCTAAAGCACCGCATACACGAGGTTCTTGCCATGCTGTGAATCTAGATGCACGTAGTCTGGATGCTGTTTATATGATCACGTGTAATGCATGTCTCCAATACTACGCGTCTCTCCTACGAGACAGCCGCCACTCATTTTTGCTAGCACTTCCTTGAACGAAGATAGCCAATTCACAAGATCTCCCATGCAATTCTCACCGGTGTCGCCAGAGTTCTTGTCAAAAGGGGAAGACATGTTCCAAGCCATCTTGGCTAAACCCTTGAGTAACTCAGACACGTCCCGACATTAACAATGCTTCAAGATGTCAACCTATAGAACTAGTAGTGGTAACCATACCTTCTACCAGTAGCTACCATACCTTCTACCAGCAGCTTTCCCAATCTTGGACGCCTCCTCATTCCATCTCTTACTTGCCTTTTCCCGTAACCTAGGCCTTTGCTTGTAACCTCCGTTCTGGTACGTCCCGTCATTGCCGTACTCGAACTCAATCTCTTGACCCCTCTTATCAGGGTTGTCGAACCTATCCAACCAGCGATTAAGATGCGCACGACTGTCCTTGGCACCCACGGCGTAAGAAAGAATGATCCTGATCTTGCGCTTCGATCTCACATCATCATGTGCTTCAGCTCCAGGTTTGCTCAGCCGCTTTAGCTGTGCCTGGGACAAGCGATTGAGGAACGTGACGATGGGTGCGAAGTTGTGGTTGCGAACTGTAGCTGTGATGACGGGAGCGTGGAAGAGGACTGCATCGAGGAATTCTTCGGAAATTTGGTTGTTCACTCCCACGAGGCCGCAGCGTGTGACTATGTTGCGCGACCCAGATTTGAGTTTGGATGAGTTGTCCTGGTCTAGGATGTGCTTGTAGATTTCGTCTCGTAGCTCTCGCGGAAGCGCGAGGAACGGGGGTAAGGTATAGTTGTGTTGTCGGGGCCGTACTGTCATTTCCTCTGTTGCAGACGCGACAGCCTTTCGCGCACGTTTCCTAGGCGGCGCTGGCGCATCGTCGTTGGTGGTTTTCAGAACTGGATTGGCGGCTTCATCGGCCTGTTTGCGTTTCGAACGTCTAAGCTGTGGTGCTGCTGTGGTAGTCATGATTGAGGTTGTTTTTCTAATGTTGTTAAGATATCGAATGAGTGGAAATTGTAAACATATACTCATTGCGCGCCAAGATGACACGGTGAATCCTCCAGGCAGCAGCTAGGCAACAATGGAGTGGCCCAACTGAATCCAGTTAGCGCCAACTTCAGCAGCGTCCAATTGCTCTTGTCTGAAATACCGCCCAGCGCAACACATTTAACATCTCTGTAGAGTACGTTCTCGCAGTTTAGTAAGAGGAAAGCGGCATGCATGGTTTCAATATCCTTGCCTTAACTGCGAGTAAGAAAGTGCGCTTAACTATGGGCTTACTGTGGAAAAAATCAGATATTCAAAGCAGATGAAGGAAGACGAAACGCTTCAATATGCATGACTGTGTGTGCGACAGAAGGGGACTCACCACAAGAATATACTAACGTAGGATGACTCAAATGGCAGTGGACGTAGATCGTTATTTATTTAATGAATGTATAACACACATTGCATATTTCAGGCCTCTTCCTTCTCTACGACAGGCACCGGATGGAAACCCTTTTCCATGTGCCGAATCTAAGAGTCCTTTCTCCTGAAACTCCGTTTCCATAAAGGGAGAGTACAATGAAACGGCGGTTTTGGTTTCTTTTTAACTCCGCGAAGGCATCTTCCCATGAGGTGTCGCTTGAGATCCTCTAGTAACGCAAACCACTTTCCACATTACGCACATTCGTGCAACCGGTCGGATTTGACTGTATGGGTTCGTTGGTGGAGAAGCAAGTCTGCTCTCTGATCGAATTCCTACTCATAACCCTCGTGGTCACAGGAATACATGGCCTGCGATGCTTCTTCGTCGTGTTCATACGTTCCTGATGCGGATGGTCGAGCGTGCACTTTTCTCATATGATCTTCGTACTTATCTTTGCGATGAAACGACCTGGATACTCTATCACAACCAGGCACCGTACAGAAGTATTGTGACGCGTTCGGATTGTGAAATGTATCATTGTGTCTGCGAAGTTCGGCAGTTCTGTTAAACCTTTTCTGACAGGTGCCGCACTGGATGCTTTTTTCGTCTTTGCGGGTCGTTTCAGTGCTTGGTTCGCTCGTCCCCATTGTAGATGTAGATGGTGTTGTGTCTATATGGAACAATACCGAGTCTCCCTCCGTCGATTGCGTCAGGGGTGTCGAGGAGAAGAATGCATACTCTTCGCCTCGAATTTCATGAGTGCTGTTATTGGGATAGTCGCTCCAGTTCCGGCGTTTTCGAACTGGACCACAGGCCAGACCAGGATGATGTTTGCGATAATGCTTGAGGCGGGCGTCTTGACGCCGGAAAACTCTTGAGCAACCAGAAACTTTACACACATACTGGTCCATATGGCTAGTATTAGTATGCTTGAGCCGACGATGCCGCCCGAGATTGCCTTTCCTATATTCTCCGTTAAATGCCGCAGGACATTCTGGGCATATCAGAGTTTCAGGCTCTGTGCTGCAAGCGCGCGTGGCTCTAGTTATGCCGGGCCCATCAGAAGCCGTAGATGACGGATTGATGACTGATGACACGTCTCTAGCAACAAGTTTCTTACTATTATGCACCTCCAGGTCCGCGTTGTTGCTAGGCTGCTGGAGAGCATTAGGTGCCACCAAGACTCTGGACATATCCATTCGCCCCGAGTATGATTGGCCGAACTGCATCCCAGTGTATGATAAGTCGTCTTCCGAATAGGGTGGGTACGTTTGACTCGGAGTCTGAGCATGTTGATCCGAACCCGCCCAGTGTATGAGCTGATGTGTATCGGGGAATGATGGCAAATATCGTCCCGCAAGGTTATTCAAACCGCGAGCCCCAGGCATATAATCCTCTGATGGTCTCGACTGTAATATGTTGTCCGCCCAGCCTTCGACAGCTTGATAGTTTGGGTAGTAAGGACCAGTCTGAACGGTCGATTCAACTTCACTCGTGCGTTGATGAGTGCAATGAGAAGTTTCTCCATTGATCACACTTATTAGGTGATTGATATCACGATGTGTACGAGTCTCATCACCAGTGTCCGAAGCATAGGTAGATACGGTATTCACCGTGGACCAAGGTGCATGTGAGGACCATGGGTCTGTTTCGTCATCGTCAATGCCTCCGGACTGCATCTGCACTGTAGGGCCTTCGTCTTCGCGTGTAGGACATATTTGGTAGCTCGTATCGTCTGCTGGATGGAAATTTTTGAAGGTAGCAGGATCGAGGCGTTGGTCGTGGCTCATCGCAGGTGTTCGTGTCGCACTTTCAGTTTGTCAGCGAGGCGCACTTGGTATCGCGGCGTGTAGAATACCCATAGACACGTAGCAGAATATATCGTGTCGCGCTTACACATGCGCTACATCGCCATATGGCTATGATAGGGGTGGCAGTGGAGTCACATCCCCGATAGAGTCGATATGGCGTCGGAGCGAAGGTGCTGTTACGGCAGGATAAGTGGCGGCTTGGCACTGATCGCAAGTCAGGGTGGCTCGTATGTCAGGCGCTGCAGCGGACAAACGTATGCCCTCGCGAACAAAGTACAAGTGTTTCAACAGCTTTCGAACATTTCATTTCGTGGGGAATGAGTAGCTTAGTTTCGTATTCACCTGCGTAATAACTATCTAAGTATCTTTCCAGGCACGCCTGTCGAGGGAAAGACTGGACAGGTCCCGGAGATAAGGGATCTTCTACAACGCTGCGATCTACTACTACAAAAGTAGAAAACCCGAGAAAATTATAGAATATACAAGACACTCTAAGGAATAATCTCCACGCATTTTATAGTAGAATTCCACCCGTTGTTGTGATGTCAAAGGAGGGCAAAAGACGAACTCGCATCGGCGTTGGTTTCTTCCCTTGTACGGCGTGCAGGCATGTTGGAACACGTGCGATTTGACCGATCTCTACGGACTCCAGACTGGGCTTGTATGCAGCGACAAAGTGACGAAAAGAGATCATCATCTTCAAGGACTAATATGCATCTACATGAGAGTGCGTACAACTGCATTCGAATCAACAAAGCTATTCAGTGCTCAGCAGCAGGAAATCGCAACCTCCTGCACATAGACTGTTGAAGCCCTACTGTAGATACGGGGATGACGGCTTCTGCGGTGCGTTCAATCCACTTTCGGAGGGGCTTCTGGACTTTTACTTGGCTTGGTAAGGGTTTGCAGCTCGCAACTTGGGTATGTTGGGGTATGGGCAGAATTACGCAGTGAACCCTTCATTGCGCCCACGTTCGTCCCATTTTTCGCAATACCATACAGGCATGTGTGTCGGCTTGGTTTCTGCCAGGAAAGATTACACCGTGCGGGTTTGTTTTTACTTGCGCGTTTTGTTGTCGACGTATGTTGGTGTGGTGAGGGGCTCCGACGAATTAACGCATCCCGCCGCCCAAGGGGAGGGCTAAGCGTTCACCGCCGTCGTCCTGGGTAGCCAACTCTCTCCTCTCCAGTGTTGCTATCGAACCCATAGAGCTCCAGCTGTATTATTAATCATCACATAATTGACCTCATCTAAAGCCAACAATAACCTCGCAGTGACGTCGGAACTCGTTCGAGTCAAGGTGCGTGAGGGGCTTGTCTCGTCGAGGCCCAACGATGACGACAACCGCTAAAACATGCGCAGACACCAACATGCCCGTTGTCTCTCAACTCTTTACGGCCTTGAACGGTAAGCGCATTGAAGCAGACTCTGTCAAGTCGAGCAAACGCGCCTCAGGCATAGCATATGAGCCCTGACGCACAGCTGACAACCACTGCTAGGCACCTACCGCTTCGACGGCAACGGCAACGGCACCGTCACATCTCCAGGCTCCTACGAACAGCCGATCGAAGGCAGGGTTCTTTGGTGGAAGGAGGCAACATACCTAATCCTGGGGGTTATAACCTGCGCCACCGGCGTGTACTTGTGTGTGGTGAAATGCAAGGATCGTAGAGTTAAGAAGATTTGTAGGTAGCTGGCGATTTGTTTCTTGCCGTCATGTTGCACGTTGTATCCCGTACGATCGCTAGAGCTGACTTCGTGCTAGCCCGCACTGCGCCCGGTACAGCCCTTCTGTCCGATGCTCCAGGTGCCTTGGGGGATGTCCACGAGATGGATGCATTCAACGACCCGCCACCTCGCTATGAAGTGGCAGCGTCCGACCCGCCGCCCCACTATGAAGCGCCAGACGCTGCCATCGAACCACAGCAGGAGCGTTACGAACCGAACGAGTCTGACCTCTAGACTGCAGGCAGGCTCGATCCTCACATCAGTGGACAACGCGATGCTGCTGCAAATGCTCCAGTCCGGCCAGGTGTGACGGTTGCCGACGGACATGCTTGACTAGGCCATCTGTTCCCTCGGTTCTGCACGAAGGTGTCGCGTCTTAGTGCGAATGGTTTTGCCGAGCATGCGAGTTGGGAGGTTGGCGTTTTGGCGAGCGACGGTATCGTGGCGTTCGAGGGAGAGTTGGATAACATGGGACAATGTCAGTACATTGCGGAGCGCGACTGCGAATATAATCTGTTCGACTTTGTGCTGCAAAATCAGTTCCAAACTTGTACAACCAATCAACGTTTCGCATCGTAGTAGCAAAGCGCTATACCAGATCTGGTCGGCTCCGTATTCATCGCTGCATGACTTTGCTCAACGAGCTGCTCGTGAAGTCGACAATGTCCGTGAAGAAAGGGATGGTTGTGAGGTGATGGTCTACGACCTGAAGCTGTGTTTGGGGTGTTCTGACGATGTCGGTGAGCGTGGCCTTCGTGCAGCAGTCGCTAACAGTGGAGGAATCGCCCTCCCCTCGGTGGAGGAATCGCCCTTCCCTCGCTGCGGCGACCCAATCACAGTTGTTCGACTACAAATGCTATCCAGGAACGTCGAATCTTCTCATCTTAGTGCTCTGGTTGTCAACTTCGTAACAGTTGCGAGTACCCTACTTGGGTATTGTCCGGCGACACCTTGATGGCAAACAGGCCGTGGTGAAGCATCTCGATCTCCAGTACATACACCACTTGACCATCATTGACACCCAACCGACTTGCACATGCACCAAGACTACATCGCTACGCCAGTACTGTTTCATAACTCTTTAGTCTTGTTGCCGTCGTTGTATCAAAACGTGTCTAGGTTGCTGTACCATCATACGCTGCAAGAGATCTGAGTTTGGGTCGGTCGCCCAGTGGTTGTGATGGGTTCACATCGTATCATTCAAAGGACAAACGTAAAGCTGTTCCCAGCAGTCTGCGACAAGCATTCCAGCGGCGGGGTCAATCCCACGTCTCCCCTAGATGCGGTAAATGAGCCCACATTCCCTCAAAGCTCTCCTTGTCCCCATCAATCTGTTGGTATCTTCAATGAGTCTATCGCAACTTTCTGAATGGTTGCAGTCGCTCAAGACTCTTACTCTAGGCACTTTCAGGCTAAGCGATAGTAGATCCGAATTCGTAGGCTGTATTCAAGTGAGTGGCGATTGTGAACATGTACTTCTTACACGCTCGGGTTTCATGGTAACTCTCCAGGCGGCAGCACAGGCAACCACACAATATGCGGACTAATTGGAACTTCCAAGGCTGCTTCTCCAAGAGGCTCGATGGTCGTTGCACCATGCTCTATCACTCATTTAACCAGACTTGTAGACGATTATGCGCTCTCTTCTTCAAGTTGTTTATTCAATGTTATTCTTGCCATTGCGCAAGAAAAAGTGCGAGGAAGCTACCGTCACCAAAGAGCAACGCCATTCAAAAACAAAGCCCAACCAGAGTGCCAGCGACAACCAACTACTAAGACTAGAACACGAGGATATGGAGCAGAGTGCGACGCTATAAAACCCATCAAGATTGAGCACGAAGAGCAGAAGAAGAGGATAGATCACACTGTTTTGCTAAGACCCCGCTTGTCCAGTGAGGCTGGAGTCCCGGCTGTTCCGTACTTCGTATGGCAACAACGGGGACCGTGAGGCTGACGTCGGCCCGACCTCATCCGATTTTTGCTAACCAACCTCCGCTGCGCTCAACAGGTCCAAGAGTGTCGCCATATCTTTTTCCTCAGCTCCAACAATACACTCATCAGCAGCCTTTTATCAACAGCATGAACCTTCTGAAAATGACCAGCTACACTGTTGTTCTATTCGAGTCGCGAATGCTCGAGAATGACGTACCTAGGTACAAATGCAAGGGGCTAGAAGCGCTACTCATGCACTGGAAACTTCTCTACCAGATCTCCTTTATATTCCCAATTGAGATTTATAAATCGAGCCTGACTAAGTCGACTTTTGCATCTCCATGATGACGTTTGACCGCATTATTCTAGCTCTCGCTGCCACAGCTGAAACATCTAGGCAAGCTTCGAGGCCTAAGTACATGCAGATAGCTCAGGTACCATAGGTCATAGTACCGTATTTGCGGCCTAGGGCTTACTAAATCGCCTCAAGTGGATAAGTTGACGAACTGTTCCCAGACTTTGTCCCACCAGGCTTATGCGTTAGCCCAGTCTAGCCGGCGATCTTGCGTTGGCTCCCGGGCGATCTGGCGAATTCTCCCGTATTTCTGGTCGAGTTTTTCTTCGTAGCTTGACGAAAAGGTCGGGCCCTGCACTTTTAATCCTTCGATACGTTCCTCTTCGAACTGTACCTTTTTCCAAAGAAGGCATCAAGTATGCGTTCATTGATTCTTCTGCCACTATTTGCTATACTGCAAATATGTCAGGCCTTCGTCTCGCCTGATATATACTCCCTTACGCAGCCCGCAGGTGCGAGTGCGGATCTAGGGGAGAGCAGTCGGTCGGCCACTGTACCGTCCAAATCGAGGTAAGAAGAGCAAATCTCTATCGTGATGGTCCGATACTGATGGCTTTACCACAGACATGCAGCTGGACCGAATTCCGGATTGAACGTTTTCTTACCGAACTATCAAGCAGACCCCAATTGGTAAGTTATCTCCCAGAAATTATAAATCAATGTAACCACTAACATCATCCTAGGCTTCCTCTTACGCTATCTCTCAAGACAGTCGGTTTGCAAGTGAAGGTTATCCAATCACTTAACCTTTCTTCCCAATGCCGAAATCTACTTGTCTACACGTCGCCGAGCGTGAGCTACAGCCCAAGCGCCGCTGATGTTCAAACCTTGACCTCTTTTGTGGCCAAGGGTGGTAACTTGATCTTCATGAACAGGGTTCCTACTTCTCTTCAAAATCTTGCAGGAGTGTCTGCGTCTACCGTCGATTCGAGCGGTTCGAGATCCGTCATACAGTTGACGAACACCGAAAAACCCGTCCAGGCTCTCCAAGGATTCGACTTCACCGAATACTACGACGTGAACATGCCGTTTTATGAGAACTACACTGAGAGTGGTCTTGTCAACGTTGGCTACAAGCCTACCACGGGTTCACAAACACTCGGAAAATATCTAGTTCGAAACGACGGAGTGGACAGCGCAGATACATCGGCTACTAGTGCAGCGATTGTCAAGAACCAGCCTTTGGGTGCTAGCGGACATGTGTACAGTTTCGGAATGGATCTTGGATATCTCTATATCCAGGCTCAGAATGAGGCCGGCGGGTACTCGCCATGGTACGACGGGCATTATTACCCCGGATACGATATCGGAACACGCATCATCAAGAACATCGTCACTAGCAGTGCCCATTTTGTAAGTCTATGGTCGGTTCCATACAACAAAGGACTTGCCTTCACCACTACATGGGACATCGACACCTACGTTTCGTATCCGCACGGCCAGGGTATAGCAGCCGCTGCGCAGGATAGAGGCGCCGCGGGAAACTTGAACCTTCATACCAAGTACATCACTGATGCTTATGAGACTGCATACTTCCAGTATGGCGTTCCATACATTTACCAGATCACCGGGTTCCGTACGGCTCCTGACGGCTACCCATACATCGACTTTGGCAGTCATACTGTCAGTCACTCGCCAAACGCAGCAGGCTTTGACTATGGCACTCTTCAGGAACGATTCACCCAGGGGACCGAGGCGGGGTACTATCCGGTGATTCATCAGTGCGGACCCAACGCTGATGGTACACCTGCCAATGGACAGGTATGCACAAAGGGAGGTACCAGCGGGCTCTCATTCTACACATCAGGTGCTTCAGCATCAGGAGAGGTCCGCGTTAGTGCCTATTTGATTCGGCATATACTCCATGACGAGTTCAAGACCAACTACAACATGACTACCTATCGTCCGGGCAACCTTGCGTGGAGCAAGTACCAAGCCTCGCATTGCGTGGCGAACGGAATCATTGGTGGCTCTTCGTGCGCAGGCAATTCCCACCTCACCCATCTTCCTTTCCAGGTCACGCACAACCGCGAGTCGTTTCAGGAGCTCCCGTACTACGAGTTCCCGCTCCAATGGTCAGATGGTGACGGCAACATGAGCAGTGCCGACTTTCCGGGTTCGGACTTCTCGAACCAGATCAAATACATAAAGAAAATGGCACGATATGGCGGTCACTACAACATCTTGATCCATCCGTCGGACGCGTTGTTTGATAAGATCCAGATTCAACGCGCGCTCCACGATACTGTGCGTCCTTTTGCAGTCTTCTTCAACCAAACTGGAATGGCCAACTGGTGGACTAATCGAGACCGCGCTATTGTTGATATCACAGCAGCGGACAAGTCATCTGCGGTGATGACGGTTCGTTTGGACGGCCGAACGGAAGGACTCACTCTGCAAGTGCCTCGGAATTATGCTATAAAGTCTGCAACGGGCTCTCTCTCAGTCTGTCAGCAACCTTCGTACGACGGGACGACGAACGCAGTGGTACTACGAAACACGGCAAAGGGGCTCTACACGCTTTCTTTCGTCGTCGGTACGAGCAATGTAGCCACGTCTACGTGCCCGGACTTCACACCAAAACCGATCGGCGATACTGAGTGTATAGCATGGGATGTTATGATCGACGACTTCTTGGAACTCTACTTTGGCAGCAACAACGTCAATCTGCTCTTGTTGCAAACAACCGCAACAGGACTCTCGTCGAATAACGTAGAAGGCACTTTACAGCTGACTGCAACTACCAACAGCGGCGTCAACTCGTACTACACGGAGATCTCACGCTTCTGCTTCGATGCTTCTATCTACACACATCTGTACTTTGACATGGTTGCTCCTACAGGAAGCACCTTCTACGTGCAGCTTGTCTCGTACGATACCGGGTGCAACTTTGAACAGCCAAGTCCCACCTACTTGGACGTAACTAGATACGCCCCTGCCGATGGCTCAAATCACACTGTCACCATACCCTTGTCAGACTTCCAGGGACAGGACATGAAGCATGTACGCGGAATACGTATCGGCAACATCTCGCCAGCCCAGACACCTATCTACATCGATAACATCAAGATTCAGAAGCGGTGTGTGACAGCACCAGGAGAAGACCGTACCCCGGGCCTGACGATTGAGTCATTCCAGAACGTTGACCGATGGATCACTGGTATCAACAACATATTTGGCCAGACCGACTACAACAACTCGATGACGTTTGCGAAACTCTCGGAGCTGGGCAGAATGCAGTTGTTACCGTCGAGCGCAAGTTCGTACTTCTATACCGATACTAATGTTGACGGTGTCAACTTGAACGCTACTGCTTACACCGGAATCTCTCTCAACGCGCGTGGCCCGGCAGGTGGTTCTTTCGACGTGGTTTTCACCTCAGGTGCTGGAGCTACTTCCACAGTCAGCACCAAGTCTTATGCAACCTTAAGCCAGGGCAACTTCGCCAACATCACAATTCCGATTTCGGCATTCTCAGGGTTCGACACCAACTCCCTCAGCCGCATCACACTACGTAACTTCACACCGAATGGTGGTTCTTCTGCCAATAACTTCACGATGCGATGGATCTCTCTCTTGGGCGGGCCTTCCACAATTGGCGCCGGCCCTCGTTGCCCTACTCCATCTGGCTTTGTTGTGCTGAACTTCTGCGATCCAAACGAGTTCAAAACGCAGACCAATGCCCTAGGTGCTCCCATCTCAGACGACAAGACGATGCAATCCTACAAGCAGCCTTCCCGTGGGTCCGTCGAACTCGTACCTCGTGATGCAACATCCCACTTCTACTCGCAGCTGGCACAGCCATCCAACTGCAGAGCGGTGAACAGTTCTTACGACTCGATCATACTCACTGTGTCAGGTCCACAAGACGCAACCGCGAATATTGGGTTCAAGTACGGCACTGGCAGCTGCAACACCAACGTGGTCACGTCTTACATCCCAATCACCTTCAATGCCGCGCCAACACAACTAACCATACCGTTCTCTCGTTTCCCAGCTACTTTCAACCAGCAATACCTCCAGTCGTTTGTCATGACCAACTTCAATTCCCCCGGATCGATCTACCGTATCCACTCTTTAGTCTTCACAGGACCGGCTAACAGCCCTGGTTGCGCGCTCTGCTCAGGCACCATCCTTAACACTTGCACATTCGTGTCCGAAGTGCCTCGGCAAAACCGACTCCTGGGTGCGATGACTGACGAGGGATCTCTTGCTTCTTATTCCGTCGATAATGACGGTTCGCTGAGCATGGGTACACAAAGCGGTGCGTACTGGTACTCTCAATTCGACAACGCCGGATGCTACAATGCAAAGACGGTGAATGCGACGGGCATTCAGCTGTCCGTCGCGGCTCCCGCGGGTACCAAATTCCAGGTCACCACGCGCTGGAAGACTGACGATGAATGTACGAAGACGTCGCCTCCGTCCATCGTTCCCATCACTTCATACTTAACGTTCACCGACGCCGATTCGTATCAAGTCGCACAGATCCCCTTCTCCGACTTCGGTGGAATCAACTCAAGCAGGCTCGACAGCGTCGCTATCTCGTCTTTCAATCCCTCTAATGTGAAGATTAAGGTTGGCTGCATCAGTTTAACATCGGTCCCGGAAGCCGTCCCAGGACAGACAGGGTTTAAGACATGCAACTGCCCTGATTCTGCGTGGTTAAACTACTGCACTCCAGGAGTCGCAGGCCGCAATACGAACGGCTTTGTACAAAGCGACGACGGAACCATGGATGTCGCGCCAACCGTCACGGACGGTGCTTTGGTTCTGCAACCCAGTGTATCTGGATCTTACTGGTACTCGCTCCAGAACTGCGCAGACATCTCCGCGTCAGAGTTCCTCGTTCTTAACGTCACGGCGAGCGCGGGTGCAGGCTTCAACGTGCAGTTGCAGAGCGGTGGATTCGGCTGTGACGGTCAGACACCGATCCAGCGACTCAGTGTTGCGAGCAGTGCTTACGGCAGTATGAACGGCAGTCCTGTTGTTCTGAGGATTCCACTTTCAGCTTATACGTCAATGGGCAATAGTCAGTTCTCTTTGGCGAAGATTGATGCGGTTGCTTTGGAAGGGTTCAGCGCCGAGACTTCAACGTATCACATTCATTGTGCGTACTTTAGCAGTGGTATAATGAACGGATCCACGAACGGTACTGCAGCGACGAACGGTAAAGCGACGTAGATTCAGTTTTAGCGAGATAAATTTTGATGACCTTTTAGTTTCACCGTTGTTATATCGTTGATTAACGAAGATGCTCGCCTATGCAGCGTGAGAACAGCGATCCACGCGGTTTCACTGTTCCACGAAACAGTTCGTGCGAAAGACACGAGCCATCGTCGCACCTTGCTCCCGAGGCCGTGTAACCTCCCAAAGGAGCCTTCACCCACTACTTGAAACTCTTTATTCGAAGCTATCAGGAGTTCAACGCCGCTCTAGTCGTGCCGTGTAGTCAACGTTCACGATATTACCCCATGTGTATTTCATCTCCTGCTCTGGTGTCTCGAGATGTACCTATTCCGCGTGTTAGCCTGAATCGAATCTCCACGCAATTGACATCAGTACTCACTCTATATCTGTTCAAAACAGTTGCAGCGATCTTGTAGACCTCGAACAAGCCAATATCGCGGCCAAGACATAGTCGTGAACCATAGCCGAAAGGAACGAGAAACTTCTCCATATTGGCCCTTTGCTCGGGTGCAGCGTCGAGCCATCTTTCCGGTCGGAAAGTTTCGACGTCGTCACCAAAAGTCGGCTTATGGCGATGTATGATCCACTGGAGACAGGAAACAGCAGTACCAGCCGGCACGTACTCGCCACAAATGACGGCGCCACCTGCTGGGACGATCCTTTCAAGTAGGAAGCCAGTCGACGGGTGGATTCGGAACGTTTCTTTGATGCAAGCATCGAGAATTGGAAGCTTGGAAGCTATGTTCCACGCTGGGATGGCGTTCTTGTCCGGGAAGGCATCGTCCAGTTCCGCCTCCACCTTTGTCAGCATGTCGCGGCGCCGCGCCAAATTGAAGAAGAGCACGCATATGGCGGTTCGACTGGATCCAGTCAGTCAAGAAGAGCAAGTGACATGAACCTCAACCTTACATAGCTTCAGAATTCGGTACCACAGTCATGAGCGCCAGATCTACGACTTCCTCGCGTCCCACAACACCTGGATCCGTCTTGTATGCTTTGACGTATCCATCGAGGATATCGTGACGTTCAGGCTTCCTTAAAGGTGCATCCAGCTCTCGCTCTACCAATTTCCAGGGCATGTGCTTCTTCGAAAAAGCCATTGGAGGTGTGATGAAGCCAAAGTACTTCGCCATCGGATTCTGATCAACAAGCCACTGGAAGAAGGGTACTTGTGACAGCTAGATCGTGTTAGTAGGACGCGTGAAACAATGCGTCTGGAGGACTCACTCTACTCAAATGCGTCGTTCCAGAACGAGTCGAAGCGATCTGGCCATCGATATCACCCCACTTCTGTAGGAAACCAAAAGAGTGACTAAACGAGAATACACCGCCTGCGTCGAAAGTAAAGTACTGGATGGCCATAGGAAGGTCAATGGCGTCGCCAAGCTGGTCATCAAGCTTTCTCAGCATGATATAGATTAGATTATCGATCTCCCCCTCTTTATGTCCGATATGATCGATGCTAAAGCTATGCTTAACAAGGTCTCGATAGCGCGCATGCCAATGAATATCTCGAGTCGAGAAGATGTTCGCTTTCCTTTCGCCTTTACCGTGGGCTTCGAACGACGTGTAAAACCCAGTCTAAGATACAATCAGTCCTGATCTGCATCGACAATGCAATAAAACTCCTACCTTTGCCATGTTAGCTTTCGGGCCATAGATGGCATCAATCGCATACGGCGACGCAAACGAGAGCGAGCTTGGCCCCAGACGCACGATACTCCCATACTTAGCGTGGAGCTGAAGCATGGATGGCCGTTTGTTGCCGTTTGCGTACCACTCCCTCAGACGCCACCAGTGTGTAGTGGTCGCCCAGAATGGACCGGGAAAGCGAATCAAGCCATAACCATAACGATTGTTGAGGATAGCTAGTATGATGAATACCAACGGAAGCCATCGCAGCTGCGGAAGAGAAGAGTAAGCGTTAAGCCCAGCGCTAATAAAGATACCTGCAGTGAGAAGGGATGCTCGAAACTCGCCCATAGTGTAAGAAATCTGGATGATGGCGGCGAGACTTCGAAAAGCCGCTTGACTTTAGCTTTAACTCCAACTATCTGCTTATGTTTCTCATTATTGTGATACACTGTAGGCTGGTCGCACAGTGCAGCCTCGTGCATACACAACACCCACAGTCGGCGTTGGCGGTGCCTCGGAATTACGGGCTGCGGTAGGTAACCGTCAGGATCCCGAGTGCTCGGCCAATCAATACCGGGTCGCACTCCGAACGTTTCAAACTCCACTGCGTCCGATTCCATCATATGGTAGTCGTAGAATACTTTTCTGCTGATGTGCACTTTTCCGAAGTCATTGCTACTGTATCTTGCTTCTCCACAATCATTGCTATACCATGATGGCACTAACGAACGACTCTGGCACTATCGCGACCAGCATGGAGTCTCTTTCTGAGAGAATTCAGCTCAACTCCAACAAATTAAGTTTCTTGGATCATTCTCGGCCCTCTGCGGGTAATCAAATTCGCACGTGCAAAGAGCAGCTGAAGCAGGATGCTCTTGAGCTCTTTCGACTTGCCAGTGAACCTGAGGAATACATTGCGCACTTGTCGATGAATGTGAGTGAGCCCAAACCTATTACATTCGTGCCGAATTGACGCCTTACCAAAGCATCAATACACGATCTGCCTGCGCTGGCTCTTCAGTTTCAATATACTGGGACTTGTACCCTCAGACGGTTCGATCAGTTACAGCAATGTCTCAATCGTGGCCAACGTGGCGGAGTCACACCTGAGATCTGTTTGCCGTATGGCCATGACTTCCGGTCTTCTATGTGAGCCAGAGAGTAACCGTATTGCGCATACACCGACGTCACGCCTGCTTGCAAAGAACGCCGATTTTGCCGCGTGGGCCAGATGCGTGACACAGTACATGTACGAGGCGAGTTCGCATCTGCCTGTAGCCAGTGGAAAAACCTTTGGTACTGGAAAGCCGGTGATTAGCGCATTCGAGGCAGCGTACGAAGTGGAAGGAGGGTTTCCAAATCAGCTCCGCCAGAACCCATCGCTTGCCAAAGATTTCGGGGGCTTTTTGCGTGCGACTCAGCAGATCTACGCTAACGACGTGCGCCACTTGGCCGATGGTTTTGACTGGAAAAGCCTAGGTCGAGCGACCGTAGTTGACGTGAGTGCGTTCTTGCAAATTTAGACCGGGGCTGATCAAATGCAGGTTGGCGCCAGCAGTATCGAGCTATGCGAACACCTGGCCAAAAGACACGAAGATCTCAGCCTTCAACTGCATGTTCCATTGCGCATCAGTGCTCAGATCAACTCCCAGTACACCAATATACGTTCAGATAATCAGGCTAGGATCGCCGTACAAACGTATGAGGGTCAGGTACCGAGGATTGACGAGGATGCCAATGTCTTCATTCTCCGACACATGCTGCACCACTTCCCAGAAGCAGCTGCAGTAGGATTGCTTTCAGCAATAGCATCCCGCTTACTACCAGGAGGTACGATCATAATTGCGGATCTGGTGCTACCCGCAGCGCGTACGTCTTCGATGTATAGCGAAGGCATGTTGAGGACGAGGGAATTGATTCACAAGGAACTTTCCAATGGAGAGACGCGGTACGTTGAAGACTGGGAGAATTTGGTTGCGAAGGCTGGACATGGACTACATATCACCAAGGTGACCAAGCCATTTGGGAGTGATTTGTCGATTATAGAACTCCAGGTCGCCCGGCAAAACGGACACTGAAGATTGCAATTTGTCTAGTACCCAGCTAGAACATATCTTCCATATTTCCATTACGTAGAATCAAACTGAGTCCCATTAATCTGTGTCACTATCCTTTGCGGATTTGCTGTTGCTCGCAACTCGTTCGTTTAGTTCTCCCGCCACAGTTCTATGTTTACCAACAATTGAACTTGCACCCTTCAATTAGGCCAGCCTTATGGAGGAATGCGGAATACGATGAAGCACGGCTCGGTGTGCAAAACCTCCAGAACCGAAGGCCTATGCTAGTCTTTCTAACGAGTGGTGCTGAGTTGTCTGACTTGAGTATCTCGGACTCCGAGTAGGCGCATGGCTGCTGAGACCTGGCGGTGCATGCTCCGATCGCATTCCGCCTTCAATGGCGCACTACACAGTCTCGTATCCGGTGTCGAGGAAGCGCGAAGCACACCCGTAAACGTACCGTGATGCCGGTTTCCACGAGCTTACTGGCTTTCTCCGCAAATATTCAACACTATTGCACAGCGCCTGAATAAGCACCGCAAGCCGGGTAGGAGGGAGCAAATGGCTTAAATGCATCAAGTTGCAACCTAAGAAACAAAAAAAACAACCTTCTCGGTGTCCTGCGTTATCTTCCACCATTCACATCACAACAATATATTTGCAATGGCGGTTCCACAAGAACGTCAGCTTCTATGCTTGACTATGCTTGGTTACATGAAAGAAGGGCTGACGGAAGAGGAGCTATGTGACTTGCAGGTCAATCAACACTCTCGACTCGTAAGCGGTTTGATGGAGAAATACGGGATAGTCCGCTACACTATCGTAAGCAAAGTTCTGCCTTGAGCTGCGGGGGAACAAACTGGGGAACAATCCCGGACGCCTGATCTGACATACCCCACGCTAGACCCACAACGCCAAAAAGCCGCGTAGTTTGCTACCAAAGCTTTTCGACCCACGTTATGTGGAGTTCTCTGACCACGACTTCGTCGTGAGGATCATATTCCCGAGTCTGTCTGCATTCGAGAAGCTGAAAGAAGATCCATTCTACGTTGAGCGCGTGGCTAAGGACCATTTGAACTTTGCTGACCGCACGAGGCGCACTCGGTAAGCACCGAACCCTGCATAATATATACGAGAAAGATGAGGCTGAAAATAGTCCCGCTAGAATGACGTTGGGCTACGTGCATGAGATTATCCATGAGGGCAAGGTTGTTGAGGTAGAGGATCCGGGGTCGGTCGCTTGCGTCGTCAACAACACCAGTTTGGACGTTGAAGACGGAAGCTTCAAACCTGGCAGCACCTCAGGACCGGCGTAATCTGATAATAGTTACGATGGCAATAGATACTGTGGCCTAGATAAAAAAGAAGCTGGGCAATCATTATCCTTGAACCTATCTGTTGCAGTACCCGATGCTTACAGTTTAATATCAACGGGCGTTGGTACCTTCTCGGTCAACACCCGATAGGTCTTTAGCCGCAGGCATGGCACGGTCTACACGCGAAACTAATCCTTTGCCAAGTTGACGCAATTCTCCGAGGTAATGGCAGACTAGGTGCGGAAGGTGCTTACGTTTTGGCTGTCTTTCCTTGCTTTTGACAACGAGAGAAAGCAGGGAGCCCAAGTGAAATCTCTCTAGTTTGGAAACAGAGTAATATTACCTCAAAATAGGTATAGTGCACGGGTCTAAGCTTCCGTATTGTGAAATGCGCCGTGGCGTAGTAAGACCGCTAAGTATGGTGGACGTGGCTCGCCTAAGCTTTTGGATCGACGAACGTATTTCGTCCCGTCTTTTGATCCTTGGCTTACTTACTGTAGCTACATATACAACGGGAATGGTTGAACTACAAGCGATATTGATCCGCCCCGCTTTACGGCTTTTATAGGCTTCCTGGTTCAACATCAAGACCCGATGGTCGGGTATCTCTGTCCTTCGTTACATCATGACCACAACGTCGGAGAAGTTGCGTTCAACTTGCAATAATTGCGCGCTATCCAAGGTACGCTGCAACAAGAAGAAACCCGTTTGCCAGCGATGCGAGACACACAAGCTGCCCTGCGTTTACGGACCATCCCAGCGGCGGGGTAAACCTCTTTCGACTGCACAGCATCAAAGTGTGCAATATCCATGGACGAACAACAGCGACCCTTTCGATATGTTGAACCCAATCTCTCTGTTCAGCAACCCTATGTCGAGTGCATCGTCGTTCACTCCGGACTTATGGCCTACCTACAGCACACCGTCACTTGAGACAAGCGGGAGCAGTGGCGAAGACGGCAGCGTACTCATTATGAACGACACCAACAAAAATACCAACACTACCAAAGCGACATCTGAGCTTAACTCTGACCCGTCTGTACGATTGACGTCCGCTCCATTGGATTCCCCCTGCATAGGAGAAACATGTGCGAGCATAGTGTTTTGCACATTAGGAACGCTATGCCAGATGGGAACTGTATGCAACAGCGACATGGGTGCTGAGCATATTTCTAGCGGAATCATTCTCAAAACCAACCGCTTGGCGATTCAACGACTTCAAGAACTTCTACGAAAAGGATGTGAACATTGCAGCCGGCAAACCAACCTTGCTTTCTTGCTATCGATAGCTCTCTCAAAGATCATCGCTTGGTATCGCGCTGTCTTCGACGGGATGGCTGACCCGTCCGCTGTCATGATACCCACGGGCCGCGAGCCGGTTTCAATGACGCCGATAACTGTAGGAGATTTCCAATTGGACCCCGGAGCGCAGACGCGGATGAAGGCACAGCTACTGTTGTGCGAGCTGCAAAATGTTGGGCCAATACTGAACTTGGTGGCACAGCGCAACGGTAAGATTGAGGAGGCAGTTGAAGTGCACGCTTCGATGGAAAACTATTTGCGGTCATCGCTGGATCAGCTTACCACAGAGGTCAACGGAATTGTCGTATTGTCTTAGCCATGTATAACGTTCATAGATTTGGGCCTAGCGTAGATTTTCTGCTCCTCTATCAACGATAGATGAATATTGTAAGACTTCATTGCGCTTTCCATAAACAGCTCAATGAGCGCTGTATGAGGTGACGGGTTAGAACCTCTGCTGCATGTCTAAGACGTTGCACTGGAATAGCATGTCGTCCATGCGGCCGGGTCGGTACGGACCGACTGATAGCGTTATCGTGCGTCGAACGGTGGAACTCTGTTGATATGCGATGTGTTTGCATGCATATCGGAACTCGGTGAAGGCGTTTGGCCTTATGACAGGGTTTCAGCTGACCATGCTTGACTTAACCCCACGGAAGGATATCGTAGGCTGACTCGCCCGATAACAAAGCTGACTCGCTGTCCGAATCGGTACCAAAGTCGTATCTCCTGGAAAACTTTGAGGCACCAAGTACGCCGAGTTGATTTGCGGCATGGCCCGTTTTGACCAGAGAAGCTCCAGCGTAGGTTTCCCCGAGCACGCAGAAAGATAAGATGGAACCACAAGAGGTAACTTACCAAAGACCTTGCATTGCTCACCCATCTCACTCAGATCTCATGAATCTTCCACGTATAGCTTGCTTCCACGGGGGCGGATCCAATAGTGCTGTCTTCGCTGAACAATGCAAACGCTTGCGACACCTCTTTGCTAATGAGTACGACTTTGTCTTCTTTGACGCCCCATACGAACGAGAAGCTGGACCGACAGTACTACCATATTTTGCTGATTATGCACCTTTCCGCACCTGGCTACAACCCGGTGGAGATATAGCGCAGGAAGAGGAAGGCCTCAGCCGTGTTCTGCAGCTTATGGATGCACACACGTTGAAGCGGGAACGGGAGCTACGGAAGCTGGGCCGAGACGACGCGCCAGGCATGTGGATAGGGGCGATGGGCTTTAGCCAGGGCACTCGTATGGTCAGCGGCTTGCTGCTGCGGCAGCAAAGGACTGGATACGTGGACGGAGGACAGCGCCGACAGCGGCTGATGAATGACACATCCAATGTCGATTTTCAATTTGGCGTGCTTTGCATGGGTAGCTCGAGTCCAATGGGAGCTGGTCCTGTCCCACTCAGTAAGCAACCATCATGATCCTACAATACGAACGAATGCCTGACAGGTCTTTATCAGGCTCGCAGATAAGGGAAGTCGAGTCCACTGGCGACTCCGGGTGGAAGATGCATGACATCGCGATCCAGATTCCCACCTTGCATCTCCATGGATTGAGGGATGACATCTTGCCAAAAAGTCAGCAACAGCTGAACTCATATTTCGATGGCAAGTCTGCTATTCGCATGGAGATCAACTATCACCATGCGATGCCGTGGTACACGGAGGATCTAGTTGAATTTGCCAATATGATTAGGCAAACGCATCAGCTAGCAACACGGAGGCTGGATGAGTCTTGAGCGCTTTAATGTACATCATGTAGTCGTCACAGTTTGCAAGTGGGCTGGGAAAAATGCACTTCCATTGTGTCAAGATGAAGGTAGATGCAGGCCTGGAGATGTGGATGTAAGTGTGGCGGTGATGAGCACCACCGATTTGTGGAGTTTTGACGTTCCCTCACGTGAGTTGACGCTAAGCCAAGATAGATGATGACTGTAATCTTGGCCCCAATACACGCCTCTTGTAAATTGCACTTGAAGCTGCAAACTCACTGCTACTCATTACTTCTCCCGAGACCTTATTTATCCTACTGACCAAATGTTGTGGTTCCAATTCTGACCCAGCAACTACTAACTATCCTCAATGGCCGCATCTGCATGCCTCTTTTGGCCAAGCATAAGACTGCCCAGGTGATACAGCAACCATACAGGCATCATTGGTCTAGGCCTTTGCCCGTGCCAAAACATTGGGAACAGCTATAATAGCGAAACAGAATTCGCGTATATGATCTTACTCAGAACTCTAGACTTTGGCCGCCAGCTTGAGGCCCGATATAGATACTCTAGCAGCCATGAGGGTGACGCTTCCAGCAACCATAAGCACGCCCGCGAAGATCTTGAGATTGCGGTAGTTGGTGTGATTATCAGTGACCAGAGCTCCACCGATAGGGTTACCAATAAGCACTGCGACGGCGACAAACATGTACATAGTACCTGTACGAACCCCAACCTGTCTCACATCGCTAATTTGTGCAGCAAGAGCAGGGCCCATACTAACTATTGTACCAGAAGATAGTCCAACGAAAGCAGCGTAGACCCAGCGGACCGCGTTACTGTTTGCAGGAATCCAGATAGCAAGAGTGAAGATAGCAGTCAGCCAGGACATGATGATGACCACGTTGAAGCGGCCATACTTATCGGCCAGCGGCGCAGGAAGGGTGCGCCCAAGTATACTGACAGCGTTCAGAACCGAGAGCAAGTAGACGCTGTTCATGGCTCCCATGCCGTTGGCGTAAGCTTCAATAGGAATGAAAATGAATGGAACAAATAGCCCAACAAAAGTAAAGAACATCGACTAAAGAACGTTAGCATGTGTCGGCAGCAGCAGTGTAAGGCACTTACCAAGGAAAGTAGAAGGAAAGGCATTTCAGCGAGAGGTTTGACAAAATCGGTGGCTTTCACTGGTGTCTTCTGAGGAGGTATGCGTGACTTGACGGTGAGGCAAGCAATGATCATCAGAAACAAGATGAGGAAAGCGCAAGTGCGCATAGTCCATGCGAAGCCAATATCCTCGATAAGGCGTACCACGATGATCGGGAAAAGAATGCCTCCCAGACCAGACCCGCAAGCGGCAAGGCCAAAGGCGGCTGCTCTCTTCTTCATGAACCAGGTAGCAAGGCAGGCAGCGGCGGGATAGAAGATCATTGACGTGCCGATACCGCTACAAATGGCTTGTGATAGGAGGAATTGATAGTACTTCTTCGAGATCGAGGCCATCATGAGACCGAAGACATGGAGGAAGGTGCCAATGGGGAGAAGCCAGCGTGGACCGTAGAGATCCTGCATCCGGCCAACCCACGAGCCCCCAATGAACATGAAGAAGGACTCGACAGCAGGGATCCAGGCAACCTCACTGGGACTGTAGCTTCGTAGTTGATTCAACTGGTAGTGCTCTTGGAACACACCAATGGCACCAATCCAACCGAAGGAGACGAACATGGCGCAGAAAGCACCCAGTACCACGAGCCATGCCTCGGTGCCACCATCAGGGAAAGCGCTTGGGTCCCAGGGATTGGTAGCTGTGCTTGGTTGCATCTTCTCTGTATCGCGCATGCCGCTGTCCTTCTGAGCTTCGTCGGACATAGCGGACGCAGAAGCTGACGAAGGAGTCATGTTGTCGAAAATGTGTAATATGTGTTGCCAAAAGACTGGAGATGTAGAATAAGGCGGATGGTAACATGATGAGAGTACGAGTGTGCCCACAATCGTGAGGTTATAGGGCGAATGAAATTGCGCATCGTAGAATTGCACATTGACAACGCTTACCAAGGTGCAAAGATGTCGGGACGCGACATCGTTTGTCAGTAATTGCACGTCTCAAGGGTCCTCCACGCGATTCGGAGTCCGAAGTGGATTGCGCGAGCTATTGCATGTGCATGCATGCCGTCACCGATGCTTGGGATATTATCTACCTCGTTGATGGTGATCGTGCATTTCCAGCGCAGCGAGTTGGGGGTTTCGGCTACGCTCGGCTTCACGTGACCCTCGGGCGTCCTCGCCGTCCCGGTCAGCCATCGCGTCGCGTCCCGCTGTTCGCATACTCCACGACCGCAATCCGACGTATCACCACCACGGTCGCCACCATGTCGTACTCAGCTTCATCACAAATTGTCGTGCTAAGCACAGCAATGCATCTATATATTAAAGATACACAGCAGGCTGCAAATGGCCGGATTGTCGAACCACAATGGCGGAAACTATGCAAGTCCTTGTGTTTGGCGACGTGACAGCCGATTACGATGCAGGGTTACGCATACTCGTCTCCAAAACCGACAATCCTCTACTTACCGCCTTTTTCGACCAAGTGGCCTTCTCTCTCCGCGCTGAGATAGGCCAGCTATCTCGTTCCCAACGTAACCTCCCTGGTCTAGTGCGCTTTACTACCATCATCGACCTATTAGCCCGTCTTCGCGCATCTGACATACGCCATCATGCGTTAGAGAAGGCTCTTACATGTGTACATCACTTTGCTAGCTTCATCAGGTATGCCATCGCCGAACTTTGAAACCATACTAGCAGCTAAAATTAGCAGTCACTATGGCCAGGCAGAGACGCCTTACCCAGATCCAGCAACAACTCGTCTCGTTGGTCTTTGTACAGGCAGCCTTACTGCAGCAGCCGTCAGCTGCACTCGGTCACTGAACGAGCTCATCCCTCTTGCTGTGCAAGTCGTCTTGGTGGCGCTTCGTGTCGGCTTTGCCGTTACTGATGTACGCGATCGAATCAGCCCGGCTCAATCAGACCAATCATGGTCTGTTATGATCCCTGGTCTTACTGGTAATGCTGCTGTACCGTACCTCGACAAGTTCATCGAAGAGACATGCCTTACCAACGTGTGGAAACCGTATGTCAGTGCATATGCTGGTACCGGTGTGACGATCAGTGGCCCTCCCAGCACTATTGATCGCCTGCTCCGCTCGAAGATCCTTCCAAAGCCAAGTGCGATCAAATTTCGCGTCCATGGGCCCTATCACGCCTCCCATCTCTTCTCAGCGAACCTCTTGGACGACATTATTGAAGCGTCGCACAAGAGCTCGCTTTTGGACCGCAATGCTTTCATTCCTGTCTGTTCTAGTACTGGCACCGGTATTTGCACTGGTACGAGCTTGGTGGATCTTCTAAGGAATGCCGTCTCCGAAATTCTAATCTCTCCTCTTCGACTTGACGACGTCTGCAAGAGTCTTTCCAATGATTTATCACAGTGTGGCCTCGATGACTGCGTCGTCTTGCCTGTCGCTACCTTGGCAGCGCAGGCAATTTCAAACCAGTTGAAGACCACTATTACGAACGTCAGCATCAACAAAGGCATGATGAGCAATGCAAGCACTCCCGGCGCCGCTAGCGGCAACTTGGCCCAAGATAAATTGGCCATCATTGGCTACTCTGGTCGATACCCAGGTGCGAAGGACAATGAAGCATTCTGGCAGCTGCTCCACGAGGGTCGAGATGTCGCGTCGAAAGCTCCGAAGACAAGATGGGATATAGCTACGCATGTCGACCCTACTGGAAAAAGGAAGAACACCAGTGCGACGCCTTTTGGATGTTGGCTTGAGGACCCGGGTCTCTTCGATGCTCGCTTCTTCAGTATGAGCCCGAGAGAAGCACCACAAGTTGATCCTGCCCAACGGCTTTCCCTTATGACTGCTTACGAGGCCATGGAGAGCGCCGGACTAGTTCCTGATGCCACGCCGTCAACCCAACGCGAGAGAGTCGGAGTATTCTACGGTACCACAAGCAACGACTGGGGTGAGACGAACAGTTCCCAAGACGTTGATACCTACTACATCCCTGGGTCTTGTCGTGCTTTCATTCCTGGCAGACAGAATTACTACTTCAAGTTCAGTGGGCCTAGTTATAGTGTGGATACAGCATGTTCGTCAAGCTTAGCTGCAATGCACGTCGCGTGTAATGCTTTGTGGCGTGGCGATATCGACACCGCCATTGTTGGAGGTACAAACGTCACCACCAATCCCGATATCACGGCAGGTCTTGATCGCGGCCATTTCCTTTCCAGAACAGGAAATTGCAAAACCTTCGATGATGACGCGGATGGGTACTGTCGTGGTGAAGGTGTCGTAAGTCTCGTTGTTAAACGTTACGAGGACGCGGTAGCCGATAACGACCCAATCCTCGCACTGATCCGTGGTGCATACACCAATCACTCGGCAGAGGCTGAGAGCATCACCCGACCGCACGTCGGCGCTCAGAAAGCAATTTTCGAGAAGGTGCTGACCTCCGCATGCGTCGAGCCTGACACCATTGGGTACGTAGAGATGCACGGTACCGGGACGCAAGCAGGCGATGCGCGCGAGATGGAGTCTGTCCTATCTACGTTCTCCCAGAAACCTCGAGTAGAACCACTGTACCTCGGATCTGCCAAAGCCAACGTTGGGCATGGAGAGTCAGTGTCCGGTGTTATAGCGTTGGCCAAAGTGCTCCTGATGCTGGAGAAGAGTCTCATCCCGCCTCACTGCGGAATTAAGAACAAGGTAATCTTCTTCACGCCCTTGAATATACGGACATTAACGATGACAGATCAACTCTAAGTTCCCGACAGACCTAAAGCAACGCAACGTGCATATAGCCATGACTTCGACCCCGTGGACTCGCCCAGCCAATCAGCCTCGCCGCGCCCTTATCAATAACTTCTCGGCGGCCGGAGGTAACAGCTCCATTCTGGTCGAAGATGCTCCCGTCAGAGTAAGGGCTAAGCTTTCGGATCCAAGAACATCGCACATGGTAGCTATTTCAGCGAAGTCAAGCACTGCGCTTGCTGCGAATGCAAAGTCTTTGCTTAGCTTTATCGAGAAGACTACACCAGAACTTGCAAGTATGTCCTACACCACGACGGCTCGCCGCACGCATCACAGTTTCCGCATCGTAGCAAACGGCTCAACCCTGGCAGACATTCAGTCTGATCTAGCACGAAAGATTGATGTCTTACATAAAGTCAAGACTGTAAAGAAAGTGCCATCGGTAGCGTTTGCCTTCACCGGACAGGGCAGCCAGTACTTCGGCATGGGGAGTGAGCTTCTTCGATTTCAAACTTTCAAGCAAAACATGGAGCGACTTAATGCACTATGCTTGACGATGGGATTCCCGGCTGTCCTACCGTTAATCTTGGGAGGAGTGGGAGATATGACATCCCTTCCTCCTACCACGGTACAGCTGGCTGCGTGTTGCATCCAGATGGCTATGGCCAAGCTTTGGCAGTCATGGGGTATCCAGCCTTCTGCGGTCGTTGGCCATAGTCTCGGCGAATATGCAGCTCTCAACGTCTCCGGGGTGCTTTCGGATGCTGACACTATCAAACTTGTTGGATACAGAGCCCAACTGCTGGTCGACAAGTGTACGCAGGATAGCCATGCCATGCTTGCAGTTGGTGCTTCGATCGAGGACATCCAAGCTCATGATCTCAGCTCTTGCCAATATGAGATCGCATGCTTGAATGGTCCGCGCGAAGTCGTACTGAGCGGGACGAATGAGAATATCGATGAGCTTCACCGAATCTTCTCCAAAACGAACTTCCGGCTGTCTAGGCTACGTGTACCATTCGCTTTCCATTCTTCGCAGGTCCAAACCATCCTGGAGGATTTCGAGCATGCCGCCAGCACTGTCGAGTTCCATGAGCCCCGCATCCCAGTGCTCAGTCCTTTGCTAGGCGAGGTTATCGCCGGAGGTGGCGTCTTTGGTTCCTCTTATCTGGCTCGTCATTGTCGCGAGAAGGTTGACTTTGCTCGAGCCATAGCGACAGCGAGGAACTCTATCATCACAGATCAAACTATCTGGGTTGAGGTCGGGCCCCATCCTGTCGTGTCAGGGCTTTTGCGCTCCAACATTGACTCAGTAGTGGCCGTACCTACCCTTCAGCGGAACAAGGATACCTGGAAAGTCCTTACGGGCTCCTTATCCACACTCTACGGTGCCGGAGCGGACATTTTCTGGGGTGAATACCATCGTGATTTCGTAGAATCGCTGTCTGTCATCCGCCTCCCGGCATACAACTGGGACCTGAAGAACTACTGGATGCAATACGTGAACGATTGGTCCTTGTACAAGGGCGACGCTGCTTTTCTAAACGGCATAGGTAAAGCGCCGCTCTCAACAACATCCGTACAGAAACTCATCGAGGAGACAACTGAAGGCACGAAGGTTACGGTCGTTGGCGAATCTGATCTTGCCCGTGCTGATCTTGACCCCATGATTCGTGGTCATCGGGTCAACGGCGTTGCTTTGTGCACCCCCAGCGTCTACGCCGATATGGCGCTCACAATCGGAGACTACGTGCGCAAGCAGAAGCCGGAGCATGTTGGCTCTCTTGTCGACGTTCAGCATATGGATGTGCAGCGACCTCTAGTTGCCAAAAGTCCGGGTACTGGCCCTCAAATGTTGCGCGCTATTGTGACCTTCGACTGGGCCACCGCCACCGGGTCATGCGAGTTCACGAGCGTTACGCCCGAAGGCAAGAAGCTTGTCAAGCATGCTGAATGCGGCCTCGCCCTTGTCAAACTTGACGAAGCATTGTCCGAACAACAGGCAAAGGCACCTAGTATTCTGGCACGTATCGAGCAACTCAAGCAGGGTATCGTATCCAACCCGCGCATACAGAAAATGACAGGAAATACTGGATACAAGTTAGTGTCCTCGTTAGCGTCCTACGACGAGGACTTTAAAGGCGTGTCCGAAGTGGTGCTCGATAGCGCCAACTTCGAAGCCACTGCGAAGGTGGAATTTGGTCACGCCGATCGGAAGGGCATATACCATGTCAACCCACACCTTATCGACAACTTCGGCCAGCCGGCGCTGTTTATCATGAACGCGAATGACACTTCTGATCTTGACAAAGAGGTCTTTGTCAACCATGGCTGGAAATCCCTACACTTCTACAAGGAGGTATCTATGGACAGGACATACACCTCATATGTCAAGATGAGCGGGCCGAAGGACGATGGCATGTACAGCGGTGATATGATTGTTTTCGAGGACTCCGAGGTTGTGGCGTCCTTCCTGGGTATCAAAGCTCAGGGCGTGCCTCGCAGGCTTATGAACTACATTGTTCATATGAGAGATGATACCAAAGCTGGACCTCCACGCGGCGGGACGCAAGGGCTGATGGATCAACACCATGTGGCTCCTAAGATACCTGTTCACGGTGAACCTGCAAATGCCGAGGTCGCGGTCGACGCATCTATTTCCCCTGAGTCCCCAACGAACACATCGTGGTCCGAGGCTCTAAGAATCATCGCGGAAGAAAGTGGCGTGCCGGTATCAGATCTCACTGATGAGACCTCCTTCGCTGATCTGGGCGTCGACTCCTTGTTGTCCCTCCTCTGTGCCAGTCGTTTCCGCGAAGAGCTTGGGCTAGCGCACGAATCTGAAGTATTCGCCGACCACCCCACTGTCAAGCAACTTCGGAACTTCTGGACCAGTGGAGATTCTGCACAGCCTGCGACTGGTGTGCCAGCTGGTCGCGATGCTATCCTCCATTCCATGTTCCACGACGATCCCGATACGTCCGCATCCTCCACCGACGGCGACTCCTCATCGTTCGAGCTTGTAAACACGGGAAAAACTACTCCCACGATACCCGCCGAGACAGCAACATCGCTCCTACTCCAAGGCAACCCTGCCGTGCCCGGTACCGTCAAGACTCTGTTCATGCTCCCCGACGGTTCAGGCTCATCCTCCTCCTACGCATCAATCCCGCGGATCCACCCGTCTATCGCCGTTGTAGGCCTCAACTGCCCATTTATGAAAACGCCCGATCGCTACACGTGCGGTATTGAACCCATCTCAGAGGCCTACGTACGCGAGATCCAGCGCCGGCAACCCAAAGGTCCTTACTCGCTCGGCGGCTGGTCCGTAGGTGGGATCTTCGCCTTTGATGTAGCGCAGCGTCTCGTCTCCGCCGGCGAAGTCGTAAACGACCTCGTTCTGATCGACTGTCCTGTACCGAAGGGGCTCGACCACCTACCAAGAAGGTACTATGAGTACTGTGATGCTGTGGGCCTATTGGGAGAAGTCAATGGGGTCAAGCGCGCGCCACCCGCTTGGTTGCTCCCGCACTTTGAAGCTTGCGTCAACAGTCTACATGAACACCATGCTCGTCCGTTTTCCCCTATCACGGCACTTCCCAAAACAAGTATCATCTGGGCTTGCGATGCTATTGACAAGTTTGTCGAACCCAAGTTCGAACGTAGGCAAGATGATCCTGAGGGGTTGAAGTTCTTGGTCGAGGCTAGGAAAGATTTTGGAACAAGCGGTTGGGAGGCGCTGTTGCCGGAAGAGAGCTGTGGTTTGTTTGCTGTTGAGGGGGCGAACCATTTCAGTATGATGAAGGCGCCTTTTTCCAAGACGTTGAGTGAGTATATGGAGGTTGCTCTTATGGGATAAGGTGCAAGCAGAGGACCGTCTCCTACTTTTATCTTTCTAATAGTTCTTGACTTATGCTTGAGATGCGAGGGGTTCCTTTCATTTACAAATTGGTACCGTCTTGCGTCATCCTTCGACTTCCTTGTTTAGATAGAAGATAGTGCGCACCGTACACTAAATCAGATTACCTTGTCTTCCTTGTACTTCTTCATTATCAAACACGAAGCGTAGGGGTTACGCATGATAGAATCACTCTACCCGGAACGAAGACGCTCTACTTCGGTTTTCGCGTGTCGAGGTGCTTCTCGACATGAAGTTTTAGGGTTCCTGCGTCCTACGAGCGTCGGCATGATGTGAACGCAAACGCCTACCATAACAAAGTAACGCTTGCCACTCATGTATCAGAGTATAGCCTGTCGTCTAGTGTCGGTCAGGGAGATATCGACACACCAGTCGAGGATTGCCAGTCACGCATGAGGGCGTGGTTCGACGACAAAGTATGGATCTCAGAAATATCAATGGAGCGGAATGAAGCGAGTATCTTGGTCACCAATCTTCAGCAACTAGGTCTCCACATTGATGGCCGCATTTCAATGTCGAGAGCTTCCACTGCAATGTTTCGCACTGGTCTCAAGAGAGTACAGTCTTGAAATGGTTAGCAACTCACGAGTTTAAGCGAAAATAGTCTCACCATAGCGCCAAGCTGGCTATGTGTGTGCTGGGAACGTCCATCGTTGGGCAATTCATGATCATACCGCAAGAAGGCTTCTCTAGAATTCATCTCATGTGCATACGACAGACGTTACTTCAACGGCTGTTCTGGCATTTGTATGATCAGATAAGACACATCATCACACGTATGTCTTAGCTGTGTTAACTTAGTAGGAGATCTCTAATGAAGACATCACTTATGTATTTAAGAAAAGTGTCGAAAATCTAACCTGGTCCATGAAAGCGGGTCTGGCCTTGACGCCTGAATACATCATTTCTATATACTAGGCGGCAAAACGACGCCTCCCACGCAAACATCTTGGAAGAAGCGGAAGCATTTGTCTCGCATCAAAGTCAGAGAAGCAAACCCCAAAGACGTTCGCGTTGTCTCATGTCGATAGGCGTGCAAGATGAGAAACAATGTATACATCTACTCAAAATATATGACACATTTCACAAGCAACTATCCTCTTTGTAGGTTTCCAGGCTATCGTTGGGCAACGACTTGCTACATGAGTCCGTCCAACCCTTTGGTGCATCCCATCCATTAGTCCTCCACGGGGCAGAGCGCGAACTCGCCCTCAGGCGCCCCATCGTGCGTCATCACCCCACAGTATGCGCCATCCTCCGTTGGGTTTGTGTCTGGGTTGTCCGTATAGATGTAAAATACTACACGGTCGGCGCCAGGATCGCCACCGCCGAAGATGGAGTCACCGTGCAGGAGAGGAAATTCTTTCAGCTGCTTGCCGTTGCATGCGTCGGAAAACTTCAACTTTCGGTTGTTGCCGAAATTATGAGGGTAGCCACCTAGAAGGTGTAAACCAGAGGTTAGTGGACCATACACAGATTTTAGAAAGAATTATGAAGAAACTCGTTCTCCATAAGATGTACCCTCTACATAAAAACCTACTATGAAAGGGCACGTGTTGACGTCCGTCAGAACTGGAAAAGAAAAGTATCAAGGTATAAATTTAGAGTATATATTCAGCGATGAGTGCAGCTCATGGGAAATGAGATCCTTTATAGCAGACATACCTGGTTGTGGCGCGTTGGTAGGGGTAAGGTTGATGCCTTGCTGGATGGCCTTTTCGACCTGAGCACGGCTATATCTGTAGCCTGGGCAAGCTACGAACTGGTCGCTGGGCGGGAGGTTGTCGACGGTCCGCTTGCTCAACGTTGAAAGAGGTGCCGGGATGGCGAAGGAGGTGTGCACAAGGGCTAGGCCCAATGTCAGGAAAGTAGTGGTTGACGAAAAGTGCATGGTGCAAAGAAGGGTTGAGATGATGATTGTGATTTTTGGATAGCTTGAGATCGTGATGGCTTGAGATGGAGGTGTTGAACAGTGATGGAAATAATAATGAGCTTCCCGCAGCGACCAGTTTATATCTCCTTCGAAGAACCTTAGGCCTTCTAACGGAACCTAGCGGTGTGCCTCATAGCATCTCTCAGAGCATGTCTTGGGAACGTGGTACCAGTCACTACAATGCACACTGTACCTCTATCACACTCCTCTCGATTTGGGTATAGATAGTAGAGGTACTGCAAATACCTAATCAGGCGTCTTGATAAAGCTGAATAGAGAGATGTCGAGGTCGATCCGACCTAATGCTCACATCAGCTGAGACTACACAGGACATGAATTTATGTCATTGCCATGCATTTCTTCGTGTTTGAGGCCTGTATCCAGGGTTGAATACTATAGTAGCGCTGTCGTGTGGTTACATCGGCAGGGTTCTGACAAGGCAGATTGGGGCGGTGAGGTCACTAGCTAGACTGCGACGCGACTATGGAAGTCATCTCGATGTTGTCTCGGGACATCACTTGGCAAATTTGATGAGAGAGATACAGCTTGAGCGTATGGATTGTAGGATCCAATAGCAACAAGCGCTCGACGTAACGATGGCCCACACGGTTTGCCGTAATGTTACCATAAGTGTCTCCGCGTACAGGCATCGAATTCTTTTGGGAATGGCGAGCGTAAACCGGATGTTTGATAACACATAGGGGCGTAGGCGGTAGGCCTAGCTGTAGATCTATGCTTCTGCTGTAATCTTCTTGTTTAGCCGTATGGTGTCAAGCTCGGGTGCCGGCGCTCCTGGCCGCAAAGCTGGAGGGCCTGAACTGCATCACATCTGCGGCGGGGCAAGGAACGATCTCGAAGTAATCCCGAGTATGTTATTTGTTTTAGCAGTCGGACATGACGGCACCCACGTTGGCTGTTGGACGATGCTGTCTTGTCGAAACATTCGATATGTACAGATAATGGCTGCGATGCGGTTCTGCATTCGTGGTTGTGTATGTTCAACGCGCTTCGGGAATAAGTAAAACGTTGCGAAGTAGGTGGAGTGATGCATGACGCAATTAGGGCTCGGCATTCACGCGGCGCACCTGCAGTAAGCAAACTGTGGGGTAGCTTACCCGGGTAGGAAAATTGGCGGGCCGCGCGCTGCGTGCATCGCCCCACAAACTCTAAATCTGTTGTTCGTTCCTTACCGTCTGTTGCGGCTGTGTAGAAGCCTGTCTCATGCTAGATCATGGATTAGTGACCCTCCAACTGCACTTCGGTCTCCGAACGAAATCTGCCCCCTCATGTGGATACTAAATCACGTGCTTGTGGTTGCCTAGGGCTGTGTCCCTTTGTCCTATGACGTCTACCTAGCCCTGATGCACCGCCTACGAAGACAAGATCCGAGTTAAAAGACTCTCAAAGCTCAAAAGGACTTGACGCCACAAATCGGCTCTCGGTTGCAGCTTCTCTAGCAAAATGACAACTATTCTCGATATCCCAGGCAGCAACCCACCAAATCGCTTCTCTTCGTCTATTGAAAGTACTGTCACCTCTACGAATTACTCTTCACTCGCGGAAGAAACAGCTAAAAACATCATCGAGTCGATCAATACATGTTCCGACCCCGCTCACGCGCTCTGGGAACTCTGGGACGCCTTCTTCATGGCTGTCGTATCATATCCATCTTCACATGGAGCCCACATTGCTCTCCTTGATGCTATTCGCGCGCAGCCACCTAGCCAGCCCACCAACGTGCCTGCAGAGTCCGATGCAAAGCTCCGGCTCCGCAGCTATACGAAAGTAGACGGAAGACTACACTGGTCAAAGCTGCCACTTTTCCATGCGCAGTGGCGCGACGTGCATGATATCCTGCACGAGTGGCGTGACTGGGACGGCATACGTGATCCAAGCACGAATGACAGTTCGACTGGTAACAGGATGAGCAGCAGCGGCGATCAGCTGTATCTCCGCTTTAGCATTTTTTCAGCTTTGCTGCTAAAAAGTAGCAAAGATACCTCCGCAACACAGACTGTGTGGGTTTTCTACGCCTGCAAAGACGTACTGGAGCGCGAAGCGCCCCAGCCCTATGAGCCGAAAAAGCACAAAATATCGTCTGAGCAGGTGTGGGCGCTAGATGTCCGTGTCGCAGCCACTTGGGTGCGAGATGGAGGTTGGTCACTGTGGAATACAGATCATGAAGAGCTGCGAGAGTATTGGGCAGCAGCGTTGGACGAAAAGACGGTATTGTGGCCGAGAGAAGACGGGCTGATAAGGGAGCGGTGGCAGCTGTGGAAGGAGAGGCTATGGGCTCTGAGTACGGATGAGGCAAGTTTAGACCAGGAGACTAGGACCGTGACTCAAGAGGCGTATGGAGTCATTGAGGATATCCTGCGAGGGGTCTGATACCACCTTTGGTGGCCGGCCGCATGTGTTGCTTGAGTAGTTTGAATATTTCCTAGTCTACACAACATGACGTAATGACTACCCTCTCATTTCAACCTGAACCATTTCATTGAGTAGTCAGACCAACAAAAACCATCAACACTGCGGCATATCCAAACGTGGCCGATAGAGTCTGGTCGTTCGACGTCTTTAACATAGTCGAACATGTAATTGCAAACAGCACAACCGCAACCGTAGTCGTGATCAGGTTCTTCGTCTGGCTCTGGTGCAACGCCATGATGTACATGGGCACCAAGATAAAAAGTGAGCCAGCCATCGCTATAATGAATCTCGCGAGCCTTTCCACAAAGCCGTTTGCTACATTTGGCCGGTGTCCTTCGTCGTACTCGTCTCCGTTCACTGCTTTTTCGCCCTTCGTCCACGTCCACGACACGGGTAGAAACATTAAGAGGATACGTTGAACTTCGTCCTTCCAAGGATCCTGTTGTGAAGTATCACGAAGTCTTCTGTATGCCCTTGATTCAAAAGCATCAGACCCAAAGCGACTTTTTGCGATTTTCTCAAAATACTTGTTACTTTGTTGGTGACGGCGACGCTGGTCGCTGGGTGAAAGGTAGTCAAGGGAGCGAACGTATTCAAAATCCCTGATCGCTTCCGCTATAGGTACAAATCGTTAATATGGAGTTGGAAGAAGCGATAAATTATTGCATCAAAGAGCTAGGTCCGTACCTTGGGTGTGCAGAAGTTGTCTGATCTCCTTAATATCCTCTTCTGTAGCAGCTCTAGTGTCATAGAGCTTCTTTCTACACCTTGCGAGCTTATTATTGATGTCGATAAAGTTGATACGCCGTAGCGTGGTCATCTCCATATACCATGGCTCAGCGGGTACGGGTAGCTCATCTTGTAACTCATTTGCGAGCCGATATATCAACTTTTCGTCCGGCTCGCCCAGATCACTCCCAAGAGAAGCAATTGATTCCGTTTTTGACCGAAGGCTTCCCGTATCTCTTGCACTGTTTAAAGAGGCCGTGGAGTTCAATTTGGGCGCTGTACTCGTTGCATCCTGCGAGAATGGTGCTTTCTCCAATTCTGGACGTTCGCTTTGGGCGCTTGAAGCTATGCTCGGAACAAGATGCGGACTACGAGCTCTCTGCTCCTGCGCCTCCAAATCGCACACAGGTCCTAAATCCATAGGGACAATGAAGAAGTGAGATGTAATTGGCATATGAGACAGTAGGCAACCACACTTCCACTTCATTACAGGAGGCATTGCCAAGGCTGACACATCATGGTGCATATCAACTGCAGTGGTGGCGTCACGGAACCAACACGAATTCGGTCATCCTTGCATGGAGTCTGTCGCGGAGCTGAAGGCTCCAGAAAATACAAAAGCCGCGTTCATTCTATCTTTCCAGATGTTGTAAACATGACGAAATTCTACCATGACAGCCAGCCAGAGGCCCGGCTCAAAAGCACGCGCTCGGACGAACGTGACGAGGATGGGCTCAGCCTCATCTGTGAACTCAAAGATACATACGAGGACTATAGAAACTTGATCAACAAGAGTAAAAGTACGCGCACGTCCGATGCGGGCAAGAAGTGGCTCGACATTATTAGCACAAGGCTCAAGTGGCTTGCCGAGGACGAGGTTGCGATCATGGAGAAAATCAAAGACTGTGAGCGTGAGAAAGGTCCGTTGCTTTAGGTAACTACACCTCCGATTTAATTCGAATATTGACTCCTCATACAGTTGAAGTGGGCAAGAATGTTCAGCAAAAATGTGCAGATCAGATGAGGCAGGTCCTTAATAACTTCCTGTCCTTTGAAGACAATTTGGACAACGTGGTCCGCCATAGAGAGTCGGCGTCGGAGAAGAACGTTGAGATTCAAAAGATGCTCAGAGATACGTATTACGAAGCCCACGGCATTCGAAAAGCCTTTTGCAAAAAGTTAGACAAGGCTATCGATGAAGCAAGAGCTGCTAGATCTGCTTGACTATGACTCGGTAGACACGCGAATGGACACATTTGAATCTGGTTCGCATGAGAAAGCCCATGTCCTTCAGATGACCAGCTTTTGTTTTGCGCTCCATGTACATATGAAACTGCAATGGCAGCTTGACGCCAGAGATCGTGAGCGGGGTGGTTCACGCGCAGAATACTACGGCCCCAGCGCACAGGCTATGCGTTCCCTTCTTTGATTAGGGCCAACAAACGAAACAAACTCTAAGCGCATTTCGTATCTAGGTAGAGTTTGCGCTGGACTCCGACTTTGTCGACCAGCCTGCGATCGTTACATGGATTTACGTACATCATCGGGGTGGACGATTTAGGCCTCGGTCGGTTCAGCTCCGATTCTCGTCAGGCTAGAGCATACTGTAGAATGCTGCGAGGGTTTGTCATCCACTCCGGCCCCACTCTCGTAGCATTTCGAAGTTTCCTAATACACAGACGCAATCGTACCCAATTTGATTGCCGACATGCTCAGGGTGGCGCAATTCAGCTGACACTCCTCAAATCACTCAAGAGAGCAAAGATTGGTCAGCGCTAAACGGGACAAGTTACATGATCAGCCCATGCAGCTCCTCCAATAGTTCAAACATGCCACCAGCCCCCTATCAGGTTTTCGAAAACACTCAATTATATGTTACCTTTTTTCATATTGCTCGTTGCTCAGCTGGAAGAAAACACCACCACTAGTAAATTAGTAATGTTCACTGCGTGCAGCTTTGATTCTTCAAGATTTACCTTATATAGATTGTTCAATACCAGATCATCAATATCTTGGTTGGAAACGGCCATCAATTGCTTTCTCATGCATCTATTGCAGTGTCGAGATGAGGGGAAATTTAGCATTGTTGAATACGTTAGCTCCAACGTAACGGGCTACCCCATTCTCTCGCATATGTAGGAGTTAGATATAGAAAAATATACCTTTGAAAACGTGGTGAGGTGAAATTGCCGAATTTATGCAGTCATCACCGAATGCGGCTTTGTGCTACGTCGCCTCCATGCTGAACATGTGCCGTTCCAGACACATTCGTCTCTCCAGTGCGGGGTGCGTGCTTATTCGTCGTCGCAATACGATACAAAAGCACGGTATAACAAAGAAGGCCGGTTGCCATTGGATCCTCTCAGCTGAAGAGGAGCCTAGCCGCAGAATAACTTTCTGGTGAGCTACAAACGGCTGCATACATGGAATCATGGCACCGATCAGATAAGACATTGCAGCCGTGTGGTGTAAGGATGCTGAAATCTCGAAAGACGGCAGAACAGATATTGCATCTACCATTATGGAATGGTACGTCAGCGCGACCTAGTATGACGAACGACTTCAAAGTACGGTCTGGCAATCTTTCGTCGCTTTACAGGCTCCGTACTGTACATGTCCAGAAGTTTCAGACCATCATCGCCATCAATACTCCGTTTCCGTGGCTTGGGAACCGCTTCCTGATGATCGATAGGACAACAGCTTACTGTCTGAACGCGCGGCAATAACATGTAGGGCTCTTCATCACAATCAACTGGTGAACATTCCTGCGTGAAAGAGTAATGATGCATCCTGGAGCGCTGAGTTTTGGGATGTAGCGCTGCCTCCAGGTTCCCGTGGAAGTTCGTTTCCCGAGCACCAGATGAACCAGAGACAAACGCATGTTGTGATTCCGATACACGTTGGGGCTTCGTAGGCCTCCCAGTACTGTGTGACAGTACATGTCTCGCTTGTTCCTGTTGCACTGTTAGCCATCTAGTCCTCCTGCAGCGAATGGTCATCCTACATACCTCTACCATCAATCCGTCCCACGGCATGCAGCAGAACGGACACGCATCAGCCTCCCCATCTCCACGGTTCTGTAGATATCTCTCTTCCCACTCCTCCAAGCCCATCTCCACATTTGACGAGCCCATTAGCGTGGTCGGCGGAGCAAATCTCGGACTAGTCTTCTCCAACCACGCTACAACTGGATCACCAGGCTTCTCTTCGTGCGCAAAAGCCACACTACAACGGCGACATAACGCTTCGTCGTCGGTCTCATAACCAATCTCCTCAAAGGCACCATCCGGCACCTCTTGATTGTGTTTGTCGTCATCATTGTCTTCTTCATCGTCGACGTCGTCGTCATCATCCGTCTTGTCCTCGCCGTCTCCTGTAGAACGAGAAGATGAAGTATGCTCCTCCTCCCCGTCTTTATCCTCATTATCCTCCTCATCCTCATCCCCACTCTCCTCCTCAACCTCCACAACATCCCAAACTTTATCATCATCCCTCGTCCACACCTCTCCACCATGTAACGGACTAAACATCGTCTCACCACACCCCTTCAAATGGTCAATCATAGCCAGCTTGACAGCAACATTAGCTCCAGGTATACTTTCCACAGGCGGGACATTTGGTATATGGCCGCTCGGCCATAGCGTTGGTAGGGCCGCGGCGAAAGTCTTCCAATTCCTTTCTTTCCCGTTGGCGAGCCATTTTTGGCGGAAGGTGGAGAGGGTCGAGGAGAGTCCGTAGTGGTAAAGGTGATTTTCGATGAGGGTTATGGTGTCTGCCACTGTTTTGGAGGAAGATTGTGGTAGGGTGGGGTTGTGAGTGTGAGTGTGAGTGTGAGTGTGAGTGAGGGAGGGTTTGCGGATTCGTGTCCAACGAGTTTTGAAAGGTCTGCAAGAGTTGCGGGTATGATTCGACTCGAGATGAAGTTTTTCCTCTTCATCCTTCATAATAACGTCTTCATCCCGCTGTCTAGGTTCCCAAGCCGGGTTCGGGAAATTCGGATTACTCCACTCTCCTTCTCTTGTCCAGAAGCAGTAATGCGGTACATCGCATCGCGGAAACCTAACAAAGAATAGATTTTCCAATCGCTTATCCTCCTCCTGACTCCGTCTTTCGTGTCCATAGTCCAAATACGCCGGAACATAGCACATGGCATTCGGTCTCCACAAACTAGCCTCATACACCTCCACCGTCTTCTTCGCCTTATTCTTATGTCGTTGAGAATGTCGTGCCGCGCGGTCAACCGTAGCCGCATCGCCCTTTCCTTTCACACGAAGCAGCTTCCTGTTTTCGAGACACCATTTGGTGTAGGTGTCGGCTAGAACCTTTGTCTCGTTGCGAGAGCCGAGGTGGAAGTACATGTGCGCATTCCAACCATGCACGAGGGTGCGTTGAGCCCATTCGACACCGCTTTCGACGGTAGCTTTGCGGAGGGAGCCGAGAAGGTGGCCGTTGCGTGCTGCCGTGCGGGTTTCGGCATTGAGGATGGGGACGAAGTCAGGATCGACGCCTGGTGGGTACTTAAGTCCGGGGAGAACGAATTTCTGCTTACTGGATGTCGTGGTGATCTTCAAGGGTACGTAAGGGACGTGACGTGGTAGCAGCTCCAGAAGTGAAAAAATAGTCCTTGCCGGCGTAGGTGCGAGCAAGGGCATCCTTTCGTACGGCCATTCGAACAGGCGGAGTCGGCAGTCAGGTTTGATGACTTTGTCCACTGACGGAGCACTCGATTCTGTTGACGTGCTATCCCACGACTCGTCGCTCAGCGCCTGGCCGAAATTCTCGCGCTTGTACTCGTTCCTCATGCGTTCCTCTGCTTCTATATCGGCGTCGCTTAGAGTGTCGTCACTGACACTCTCATCACGTTCTCTCCTTCTCTCCTTCTCTCTTCTTCTCTTGTGCTTCTCTTCGATCTGTTTCTGTTTCTCCGCAGCCCTTCTTTCCTCCTCTTCCTTTGCTTCCTGTTGCTTTTTCTGGAGTGCGAGCACGGCGTCTCGTTCCGCACGTTTCTTTTCCTCATCGTTGTGTTTGAGCGTCCATGCCATCTCAACCTTTCTCATGTCTTTGCGATAAATGCCGCGCTCCTTCGCTTCATCGAGAAGTTCCTTGTAGTTGTAGGTGTCATAGATGGAATCAGTCTTATGCTCGTCGCGTACTTTGTGTGTGCCACCACGCCTATGTGCTGCAACCTGACGGGTCATGTTGGGTTCTGAAGGCACCAGGGAGCCCTCGTACAGTGCGGGGTTATCCTTCTTCGGTTTACCTTTGGGCATAGTGCGTGCTGCTGGGTACTGTTATGAGTCCTGTTACGAACGACTCAGACATTGGACGCACGTTGGCCTGTCAGTGAAAGAGCAAACACTCCAAGACAATATGTTTGGGTAGCTTTCGAGCTATGTTGCTGCAGTCTCGAATGCGTAAGAACATTTGTACTTATTGGGTATGTGCCTTTCACAAGCCATTGGTCAAAGACGTGCGCTCGACTTGCTTTGTGTCTCTGACGACCTTTGTCTGTGTCAGCATAATATCAGCGTAGAACTAAAAGTACTCGTGAGCACAAGGCACAATGCATTGTACAACTGCAGTGGTATATTCGAAGATTTGATTCGTAAAGGTCTAGGGTATCTCACTATGGCGAGTTAACTTACATGCAATCAGTTTGATAGGAACATGCTTACAATTCCGACTTCTCGGCATCTACCTTCCGCTTTTCAGCTTTGAAGTCGAAAAAACCTTCAAGCTCCATCCACTCTGCAGTGAACGCCATGACCAGCTTCGTCCAGTCCTCTACCGTGTCCATGTCCAAGTGCTCTCCGTCATCTTCGATCGTATGCCACACTCTTGGGAAGGGCGTAGGGATCATATGCAGGATCTCCACGCCCCGAGCCATGAAAGGGACGTGGTCGTCCTGTACGAAGCCGCCCATAAATGCATCGTTTTGTTTGTTTGCATCGGGTAGAAATGGGCGTTCTGCGCGAGGCTTCTTGTCTTTGCGCTTTGCCATCTTCGACTCGTGGTTCGGGGAAGATTTCATCAAGCCTAGCTTCTGCAGGCGTGCCTCAGCAGTTGCCATGTGCTTATATGCCCAGTGTGTAGTCTTGAAATACGAAGGTACCTGGGGGCCCTTGGACCCCAGAAGGTCGAGCAAGAGGAACAAGTCGATCGAATCGAGTGGGGTGCGGTAAATCGATGATGCGGCGTGGAAAGTCGACTCCCAATCTTCAGCGAGAGCTCTGTATACTCGTCAGCATTAGATCACGAAGCGGTTGAAGGGTTCATACCGCGCGCCGTAGAGACTGTCGCTGTCGGTCCAGCTCTTGAAAGCCTCCTCGCCGTCCAGCAACAGTATCTGCAAACCTTTGTGCTCCACGTCAAAGTCGTCTGGATCAGCGGCAGCCCACTTCTTGGTCAACGCCGCATCGATACTGCGGGCGACATGCAAAATCATGGCGCATGGGGCCGCACTATCAACCGCTCCGATGAAGCCCTTGGGCGTATACTTGCTGTCGTAATGCGCGACCAGGGCCAACCTCGAGACGTCCCCCTCCGAGCCACCCGGGGGGTCACGCGTCGCGATAATGTTGACAAAAGGCACTTCCTTTCCCTTGCTCACCGGCGTCGTCGACGTCGAGTTATGCATCTCTATCCTCCATTCCGGCAACTGCGACTTGAAGAAGTCTATAAAGTGTTGGCGGACGGCAGCGTTGCCTTCTGTCCCAGAGACTCTGGGGATCAATATAGGCGCCAGCAACGAGCCTTTCTTTATATCAAAATCATCGCCCGGTCCAGGTAGGTGCTTGAGAGTCTCGTCCTCGAGGCCTTTGTAAGCGGATGCAAAGGAGAGGAAGGAAATGAGCGACAGCAGCGCAGATGCGAACAACATTCTTGCGACGTATCACATGAAGCGCCCCGACAAATTTGAAACGCTGCAAAAAGATAAATCAGAGCCGCGAGAGGAACATGCTCGCGCCTGTGGACGAGTGGGTCGCTTGGAGTTGGTCGAGGGAACCGTGGCATCTCCCCGAGCATTAGCCTGAGCGGCTTCGGGTAAAGTTTCCGCTCCGAGCCGAGCTGCGCACGTGACGACGCGACATTTCTCCAAGTCTGTTTGTAGCTTACCTCGACCCTTACACGTCCACACAACTTCATTGCTGAGTAAGCGATCTGCTCAGTCATCTAGCAGGCGAGGTGTGCGACTGCGCAGCAGAGACTTGGACCACGCCCATGCCAAAGGAAACCCAGAGACGTGTGCAATTTCTTTCCACGTCCTTCAATTGGCATGCAGCCACGACTTCTCGCCTTTGCGGCTTCTTTCCGAAGCTCAGCAAACGTGTATAGAGGTACTCGACCAGTGGCTAGTGGTCGCATCAATGGCTTCATATGTCGAAGCTGTCAACGGAAGTTCACCACATCGCCAACACTACAATGGTTTGGAAAATCATCCAAGTCAGCAGCCAAGACTGTTGAAAAGGAGCGAAGTACGCAGCATCTCAAACACGGTTTGAAGAACAACACCTCGAGAGGCATGGTTGACGAAGAATATCAGAATACAAATCTAGACTACTGATCTACGATGCGGGCGATGCACGAACCACGTGGATATCTTTCTGGAAAGCAATGGCCTTGCTGCAATTCGGAACTACGCTCGTCTTCGGTGTGCCTCCACTTTGGAACAACGCAAATCAACCTGATGAACGCGTGAGGAAAATGCAGGCTATCACGGGTAAGTACTCTCATCTTACGCCAGTTTGTGTGACCTCGGAATTTTATACTCTGAGTTGTTGGAGTACATCCCTTACCCTCGCAATCGCCATGTTCATCACTCCGAAATCATCAGCGATGTGGGGAGTGTTCGACTTCTTCTCAATTTTTCCCATCGCATGTCACACAAGATTTACTTTGCTGTTATCATTTCATGTCAAGCCAAACATACTTATAACCGCCATGGAACTTCACACACCAGTATCATCCACATCCATATCTCCAGGACTAACAACGCCCCGCAGTCGGCATCCTGGGCACAATTCCCACCCTAACTCTCGCCTATCTAACCGCCCCCTTCGTCCATCAAGTCTTCCTCCAGATCCCCGAACACGCCCGCCGCTCTCGCCAGGACCTCATCCGCTTCGCCACCTCCCTCCGCACAAATCCTAACCAAACGGCAAACACAAAGCTCGAATTCGTAACCCTCCGCATCTTCCCTTTCCGCAAACACACGACCGCCTTTCTTCACGAACTCCGCGCTTTACCTGCAAAACGATTCCGCCTAGCTAACATTGAGCTACCCAAAAGTGATGCTTGGGCGAAAAGGCAGAGGGAGAAGGGTGTGTTGAGACGGGTTGTTGAGGTGGTGAGTGAGCCGAGGTTTAAATTTTATGTCAAGGAGGGACGGTTATACACGATGAAGACGGGCGTACCGGGTGTGTGGGAGGAGGTTGCTAGGAGGATTCAGGAACAGACTGCTGAGGAGGAGAAGAAGGTAGAGGACGAGAGAGCTGGTAGAGCTAGTGTGGTGAAGAGGCCGGTTGTTGGGACGAGGAAGCTGCTGAGGCCTGTTGTGAAGGTTGATGAGCGGATGAAGAGACAGACTACTAGGCAACTTAAGAAGTGAGTTTTGTAGGGAAAAAAATGATGAGGTGGCACAGTCAGAGTGGCATATAGTAGTACGTTGTGTTATACTACCTAAAGGCGTGTAGCCAGATATCTCAGGATTAAACGACATGCTAAGCGAAAGGGTATATACAAGTCGTTCATGCCTAGTTTCCTCCAGAGCCAATCACTTCACCTATACCGATGGGGCCATTGACAGAGTCTAAGCATGCTCAACAACCTCTGGCTTCTCCATACTGCCCTTCTCCTTGTGGTAGTCCGCAGCACCACTGTCGTGGTAGACACCAGCACGCTCAAGGATCTCGGTAAGTCCGACCTCCCTGTGAACCTCAGCCCAGCGCTCCTTCTCGCGCTCCGCAGTACCGACGGAACCAAAGAGGGTGTCCATTTCTTCCTATTCGATTTATTAGCACGCGCCACATACTCTTGCACCGGATCGAGAAACTTACAAGCGAAAGACCCTTGGTCTCCGGGAAGAAGAAGAAGATGAACGCCGCGCCCATGGCGGTAAAAATACCAAAGAAGATGTAAGTGCCGTACCGAAGATGCTGAAGCATGTCCGGGGTAACCTGACCAACGATAAAGTTGTTCATCCAGTTGGACGAGGCACCAAGTGCGATACCATACGGACGGTTGGACATGGGCCAGATCTCCGCGATGACAATCCATGCACATGGACCCCAGGAGTAGCCGAAGAAGATGACGAAGAGCCACACCATGACGCAAGCAGCCCAACCAGCGCCTTGATGGTTTGGCCAGTCGTCCTCGTAGCTGGCTACGATACCGGAGATGATGAAGTGGCAGGCCGCCATACCGATGGCGCCGCTGACGAGAACGGGCTTTCGGCCGAGTTTGTCGACGTACATGACTGCGGGGACTGTGGCTTGTTAATACACGTCCTAGATGTGGGGATGTTTTGGGTCAACTTACTGGTTGCGAGGAACATGACAATACCAACGACACCGGTCGCAAGCAGACTGATGGAATTGCCCGACAAGCCTAATCCTTGGAAGATTGTTGGCGCGTAGTACAAGATTGCGTTAATTCCTGTCCATTGCTGGAAGAACATGGTAAGCGTGGAAATGGCGACACGCCTGAACATGCCCCTTGTAGTAAACAGACTGCCGATGGCGACGAATTGCAGCTTGAAGATGGATAGCGCGCTCATGTCTTGGAGATGGGGGAATCGCTCTGCCAATGACTTCTTCTCGAACAGACTCTGGGCGCGAATCTCGGCATACTCGAGCTCGATCAGTTCATGATCCTGATCAAGGCCACGAAGACGGGCGAGAACGCGACGAGCCTCTGCCTCCTTACCGTGGTGGACGAGCCAACGAGGCGAGAAAGGCATGAAGATCATACCGACGCCGAGAAGAACAGCGGGGGCAAGTTGGAGAGCGAGAGGAAGAAGCCATGCAGCCTCCTTCTGTCCAGTTCCAGTGCCGCCAATGTAGTTGGTACCGTAGTCGATCCAGAAACTGATCATGATACCCAAGGTGATGCTCAATTGCTGGAGACCGACAAGCGCACCACGCACTTCAGGAGGCGCAATCTCGGCATTGTACATGGGTACAATCATGGAGAGTGAACCGACACCCATACCCGTTACGAAACGGCCGCCGAGGATGGCGTTGTGACCTTGGCCGGCAGAAGCGGTACATTGAACGACGACACCGACGATGAAGATTGCGACGTTGACGAGAATGGCGTATTTACGGGAGAGGATCTCAGCGAGGAAACCAGAGTACATGGTTCCGAACCAGGCGCCGAGTTCAAGAATAGACACGAGCCAACCTTGCTTGGAGGAGTTCCACTCAAGAGTCTGTTGGTCTTGGATGTAGTCGCCCATGTCTGATCATATGTAAGTGACTGGTCGCGTCTGTGACCGTGAGATGCTACTTACGCTCCTTGAAGGAAGGCATGGTGAGTACACCAGAGAAGACACCCTGGTTGTAACCATAGAGGAGACCACCCAAGCAGGCAAAACACGCGATACCAAAGACCCTGGCGTTCTTGACCAAAGCCATGGGTCCTGAAGCACCAGCGAGCGCTTTGCGGCGTGCCAGAGCGGCCACCTCAAAGTCACCAGCACCACCGCCGATAGGAGCCATGTTGACGATTCAGGTACGTTCACAGATAGAAGGGTGGTGTAAGGATCGTCGAAAAAGGCACAAGCGTGCAGGGTTGGTTAAAAAAGCTTTTCGTACAAGCCCTTGACCGTTGGATCCCAATACCAAGGAAAACATGGGGAAAGCACTCCTACATATGCATTCTCAGTTCGCACGGCAGACCACCCAGGTCAGCATACCACTATCTCGGGTAACAGGACTGTACGCTGAGTGGTTGTCTGCGCGAAGCTTTCTCGTTGCGGATAAATTGGCGGTTAAGCTCAGTGGCACCGACGCTTATTTCGGGTTGCGGCAGTGATTTAAGCATTGGTGGCTGTCGTGGCATTGGCGTGCCATTGCTTGTAACGTGCGGGAAGGAAGTAAGCTAGAAGCCACTGACGGCTGGGCGTACTATTGAACAGAGTCGTGGTCGGTGGAGGCGACGCGGGGAGCACACGTTGGGGGCGCACTGATGCTGAGCAATCACGGCTGAATCGACGAGTTTGTGAGATCGTTACGTGTTGATGCTGGCACGAGACCGACCGCCTTTTGAAGTTGCCATGTCTGGCCTGTGAAGATTCGCTCGAGATGATCGTATCGAAGATTCTAATATCTGGTAGAGTGACTAGCTCCATCGTTCATCTTTCATACCAAGAATCATAGCAAGCAGCCATTGCATATCGTATAGATTAATAACGTGCATCTGCCGGTCCGCGGACGCCCATGCCGCCAACGCCCCCGCCTCTTCGAGTTGGGAGCCCATAAGTGTGGAGACTCCACAGCGGGATGTTAGCGCGTCTTTTGCATTCTGCCTAAATGCCTCATGCCCTCGGCGTTCACATGGTGCGAAGGATTGCGGCGCTGCGGCGTTACGGTAGAGTCGGAGCTTTCGTCGCCATTCTAGTTAGGTGAACTGATCGATTATCGCGCCACGAATTTATTCCCGTTGTTATTCGCATTTTTGAATCTGAGGAAGAAGGTGATTGGGCCAGTGTGGAGTCCACCGTACGGACATAAACGTTGGAATTTGGGGGTGGGTTTGTTCGGCCCCACTTACTTGGATTGCAGCCAATCATGACGATGTGAGCAGCGACGTCACGAGCTGGCCGATCGAGCCGATGTCCGACCCTCATCCAGATGGCATGGTGTCCCATCTTGACCCACAGCGCGGCCGCAACAACAACAACAACTCTGAGGCATGTCTTGACCTAAAATCCGAAACACTGAAGTCAACCATGTCGCACGAAGCGGCGGTTTGATTGCGGCACGACGCTACCTGGATGTCTATGCTCCTCATACACCTTTACGGCTCAGCAGTTCCTACCAACGTTGTTCTGCTTTCCTTGCTTCATCATCATTTCCATCACTTCATGAGGGGTCATTCTGCTCGTTCGTCCTTATATCGCAGCGCGAGCACTACTACATGAAACCTCTGCAGAGTCGCGGCGTCAAATCCCCTCGCTAAGAATACAGTGTCACTTTCCAATGCCTCAACCCCTGTCGAACAACTTCCTCACCGTACATATACATCGGCCGAATGATCAGATTGTCGAGGAGAGGGCAGCGAAGCTTCTGTGATACACATGAGTAATAAAGGCGACTACCCATTCTGACACAGCGATTTGTTCCTCATTGACGCATACTCCACATTATCGAAGTACCTAAAAGGCGGCGAAATCGTTCGCGCCAGGTTATCGCCATTCTGGCAACAGTAACAGTAGTCCTTTCTAGAATGCGGGCATGAATCTTCATCAAACGATACTACCCTGACGTAACGCCTCCATTAGACCCATACGACCAACTTCTACCTGTTACATGACGGCAGTGGCGAGAGTTTCTGATTGAGACTCGTACCACTTCTGACCTGGTAGTTATCGCGACCCACAACTCAATTGTGTCTTTTACATCGAAGAGTTAGAGTTGCCTGGTAAGCATGCGTTCAGTTTGAGGATGTAAGTATTGCGTAGAGCAGTTCATCTATGGATATATCGATCAGTACGAACATCCTACCATAAAATCTACAACACGACTACAAACACTGGCAGACCGCTCGCGGAAATGGAGCTCCTTCATTTGCACTTTCTCGTACTAATTATTCGCAACGTTCGCGCTTCCCTGCCTTACAGCCTCTGATCTTGGTCAGTCGAGCATGACTTAACAGTTGGATCAGTACCTAGTTGGTACCCAGACGACGGCCCTTTCGTACCCAGAGACCTTTCGCCGACTGATCAGTATGTCTTGAGTACGGGTCCCGCTCTTTCTGGGATACTACCATCCTCGCCGGGAACAGTTCAACCAATTACATCCACCGCCAAGATTTATTCATCGTCAGGCACGGCACCGGTCTATGTAGCCTCTCTCTTCGCCTTGTCCATAGCAGCCTCTCCCGGCTCTCTTCTCTTTTCCGGTCGATCGACATCGAATGGGTCCAGCGTGATATTTGCCAGCACCATTACCCTGACTTCAACAAGCAGGTCCCTTTCTCTTGCAACGTCAGTCAGTGGAGCAGTTCCGAATCCAGCTTCGACGCATCAATTATCTACTCCAAGAAGTTCACAGGGCTCACGGTCCTCGATCTCGCCTATTTCTTCATCGTCATCAGCACAGCCATCGTCGAAATTCCCTCAGAGTACGTCTGTTACGCCCTTTCCCATCAGTACAAGCCTTGCGACAACTACAGTCACTGCTTCGAATGGTGCGCCAAGTACCGTTGTTCCCACTGCCACCCAGCCACCTGATACTAGCAATGGTGGAACCATGTCTTCAGGCTAGCCATCGCAAGCCTCTACGGCTCCTGCAACGATTCCAACTGTATCGAGTCTCGAAGCTGTTATCCATGGCGTGGGTTACCACCTTCCTTCTTCCGATGAAGATACTATCGACTCAATGTTGCTTGACGCCATCATTGCTCAGCTTTTCGCGAACGGCATCGTCGTCGGTGGTCAGACAGTGACTGTATCCTCGGATTGAGCAGAGAAACGGCACTTCCCGGAGGTATCACGATTAAACCTGGGGAAGCCACGATACTGGAGGAAGATGACGATGGCAATGGCGGTGGTGGTGGTCTGTTCGGAGCTCTCGGTGGCATTGCAGAGGGTGCAACATCTAGAATTGGTGAGGCGATTGAGGGGATCAAATCTGTCACGACAGGTGCCCTAGCTCTCGCTGGAGGGACAACTGGTGCCGCCACTGGCCTTTCTGATTCACTACCCGATGCCATTGGCTTGGTCTATCGCAGCGTTGCTGAGTGAGCTTAGGGTATCTCTTTATATCCCATCTTCATCGGTCACTGTCTTTTCCTCAAAGGATACTTCTCGTGATACACATGTGAAGACCTATCTTATGTCAATTTCCCTGCTGCGAAAGAGCTGCCTCATTACTAGTATTTCCTATCTTCTATGCAAACTTTCACTTACAGGAAACAAGTAGGATGGATATCATATCGCTAACAAACATTTCTTCAATTCCATCCCACAACACCTTCCGCTAATGTCAGAGGTTGTTGCGTCGACCCAGTCATAACTGAAATCCTTCTTCCAACAATCCCATTACCACCAACACCCAGATGCAGTTTCTCTGGTAACTGCATCATTCCTCGAGGCGACTCCTCAATCTCAAAAGAATACAACGAATCCGATATATTCTGCGGCGGTGACGCGGACAGATCACCATCTCGACTGGAACACGCTATCAACATCCTGCTGCCCAAAAGTGGAGATTGAACTAGACTTACTGTATTACGAGCCAATTGTTGTTTCTTTGTAGAACTTCATCGAGGCCTTGGCACTCCACACTGGTACCCGGTTGGGATAGTTGGTTGGTAAAGAGCAAGAGCATTTCTTGTTCTGAATGTGTTCGTAATAGGTGGGATGTTGGGCGTAACACTGCTATCGAGCCGCCTTGGCTGACGCGGGTCGAGCTGCCGTTGCACATTCTGAAAACCTGATGTATCCTCAAGGGGGACTGTATGTAACAAGCAGGGAATGGTCGGTGCGCGACTGATTTTCAATGAGGTTAAAGGGTTTGTGAGGGAAAAGTGATTGATAATGATAGTCGAAAACAACAACGAGGATCGAATACACTTTGTAGTATTCACACCGTTGCTCAAGTTTGGAACTTAGTGTTTGAGGTTTGAGAGTGAATGCGTGTCTTTGAGCAAGTTTCGGAAGAGTACCCGATTGGTCAAGCACATACGCTAAAACCCACCATGGTGCTCTCGACAAACTGTATGTATGTTTGTGAACTGACGACGGTATATATGAAGTCTACATTATTCCTATCGTTCTTCATCATGTCCAGACCATAATTCAACTCTTAAATGGACGCCTTGAGCACACTGAAAGCGTCTGCGCGCGACCCTAGGTAACGCTCCTCCGCCGTCTTCCAGTTGATGACATTCCAGATGTTCTTGACGTAAGCGGCCTTGCCGTTCTGGTACTGGAGATAGTACGCATGCTCCCACTGCATCTCGTGTTAGCCACATGCTGGTAGAGAGATGAAGAGGACGGAGACTTACCATGTCAACGCCAAAGACTGGAACTTCGCCCTTGCCAACAACAGGATCTTGGTCCTTGGTCGTCACGATAGACAGCCTCTGCTCCTTTCCCATATCTGTCTTGACCAGCCATCCCCAACCACTTCCCTGGATACCCAGTAAAGCAGTGTTGAAGGCCTCCTTGAACTTGTCCTCGTCACCCCAGGTCGCCTTGATCTGCTTGACCAGCTCGGGAGCAGCAGAGCTCTTCGCCTCGTTCGAGCTAGCAGGAGCGAGGTTTTGCCAGAAGAGTGAGTGGTTGATGTGTCCGCCAGCATTGAACTTGATGCCTTGCTGTATAGCGACTTGCGAAGTGATGTCGGAGGTAGATACAGCTTCGGCCTGGGTTTTGAGAAGACCGTTCAAGTTGGTGATGTATGTCTGATGGTGCTTGCTGTGGTGCAGCTCCATGATCTGGGCGGAGATGTGTGGCTCCAATGCCTATATTCTGTGAGCATGACGTATGCGGAGTAACATGGTGCTCCCAGGCTATACTGACATCGTATGCGTATGGTAGGGGAGGTAGGGTGTACTGAGGTGCAGACATGGCGCCGAAGTCGAATGGCTGTTGTTCTGAAGCAAAGACGGATGGTGTAGAGAAGAAAGGAAGGAGAACGGCTGACAACGTCGAAATGCCCCGCATCTTGCCTGCCCCTCAATGCAATCGATACGTATAGAAGCAGGGTACGTTTGTCAGACTGCCAGGTCGTCACCAACAGGGTGCTCTGGATGTATCCTTCCCAATCGGGTCTAGGGCGCTGGAAACTGCCTCAATTCAGCGCGATGCCACTCAGTATTTCGAAACACCCTCTTTCTGAAGCAGGATGGAAAGAGAAGTATGCACGAAAAGATGAAACTCCAAGTAAATATACCCTCGGATATTTTCTGCTTTGACGAAAGGAGAGGTGTGATATGGTCAGCTACAGGCAGCTCTAGATCGGTGGTATCTAAGATCGAACAACGCAGAGTTCGGATTGACGTAAGGTAACAGTAGTTGTACCTGTGATGCACGGTGGACCCCACGACTCCTCTTAAGCAACGGAATGGAAATGTACTGTCGCGCGGATGCGATGTCGAGTTGAAGATGAGGTGGTAGCTTCCAAGTGTTGTTCTGGCCGGACTTCGGGGTCCGGAATCCTGCCGGCACGGGATGAAACATGATCTAACCCATCCGAGCTTAGCTCTGGATGACACAATAATCCTGCATTATATACTTGTAGATACCTGCATTGTATGAGAAACTATCATATTAGATAGCATTAACACCATAATTTGCGAAGATTCGCCGCAAGATCAAAGCATCAACACATTTCCTTATAGTCCTTCAGTCTCCGTTTCAAATGCCCATTCGCTCTCAATCCATATCTCTTGTTCTTCTTCTCCGCATCGACGTCTCTTCCCCTAGCGAGTAGCACCCTTCTCTTCATGGGTAGCTCATGGAATATCCACATGTGACATCCGCGAAACGCTTCCCCCGTGTAAGCCTTCTTTTGTATTCTCCACGACTCCCTACCGCTCACCCAACCAAACTCCAGACTTTCCGGTTTTGTAACGAACCCTATTTGTGAAGGCAGTTGAGTTGTAGTTACCAGTCTTACGAAGCGCATATGCCGCGTCTCGATGCCTTTGCATCCCAATGCGGAAAACTGCAAGACAAATCGTGGAGGTCGGGCTTGTGCGCGGTCTAGAGTGCCGCGAGACTGTATTGTAGATTCTTCTTCGGTCCCGACACTTTTGATCGCTTCTTCCCGAATCAGATTCCGCCAATAATCGAGGATAATCCATGTGTCGTTCGGCGGAACTCTCTAGCTTTCTCGTTCGTTGGTGTCGCGAAGCACCAAGCCCCGCAAAGGCACGCATCAAACCACTTACAATACCTAACACCGACGCACGGAGCCATGTCTATATTATCTTTCACTCGATCTCTTTATTCTTGCGAAAATGTCTCAGAGAATCTTAGTACAGTGATGCTCAACCATCTCTTTCTCAACTTGCGTACAGCGTACGACTCTGCTTGGTCGTATTGTATCACTTTCGTGTTCACTTCGGAAGTCGACAGCGATTCCAGCGTTTTGTAGAGCAAGCGATGTATCTTCCTCCCGACGTTAGCATCATATGCAGACATGTCGACCCAAAATATCCAGATATAGATTGAGATGGCTGTTCCAAAACGCGGCTCCAGTCGCAATCCCGAAATCCTTCTTCTTTGCCAGTTTCATCAAGAGCTTGTAGAACGGCAAGCCACGATCAGCTCGCTGTCGATTCGACGTTATGCGAATGGATTACGATCATGGAGCCCGTACACATACACATATTCCTCGTTATTTCGGAATAGGACACACCGTGCATAGCGTGGGTCTTGGATGGTTGATGTGATGTGAGAAGTGCTGCTGTGATGGAAAAAGAGAGGTGGGATGTATTGCCCAACTACTGTTTCGTACTTTTAATTGAACCTATGCTTTAGTATGCGATATAGAATTATAGAATTGCGTGTTTCGTTAGGAGGTTTCTTCTAAAGGTCGAGCTGCCTGTTCGCCCTTGATCTGCACTTCTTGTACCCCTTCTGCACATTTACAGCCCTGCCATCCCCAAGCGATATTTTTCTCATCTAACGCTCGTCTTATACATAGACATCCTAACCGTCTTGTCAATCTTCCATGTTCATCCGCTCTCTACCCAGTTTTCAATCCCGTTCGCTTCCACAACTTCTGGATTCAATCCCTCTTCTCCGGAGTAGTCAGGCAACCTGACAGCCGAAGGAAGTCAACCAGGTGTCGGACGCAATTGTTTCGAGCATACTGAACTTCTTTGCCCTTTCTTTGCGTTCGTGCCACTCCTAGCGTCTGTTCGAGTAGCCATGTCAAAGAGAAACCCCCACTCTTGTCTAGCAATCAGCTCAAGAGTGGGGAAAGGACCGTCTCTATCGATATCTATACCCATTGGTTGCCAGATGCTCAAAGCTACTTCCCCGCAACATAGCGTCGCGCCGGCTTCTCAATCCCCGTTATGTCGTCTGCAACCATCTGTCGCTTTCGCCGTTCGAAATGGGATATCCCTTGTCGACCCCAGCTTATGGACCCACACTGGAGATAGAAGATAACATCCGCCTCATCTAGATAGGTATCGACCCAGAGCTTTTGAACCCACTCATCTGCCCCACTCTCAGGATAGCCATGATTGCGATATCTGGATGCGGAAACGCGCACCTAGTGGTGTTTTGACTGGAAGTTGCGGCCATTATAAGACGGAGGGCACAGGATGTAGCGGAACACTCATAATACATACTGGTACAGTCGTTGAGACGGTTCATCCACGGTATCGCAGTTCGTTTTTGAAGGGGTTCTCTTTGATCTTTTTTAGCTGTTGAAGTCAGCATCGAACTCGGCGAACTCATATCTGGAATACCAAACTACAACAACCGCAACCGTTCGTTTCAGATACCTCTAACACAAAACCAATGTCCGACGAAAGGAAGTCTGAACTGTTTGAAAAGGTCGATGCGTCATCCATTATTCATGATGTCGAGCCCGAACTCGGCATCAGCGAGCCCGTGAATGCTCTCCAGAGGTTCGCGAACAAGCTGGATGCTGTCTGCGGTGTTGAGGCCCGTGGTATCGAGAGGATACCAGAGGAACTGCGAGAACGAGCCATGACGTATCGCGACTACATTCACATGTTCACCATGTAAGCTTTGGGTATCAATGCTGTAAACCGTCAGAGTGACTAATTTTGTATTAGTTGGTTCTCCATGAACTGCACAGCAAATCAGCTCACATTGGGTGTACTCGGGCCCGTTAGTTATAACTTGGGTCTTACAGACTCCCTCATGTATGTCTAGCTCTTCGGGTGCTTGGGCAACGCAACACTTAGCTAACAATGTCAATAGTCTATGTCTCTTTGGCACAATCTTCGGATCCGTTTGCACAGGGTACATATCAACATTCGGGCCACGCTCTGGACTACGAACCCTGAACGTCGCCAAGTACACAATGGGCTGGTGGCCATCGAAACTCTGCGTGATACTCAATCTCTGCATTGAGATCGGATACGGACTAATCGACTGTTTGGTGGGTGGCCTGCTCTTATCTGCTGTAAATGGTGGAGGCATGTCCGTCGTCGTTGGTATCATCATCGTAGCGCTTATAACCTGGGTCGTGGTTACTTTTGGTATAAAGTGGTTTTACAAGTTCGAACAGTACGTCCACATTTTTCGCACTTCTTCTCAACGATAATAGTCCATGCTAACAACACAAAAAGATTCGTATGGGCGCCCACCGTCCTCGTACTCTTCGTCCTTATTGGCGTTGCAGGCCCGCATTTCGATACCTCGCTCCGCTCAAGCGGAACCGGCGCTGTTCTCCACGGGAATCGGGTCTCCTACTTCTTCCTCGTCGCCTCCGGTCCACTAAGCTGGTCTTCCGCATCCGCCGACTACGTTGTCTACTACCCAAAAAGCACAAACCGTTGGCTCACGTTCGCTGCCACAACCTGTGGCATCACATGCGGCAAGCTGCTCATTGAGTTCCTGGGTATCGGTCTCGGCTCTGGGTTGCTGAAGAACTCTACGTGGCAGGAATCCTTCGATTCGGATGGCATCGGCGCACTAGTTGTAGAGGCATATCGCCCACTGAATGGTTTCGGAAGCTTCTGCTGCATCATCTTGGCTGTGTGTATTGCTGCAAACAATATCCCAGGCACGTACGCCGCAGCTCTCAACTGGCAACAACTCGGCGCGCCGTTTGCAAAGATTCCCAGACCTATCTGGAGTACTTTCTCTTGCATCATTTTCACAATCATCGCTATTGCAGGCCGTGACTCGCTCTTCGATATTTTCATTAACTGGCTCAGTTTGATTGGGTATTGGACCATTATCTGGATCACCATGACGGTGCAAGATGAATACATCTTCCGCAAAGGCTCATTTGATTGGGAAATCTGGAATCGAAAAGATCTTTTGCCTCACGGGTTTGCGGCTTTGTTTTCCATGGTAGGGGGGTGGGTAGGCGCTGTGTTGTGTATGTATCAGACGTACTTCACGGGTCCGATCGCGGCGTTAGTCGGAAATGGAGCGGATTTGGGGCTTCCTGTAGCCATGGGATTGACGATGATGTGTTATCCGCCAGCAAGGTGGTTGGAATTGAGGTATGTTGGTCGATAGATGAGTTCTAAAGATGCGTAATCTGTGCTCAGGAGAAAATAGAGACATTGTTTGAAGTGGTTGCAAGACGCGTGTTTGGAATTTTGCATCGTGTTATCGAGTTAGTCCATCACACGCCAGGAGTACGACAATAGAGTACCTGCGTTGTAGTGATGCATTGTAGTGATATTGTTGACTGTTGGAAACTCTGATCAGGAGATGGCTCGTCGTGATAGAATGCGGTCTGCGAGTCTTATCGATAAGTTCAATATCAGTGTCGTCATCGTCTTTTCTCCTCCCCTGACACTCATCTCACCTGTTTCCAGTCGTCCGCATCCCATTACGAGGCCGCGCTGACACTGCACTGCATTATCGACGTGCCGCATCACGGCGAGAGGCAGCTTCCGGCAATTTGGTTGAAGTTATTATCCCCGTTCTTGGCATACGTGGGGCCTTGCAGCGTAGCTTGGCAAGATCTACGACGATAACGCAGGAATGATAAACCACTCCGATGCTACTCGCAGTATAAGCTAAACACCTTCCTCAAATGACTAGATGCCAAGAACGTATCGTGCGTCATGTTGTTACACTGGATGCAAAATGATAGCTAGTCTTCGGCGGTATGGCAGACTAAATCTCCGCAGATGTAAGCAGAGGAGATTGGCGACGGTAAGGGCGGGATGGTAAGAGCAAGTATAAGATCTGATGCGAGATCAGAAACTGCAAGGCATCAGATCTGTTGGCCCTCGATCCCTCAAGCACCATGCGCTACTCTAACATCGCAGTCGCTGCTATTCTGCACACTGTCGCGAGTGCTGCACCGACAGCGTCACAGTTCCAACCACGTCAAGCGACTACTGCTAGCGAGCGACTTGGTCTGACATGGTTGGGCGGTAACAGTACTCTGCCCAAGGTTCTGTACGTTGCAAAGAAGCATCCCAGTGGCTGTCTTTCTGACTGACATACCATAGCGTCCTATTCACAGGAGGAACTATCGCAGGAGGATCGATATACGGCGCCCTAGACGACACTTTATATGGCCAGCTTCGCCAAACGGGAGAGGATATAATCGCCCGCAACCCATACCTCCTCAACAACACCCAATTAGCCATATCGAACTGGACCACGGAAGACGATGGCTCAACAGGGACGAACGATGCTCTAGTCATGAACATGACTCGTTTCGCGCATGATGCGCTATGCTCGGAAGACAGCGACATCGTCGGCGCGGTATATACCCACGGCACCAACTCCCTCGAGGAGACGGCTTTCCTCATGGACTCGCTAGTCAACTGCGGAAAGCCCATCGTCGGCACTGGAAGCATGCGTCCGTTCACCCACTTATCCTGGGACGGAGAAGCCAACTTCTTCGACGCTGTGATGCTAGCAGCTAATCCTGAATCACATAACAGAGGTCTGATGGTGGCTTTCAACGCGCGCATCATTCCTGGTTACTGGGTCAGTAAGCTGCATTCGACGAATCCTGATGCTTTTGGCCCTACCTCTGGAGGTGACTTGGGCATATTCATCAACAGTCTACCTATCTTCTTCAACACACCTTCTCAGCCGTTGTACAAGCACTACTTCGATATCGACGCCGTCACCGCTTACCCCACCTACCCGGCACTCCCTAAAGTCGATATTCTCTACGCAGCCCGCGAGTTCGACGGGAAATTGGTATTAGACGCGCACGCAAATGGTGCTGAAGGTGTTGTCGTTGCTGGTACTGGCAACGGCGGCCTGCCAAGTTGTCAAAGAGATATTGCTGAAGCGCTGGCAAGTGGCCTCCAGATCGTCGTTGGGACTCGCAGTTCTTTTGGACCGTCTAGTCCAGATCTGACACCTTCATATGCAAAGGCAGGTTTCCTGCATCCTATTCAAGCGAGGATCATGCTGCAGTTGGCAATTGCAAGTGGGATGAATATGAATCAGACAATTGAGGTATTTGAGGGGGGGTTTAGAGACGCTATTGGACTGCCTTGGAGCCCAGGTAGTTGATGAAAGCATATGAGATATGGTATTTAAGCTAATGAAGATATAAGTCTAGGTATGATCCGATATTCAGCTCTCGATGTTACGCTTCTTAGCGTCTTCACGAAATCCTTCAGTCTACATTACGATTTTAACTATCTTGTTGTGGGCGACAGTGACGAACTCAAGCTTTCTAGCCATCTTTCCACCACCTCTCTCCGTTTGAGCCCTTGATGTTCGTTCCATCTTTTGAATGCAAGTGATACAGATTGAATTCCTTGCCAATCTCGCTAAGCCCGTTGCCCGCCTCATCGATCAGCATACCCTTACCGGGTCGGGCCATGAAGTACGCATATCGATGGATATCCTGCGACTTGTCCATCCAAGGCATCACTTCATCCAAGAAACTTCTCACCTCGTCGTCAGTTCCATCGGCGCGAAACTCGGTTATCCAGATGGGGAGACCCTTGGCGAATTTGCGGGCGGCGTTGATGTGGTCTTTGAAGTTCTGGGAGTTACGGGCCGGGCCGTACCTGTGGGAAGCATCATCAGTACGACTGAGCGTCAAGAGAAGATTATGAAGCGCTTGGTAAGAGGGCAAGAAACTTACCAGTGGAGATTGAGGAAATCGACGGTACATCCATCGCACGTGTCCAAGAACTTTGCTAGCCAACCCAATCCCTGGGTATCGGACGACACAGCATTCGTGACACCCGGTGAACCGAGATATGTCTTGCTGTTGAAGGTTGAGAGTGGCTGCATGTGCTTCTTCCAGCCGGCGACAGCAGTCGGAACGTCGATACACGAACCACCTGCATCAGGACTAATCTCCCATTAGCATCGTCCTCATCACCAACACCCCCGAATCCCCCGCCACAACCGGAAAGAAAATAACCCAACTTACATGCAGTTATCCGGCTCGTTGAACCCCAACATCCACGTCGCCATCTCCCCATGTTTCCAGTTCTCTCTCGCAATCGACTCCGCATTATCCTTCCACCGCCCCGTATGATCGTCACGCAGCGAGTGCAGCATAGGAATGAAGCGGAACCAGGCGTCTGACGGCGGAGATGAGGAATCCCAGTTGTAGCGCCAGGTGACGTGGGTGCCTTCCATATCGAAGAACTTGGCGAAGTGCACATCGTTGTAAGCGATGCCGCGGCGTTCGTGGGCAGGCTTCTGATTGAGGGGGTCGTGCTTGGTGCTGGAGCCAGCGGGAGTGACGAGGGTGGTGTTGGGAGAAAAGGGTGTAGGCGTCGCGAAGGCGAGGAGGGGGATGAGGAGGGTGAGGGTGAGGGTGAGGGCGAGGGCGAGAAGGTTCATGATGGTCTGTAGTCAGTCTTGCTGATGGAGGGGGACTGTAGAGGGCGGTTGAGTGTTTATGCAAAGCGTTCGTGAATGAGAGTGTGAAGTGGGAGTCGAGGTAGTGAGTGAGTGGATCTTTTCCAGGAAATTGCCGAGGGAAGGTATAATAAGAGTATAAGTAGCGATAGAAGTGGGAGCCTGATCAATCGCGGCCATAACTCTAGTGCAGTTTAGGCCTTGGTAAAGGTAAGAGTCGCGATAAACGCTTGGATCAAGAGGCAGGGCATGATCCGGGTGAGTACTCGAAATCACCGCTTCTAGCTGAGCAGTCATGCTGATAGAGGGAGAGCGACTAGGATAAGCAATCAGCAGACTGTGAAGATCATACCGAAAGGTATCAGAATAAACACATAAAGCCCAAGGTAATATGCAAGCCGTTTGTCGGAAGTTGCGAAGTGACCATGTCAATTACGATCCACAAACGAAAATGTCTTATCTGACTCAGGAATCATTCTGGGTTCGGGATAAAGCACTCAATCCCCTACTCATGTCTCTCGTGGTATGATAGTGATACTGTATATTCTAATTTTTCAATACAAAGACTTGGAAACGGCACTATCACCACGCAAACTCTTCGCATTTTCAAACGCCACGATAACACTCAACTTTACGGCTTCTGTATCGACTCCAGCAGAGCCTCATTGGGCATCTATCACTCGAGTTCCTTGTAAACGTGCCCGATAAGCTCAGAAAACTTTATCCAAAGTCTGTAATTTCCATGATATATACTGTGCAGGACACTCCATCTTGAAATCGATGGACGAGCCTCGGAATTTCCACTTGCAGTCTTTGTGAGGGAGAAAGAGATATCGTGAGGTAGACTATCGGAGGTCGACATGTGTGATGGAAGTATTGCTAGGAGAAGCCCATGCATGTAGCACAGACAAAGCGAGTTATTGACACTGTTCGATGTTAGCGGCGACGTTAAAGGTGAGTCGAAACTATATGGTATTTTCACGCCTTCGCAATATGGCTCGTCAAAATTATTTCTAGATGCCTTGACGGACTTTGAGAAACTCTTGTACTTCTGGTGTTTAGCACTGGCGTCCTTCACTTGAAGAGTAAGTGAATCGCACACGCAATTGGGAACGTATTTCATCAATTGCTCGTTCGAGGCTTCCAAACATTGGTATACACATAAGTATTTGATACATAGCTCCTGTGCGATTCCTACATCTTGCCGCCAGTGAGCTCTTCGGCCAGCTTCTTGACCCGCTCCTTGGCAAGACCAACACCCTCGCCGCCCCTGAGCTTGTTGAGCATGTCGCCCACGCCCTCGGGCAGGGGGCCATGCCAAGGGCTGAGGCCCTCCTTGCCCTCCGCTCGTGGGCCCATGGTGCCCCTGTGGTCCCAGCCTACTGGCGACTCTTCCGTACCAAAGGCAGTCTCTATCGCCTCATCCAGTTGTTGCTCGTCCACGATGAACTCGCGCGCGTTGGTGTATAGATCGTGTAGGCGAGATGCGCGGACTTCTTGTATTTTAGCCACTCGGCGCTGGTATGCTCGGCGGCGGGCTTTTGTAATATCCGGCCGAGGAGCAAGGCTGTCGGTGAGGAAGTCGCGGATGCCTTTGGCGACGGATGTCTCCGTCAAGATGTCGACTTCACGACGTGGAGCCGTAGCCAATTTCCGCCTCTCGGCACCAATAGCCTGGATTTTGGCCAGGTATTGTGCTTCTGATGTGACCTTCCGCTCGTGCAGCTCCTTGACACCCTCCTTCAAGTTCTCCCTCCTCTTCTCTGCCAATCTTTGCTTGTATAACCGGTAGTCGGCATCCCGGCTGTATGGTCCTGGGACCTTGACTTCTTTAGGTTCCCGGGTGCTCCTGCTGATGAAGATGTCTGACTCCTTAGGATGCTTGTTCCTCGTCTTGAAGACATCTCTTGGGATAGGCAGATGACCCTTTACTGCTGGCTTGGCCGGGTAGGTGGGCTGCAGCGGCTTCGGGACCTCGATGTAGTTTGGTGATTGCGGACCGAGGGCGAGAGATGTGGGTGTGGAGGAGAAGGCCCGCACACAAAGGCTGCTATTCCAGCCATTGGCGGTTGTAGAGGGTGAAGGTGACGCCCACGGGAAGCGGACAGGTATCCTTGGCGGCATTGCGATAGTGTGGCCTCTTGCACAGCGATGCGGAGGTGCTGCGGTGGTGTCGTCGCGCCTGCTTCGAAATTGTCGGCGCCAAGGCCCTTGGCCCCACCCAGCCTAGCTCCCGCCTCTCAGAAAAAGCTGGCTCGCGAACTTCTACCCTTCACTCTTCCCCAAACTCGACAAACCTTAGGAAGCAGTCGCAATGGGTGTTCAAAAGAAAGAAAAGGTCCGCAAGGAGCGCGAGGGCAAGACGGGCGATGGCATGGGCAATGTCAAAGTCAAGGGCACTAACTTCTACCGGTATGTTGCGCGTGGGCAAAGTTCGTTTTGCACGTTCTTTGCGCCAGCATATTTTATTTTCCATAGGTATACTAACAGGTTCCTAGCGATGCGAAGAAGGTCAAGGTCCTCAAGCGCCTCACAGACGGCAAAGCTCAGCGCAATGCCAAGGGAGATGTTACCAAGGCCGCTGTCTACCAAAACCGCGATGCGCCTGTCGCCCGTGTCGAGCCCAACAGGAAATGGTTCAACAACACGCGAGTAATATCGCAAGATGCTCTGGACAGCTTCCGTTCGGCCGTACAGGCACAAGCCTCCGACCCTACTACCTTCCTGATGAAGCGCAACAAGCTTCCCATGAGCTTGATCGAGACACCAGGGCAAATCCCAGGCCTGAAGCAACACGCTGCTAAGATTGCCGTCGGCAGTCAGCCTTTCTCGGAGACCTTTGGCCCCAAGGCTCAGCGCAAACGACCAAAGCTAGACTTCAGCTCTATTGAGGATCTCGCTGGCCGCACAGGAAGCATGCACGAGACATATGTGGAGCGCCTTGAGCAGGCCAAGCTGTTGTCAGGCACATCTGGCGAGGCTGAGACCAACGACAACGAGTCCTTTGCCGACAATCCCAACGGCGAACTCACATCTGCGCGAGAGTTCATTTTCATGAAGGGTACCTCGAAGCGTATTTGGAACGAATTGTACAAGGTAAGCACTCACGCCACATTTTTGTCAGTCCGCGCCTAATGAGCTCCTAGGTCATTGACTCGTCCGATGTCATTCTTCACGTTCTAGACGCCCGTGATCCCGATGGAACTCGTTGCCGCTCTGTCGAGAAGTACATCCGTACCGAGGCACCTCATAAGCATCTGGTTTTTGTGCTTAACAAGGTCGATCTTGTTCCGTCCAAGGTTGCTGTAAGTTCACCTCCCTCTACACATACATTCCTTCACCATCCACACACCCTCCTTAAGTCAAGGACCTTTTCCTATTCCATGAATACGGTTCTGTTACAAGTTGGGAAGAGCAAAAGTGGCTCGCTGTCCTAAGATCGTCTTGATCGCGGGTCGATCGCAACCGTCTTGGTTGTTGATCAATAGAGTCACGCGTGATTCGTTTGAGTTGAGGACCGTCTCTGCACTCGCAGCTTCATGGCGGTACTCTTAGTAATGTTTCGCACATTCCATCATCGACGCATTTTATCATGTTCAGTTGATGCACAAACACTGACACTTGACAGGCTGCATGGGTACGCCACCTTAGCAAAGAGTTCCCAACGCTTGCTTTCCACGCCTCCATCAACAACAGCTTCGGTAAAGGTTCCTTGATCGCCCTTCTTCGACAGTTTAGCTCTCTCCACAGCGACCGTAAACAGGTCTCCGTGGGTATGGTTGGCTACCCAAACACCGGTAAATCGTCCATCATCAACACCCTGCGGAAGAAAAAGGTGTGCGTTGTTGCACCTATCGCTGGTGAGACCAAGGTCTGGCAATACATCACCCTGATGAAGCGTATTTACATGATCGACTGTCCTGGTATTGTCCCACCAAATCAGAACGATACCGATCAGGATCTCCTGCTCCGTGGTAGTGTTCGTGTGGAGAATGTCGAGTACCCAGCACAGTACATCGAAGAGGTGTTGAAACGGGTACAACCGCGTCATCTCCAGCGAACGTACGACATCAAGGAGAAGGACTACAACAACGATGCCGTCGCGTTCTTGGAACTGATATGCCGGAAGAGTGGTCGTCTACTCAAGGGCGGTGAAGCTGACATCGATGGTGCTGCCAAGATGGTCTTGAACGACTGGATAAGAGGAAAGCTTCCATGGTTCACTCCACCGCCGTACAAGGAGGGTGATGACGTGAGCGGACCCATCAACCCCAAGCGCGAAGGCAAAATGGGTGAGATGAGTAAGAAGAGGAAACGAGGCGGTGAGAGCGAAGCTAATGGCAGCGTTGCTGCAAAGACGGACGCTACTGGTGCTACCCAAGACGAGACCGATGACGATGACGAGGACGAGGACTTCAGTGGCTTCAGTGATGAAAACGGCCTGGAGATGGACGGTGACGAGGAGGTGTCTGACGACGACGAAGAAGGCGGCACACTTCTCGATGCAGCCGACGATGATGAGGAGAGTGAAGACGATGCACAAGTTGAGGAAGAGCTTGCGGCGATAACGCAAGCGCTTTCCAAAGCGAAGAAACGGCAAAAGACCACATGAGGTCACCAGGATAGTTAGTTTATGATTCAAATGATACCCCGATATTACGATGTCTCACAATGGTCGTTCAGTTCCACCTCTTGGCTCTGTGGTGACAATCTGCTTGAGTTGTCGTTCGTTGGAACCTTACATATCTTCGAGCTGCATGTCTGGATTGGGAAGATGCCTCACTTTTGTCAGCTCAGCCTTTCCCAAGCCTGATCACATCTGCCTTCCTGAACCTAATCACCACCTCGTAACACCCGCCATGGCAGCTGAAATCGGAGCGACAGCTATACCTCACAGACTATGCCAATGGTGCAATAATGCCGTCAAGCGATTGTTATTGTCTCTCCCAATCCACCATGGACATGGCGTCGGAGTTGAACACTACCCAAACTTGCAAGCATTCATCGACAGTGTACTCCGACAGCAATGTCATCTTTGCGCAATTTTCGCAGGATCGCTACTTCCAAGGTTCTATACAATAACAATCGAAGAAGCTCTGAATAACTTGCGCAAGTATCACGATAAGGCTGAGCGTCTGCTTCTCATGGTGATAAAGAAATCAGCAATACCACTTGGTTCGTGGCAAGCTTTCAATCTTTCTCTCGCGTTTGACAAAGATGAAGGCAGACTCGCACGGCTCGCTTTTGCGACCCTGAGACACTCCAAAAGCGAAACAATCAAGCATAACGTGGCACCCGAGTTGCTTTCGACCTTCACAGGATCCGAAGCAGGCTACGCAGATATCAAGAAATGGCTACGCATCTGCTCTACGGAGCATATTGTTTGCCACAGTGATGCGAACCGGCGCCTACCAACGAGATTGCTAGATCTCGAATTGAGAAATTCAAAAGATGTTAGGCTGGTTGCTGGAAGCACCATCGGTCCAGCGGCGTACGCCGCACTAAGCTACTGCTGGGGGTCTGTACCCCAGTTAGTGCTTTCACCAGAGAATCATTCGGAGTTCAAGATCCGTATACCGATTGAGTCTCTTTCCAAGGTTGCACAAGACGCTATTACGGTCTGTCGGGCTTTGTCGGTACGTTATCTGTGGATAGATGCAATATGCATCATGCAAGGGCCTGACGGGGACTTCCATCAGGAAGCAGCGCGCATGGAAGATGTGTATGCCAACGCGTTATTCACAATCAATGCTGCAGCCTCTACCGATACAACACAGCCATTTCTAGTCCGTCGCAATCCTTTATGGTGGATCGACTGCCAACTCATGGCGGATGATGACGGGAAATACGAAAACTATGTCGAAGGCAACTACTACTGCAAAGAAGATGATCATGTACCCGGTATGTTTCCTCTTGATTTCCGGGGCTGGTGTTTCCAGGAACAGTTCCTGTCGCCAAGATCGATCTACTTCGGGGCGAGGGGCATCCATTGGGAATGCCGTGAATCAATCGTGTGTGAGCGTCACAGCGATATGGAAATCGGACACGAAGTTGGTGGGCCAATGGATTCATCTCGCAAGGCTTTGTACACGAAACTCGTGTCATTGAATGACAACCTTTCAGATCCCACTACGGTCTTCGTTTTGCGTGAACTGTGGTGCAAGATTGTAAGAGGGTATACTGCGACACGGTTGACGCACCGATCAGACAAGCTCTTAGCGCTAGCTGGCGTCGCTTCCATGATCGAGGATAAGTTCAACATGAGGGCTTCTTTTGGGTTATGGCTGGAAATGTTCCTTGATGAGCTCTTGTGGTTCCGATACGGCAAAATGGGCCAAAGAGGGGTACGACTTGACATTGCACCTTCATGGTCGTGGGTAAATATGGATGACTGTGATACCATCACTGTCGCCGAAACTTTGCATGGTGGCGAGAAGAGATGTAGGCAACGACTGCTAGATTCCCTTTCGGCAACTATCGTCTCTTTACCTTCTGTTACCGGGTTCACGAGTTGTTTGTGGGTTCCTAGCGCCGAAAGCAAAGCACCCGTCCGAATCAGAGGTCGTCTGACGCCATGTGTTTGTCGTACTGTCAAGTCAAGGCACCCCGATTTGCTATTCGAGCGACTTGATCCGAAAGACTGCCCATCACCATCTGATTGTGATATCGGCAGATACATCCCAGACTCAGATCTGGAAGAAACGGATATCTACTGTTTTCTTGTGAGGCGAGAGTACCGAGAGGTCTTATACGATGAAAATCGAACTCGCCGCGGCCGCTGGATATCCGATCAGTGTTTGGTTTTAGCCTCAGTTTCAAAACCGGAACATCGCTTTCGACGAATTGGTATCTATCATGAAGAGATAAAAGTGACTCAAGACCATCAGACCGGTACAAATGAAAGCAGACTACTGATTGACTCCCATATGTTTGCAGATGAAGGGGGAGAACAGGAGGTTGAGATCGAAATCATCTAAAGGGCGTTCTATTAAAATAGCAGTGGGAAGGATAGACGAGGCTGCGTATCTGTCTCAAGACCGACTTATGCTAGCTCAAGCTCAATTAGAGAATCAAGACTATGCGGATGCCGCCAGACACCTGTCATTTTCAAACCTGCACCTTCGTACATCTTCCGATGCTCCTCTTCTGTTCGGTGTCGCGCTCCAAGACTTGCCATCAGCTCCCAATCAAGACATGCTACTTTGTATCAGCAGGCAGTCACATCACAGCATCGAAGAACTCACTTTGCGCCCAATGCGCGCCCTGATTCGGAACCACAAAATCGTTGACAAGGACCTTAGAGTATCCCTTCTTCATGGCCGGCACGATCGACTTCAGAATCTCAGTGTTCACCTCATCATTCCAGTCTTGGATGATTGAATGCAGATAATATGCCCTTGCACCTTTCACGGGTTGCTCGGTCAGAAAGTCGTGTGCCATTGCCTCAGCGCCGGAACCAAGTTTCGCAAGCTCAACAATCTCCGGCCTGTCTTGTAGTACCAGCGTACCTGGTAGCTGGCCTTCGAACGCCTGCCTCAGACCTTCGATATCGTGTCCGGAGCCGCCACCGACGTCGACGAGGAACGGCACGTCCTTCTCGGCGCCACTAATCAATCGATCTTCGACAGGGTAGTAATCCTTGGAGAACCACCGCAGCCGTCCCTTACTCCACGAGTCCATCATACTAGCGAAGCGCCGTCCCACTTCGGGGTTCTGCTGAAAGTACTCGAAGTAATGACTGCCTTTGCAGTTGTAGGCATGCTGGAACGGAGCGTCAAGACCAGAATCCGGACATTGCCAATTACGTTGCTCAAAGTACGACTTCATGGACTGATGCGCCGGCGCAAAGTTTTCGGCGATATACAGTATGGAGTCTTGGTACGATTGTTCGGCAAATGCAGAAGAAGTTGGCGTGTTCGCGAATGTATTAGGCCCAGTCTCCCGCACAGTGCCCATGGCAGCGAGATGGCGAAGCATGCGCCCCACGATAATCGGGTCAACGTTCTTGTCGCACTTCTTCGCGATCTCTTGAACGGTAGCTCCAGACTCCGGGGCATCTTGCATAGCTTGAAAGAGCTTTACTTCCACGCCCATCCAAAGTGTGCTCAGATGCGCGGGCTGCGCCCATAACAACTGCAGCATGGTCTCGGATGGATGGCTGACTTCCGCGATGAGGCTCCTGCACGCGTCCAACAATCCTTCTCTTGCGCCGGGATTCCCATTCTTGAAGCCGTCGCTAAGTTGCGCAATGCTGTCAAGGAGGGAGAGAGCACCCTTGCTCGGAGCTGAATCGGCCGCCATGATAAAGTTTAGAATGGGATTGCGATGATTGGGAGATGGGGAACGCCAGTCTTCGATCGTAATCGTGGTACGAGTCGTCGGGGTTCTGCGTGCACTCTCTGCCCCTCATCGGTCGAATCTTCGCCGAACTAAAGCCGCAGCTGAAAGTTATGGCGATTGGCCCACGGCCGAAGGCCAGAACCCTAAATCCTGGACATTACCACGTTACGCGCCCACATCGTATCTCCCTTACATTCCCCCACTCCACCTGCTAGTCATCATTGGCCCCATTGTGTGACAAAGGAATTGCCGTTTCGCAATTAGATTGTTTGGAAATGTCCCATCCGCCAGGCCTCGAAGCACAAAACCCGTCGCCAAATGCGGCGCACGATTCCGCGATCGACTCTGGGATTGACACCGGCTCTTTTTCCGAATTCGATCAAGAGAACAACGCGCACTATGCCCTTGAAGCTCAGGATGATACCAGCGAAGCGTCCACAGATGAAGGGTGAGCTGGCTCGATGAGGCGCCGGACAAATTGTTGACGTTGCGCAGCTATGCCGACTCAGACGCGTCGTCCTTTCTCTCGTCCATTTTATCAGAAGTCAGACGCGGTGTAGAGATAGAAGGACGGTTGTACCCATCCTATGGCAAACACGACTATGGCATGCCGATAGATGAGAAAGAGTTGGATCGCAACGATCTCCAACACCACAAATACACATTGTTACTCAGAGACCGACTATTCGTTGCGCCCATCTCCGACGAAACTTTTGCCGACGCCAACAGCCGGGTTCTGGACCTAGGAACCGGCACAGGGATCTGGGCCATGGACATGGCCGACAAGTACCCCAACGCCGAGATCATAGGCGTGGACATTGCAGCAACACAACCCCCTTTCGTGCCCCCAAACTGCGTTTTCGAAATCGACGATGTTGAGGAAGACTGGGCGTACCGCCCAGCTCACTTTGATTTTATCCACGGCCGCGATCTCATGACTGCGGTACGCGACTGGCCGCGTCTAATAAGCCAAGCATACAGGCACCTCAAACCAGGTGGATGGATCCAACTAGCCAGCACCATCCCTGGCGCCTTATCCGATGATGGCACAATCCCGCCTAATAGCGGTTACGTAGAATCCGGACGTCTCTATTTCGAAATCGCAGAGAAAATGGGCGCGCCGCTCGATGCACCTCGCTCCTGGGCTTCGCAAATGAAAGATGTGGGGTTCACAAATGTGCAAGACGAAGTGTACAAGTTACCCATGGGCACGTGGCCACGGTCAAAAAGGTTGCGCACGATTGGCAAGTTGGAACAGATTATGATTCTAGAAGGGGGGTTTGAAGCGTATATGTTGAGGGGGTATACGCAGGTGTTGGGAGGTAATGCTGATGATTTACAAATCATCCTTGCGCTTGCGAAGAGGGAGGTTAGGGATCCGAGTATTCATACTTATGTTCAGTTTCATGTTACGTATGGGCAGAAACCAATGTAATGGAGATGGACTCAAAGCCGTGATTAAAAGTTCAGCGATATGTGTATTTTAGTGTGGCTTAAGATGTGATACAAATGAGGTAAAATGCTGTTGACTATCTTAAAAAAACAACGGAGCGTTGACAATGAGAAGAGAGTTGTTCACTTTACAGATCAAGGCCGTGATGAGCATTCTGGCTCCGCCATTATAGTAAAGGGTGGAATGCGATAAGCCGGTAATCGGCTTCGTGTAATACTCTCAGCTGAACATCATTGCGAACAGGTCGATCATGTTGGCGACTGAGACCATCGGCCACAGTCTCCACAAGCCCTTCCAAAACTTCGATAGGATCTGGATCTTTAGCAAAAGGAGCTTGCACGACTTCCATTTCTCGGCCTGGCATGGCGATCGAATCTGTATCATCTTCATCGCTGTCGAGCTCTTCGAGACCATCGTTCCCCATGTTAGAATGCGGGTAACTGGCAAGCAGCCATTGGCTGAAGCTGAGCGGGCGAAAATACCTTTGTGTGTGCAAGTTATGGCCTATGAATCCGGTATACTCGGGAAGGTTGACGGCGGTTTGGCCTTTACGTTCGATACCGTAGCAAAGTGCATGATTCATCGGGCACGTGTTCAGATGGAGGCCGACAGACTCCCACCACGAGTTGATGCAAACGCGGTGGACGCAGCGCTTATAGCCACCGACCTTAGTGGTGACTAATCTCATTTTGCCATTACGATCTGAATCGGTTCTAGTTTCGTCTACGTGGCTGTACTCGGGAGTAGCGTCTTCTAGCGGCATCCGACACATAGCGCACTTCTCATCAGGAGGCGAGCGGCGGGTTTCAACAGCCGTTCTATTCGGGAGAGTACTTGGGTTGACTGCCATGATTACGTGATGAGATCGGGTGGTAGTCTCTGTTGATCGGGGGCATAAACATGATAAGTCCTGCATAAATTAAGCGGCGTTGTGTTGTGAGCGAAGTACAAGCAGTTGCTGTCCTCTGTAAAGCGCTCACTCGTTCGCTTCGTGTTGATTCACAGCGTCCCAAATGGATTTCTGATGAAAGTTGTCGTACTCGGCCATCGAGCGAGCGATGCTCGACGAACGGTAAGCAAGATGCAGCGCGACTACCGAAGCTGGTATGTTGATTCTTAGTGACATGGCTAAGTTCCCTTCGCTTGAATCACGATGTTCCAGTTGTGAGCGGCCACTAAGAAGATACGTTATTCTATAAGTTGCTCATATACTATGCTCCTGAGATGTCTGGCACCATGTGAACATCGAATAATTGTGCTTCAAAACATGAAGCACGGCGCGTGACGAGTAAGGTGAATTCAAAAGGACCAACTGAACACTGTAGTTAAAGGATGAACAGCAAGTGTGGGGTAAGCAATACAAGAGCCAGTTGGTTGGACAGTCGATTTGAACAAGTGCAATATAGCGAAAAATGCTCCACATTCTCATCTTATCACGGGAACAAGTCAAAAAAGATGATGTGTTCGCTTTTAGGTACCTCGAGAGGGGATTGTTGATAAGAAACAGATGTTGCAGCCAATGCGACGAGATCACAGCACAACGAGCTAATGATTGACGTCATTAATCATGCTCGCGTTTCATCTGGCGTGCGGTATCCGTCATCCCTTCTCCATCCTCCCTCCTCCGCCTCAACGAACGGACTCTGAAGGCAATTCGTGGACATGGTCTTGGCTTCCCAGCTCGGGTACCATCTTCGCCTCCCTGAGCTCACTATGGCCATGCCTTGCCGGCAACTCATGGAATGCGGTACCAGTCAGCTCCGGATGTGAATGCGGCGCGTCGTGGGCTACCTTCTCATCTACCTCATCCAGCGATGTATTCTGCCTCCGTCTTCGCCTAGGTTTTAACACTAGAAACCACGTGCCTAAGATGAACAACACCATCGCTGCTATGCAGCCGACGACGATTCCAGCGATCACACCACCTGATAAGCCGTCTCTTCGGACCGGGTCCACATCACGATCTCTACCTGAGATCGTCACAATCTCAGGCTCCAGTTCATCCCATCTCGCCGCACTGACGTTGAAGATACCAGACTCGTAATCAACGCCGATGTAGGCTTCTTGTAAGAATACCCTGCCAATCGCGTACTGGCTCTCATTATCAGCCCTTCGGATCGGAAAATAGTTTGTCGCATTCGCGAAAATTGGATATCCTGCCTGCAGATCGAAAGCTTCATACGGTATTTGGATGACGGTGGTGTTACCTCCTGTCACAGCATTGGTACCGATGGTGAACGTCAGTGTGGGATCAAGTTCACGAAGCTGATTCCTAGCCAAATCCGTGAGGACATACCTCCCAGTTCCATCGTGGTACTGTAAGCCGAAAGCAGACTCGAAGCGATCACACACCGACTTGGGAAGCCAGATCTCTGGGACCGATGAGTCAATTGGGGCTAGTATTCGCTCATTTTCGACTAACGAAAGCGTTCCGTTCAGCGTGTTGGTCACGACAATGTCCTGGAGCCCGACCATGAGAGCTCTGGTCATGTCGGAGGTATTGATGTCAACTTCGAGGGGCTTTGAAGAGCGTGAAAGGTCATACCCTCCAAGTATTAGGCTCGCAGGTATCTTTGTTCCACGGTACGGAGCACCAGCCTGATACCCATACGCTAGACTTGGTATGTGGCCCTCATCTTTAAGAGCAGAGAGCAACGATGGAGAACTGATTGTTTCTGAAAAGTTTAGTGGCAACGGTAATAGTCCCATCTGACCGACCCAAAAGCCAGGTGAGGCATATGCGGTGAGCGCCAGGTTTTCCATTGTGAGATCGTCCAGTCCAACATTGTCGAATCCGTATAGACCGTTTCCAGTGATCCCGCGGTCCTTTTCTAGTCCAAGTTCGTAAAGGCCGATAGCTTTCCAGGTCGATGACATGTTCGCCTGGAACCCAGGACTCGGACGTTGTTGGAAAGGAGTCGCACCGCGGGAGCCGCCACACGAAGCAGATTCACCTTGCAACCTGATGCATTCATCGGCGATCGGAAGCCATACATTTTGAGCTTGGGTTGCAGGCAATACCCCGAATGTTTGTGGTGGTGTTCCTACTTGGACCAGGAAACTATGGCTGTCAGCACAATCCTAGATTGATTTGCGGCCCGGAAAAGGTGTACGTTGACCAACTTCCATCGTTACCAAGCCAACCTCCAGATGCAGCGAGTGAAAGCGCTCTTGCCATGTTTCCGGAATCGGGCTGAGTTTGACGATGCTATGTCACATGAGATAGAATCCGTGGATAAGGTAGGAGATATGGTCCCTTATTTGCGTCGATGCGCCTGTACTTGACCACGACTGCGCTTTTGTGGCTGTTCGAATCCTTCCCCACAATCAGGAACGTAAGAAAATGGTTGGTCGGCTGTGTAGGCCTCCACACCATGTGTTCTGCCAAGGCAATCAATTTTATTGTATGTTTCCGGAATGAGACAATGGGGCTGAGCCTGACCAACCACGATCCAAGTGCCGAGACTACAATTGGGGGCCATTTCCGAGACTGAAGAATTTTGGATGATAGGCCCATTCTTGAGATAGCGATATGAGAATTATCATTGTCAGCCTTGTCCCTCTCATCAATCGCCTTTTCTCGGTTGAGGTATTACCATTCTTTTGACGCAGACAATCACATTCACGGCGACCTCACGTTTCATGAACATGTGGTGGTCTCCAGGCAACATGCGCTCACCTTGCCGGATGACAGTAGTCGTATTCGCCGCTTTGTTCTTCACAGGTACCTGTCCCACCCGAAGTACAGGATGTAGAATCAAAAGACTCATGTAATCTAGATCCTAGCGCTGCGGCGAATGTTGCTCGTTCTGAAACGCCAACATCAGGGTGTACGGCGGTCGCTACCACTGTCACATTTGTGACTGCTATCTCCACTATAGGAGGCATAACAACAACAACCACCGATGTAGCGACAGTGACGGGGTACTCTACTACCATCACTGTCCACATTACCCCATTTAGCAACGGAACCACGTTAACTAGTATCGAGGGTCTGGATGTCACAGCTGGTGTACCTTTCGAGAAGAGGGCGACAAGTGCTGCTGCATTGTCCTTTACGTACGTTCTCGAAGGCTAGACTAGCATCTCACTAATCTCGCTTAGAACGTCTCGTTACTTGAACAGCTCTCTGACCATGACGCCTACGCCTACAAAGCCACAGACAGCCTGCCCGACTGTGACCGAAATTTACACACTGACTAGCATCGTGACGTTGCCGGGAACGGGAATCGTGGTCACGCTCACCGAGACAATGCTCACTGCTTCAATATTATTGAGTATCCATTATCCCGACCCAGCTACTTTTGTGGAACCTATGTAAGCAGAAAGTCCCTATCTATAACATGCAGAGCTGACCAGAGCGAAGTACTTCCAGTGCAGCTATTCTGGGCTCCCAGCCTATATCCACTAGAACTAGCCCTTCAAGTACTGTCCTCGCTGTGCCGACTGATGAGCCAAACAACACGGACGATTCCGATGGAGAATCTACTCCAGCATTGCCCCAAAATACGTCTCCAGGTGTAGCGAAACCTACGTCTGGTGGCACAGTACAAAGATCGTCAAGAGTTCCTGAGTCACCACCAAATAAACTCCCTACGTCACCCGTCGATCCTCCGATTACCACGAAAGTCTCCAGTCCAGAACAAACTCGCACCAAAAATTTGCCAGGCATCGGTCCTATTGTGATCGACCCATCACGTTCGGCTATTTTTGTAAACGGTGCAGCAAGCGCAATTACTCCTGGACAGCAGACAACTATCAACAACATCCCGATCTCGCTGGACACTTCTGCTACCTTCATCGTTATCGACGGTACTAAGACGTTGGCACTCCCTCCATCCACTCCGGTACCTCAACCAGCACGTGTGGTACTCGGTGGCACAACCATCGACATTGGTCAGGTCGCTACCCAACTTGACCCCGGTGAGGTGACCACAATTGATGGTGTTCCCATTTCGCTAGACGTTTCGGCTTCTTATGTGGTCCTCGGAGGTACCCGGACAATTCCACTGCTTGAAGTTACACGTATGCCTAGTGCATCTATGGTGACCTTGGATGGCACAACTATTAACATCAGCGAGCTTGCTACAGAGCTTGATCCTGGCGAGGTGACCGTCATCGGCACCATGACTATCTCACGCGATACTTCAGCACTAATCGCCGGCACTACGACTATATCGCTTGCTGCATTACCGAGCGATGTGGTTCTTGGAGGTACAATGATCTCTGCAGGTGTCCTTCCCTCTGGATTCTCTTTTGTCCCTGCGACTGCTGGAGGAGGCTTGCTACTACCCAATGGCCAGACATTGATGCCTGGGGCCATGACGACGATTGGCGGTATTGAGATATCGCTTACGCCCGGAGAAACACCTGTCGCTGTAGTTGAGAGCTCAGTGTCCATTACCGCATCCGGTACTCTGAGCAGTACTTCTGGAAACTTCAACAACGGCGATACTCTTGGGATTGGACAACCGACAAGTACTACGACTGGTGACTCAGCGCAATTCACTGGTAGTGCAGGCGCAAGCACTCGAAGCGTCCGCAACATGATGCGGAGGTTAGCTATGTCAAGCATGTTATTTGTTATCACTCACGCTTGGGTCTGATTTCAGTCGAGCGTGATGCGCCTCAACTAAAAGTCTCAGGTCGCATAGCTTACGGCCAACTGTAGACATAGTTCCAATCTCCTCTATTCCTCCATTCACATAACTTGCGGTTACGTTGATGTTATTGGAACGGAGATGATGGATGCTACGTGTAAGAGGCTGAAGCCTTGGTTAGTAGTACTTGGCCTGTGGCCTTCGTTATAGCTGGTTGGGATAGGCTGCAACCCTCGGAGCGTTGTCGGGGCTTCATCGGCGCTCCACGGACCCTTAGAAGTTTCTCGAACCTAGCACTACGTGATACATAGACTTAGCGCAAGCGTAGTGTAGCTTCTCTATCGAATTCATTACTGTTATACCTTGCACTTATGGTCAACCCATCGCACTCTTACACTACGCTGGCACCCAGGACCTCAAGAAAGCGCTGGAGACGAAGGATACTGGTGTCGATCACGTCGAAAGCAAATCATAACGAGAGTACTGCCGCTATGACCTTCCCCTTCTCATAAATTCTAGGAACTGGATAGTTATCAACGCACCATGGTGGAACAGTCAGAGCAAGCTCAGTTTCACCCTCATTTGTGGGTGAGCGCAGGTCTGCAGTGGCGTCATTGTAGTGAAAGCAGAATAAGAGCGACTTAACGAATAGCTTACAAGCTGAATCTCACAATAGTTTGAATTATCCTTTGTACTCACAACCTTTGGACCTCTACCACTGATCGATTACGCGAATCATCTCGCCCTGATTCTCGGTAGCTTCCAAGAGTTGCTTGAACGATACCACTTCCTCCGAACACATCCATAGCCCGTAACGTATTCTATAATGCCCTCATTACCACCTACGTCCGCAGCTACGCCGCACGTATTAAAACGCGCCCGAGAGGAAGAACAAATGGAATTTTCCAAGCGACAACGCCAGAACGAGCTCCAGACGCCGTCGGGATACCCCAGTGACTTCGCTAGCAGCTACGATCGAGTACGCCTGAGCCACGCTTCACAACCGTCGTCACTGCCATCAGATCGTGTCACGTACCCAGCTCCAGCTGACACGTACTTGTCGAACTCATGGGCGATCAACACAGAATATGGGGCTTCAGAAAGTGGCGTGTATGCTCCAGATCTTATCTACACTAATCCAGATGGACAGTATAATCATGGTGTATCATCGCAGCCTCCGCCTTTTTCCTGGCTGAGCTATGGTCCTCCTTATCAGGGCTATAGGCCTGCGCCGATCATGCAGGCCTTGGATACGCGAGGACTACCTATACCCCAAATTGAACGTAACTACGGACCATATGATCCTACGGAGGCTACCGCCGTCACGAACCTTCCGCATCAGAGACAGCAGCAGACCCTAAAGCAGCAAGAAATATATTCACCCCAGCCTGCTCCCTTTCCTCACGTCTCTTGCGCACGCCTCCTAGACTCACAGCAAGCCTCTTCTCTTCGATCGGCCATGGGTACACAAAACCATCACCAAAAAAACTTCGTCAATAGTACCACTGCTGCACAGGTCGCTCGGAAGGAGCTTTATGACGAGCAAAAGCAGTGGCTCAGCAACGCAGAAGCAGACCTCAAAGAGAAGACAATCACCGTCATTCCTGCCATTCTTCTCAAGCAAGGCACCGTAGGAGCTCTTGAGAGTGTCAAGGATGATCTGGTGCCGCGCGATGTGTGGCGCCTACGCTCCTTATCGACATCCTAACGTTATGTTGCATACCATATTATGGCTGATCTAGCACGTAAGATGGTCATGTATGATCAGGCTAGCGTAGACTATCAGACATCTTGGGCAAATATCGTCAACTTCCAAGCAAAGCTTATGCGAAAGGAGAGGGCGTGGGCGAATAGCTTCAAGCAGGGCAAGGCTACACATAACCGAGCGCATTGGAACCAGACCGTGAATGAGCAGGCCGTCGAGACTCAGGTCGATCATGCGATGATAATTGAGTACGATCGATTGCGAAAGAGCATGGCTCATTCGACACCATTGGTAAATGTACCTGTCAAAACTGAGACGCCTCTACCACTCATTCCTGAGCCAGTGTCGGCGAAGAAGAAGAAGAAGAAGAAGAAGAAGAAGAAGAAGAAGAAGAAGAAGAAGCCAGCCAAGGAGCAAAATCCCATGCCACAGTCACAAGCCCCAGTAGCCCCGTCTGTCGCGGCTCAGGCAGTGCCAGTGATTACCGCCAAGCCAGCCACGATCAAGCACCCGGCGGACAAGGTCAAGGTTCCAAAGTACCCCTTCGATGACATCGAGGACTTCGACACCCATCCAGTTACCGGTCTTTACAAATGCATGCACGAGTTCGAGACTGAAAAGTCTTGTTGTAAAGAAGGGTTGGACAGAGCAAGAATGAAGCAATCGATCCTAAGAAGTATCACGACGTGGAAGTCAAAAGTTGAGATCTTGATCGAAAAAGGCGATTTGCATAAAAGTCATATGACCTGGACGAAATACCAAAACGCGAGGCTAAGAGAAGATCAGAAGGTGATGGAAAGAAAGCGAGCAGAAGAGGAAGCATGCGACGGAGGAAATGATGCAGAGCGAAGCGCCAAGGAGCATAATGAACAGGAGGAGCAGGTTGAGGAGGGGACTGCGAGAGCAAAGGCTTTGACGAGGGAGCGGCAGTGACAGCTCTGGCAACAAGCGCCCCATGAAGACAATGCAGTTGCCGGACCTCCGTCTGTTCCATCGCCCATCTCACCCGAGCAGCATGATGTGCCAGCACCCGAACCATCTCCAGAAGAAGTCGCCGCGGAGGCCGCATTTCAAGAAGAGGTTGCCAGAGGGGCGAGGCAATACGAGCGAGACTACAAAATGTGTCGGCGTGTCGAGAGCATGAAGAAGTGGCCCAACTGGCCACGCTTCGATGAGTGGTGGGCTGCAAGGCAACTACAGGTCCAATATTCGCACCTTTTACAAGCGCAGAAACTCTTCTTGGAAGGTCCAGAGCCTTCTGGTATCGCGGACAAGGGTCCAGCATGGGTAAAGAAGATCAAAGAGCCATTACCGCTGCAAGTACAGGAGCCAGCCGGTGAAGAAAATGCCATTGAGCCAGACGACCCAAATTTCGATGATCTGTTCGAGGACTACGGGTTGGAGCTCTAGAGGGTAAAGAGAACAAGAAGAGTGAAAGTTTCACTAGGTAGTTCTGCAAGTCCACAGCAGCGATCTCAATGACATTAGTTTGAGTGTTGGATAGACCATGGGATCATGGGAATCTCACCCCGAGCGACAACGTAGAACACACGGCAAGGTTGCATGTTCCGAAGTGTGCCCACAAAGAAGGAACAGTAAAGCCGTTCGACCGAAAACGCTACAATGAGCTCCAAACTCTGAATTTACAAACATTCCGACAGACTGACGTTAGTTTATAATCCTCCTTCGCCTACACGTCCGCTCCTTTGTCTACTAGTAGCTGCACTAATTCTTTGTTCTTGCTTTTGACTGCCTTGTATAGAACTGTCTTGCCAGAACTATCCTTCGCATTTACATCTGCTCCAGAATCTACTAACATCTGCACCATTTCCTCTCTCCCTCTTCTTGCTGCTAGGTGTAGAGCTGTCTGTCCATATCTGTCTTCGGCTCTAACATCTGCCCCTAGGCCTACTAGTAACTCTATTATTTTCTCATCCGCAGACCAAGCTGCGTGATGTAGCACTGTTCTCTTAGCGATATCCTGCGCGTTAACGTCAGCCCCTTTGTCTACCAGTAGCTGCACTACTACCCTGTTGTCTCCTCTTACTGCCTGATGTAGGACTGTTTCACTAGCATCGTTCCTCGCCTCAACGTCCGCTCCAAGGTCTATCAGCAGCCGTACCATTGCCTCGTTCCCTTCGCTAGCTGCTGAGTGCAGGGCTGACTGCCGCGAAACTATGCTGCTAGCCAGTCCTTGCCCATGAAACCTTTTTGAGATGGCAGCTTCCACTGCTAGTAGCTTAGGTACATGCATCGCCAATACCGTTCCACACCCCCACAATGAGATTACAGAGTGCATTAAGGTGTCGAAAAGATCTTCTTTAGTGTTGACGTCCGCTCCAAGGCTTGCTAGTAGTGGCACCATTGCCTCGTTCTTTTCTTTAACTGCAAGGTGTAGGGCTGTCATTCCCGAATAGTTCCTCATTTTGATATCCAATCCTCGGTCAAGTAGCAGCTGCACCACGGCCTTGTTCCCTTGGAGAGCGGCGTAGTGCAGTACCGTATTCCCAATAAGATCCTTCGCAGTAACGTCCGTTCTGTCCACTAGCAGCCGCACTATCGCCTCGTGTCCTTGTTCAGCTGCAAAGTGTAGGGCCGTCGCCCCTAAATTAGTCTTCGCGTTAACGTTCGCTCTGTCCACCAGCAGTCGTGCCCCCGCTTCGTGTCCTCGGTCAGCTACGAGGTGCAGAGCAGTATGCCCTTCAACATTCTTTGCGTTAACATCCGCTCCAAATTCTACTAGCAGTCGGATCACAGCCTCATTTCCTCCTTTAGCTGCTATATGTAGCGCTGTATCCCAAGCATTACCCGCCCTTCTACTAAGGCGGCGGCGTATAGGTATCCAGCTCTTCGTGGTCAGGATTGCTTCTATCCATGGTATGATTTGCAGAATGCACGCCATATGTAGTAATGGTGGGGGCTTTGACGGAAACCCTGTCGTTATCGTCTGGTAGGTCTGCCACCAGTGCACGCGCAAAGCCGGTTCCTTTTGTAAGAAAAACCCATAAGGGTCAAAGAGCTCTGTTGCGAGTGAGGAACAGCTTCTTGCGTGCTCGGGCCAGTAAATCGTAGCGTATCGCAGCAGCGGAGACTCTAGCGGTTGTAGCTCAGCGTCCAGGTCAGTCGCTCTGCACTGCAATCCGCTGGAAGCGATACAATAAAGGCACTTTTGCGCAAGCTCTAGGTGCGAATGCTCCGTTTCAAGTCGAAAGGCTTCCAGCGCAGCATCTTTGTCACACTCCTTGCGCAGCAGGTAGTCTCGCGCCGACTGGTGAACAAGGCTGACCTCTTGCTCTCGTATCCTCAGTAGAGGTCCGCATATAGCGATCGCATCACGAGTCGCTTGCTCTATAGATACGAGGGAGGACGAAGTTTGCAGATCAATTGCTGCTGCTAGCTCTTGTAAATGCAGGGGGCGTGCTGCTAGAGTCGTCCAGCGCAGGATGGCCAGGCTCCTCTCTTGTTGTTTCGGTGAGATGCGCTGCAGCATACGGCCGTATATCGCTGGAAGACCACTTGGCAATTCTTCGAGCGCCTCTAAGATCTCGCTCGGCGTCTGCTTCTGCGACAGCTCGTGCATCGCGAAGCCTACCCATAGGAACGTCCCCTCAGCACGAGCCAGGAGAGTTTCCTGCACAGATGCGCTCAGCTCACCACCAAACCCTTTGATCACTGACAGCTCGGCCACTCGCGCACACACGAATAGCTCAATGTCTCTAACCACTTTCTCATCGTTGTCGGGATCAAGTCTAATCCTGGTGCAGCTATGCAGGTCAGGCATGTCTCGGCTAATGATGGCCAGCTTGAATGAGCCCTTTGTCGATGATAGAGTATCACCATCGAGCAGGCCGACTATCCGCTGTAGCAGTACGCTCAACTTGCTTTCCTCGCACTCATCGAGGCCGTCAAGCACGCAGAAAACCGTCCCTAGCTCGGGATCGGCGATGAGCTTACTGAAGATGACCCACAGAGCCTCCAAGCTCAAGAGCGTCTGTTTTGCCTCTTTGGGTTTATCAAAATATGGCAGCGCATATTTGACTAGCTGCCGACGCTTCTCGATGATCTGGTAAATCAGTCCGCGTAGTACTGCTACAGCTGTATTGCGCTTCTCGTCCTGGGCACTGCAGAAGAAGAATACCAGCTCTGCATCAGGTATACTTGCTGTGTGCCTCTCCAGCTCCTCTGTAAGAAAAACGGACATCATCGTCTTGCCCTTGCCGGGCCCACCTGAAATCCACAGTAGGCGTGTGTTATCATTGTTGCTCCCGTTGCTCTGGCCATTCAGCCAGGCGCGATAGCTCACGTCCTGCGTAATCCACTCGCAGGTACCCTCGACTCTTGTGCCTTTCACGCTGATCACGCTCTCACGGTCGATGTTGGAATTTGTGAGGAAGAGTGCATGGTGGCACGCGACGGCGGCTTGTTCCGTTTCATCTGTTGGAGTGTGGTCAGCTGAGAATGCTCAGGGTGATGAGAAAGGGTAGAAGCTCGGGGGACCAACTTTGAAGGTTGTTACTGGTAGTGCCAATCTGACAATTGATGAAATACCCTGCATTGGTCGTAGATCCATCGGTCGTATATATCTCGCGGATGTCTTGCGAGCTGGGCGATGGCTCACTGGTCGACGGTTCGCTGGTCGATGGTTCGCTGGTCGATAGCGAGCTAATTGATGGCTCACTGGTTGCTGGCTCGCTTGACATGTCAAATCGCAATTGCAGCTGAATTGTCCTGTCACGATAGTAAAACAGTGTATCTGCCGTGATCGTCTATCCACACTGTTCTTTCTGTTGTCGCACTCATAAAGCGAGCTTTGTTTGTACTGGGGCGTGACGTCGTGAACCGCACAATTGCACTAGAGTGGTGTGGTGTCTGGCCTGTGGTGTGAGTAGTCGCGTGGCGCTGTAGCAGGAACAGTTGAGGCAGCTTTGTCGTCGCGATGCGTCTCGCTGAGCTAGCAACCGGAGATGGAGATTAAATTGCTTCACTTGAAGTTGCGCCTAGCGGGTGCGCCTTCAAAGTAAGCATTGAACAGTTGCTGTGGTGGCTGTCAAGCTTTCTGGGACGAAAGCTCAGCTAGACCGTGTGCGGATTCAGCCTCAAGCCTCACAATACATTGAAGTTCCATTAGACTCGGCATTTATTGGAGGATTACAGCAAAAAGGAATTGTAGAGTACAAGATGCATGAGTAGGCTAACGTTCTAGAACAGTCTTCTTACCCCCGCACACACGGAATCGTCCGTTCAGCTGAATGTACCTCGAAGCTGAACTCAGCTCGAACCTTAGCATTTTTATGCGAACGCCCCTACCTATTTATCCAGTTCTTGTTAGCCCGTGATAGGAGATGTTTATCCGCACCCTCCAGGTCGAATGCTTCTCCGAACCTGAAATCGACGGATTTAACCTCTCAACGTCTCTGTGTAACTACTGTCCATAACTACGAACAAGAACATACAGTCCTGTCTTTCGTTTTACATTCAAAAGCTTAATCGTATGGATCCCTTCAGCATTACTGTTGGCGCTCTTGGCATCACCGATTTTGCCGCATCCAGCATCGTTCAGCTTCGGAACACGATCAATGGCATTACCGAGGCCAAAGAAGTGGTACAAGATATTGTTTCGACTTTAGAGGGCATAGAGCGTCCGCTGGCTGCGCTAGAAGAGCTCAACATCTTAGATGAAGCGACGTCAATGGCGGCAAAAGAGGACCTAAAGAAAGCTGGTGTTGCAGAAGCCGTCCAACAATGTGGTAGTGCTTGTGCTGAGTTTAACAGGAATCTTCAGAAATGGACAAAACATTCTAGCACTAAGAAGCTATCTATCAGGGATCGTCTTTCTGTTGGTGTATGGAACAAAGAAAAGATCCGTACGTTCAGAACACGAGTTCAATCCTGCGAGGCCACCGTCCGATTTGCTGTTGCAAGCACTCAATTGTAAGTGCTTACTTTGATATTGCGGTTGGCAGCACATACACTGACTTGGGACAAGAATGCTCCAGTTACGGTCTGAGGTCGTTTCCAGGGCTGATCGCGAGAGCTTGAAGGAGCAGTTACGAACCCTAGAGACAAGCATCCAGGATCATCTCGATCTCATCAAGAAACAGCAAGCAGAAGCCAGGGCGCGCAAGCAAGAGCTTGAAGAGGAGTCAGAAGAAGAAGACGAGGAATTTGATGATGCTGAGCGGACGCTGGCCATCAAGTCGGTCGAAGAGCGAGCAAGCGTGTTAGAGGCCGACCAGGTTTCTTGCGGAGTGGTGTTTTTACAAGCACGCTCTAGACGGAGTGGCCAAGAGATTGGCAGAGTCGAAACCACGGATAACTCTGAAGCTTTTGTGGGAATGCCAGAGAGCGCTATCGGAAAGATTAAACAGCAGCTGATTGGAGTGGTAATAACCCGAGGGCATTCAATTTCGAGGGTAGGGATCATGTGAAGGGAGTTCGCATGAAGGATATCTATACATCCCGTCATCTGCTTTCAATACAGAGGGAGGTACGACATGAGATATATTCGCTCGTTACTCACATGCGATACCCAGCGGACCTGAGAGCATGAAGAACAATGCGCTGACATCGTGACATCGTGACATCGTGACATCGTGACATCGTGAATGCTGCATCATTTAAGCTCGTCATTGCTCTTTCCCACAGCGCGCTTGAAGCGACATTGTTCTCAATCGTGTTGTGCAGCCCTGAATCGACATCAAATTCTTTGCCATAGTCCATTACGGCCACAGCCCATTGTACTCGCTCTGTACACAACGTTACAAAAAGAGGGCCCGTTTTTGTCCTTCACTCCGGACCGGCCGCACAGACGCCTGCCGCTCAATGATCCATCACAGATAATCAAACTGCTCTCTACGCACTGCTCTAATTAACGCGGGCCCAGGAGGCTCTCCTAGCTACCCGCCAACACTCACATACCAACGATTCTCAAGCGAAGATGCCGTCTCATTTGAGGAATAGACTTGACTACGCTTTCGTGCGTAGCAAGCGCACTGGGAAAGTCGACATCCGCCGAGCGAAGGACCCCTCTGAGCGAACAATATCGACTTTGCCACTGCAAGAAAGGGTCTTGCATTACACTGGCAAAAAACGTACAGATGTTTGCCGTTGCAGTCACTCCGAGCGGCATTTTGAGAGGACCTCCCGTGTAGCCTCAGAATCTAGGCATCTTAACGCAGGTCTAATGCTGTACCTGGATCGACATGGTCTCGATTCATGCGAGATTGCTGACTTTTGGGAGTACTGCAGGCGGCGAGAAGCTAAGTGGAAGATGGAAGGCGTCTACGTTGACGACTTTCACTATGTGAGTCGGAACAAGAGCGTTGTTTGCCGCTGCTCACGACCTAGGAACCATGGGTATCTCACACCTCGAAATCCCGAGATCGTCGAGCACTGTGCAGAGTTCTTTTGCGTATACAAGGGTGAGCTTATGGTTACAAAGAAGCAGTGGAAGAGCGCCGATGGCGATTCGCCTCCAGCGTACTCTTCTGGTGCAAGCGTTCAGCCTGACTACACACCTAGTTTGTTGCGGAGATCATTCCGCGATACTAAAGAGACGACTCAGCCACTTGTCTTACCAGAGATGAAGATGCGCAGCGCAACTGAACGTGTCGCTTCAGTCATTCCGCGGCGTCATCATGTCGCTTCTATACAGGAACGTCAACCGGAGATGCCTCCGCAAGTGTGGCAGAAAGCTCGTCCATCACTTTGGAAGTCTCCATTCAGTACTTCGTCACCTTTCAGCACGCCCATGGGTTCTGTTCCCCCTTCGCGGCCGAGTAGTCCACCATTGGTATCAGGTATGATCCAGCGCGCCCCAATTTCTACCCCCTGGTCCCAGGATCAACGCGAGGCCCGTGTCAGTGAAGAGAAGCTCCCTTCCAAAGTATCCCAGGAACAAAATCGTACAGTACAAGTCGTGTATCAAAAATACCCTACGGCTGGTCTGTCTTGTGCGATGGGGGACCTGTTGTCCGTTCTTGGCGCTGCGGTTGGCGTGACGTCTCTGATTATCCAACTTGCGGACGAATGTGTCAAAGCTCTCAACGTCTTTAAACATGTATAATCTTAGCTAATTTATTGCAGGCTATAAGTTCTAGAGAGGCAGCAGATCTACCGCAAACGCATTGTTACCTGCTTGTGCGCCTCTACATTAAGCAACAGCGCTTCATTAACTTCCCATTAGAAGCTAGCGCGTTGAATAAAGATGGGATTATCTGCACGCCCTTTAAGTTAATCGCTCCTTATTGTTAGCTGTCCTTGCTAAGATTAAGGCCTTGTTTGAGAACTATGCAGCAGCTAACGGGAAATACAAAAAAGTCGTGTTAAAGAGCGATATCGCCTAGGGCGACTATTTGGAGCCGGACAACGATCTTATGAGCCTTCTCTGTATTACGGCGAGCGACGACGCGCAGTCTAAGAGAGTGACACCTGCAAGTAGGCGGGCAGACGCTGCCGATCGCGTTCGCGGACTGGGGAAAAGCATCTCTAAAACGGCGAAGAATTTGCGGATTATTGTAGTAGAGCCTTAACGACTCGTTTAGGTAGCTGTGAATAAGAAGTCTTTTGAAAGCTTGATTTTAAAAGTTAAGAACTTAAATTCGTTCCTTATCATTCTGTTGGACAGCGCGCAGCTCTAGAGACTGCAGGGATCAATGACTACGGCCTATTTAGAGATTCTGCAGCTTCGCAACGACTTTGTCGACCTTACAGCTCTTGTCAAGGCGATATCTCTAGCAGCAGAATACTAACAAAATCTCTATCTAGGAGCCGATCTAGTGAGCAATGCATTATCTTAAGCAGTTGCGGAGGAGCAGGCGACCTAGGATAAGAAGAAAAGTTACCTCAGACGCCTTGCCTAGGTTAAAATTTAGCTTGCCGAGATAAACAAGCTGAACTACGCAGCAGCTTCTCTAGACTTTAGCAACTTTATTAACGCATAACTTCTACTAATCGACTTATAGTCCGAGGAGGGGATGCCTAAGCCTAAGAATCTTTAGCAACAGACATAGGCTATCTATTATAGTAGGAGTGTCTAGATAGAGTGGAAAGAGGTTACGTCTAGCAGTGTTGTACGCCCTGATGATGTGCAGATCTAGTGGCGGATCGGCCTACTAACGGATCTCCTACGCTTTGTTAAGCCGGGTGGCTTTAGAGCAGCACTATGTCTTAAGTATATTAAGACTGCGGACGCAGATAATGCGACGCGTTTTGGCGTTGTGTTCGAAGGACTGTTGACTACGCAGTCTAGGATTACTACTCTTTAAGAGTTGCTTAGACAAACACTGAAACCGTCACTTAGCGCACGTGTAGCGCTTTGTGCAGCGCTAGCTCGCTGTGTACACAGCCTCTATGCGGTGAACTGGCTGCACAAGGCCTTGCGAGCGGATAACGTTGTCTTCTTCTCCTCGTCCTTGTCTCTAGATCTCGACGCACCGTTTATCTTAGGTTTCAAGCCTTCTCATCTAAGCATTATGGACCGATGGACCGAAAAACCCAGATTTGAACCTGCCAAAGACATTTACCGTTACCTGAACGCGCAATCTAGCTAAATGGACGGTAGCTATCGCAAATCCTACGACATCTACAGCCTAGGTATTGTGATGACCGAAATTGCACTCTGGAAACCTATTAAGGATGTAGTAGGACTAGAGAATCTCCTAAAGGCTAAGCCACTGATACTTTAAAAAATACAGCTTCGGCTTCCGCAGAAATCGTTAACAGGAAACGCAACGGATGCCGAATCTTGTTTGCAGCAGATTGCCTCTGCATGTAGCGATTCGCTACGCAACATTATTGAGCGCTGCCTAGACATAGATGCTGAATGCGAGCCTAAGTTAGATACACTATTAGGGCTACAAAAAGCTACTAAATTAGATCTTGTGAAGAAGTTAGAGCACATTGCTGAAACAATATGATTGCCGCAACGAATTTTTTGGAACACGGGCGCGGGCCCTTTTATGTTAGATTCTGTAATATACAGTTAGCAATGCCTATAGGTGTTCAGCATTAATCTTTAGCAGCATATTACCGTGACAGGCGTGCCCCTTGCTATTGGAACTATAGTTAGTTTGTAGTGGCCCGTGTTTGGCATAAGTTCTGCGACGGCCTTTTTATAACTCTCATCCCGAGACAGCATCCCCACCAATACATGATGTGTGCTTCCGCGGCCTCTATTGTGTGTGGATCGTGCGTTGACGCAAACGAAGCTATTGTAGACATGGAGATCCGTGGACGACAACGGCTCGGTGCTCGTCCTACCCGTGGGGGCGGCACAGCCCGCCAACTAAAGGTTGGGGCTGGGCCGTGCCGCATGCGCACCACTCGCGCTGCCGCTAACACAACTAACAGTACATCCATTACCACAATTAACATCACAACTAACACCATAACCAGCACTGAAGCTTTATGCGAAGCAACTGTTCGTGTTTATATCTTCATGTCTCTATGCCTCCTGCCGGGTTGCGCCTCTTCCCGCGACCTTCGCTGCTATCCGCCTCGATTATAGATCTCTAGATATACCGACGACCGGCCGACGCCTTGCTACGATTAACAGTAACGATGTTCTCGTCTGAGCGGGATATAGGGAGAAGGGAGTATAATCTGGGACGCGAATACTTTAAGCAGCAGAAGTACGCTGAGGCCGAGCAGCTGTTGCGACAGTCGGCTGAGCAGCGCGAGAGGGTGCTGGGCGCTGAAGATGTCAACACGCTTTGGAGCAAGTACCGGCTAGCACTTACGCTTCACGAGCAGCAGAAGTATGTCGAGGCCGAGCAGCTATTGCGACAGCTAGTTCAGCAGAGGGAGAGGGTGCAGGGCGCAGATCATGAGGATACCCTTGCTAGTAAAGAACTTCTGCAGAAGGTGGTACTTGCGATAGCGCCGGCTGCCCCCACGAAGACCCTCGCAGACGTCGTGTCCGGCCGACTTAGCGATTTCTTTGCTGACGGCAACCAAAGACGAACAGCATACACCGACTCTGAGATTCAGCAGGTCTCGCTCCTCTTAGGTCAACTCAATCTGCAATGGAGCAAGGTTCCGAGAACATACATGGTTCTTCGGACTATCGGCTGTCTGGACCTCCTAGATACCTTCATCGACCTAGGCTTCTCCGACCACTGGTTCCCTGTGACTGAGCGAAGCCTTCCGCTATGTCTTCGGCCCAGCAAGCGCTCACAGTTTGTGGCTGCCCAGGACTTAGTAATAACTAAATCTGTGGACCTTGAGAAGGCGGAGAAGGGCCAGCACTGCTTTTTCCGAGAACACGAGCCTTTGCCGCTCAAGATGAAAGGGATCCTTGGCTCTGGAGGCTTCGGGCAGGTTGACCGGGTTCTCAGCTTGATCAGCTTCCGAGAGTATGCACTAAAGCGAGTGTCGCGGAGCACTGCGTTTAGTGGACGAGGAACAGAACGCGTTAAACAGTTTATCGCTGAGATTAGGGCGTTAAAGCGTATAAAGCACCACCACGTAGTAGAGTTTGTTGGGAGCTACACCGACCCAAAGTACATGGGCCTGATTATGTCTCCCGTTGCTGACATGGACCTGTCTACCTACCTCGCACGCGCTAACACAGCCAGACATCGAGAGTTGCGTACCTTCTTTGGCTGTCTGGCTCGGGCGCTTGAGTTCTTGCACGAGCAAAGCATCCGGCACAAAGATATTAAGCCTAGCAACATCTTGGTGCATGGCGGAAATGTCCTGTATACAGATTTTGGGCTCGCATTAGACTTTACCGACAAAGACGGCAGCACGACGGCTAGCATGGTGAATGGAATGACGCCGAGGTATTGTGCGCCTGAGGTGGCTAACTACGAACCTCGGAACACGTCGTCCGATATCTGGAGCCTAGTGGTTGTCTTTCTTGAGATAGCAGCAGTGTTAAAGGATAGAACAGTCGACTATGTTTACAACTTCCTTAAAGAGCACGGTTCACGGCAGGCATTTGTGCGCACGAATCCTACTGGCACTAACGCTCTTATTACGGATCTTAAAGAAACAGGTAGTCCTACCGACAACGCAGCGCTTGTGTGGGTCAAGGACATGGTCATGTTACAGCAACAGCTGCGGCCTACGGCGGCGTCGCTGATGGGATCCATCACTAGTGCGGGCCAGCAGGGGGGCGGAAACGAGGCTTTCTGCGGGATATGCTGCGTTTCGCGTGACGACGTCTTGAGCGGTTTTGACGAGCTAGAGATAGCTGATACTAAGTGAAGTGAAGTATTCGTCTACGGCTTGGTATGTGTGTCGATTGCGATGTGCTCGACAGCACGAGAACGTGGTGGGTCGGACGAGGGATTAACGGCAAATAATCCCCCACCGACCTCAACGCCCGTACGACTTCAATGTCACGAATGACGAGCTGAGAACCAGGGACGGTTTGCAATAATGGTGCGCGCAGAGTAGAATGACATGGAATCAGTAGGTAAACAGCTCGAGTTGCAAGGAGTGCTTCCTGATAAGTCCACGCTCGCGTGTACCAAGGGTCGCTCGCAAGAGACTCGACAAGCTGAATGGTTTGTGTAACGAGATTATGAACTGTTTCTCTCTGGGCTTCTGAGCTTTCGAGACGACTGATGGCGTATAGTTCGTTACTCTTAGGATAGCTTTCGAATATATCTATTTGCACCTGGTTCGATAAGATGCTGTTGATGACTGCGACCACATCGCAAGCCTGTCGGTAGATCAAATGTATAGCTTGAATGTGCAATGATTTGTCTTGGTCATCTTTCTGATTGATACATTCTTGGTCTATCCAAAGAAGACGGTAACCTTTGAAAAGGGCAAAGTCTATAGCACGTCGAATGACATTAGGTGGAGCCCGACTTCCTCTCTCTTTGTTGCCATCCAGGATAGTGTACTTCGGTGCAAGCGTCCCGTTTTCAGGAAGGTTCGGTGGTTGCTCCCAACAGTACGAGACAGCGACGTAGTGGTTGCAGCCCTCCAGATCTCCTGGGTTTGTAAGTCGCAGGGTGCAATTCCGTTCGGACGTGTTGTTGACACTGGTATCACCAGCAGCATTAAACAATGAGTATTTTGCACAATTAGTGCATGTTTTTGCTGCTGCATGGGACGTCGTCGCCGGCAGAGAGTCTTGTGCAGCCCCGGGAACGCTGAGGAAGCGAAGTCTCCGAATAGCCTTTTCTGGCTTGAACTTTCGGTCCTGACAGTAGGATATAAGTCGGAGCTTTTCGTGGAAGATATCTCTTGATCCACAAGCTGCAAAGAAAGATTTATCAACGTCATTATCGCCGAGATTGAGAGTTGTTTTCCCTCCATAGTTCGTATCTAGGGGTTGTGTGATCAGAGTAATGTACATAAAGACAGGCAATTTTCGCTTTGGGTATTGTGCCCTCCGGAAAACTATAAGCATGTTCTCAACACGGCCCGTCCGCAGCTGAGGCAACGCCACGAAACTGGTGAGTGTGACAACCCTGGTTCGAAAACGCCATGATCTTGGCCAGATCAAGGATGATCAGCCACAAATATCATTGTCAAAGAAGCTCGAACTATTTGGAAGCTTACCTATTTCAACGTCGCACACCTTGCCAGAAACGTACTTTCGCTCGATGTTGGGAATCTCTGAACAGTGCTGGAAGCTTGACATATAACGTCATAGATACCAGGCTCTGATAGGTGGCTGCGTCCTGTCTATCTTTCACAACAAGAACATAGATGCGTCGCCGACATACCATGCTTACTGTATCTGCATTCAGCCATTCCTCGAGTCCGAAGCAATCGTCACACACATTATATGGGAGCGCGCGATGTTGGACCACGGCGGTCAACACCAAGCTTCAGCTGTCCCCGCTTCAACTGCGAACTACAAGGGCGCCACGCTGTGCGCCTCGGCAAACAGTAAATCCACCAATATCGTCCAATATCATCTCTAGTATTCACATTCTTATGTTCGTGGAGTACCGCTTGACACAATCTCAAGTTGGTCCAAGCCCCCGGCTATTATCCAAAGGACAAAAGGCACTGGCTATAACACAGTCACTCTATACCCTGCGGAATTAATTACTCCCAAACACTCGTTCGCTGGATAGCTGCCTCCCCACATCATTTGCGCTCGTTGCATTAACGAAGCAGCCGCATCTACTGAAATTGGAAATAAATTGCAGTACGCAATGTGACCGAGCAAAAGCTTAATTCGAAATGCCAGATGAAGTGGTCAAATACCGGTCGGTAGCCACATTGCAAACATCTCGTCCACGTTGATAGCAAGTTTGTCTTTTTTTGGATGATGTTTTACACATCGTTTCTGTTTACCGCTTTTGCGACGCTTTCTTTGGTGTCGCCGAGCGTGAATGGGCGTGCGATTGAGGCTCTTGATAAACGACAAGATGCATCATCGCATTGGATCAACACCTGGACTAGCATGCCACAGTTGGTGGAATCGAGCAACATGCCGCCAACGCAATTTGTATGCGGCCTGTCCCAAATTAGCTACCCTACTACATCTGAGTCTAACACTATGACAGAGTTCTGGGGGTGTTCTCCGCGATGCGACACTCCGCCAAACCCTCCACATGTCTGTCGGTGCCCCCAAAATCAAGATCACCATCTCCAATACCTTTGGCGGATCAGACCTTCCCGTTACCTCAGGCTCTGTGAGCCTTCCTGCAGGTGGTGCCGCAGGCGTTAGTGGCATTCAAGCCTCACCACTAGCAGCCATTACCGTTGGTGGCAAGACCAGCTTCACAGTCCCCAAGGGCCAGGTTGTCACTAGTGATGAAATTGCTTTCGAAGTCAAACCTCAAAGTATGCTCACGGTGAGCTTATACAGTCAGCAAGGCCAGAGTGGAAGCAGTATCACTGGTCATCCTGGCAGCAGGACGACAAGTTGGTTCGTGAGTGGGAACAAGGTCAATGCTACGACCTTCTCCGGAACTTCCAGCGTGCATTGGTATGCTAGGATCGGTGGTTATCTGTGTTTCAGCAACACTAACATTGCTCCAGGTACTTCGTGAGCGCGGTACAAGCCTACGTACCAACAGACACCAACTCCCTTATGATCCTCGGTGACAGCATCACCGATGGAAGAGGTTCCGACGACAACAAGAACAACCGGTAACACTTCTCAACTCCACATCTGGCTCCTCATCTAACTCCACCCCAGCTGGCCTGACCTCGTACTCGCCCGTCTCCAATCCTCAAATCACACCAACGTCGCCGTCTGCAACCAAGCCGCAGGTGGCAACACGGTCCTAAGCGGCGGTCTCGGCCCACCCCTCCTAACCCGGTACAAGCGCGATGCCATCGACCAACCCGGCGTAAAATGGGTCATGATCTTCGAAGGCGTCAACGACATCGGCGGCGGTGCCAACAACGCCGCCACGCAAACCTCCATCGGCGATCGTCTCATCTCAGCGTTTACGCAAATCGTTGCTGATGCGAAGAAAGCGGGTTACACCACGATCGGTGCTACGATTACGCCGTTTGCGGGCAACAGTTACCAAGGTGCTGAGAGGGAGAAGACGAGGAAAAGGGTAAATCAATGGATTTTGACTAGTGGGACGTTTGATCGTACGGTCGATATCGCGGCCATGGTTGCGAATAAGGCGAATGCGGAGCAGTTGGATCCAAAGTTTAACGGAGGTGATGGGTTGCATCCGAATGTGGCGGGGTATCAGGCCATTGCTGATGCTTTTCCTGTTGATATTTTCAAGTTGTAAAAAGGGGAAGAAGATTCTTTGCTTTAGAAAAAAAAAACAGTCGAATTTACGTGTAGCATCTATTAGGTACCGCCCAACCTAGCCTCCGGCGTTTTAAAGAGCAGGCTGTAGTCATAATGCTATTGCCATTTGTTCTGTCTATTCTGTACTTGAAACTGTTCCGATGACATGTGTTGCAAGCTGTTCAGTACAAATCCTGAATTCCTAGTCATGATAAACTAGAATAGGCGAATTACAATTTTTGTGAGTAAAATCGGCACGAATTTGCTGTCATCAAACTCGTAGTACGTGGTGCAGTGTAATCCCGTCTTGGCTGTAGAAAGCTGTTGCTACCTTATGCGATGAACCTAAGCGGAAGACGCAAAGTCGCAGAACAAGAATATAGACTGGTATTGAAGTACAACGCTGCAAAAACCTAAACCTTCAAGGTTCTACCATAACGACTAGACCGTACCTTGCTCATCTCATAGCGTACAAACACACAATCCCACCCATGTCATCACTCCTCCATCTTCTCCCCTCCCCCTACCACACCCACATTCCCCTCTCCTAAATGCTTCAACAACCAACTCCGCTTAAAGTAAGTATTCGGATGAACAATCGTATCCAAATCACTTCCACTCCAGCTCCCCTCATCCTTGACCTTTTTAATCTCCCTCTTATGGCTCCACTCAAACACCCTATTACAGGCAACATGATACCTTTGCTTGCCCACATCCTCTTTAACCACTTTCAAGACGTCGCGGTCATTTACACCCACACGCTGGAGCATGGAGAGCAAGTTGTCCGGCGTAAATGTTCGATAGGGGCAGCCGTGGGATTGACCAGGACCGGGGAGCGGTTCAGTGAGGAGTTTTTGGCAGGAATACGGTGTGTAGCCGCGGCCGCGGCGATTTGCGTCACCGCCTACGTCGCCGTAGGAATGGCGGATGTTGTATTTGTATTCTTTTTGGAACTTTTCATCTGTCATGAGTTTGAAGCTTCTGCGCCAGAAAACTAAACATTCGTCCAGACTCAAACCAATTCCCTTGAGGAACAGCGTGTATTGGAGACGACCAAAATGTTTGAGATGTGATTGGTCGCGCAGTGTCATGTGTAGATTGCGCATGCAGAGGGGGAAGTTTTGGGATAGCGTGTCGATGCTGTTTGCGGTTATGGTGGAGAGACCGTCAATGTTGGCGTCCGAGGTGGAGTAGGCGGCGTCGGGGGCGGTGAAGGATTGGGAGAGGTGGGCGAGGATGGGGGCGAGGCGGTCATCTTCGTCGAGGCGGGGGAGGGCGCGGGCCGTTAGCTGGGAAGGTTGTTAGTCGCGACGTCTCCAAGTCTGTGGATAGTGGGATTCATACCTCTAGTGCTTCGTCGAGCTTCTTGGTGAACTCAGCAACCACTAGACTCATCTGTTCCCGTTGCGGTACGTATGCCATTCCTCTCTTCAAAAGGACCTTTCTTTGACTAACGAGTTCTGGTACCCTCTCCCAGTCGACTTTGAACCAATCCTGATCCTCGCTCTTTTTGATGCCACTCGCGGCGTGCAAGTCGTCTTTGAGCTCCCTCTTTTCGTCTTCCTTGACCTCCTCCCACTCCAAGTTCAGACTTCTCACGAATTCTTGCCGTTCTCGTAGATCATCGTCCTTGAACCGCAGCGTGAACAGCATAGTCTCTAGTCTGGAAAACCGCCGTCGCAGGTCCTCTGTTGACGAAAACGCAAGGCGCAGTATAAAGTGTGAATAATGGTCTCTCCTCCTTTCCTCCTGTAGTTTCTGGCTTCGTGACGAATCTGATCGCAGTGGAAGGTACTTTTCCAGTATGCTTTTCATGTATTCGGCCGTCTCTTCGGGGCCTTTGTTGCGAAAACTGCATGCTTCGAGTTCGGAGAGGACTACGTTGTGTATTGTTAGCAGGGCCTCATGGTCATACTGATAAACCCTTACCCTTCAATCTGTTAATCGCCCATGTCTCGAACTCTTCCAATGTGATCTCTGCCGTGGGCGGTAGCACGTAGAAGTTGAGCCTGTGTTCGTAGTTCTGCTGCTGGAACTCGGCTTTGGCGAATTGCCGCTTCTTGTAGTCAAGGTTCGCGCGTCGCTTGGCTTCAACTCGAGAGTAGTCGTGGCGGATCATGGTGTCGTGGATTTTCGGCGTTGTCCTGCGGCACTCGCGTTTCCAAAGTTGATGATGTTAAAGTGGCAGGCGCGTTCGCGTGGACGCGTAAAGTACGCTAACCATGTATAGCGCACGCGCAGTCCGCGTGTTCCATTGGTTACCATCTGCATCGCCATGCTCCCACGATTAGCGCTTCAGAATGCCGTGCAAACCTTGATATAAATTCTATCTGGTCTATCCCTGTACTATCTATGTTCTTGCAATCTAAACTCCACATGAAGTATTGCACTGCCAACATAAATGCTTAGCCCATCAGGTCACCTAGCGCATTCACATAAGCCATAGGCACAGTCTTCGCACCCTCAGCAAGGAAGTCCTCCTTCTTGCTGACGCCAGTGAGCACTGCCAGTGTTCCGCCCAGCTTTCCATCAATACCAAATTGGATATCCGTGTTCAGCCTATCCCCCACCATACAGGTCCTGCTACGGTCGAACTTAAACTTGCCCTCTACTGCGTCCATCATGGCCTGACTCGGCTTGCCTAGAGACAATGGCGCCCTGCCAATCGCCCTCTCAAGCGAAGCACCCGAAGCACCGGCACCAGGGAACAGGGTATGCGCATTTGGCAACGTGCTATCGATGTTGGTAGCGAGATATACCGCGCCGCGCTGGAGGTACTGGAACGCGATTGCCGTCTTCAGGTAGTTGGAGTGGAAGTCCAGACCACTCAGCACAACGCCAACATCCGGGTCGAGCAGGCTGCCGTTCGCGATAGCCTCGAAGTCCTCTGGCTGCCGAAATTCTCGGTTGTAGGCGGGGTCCGTGCCGCCGATATATGGGACGCCCTCTGCGTCGAGTTCCTGCTCTACACCTGACTCTCCTAGGACGAATACTTTGTTCTTTGGCGCAGGGAGCTTGAGGATGCGGTTGATGTATACGGCGGCGCTGTAGGAGGAACCGAAAACTTCTTCCTGATGTCTTGTCAGTCAATGCCATGCGATGGAGCTGCGCCTTACATACCACCTCGGCGGGGATACCGAGTTTTTCGAACTTCTTCTTGTAATCCGCTCGCGACTTGGTGCTGTTGTTGGTGACAAAGACGAGTTGTTTGCCTGCGATCAGTCAGTGAGCACGAAGCATGCCTCATAGTAGGCGAACGTCTTACCTTTACTCCTCAGCATCTCGAGTGTCTCGGGGACCTTCTCGTATAGGTGATCGCCAGACCAGAGGACGCCTATCCTTCGTCACGATCAGTAGATGGCCACATGACGTGCGCTGTTTGGATCGCCAGTGCAATCAACATGCCGTGTAGGAAGAAGATTGGCGCATACCATCGCAGTCGAACAGAAAGACCTAGAACATCTTGTGAGTATGAGATTTAGCAACATGACATTTTGGGATCATACATCAAATCTGTTCAAGAATTCGTCGATGGCGTTTTTGTCGCCAGAGAGGAACTGCGGTTTTGCCATGATGTCAATTGCCTCGATAGTAGTTCGCGCGTCAGAGTAAACACAGGTGAAAGATGACATTGGTGGGGTGCTTGGCGTGGACCCTGAGATCAGCAGCGGAACGATCCCGAGAGATTCCGGGTTTATCCTACTATTGTTCTCGTAGTCATAGGGCCACAAGGTACTCATAGACACTATAAATCATTCATTATACTCCACGATCCATAATTCGTTCATTCGTGCTACAGTCATTCATCTAGATTCGACTACATTGTTCATCACAACTTGGATCGATCCAGTCAATCCACGATGATCTTCTTCTCGAGTTCCTCGAAGTTCTCAAAGAAGCTGTCGAATAGGTTGACAGCGTGCTCAACATCATGCGCACCGCCGGTCTCGCGAATGCTGTGCATGCTGAGCTGAGGGTTGCCGAGATCAAGAGTACGGGCGCCCATAGCGGCTGACAGCATAGGACCGATGGTGCTGCCACACGACGAGTCGTTACGGACGACGAAAAGTTGAAGTGGAACACCTTCCTTACCCGACTTTGGGTTGTAGGACGCCGCTTTCGCACGACGGGCAGCTTCCTGGAGCAGGACTATACCCGGTGAGTTGGTGGCATATCGGGCGTTGGCGTTGATCTTAATGACAGTGCCCTTGTTCATCTCAGGCCTGTGTTGGGATTCGTACTTGGCTGGGTAGTTGGGATGCACAGAGTGAGCCATATCAGCGGATATGAGGAAGGATGTGGCGAGCGTTTGCTCGTAAGCGGTAGCAGTATCCGCTTCGACTTTATCAAACGACTTGTCGGAATTGCTGTCAGAGGCAGGCAAGACTGACAGACGGCGGATCACAGCAGGCAGCAGGTTGGAGTCTGCGCCTTGTGCGGTTTGGGAACCAATCTCCTCGTGGTCAAAGCACGCGATCAATCGGATAGTTGAGTCTTTCTCCAATGCCGAGGACGCAGAAAGACTCTTGATGATACCCTCCACGCTGCAGTACGTCATCATGAGATTGTCCAGTCGCGGAGAGAAGATGAGCTCATTGTTCAGGCCGCCAATAACCGACTTCTGTGTATCGTACAGGACCATCTCGAAGTCTACGATGTCGCTGGGTTCAGCGCCAGCCTCCTCAGCGATGATATCGATTATGTACGGGTGATGTCTCGAAGTTGGGGCAGCGAGCGGGCCCTCAGTCTCTGCCTCATTGCCGTCCTCCTTGGTCTCTTCGGTCTTGCCCTGGCGGTTCAGCTCTGCAGCGACAAGGCCAGCAATAGGGAACAATTGCGTCTCCTTGTTAAACTGGAAGTTCTCCTGGCGATCCAGATGAATGGCCAGAGTGGGTATCCGCAAGATGGGTCGCTCGACCTTGACCAGGCGCTGCTCAATATTGCCGTCCTTTGTCCGCACCATGGCACGACCGGCGATGCTGAGGTCGCGATCGAACCAGGTATGCCAAAGACCACCGCCATATGTCTCGCAGGCTACTTGAATGAAGCCGTCGCCTGTTCGCTTAGATACAGGCTTGATGCGCAGGCAGGGAGAGTCTGTATGGGCGCCAATCATGGCGATGGGGTTACCGGCCTTCCATTTATTGCCGATAGCGAATGCAACAATGGAGGAGGTGTTACGGGTGAGGTAGTACTTGCCTCCGGGCTGGAGGGTAGGTGCCCATGAGTCGCGTTCCTAGTCGTTGTTAGTATGCTGTCTCAATCACCGATTCATATATGACATGTCAATATCACAATGTCAACACGGGGGATATGAATGCGGACCTTGATCTGCTTGAAGCCTGCCTTCTCCAACCTTTCTTTTGCTGATTTGACGGCGTGGAACGCTATCGAGGGTCAGTGTCTATCCAAGTGACAACAGCACGCGACGTACGTGTAGGCGAAGCATTGACGAAGGAGAGGAAGTCCTCGGCAGCTTTGAGTGAAGGCTTGGTCGCCATAGTTCGAATATGCGATAGTATAAACTTGGTATGTGATACAGCAAGGGGTGAGGTCGGTGCGAGGTGCAGTAGCGTAATTCGCAGCTTTGATGATGGCAGCATTAAGGATTGGACACAACGTCTACAAGCTGAGCGCGGGCGGTGTGGGGTATCGATTGAGAGGCGACTGAGCGCCTGGCCGACGTTGGCGCTAGACCCCACTCGGCGGCCATACGCGACTCCCATTGGAGCAGGCGTCACCAACGCGTCGAAGAGGAAGCAACATTGGAACATCAAAACACGCGCATATGGCATCGCGTCACGGCGACTACGTGCACTTCACTCACTGCTTGATAGATGATAGCTACAACATTGACTTCGTTTCCACTATTATACTGTTTGACCTGGCCCAACGCCGGCCCATTACTATCGTCGCTCGTTACGTGCGCTCGCCGTGTCTCTCGTTGCTCCCCCAGCACCCTGCGGCTGTCTAGCATACAAGCTCCGACCCGCAACCACAACAAGGTCACCGCCGCCCACCCCCGCCCGTTGCGCGCCCACCACCAACACCACGGCCACAATACTTACCAGTATCGCAATTCGATGCGTTTCGAAAGTTAAACAAAAGCCATATTTATTGTCTGCGCTATTGTGCGCCGCGACGACCTGTCATTGGTTAAGAGGAGGGCAAACGACTTAGGGGCTATCAATCATCACAATACCACGACTCCACGTCACCGCGCCGTTCACCTCATTGTTCTCGACTTCACCTTCGTTTCAGGCGACCATTGTCCCGCCGGCTACCATATATCCGCCATCGGCGATCTGTGACCACCTACATCCCGCCACGACTCTATTACTTTCATTGGCACAATGCCCCATCTACGCAGCGGCAGCAACATACAAACCGGCGCAATCATTTCGATGGCGCGAGACAATCCAGGAGAGGCAGCTGCGACGAATGCGCAAGTCGACGAGGGCATCGCGACCCCGACCCTGATATCACCACCCGAGTCCAAGACGCCTCCAACCGCCTCACACAAGCGCAACCAGATCTTCCCCTCCAACCCACTCGACCGGAGCTCGGAAACTATAGATGCTGCGGCATTGACAAAAGCGCTTGGGCATATCGAGCAGGCCGGCCGAGTCAGGGAGCGGACACCTACAGCAAGCCCAAGTCGAAAGCGCCCACGCATCTACGGTGACAGGTGAGATCGGCGTCTTCTAGTCGCAATCGATTCAACGTGCTGACATACTCTTAGATTCATTCCAAACCGCGCAGGCCAAGATCTCCAGGCAAGCTTCAACCTCCTCCATGATGAGGCCTCACCAGCAACCCCGTCCAAGGCCAGGCGCACTCCCCATCACGAGCTGCACTTCCAGAAGAGTAAGCACTCATGGACGTCCGCTGTACAAGAACTAACCTCCTGTAGCTGAAGAAGCCAACCGCACATACTCCGCCGTACTCCGACAAGAAATGTTCGAGGGCTCCGTGCCTCAGGCTTTTCCTCAGAGTTTGTCTCCGACCGATAGTGCCAATATGCGAGGTGCAGGACGCTCGCATACTCCGCCAGCTAGGACTACAGCTTCGTTACCACCGCCTTCAGGGACACCGTCGACCCCGCACAAGAACCTGTTTTCCTACTCGGGCCAGCCAACTCCATCACGGACGCCATCGAGTCGGCATGGCATTCTCAATCTCAACGCGCGTTCAGATCTATACAGCCTATCACCCATCAAGTACAGCAGTCAGCGTATGCTTCTCAGCCCTCAACGTCAAGCCCGCGCCGTCTCCAAGGTTCCATACAAGGTCTTGGATGCGCCGGATCTTGCAGACGACTTCTACCTCAACCTAGTCGATTGGGGCAGTCAAAACACCCTCGGAGTTGGCCTCGGCTCGTGTGTCTACATGTGGAATTCAAGTAGTGGCCGCGTTACCAAGCTCTGCGAACTACAAGATGATTCTGTCACTAGTGTGAACTGGATACAGCGTGTAAGTTGTGCCATCTCTTTTCATGTCTCCACACATGCTAATCTCTCTTAGGGCTCACACATTGCGGTTGGCACAAACCGAGGTCAGGTACAAATCTGGGACGCACAGACTCAGCGACGACTTCGTACCATGACAGGCCACACAGCTAGGGTCGGTGCCCTTGCGTGGAACGAACACATCCTGACTTCAGGATCAAGAGATCGCACAATCTACCATCGAGACGTTAGGCAGCCGGAGCAGTGGTTGCGCAAGCTTGTCGGTCACAAGCAGGAGGTCTGCGGGCTGAAATGGAACCAAGAAGACGGACAGCTTGCATCCGGAGGCAACGATAACAAGCTCATGGTATGGGAGAAACTCAACGCTGAGCCGACTTTTAAGTGGAGCGAACACCAAGCCGCTGTGAAGGCCATTGCTTGGAGTCCACATCAGCGTGGTCTCCTCGCTAGCGGCGGTGGTACAGCGGACCGCACTATCAAGTTCTGGAACACCCTGGTCAACTCCAATGGCCCGTCGGCCTCAGCCCTTGCATCCGCCTCGGCTGCCGCCTCTGCCGCTTCTACTGCGAATGTACCCATGTCGCCTACAGCACCAGCAAACCTCATCAACAGCCTCGACACCGGCAGCCAAGTTTGCAACCTAGCATGGTCAAAGAACAGCAACGAGATCGTTTCCACGCACGGCTACAGTCAGAACCAGATCATTGTCTGGAAATACCCAAGCATGCAACAAGTCGTCTCGCTGACCGGCCACACCTACCGTGTACTCTACTTGGCCATGAGTCCAGACGGCCAAGTCATCGTCACTGGTGCTGGCGATGAGACGCTTCGCTTCTGGAACGCGTTCAAGAAGAAGGAGCGCACTGGAGGCCTCAGCAGCATGGACAGTTGGGGCGTCATTCGCTGAACTGTTTCATCTGCTCTCCTCTTCTACTGATAGTGTATTATAGGACTGATATCGAACCTTGCCGCGCCTCTTCCGGACTCAACTTATGAATGGCTTTTATGCTACTCATTGGTTACAACACTAACGTGCCTGTGTAGATCATCACAGCGCGTTACTGTAACGATTCTATTCGCGGCATTCGCACATTCAGTCCACGTACTTCCTTTCTTCCACGATTCCAGCGGCATCTGTATGGTTATGATCACAACTTCAGATATTTTCTCATGAGCATGGTTGGTGTTCCGGCGTTATGAGCGGCTCGATACCATGGGATTCTCTTATGGCGGCGTTGGGTGCAGACAGCCAGGCGGATGCTAGTCTTGAGTATTGGTGAAATCTTCGGGTATGAGCTTGGAGAAATGATCTTGTCGGCTCATGAATATTGCGAGTGTCATCTTTCTACTTTCTGGACACCACTTTAGCGTGATTCCCCATGCATATGCTTCGGCGACCAATTCTGGGCTGAAGCTGGAGTTTAGGGTTACATGAAGTAAGCCCGATTGGGTATATGGCCTTGGGTTGGCCTGGGCTGAAATCTTCAAGACTTTGATTGTACATTAGCAGCCTAAATATCACGGAAATCAAGCGTGAAACTTCAAGCCAACTCTCATCATCTTCCAGTCCGCTTGAACGTATCAATCGTCTGAGCAAAGCAAAGGCCTCATCAGATCTGGACGAAGGACGCATCCAAAGACCGCACAATTGCTTCTTTGCTGCAAGCTAATGATCTTGGGTTGTTTGGACTGTTTGACCACCATCGTGATGGCCATCATGCTGTTGTCTGCCAGGTTGAAAAAAAGACGTGCACAGTGAGGGTGCTATTCGAAGCATTTCTGGTATGATACTCAACGATAGTGAAGCTGAGCAGTCTGTGACAGCAATACATGAATCATATTGGCAAGACTGGCGTGACCGAACCTTTACATCAATGGCTTGACCATACACAGTAGCCGAGTGGAGAGCCTGGGGTAATGTAAACTGAAAACATCTGGGGTAATGCAAAAGCCGCGGCAAGCAACGCTCGACTAGGTATCCCGCGGTAACAAGGCCGCGAGCGCAAGCCCTGCAATTAGCCGGCAAATGACCCGAATATCGGTGGTTCCGCCGCTCAACTCCAAGAGCAGTTGCCGACAGCCCCACCATAAGAGAAGACATCGGAATGTCGGAAATGCCACCGGAACGACGAGGGGAAGTTGCATCATCGTTCATATCACATTTCCCTCCTCTTGAATTCTTCTCACCTTGAAGTTTACCAACTTGAACCAAACCTGAACTAGAACACTTCAACAAAACTCCCCACCATGGCACCAGATCTATCCCAAAACCGCGCCGTCAAGCTCGTCGCCCATGCCGCTGCAAACAAATACGCCGTCTGCGCAACATGCTGCTACAACGTTGAAGGCATCCTCGCCTCGGTCCGCGCAGCAGAAGCCAAACGCGCCCCTTTGATCATCCAACTCTTCCCCTGGGCCATCACCTACGCAGACGGCATCCTCCTCCACGCCGCGCGCGAAGCTGCCGACAACGCCAGCGTGCCCGTCGCCCTGCACATGGACCACGCGCAGACGCCTGAAATCGTGAAAAAAGCAGCGAATTTCGAGCGAGGATTCGACGGCATCATGGTCGACATGAGCCATTATGACGACAACCTGGAGAAGACGGCAGAGCTGGTTAAGTACTGTAACGAGCGGGGTATCATCACCGAGGCGGAACCGGGGAGGATCGATGGAGGAGAGGATGGCGTGGGCGATTTGAGTGAAATGGGTCTTGAAGCTATTCTCACCACGCCGGAGCAAGCTGAAGAATTCGTCGCAACGGGAATCAACTGGCTAGCTCCCGCCTTTGGAAACGTACACGGGAAATACGGTCCCAAGGGTCCTCAATTGGATTACCCCCGTCTGCGCAACGTACATGCCAAGGTTGGCGATCGCGTGGCTCTTGTGCTGCATGGTGCGGGCAAAGAGTGGTTCCAGGAGAAGTTGCTCAAGGAGTGTATTGAGTGCGGTGTTGCCAAGGTTAATATTAATGACGCGTTTAATAATGATTTCATCGACGTTATGAAGGAGCAGGCGGGGCTCACGCCGCTTACGGGCTTGATAGAGAAGGCGACGGATGCGATGCAGAAGAGTATCGAGAGCTATATTGAGTGGATGGGGGGTGCGGGTATGGCGGACAAGATCCAATTCTAGCTTTGACGTGGATAAAGTTGGCTGGAATGTATTAGTAGTGAAGACATCGCAAATTGTCTCAAGTGGACTTGCAGCGTACGAAACGAAATTGCTGTATAAAAAGACAACTATGCGACGACCCGTTATTGCGGCCGAAAGGATACCCTGTTTGCGACGGGCCTAATAACTTCGTGGCTAGTCTTGCGAAGATAGTCTACAAATCTTCGCCTCGTACAGCGATTACTGATCGCTGTAGTAATCCCTGGGTCAATGCGCTCGTTGAACTACTCACCTCACCGACTAAGAGAACTAGGCATCTACGAAAGCTAACAGATATAAGTAGACGCAATGACATAGCCAACAAATGTTACATATCTCACAGTCGCTACCACTGACATTGAAACCTTTCTCACAATAACCAATATGTCGTCCAATTACTCCCTCCATGCCATCCCCGTATACTGGATCATGGCTCTCTACCCACACATGTACTCTGTACGTCTTCATATTACTAAGCCACGCCCCCTTTTTATCCACCGAGTTCCTATTCCACCACTAACCATCCACACCTCCAGCAAATGATCTTCAAAAAGGCCGCAAACGGCAAACGCGACAACGCCAATCCCCGCGGTGTGTCTACACTAGAATTCTACCGCAAATGCTGTCCTGGACCGCTTTACACAAAAGCCGAACGTGCAGAGGCCTGTCATCAGAATAACATGGAGAATGCGCCCTTTTTCGTGGGTGCGATATTAGCGGGGAACCTGGCTGGGTTGGATGCAAGTAAGTTTACTATGAGGAGCTCAACAGGAATGGAGAGTAAACGAGGATTTTGAAACTGACGTTGAGGTAAAACAGTGACCATGAATAGTATGGTAGGAGCGTATCTTGGTCTCCGCCTTGTGTACAGTTTCATGTACGTCAAGATCCAGACTACTAAACCGAGTTATGTAAGAAGTGTTACGTGGGCCGCCAGTGTAGCAGTGTTGATGACAATGTTTGTCAAGGCGGGGAATAAGATGAACATGAGTTTGGGGCTGTGAAGGGTGACGAGTATGGATAGGAAGATGGATAGGGAGACTTGCGAAAAATGGCTGATAGGATGAATGTTGTAAAATCAAGGTAGAAAAACACCACTGCAATTTTATTTACAAGAATATATCCCCCGCTCGTTTGTCAAAAGGACTTTTCAAAACAATGCTGACATCAAGCACACTTACGCCTTTGTCTACCACATCTCCTTCTCTCGTCAGCGACTAAATCTAACCAGTTACTGCGGCCAAGCACATAACCCCCCACAATCACTCCCTCCATTCAATGGATCACAATCATCTCTCGGATCATCAACACAAACTTGACCCGGGTTATCGCACTTGAAACCTGCAAATCCACCACACAGCTTCTCCCCAACGCAAATACCCAGCTGATCACAGGCAGGGCCGCATGAACCCGGTTGGAAAGGATCGGTGATACAAACTTGGCCTACAGGACAGTCTAGGACAGCACTTGCGCGGCCGCCGCCGCAGATTTGGTTAGTGGGGGAACCTTTCGGAGGGTGGACGGGAGTGGGAAAGGGAATGGGGGTGACGGTTTTGGTGGATGTGGATAGTGTAGAGGGAGTTTTCGGTGGGCAGATCTGACATGCGGTTAAAATTGATCCAGGTATTGTGCAGGTAGGGTAGATTCTTACCTGCAGAACAGGCTTCTTGCCACCACACTGTTGGTAACAGCGTTCTTTGGCAGCATTCTGGCAGTAGCAAGTCTCAGGCCATGACGCGATGCACTTGACTAGAGGGCACTCGCACTTCGGAGGGGGCGTTGCTGGCGCAGGTACTGATTTTGGCTCCGCTACGCGCGCTTTGATGTCGATGGGAGTGAGAGGAGGGCAGTTCGGGAGGGGTGGTGCGGGTCCACCGCACTTGTCGGAACATGCTTTCTTTGCGTTATACTCGCAGTAGCATGATTGAGGCCAGACCTGTGGGCAGAAAAGGGGACCGGGTGCGCAGACACAAGCCTTGGCCTCTGACTCTGGCTCAGGTGCAGGCTCTGGTTTCGGAGCACGAGCTTGCACATCGTCGATACTGCAGTTCTGGTATTCTGGCTCTACGCCGCCGCACTTGTCGAAACACGCTTTCGTTGCGTTATTGCGGCAATAGCAGCCCTCTGGGAAGGACAGAATGCATATGACGTCTTCGCAAACGCACTGGGTGGGTGTAGGCTTTGGCGGACTGACGTTTGATACTGGCAACCGAGGGCAGTGCTACAATAGTTATGAGACTCTAGCTCTATTGAGATGGAACGATGACTTACTAAGATACGGGGAACGTATTCAGGACATTGAGCTTTGCATGCGTATTCTCGTTCGTTGAGACACTTGCACGCTTCCTGCGGATATCTTAGTTGTTGTTTGACATCTTCTAATTAGTAGACTGTCATCCATACCAGTGCACTGCCAGCCGAGCAATCCGGTGGTGGACATTTCGCTACACAACTATCAGGCTGTAATGGCTGCGCTAGTCCAAGGGCGCAACCAAATAGAGGCAGCAGGGCGAAGAGGAGCTTCATCGTCGACAAGAAGAAGACTGCGGAGCAACAAAAATGTGCTGCTATTTGAAAATATCCTGAGGTTTGAAATGAAGCAGGCAGAAGTCGGCCCTGTTATATAATCGGAAACCACGTGGGAAACCCTGATCGCACGTTTAATCTGACCCAACAGCGTAGTCATCTTGCACTCCCGGCCAAGAAAGCCTCTAAGAGCCGTCAGAGTGTTCTAAAGCGACCAGAATGCGCCTTCCGAAGCCACCAAATTCTCTGCTCTGGCGAACACGAGTTCACAGCTGCGACCAGATTGCTTGGCCCTTGTCTTTCAATCTGCGCCTTCCGTTATATGATGATGCTGCATTTCTCGTATGAGGAAGTGCCCCCCAGGACTACCTAAGACAGCCAACAGTGTCGTCAGACTGGGCAATGTAAACTTCGGTGAGTGATCCGGTCATCGCGCACTTGTGGTTTCTAGTGCCAGGGAAAAAGCAACGGACCAAAACATAAGATCAGAAATAGTACCAGACAAGCTTTCCATGTAACACAGCCAATGCTGTCCGCTGCGGGGTACAGATCACTGTAAATCGGTCTTCGGATCCAGGCATCTTCGCACGTTACGTTCCACGCAAGCTGTTATTTGTTTCCTGTTGGGCGGGACGGCATATTGATTGAACAGAGGCTCTTGCGGCCACGATACGACAATTGAGTTTGGGTATATTAGGTACAGTATATACAAACCGGGTAATAAGTCGAGGGTTCCCCGGTCTCGGTCTCTCAGCCGGGATGTCGTACGCCTTCTTTTCATTTTGCCAGCCGTGGAGTGATCTAACGTGATGTGGCCGCGAATCATATCGCCAGATTCTGCTGGTGGTCGCAGTTTGCAGCAGACAGCGAATTGGATCCGCTGTTCCCAGAGCTCACTAGCGTGGGCTCAGTTGAGCGAACTGATATAGTAAAACGACGACCCGTTGCGAGAGGAATGTGGGTGATTTTGAGCTCCGAGACGGCCTACGCGGGTCGCTGACGCCAAGGCGCTAGGCCGCCGTGCTTGCCTCTCATATCATTGGGCTTCAAACCTTACACCCCCGTAATACGTCAGACGACGGTCGTCTTTACAGATACATCCGTACCAAGGCCGGGCATATCAAGTTTGCTTGGATAGAGCTGAAAGTTCTAATCACGAGCGACTACTCATTGTCACTTTGACGGCCAGCATTTACCTGTAGTAGCATTAAACAGCTATGAAAGGGAGTGACTTGTTGATTGAGTAGGGCATGCAAAGACTGTCTAAGGCTATGTCAGGCCGTTTTCGAATAGGCCACTCGCTGACGTGTAATTATGTCCACAACCCAATGCGGATTCAAATGCAACGCCGGTGCGCTTCCCAGGGGTATAGACCTTCCATGCAATCAAAAACCATCATATTAAAACCTAACTCCTAAAAGGTAGAATCACCGATTTCGATCGACATCTTCTGGCGGAGAACGTCGCTGAAGGCCAGTAGTCGATCGGACTGCGTCGAAGCCGCGCCACACAACGGTGGAAACAGAAGAGGCTAGCTCTCGCAACGAGGTTCCACCCTCTGCTGCTCGTGAGATCTCTCCAGAAGCGCGTCTGGAGTTGGATCCAGACCAACCAGCCTCAACGTCGTCATCAAGCGGAGATGAATCAGTTGGTGCAGGCCTAGACATGGGTACAGGTCGTGATGCAGAAGGCGACTCGTTGCGAGTCTCAGCTGCTTCTGTTTGCACATCGTCTTCGCTAATGGAAAGTCGGGGGGGGCGTGTTGGTGATGCTGACTGTAGCCGATCATGCCAGCTCCGACTCAAAGAGCGTACAACGTCGCCTTTGCAGATGGGGCAAGTCCTCCGGCGCGTGACAAGCCAGGGTGTTCTACTCACGTCAGATGGAATGCATCAACGGAAACAAGGGATACTTACATGCAATCCGCATGAAACTCGTGACCACACGGCAGGCTCATGACTTGACTAACTCCATCAACATACTCTTCCAGGCAAACAACGCATTCTCTTTGACGACCGCCATAGCGCCGCCTCCACGCCGCTAGCCCTGATTCTCGCTTTTCTTCCTCGCGGTCACGAGACCCATGCTGCACAGATGTTGAAGTGGCCGGTGTCTCTGACACAGTAGTTGAGCGTGACCGAGGTTCCGGTGATCTAGACCGGGTAGAAGAATGCTGAAGTAAGGGCGTCGTAGGAGAAGCTGCACTTGTCGTCGCTGAGGACGATGAATCGCTCATGGTCTGATAAGTCCTGACAGGTAGGCGTTCCACAACAGACTTGGGTGCTCTCCAACGGCGACGTCGTATGCGAGATCGAAGGAGGAGGAGGGCATATACGACTGTCAGAGTGACCAATGGACTGACAACGAGTACGAGTAAAGTATCGAAGAAAGGACTGCTTGAAACATTTGTAGGTGTAAGCGTGACCCACAGGCCTTTGTGAGCACTAGCAGCAGGGGAAGTCTTGACAATGCTGGAGTTTATATCGATGATCGAGGTAATGCCTCTAGTGCGCGCGCGCCTGGACGACGCTGACGAAACAGTGTCATGCCTAGAGCCCGGCCACCAGCTCCACGGTTTCTTCCCGCTATTCTTTGCGTTCGCTGGGGTATATTCGCCACTACCGGGTAAGGCATTACTGTCGGCTTTGGTACTCACTGGAGTTGCGCTAGCTGCTGTTTGAGCTTCACTCGTCGATGCTGTAAGAGGCAAAAGATCAGGATCCCGCCAGTCATGTTCTCCGATGACAAACCCGTCTGCAGCGCTCGTGTGCGTTGGCGTCGATGCTGCAGATTTGGTCTTGATAGGGTTTTGGTCATCTTCCCAATCGCTGGCCTCGACCCACTCAAGGTCGCCACTGCTGGGTAACCTTCGACTGCCGGCCTTGAGAGAGTCATCGCTTGTATCGAAACCAAATGCAGATGCGAGAGAATGCAGCCAGCCAACACGTTGACCAGCTGAGGTCTTCTTGCCAGATGTCGATGGTTGTTTCTTCCCGTGGACCGGTGTTTGCGCAGTTCGTAACGCCTCGGAAAGTTTCGGATGACCCTCGACAGTATTAGATGCTTGTACAGAATTCGGGAACAGGCCGTCTGACGGGAGGAGCGAAGACAAAAGATGAGCAGTTGTGTGCGAAGTGAACAGGGACGGAATCGTGATATTAGAGGTATCTCCTTTGGCGTACATTCGAACGAGGGCGCCACCGCGCACGTCGTCGCCTACTATAACAGCTACTCCTCCGCGGGACTGTGCCCATTGGACTTTGGCCAAGAATCCACAACCTCCCCGCTTGAGCAGTACGACCTTGCCAGCGATTTCGGCGCTCTCTTGGAGTGACTGTATATCGGCATGTTTGATTCTTGATGTAGCGGGCGTGCTGGAGAAGCTCGGTTGCAGGTGATCGTCTGTACCATCGTCCACAGCGACATTGTTAATGTTGTCAATTTTGGCTTCATGGCCTCCTTCCTTTGGAGGCAAGTTTCTGTCCGGTAAGGTACCCTTGGCTTTGTCCTTGACAAGACCGGATGACCGTGAAGCCCTGACAAGGTAATCACTGCCATCTTCCCAGCCAGGGACGTCGCTGCACCCCAACTCGCCCACGGCACCCAGTGTATCATCTCCGAAGCCGCTACCAATCCACAGCGAGCCACTTAAGCCCTCTTTTGGTAGTGCCGGGCCAAAAGCAGCAGGTCTGGCGAGGAAAAATGTCGAGTTATCGTCGGTTAAGCTGATAATGGCAGACGGTGGGAACAACGAGCTGGGCGACGTGAAAGAGAACAAGGTTTTGAAACTGCCTTTGCTCGATGCAACAGATATCCGCTCCTGCTCTTCATCCTGTGATGTCCCTAGTATCATGTATAGAAGCAATGTAACGGCTAGGAGGCTCGTGGCTAGCGAGAGCAGCAGACGGAGTGGGCGCATGCTTGCGAAAGCAGCCAGCGGCGGCGACGACGGCGGCGGCGGAAGAGGTGGAAAGGGAGAAAAGCAGCAAATCGTGCTGGATATCTAGTAGAGGAAAGTCATCGACTGAGGTCAGGAGACAGGTGCGATGTGGTCCTGTCTGAGGTGGGTCACGCGGGGCGAATCGAAAGTGAAGGGCAGGAAGCGATGGATGATGCGGTAATAACACAGAGAGGCGGGCAGGTCGTCACTACTTGGGTGGCGCAAAGCAATAAATGGCGCACGTATGCAACAAGGTATATCGCAATGAGTGCAGATATGCAGGAAACGCGTTAGGAAAAGGCACTAAACAAGGACGTGCTGTGGAGTAAACGATCAGTCGGAGGCCGATGATGTCGTGATGGTTCCGAGACCTTGGTGGAACGGGCACGGGCAGCTGCACATGCGCGTGATGGACGCCAAGCATGTCACTCCCCGCAATCGACTATGCTGGAAGCGTCAGCCACACCAAAACACCGCCTCGGCCTTATCGTGATAAGCCTACTGACACCAGCCCAAAGCGATGATGCTGTACCAGACACTGGTTGATAAAGCTAAGGCTTTGTCTATGTGGCGACTGATCGAACTCGAGGTCAGTCCGGACACAACTCGTTTTCACGTGGCTACAGCGCATGCATTTGCATCTTTGTATCTTTCCAACATGGAGATATAACAATCTTCTAATCTCAGCATTGATGTGGGAACAAAACGAAAAGTGCAGAAAGCGACCGAAAACTGGAGGCCTTCCAGGTAAGACTGCTGAGAATGTCGCGGTCACCAACACTCTACTCATGGTCACTCCTTCCTGGTCAAGTCGCCAAGGTTGCTCGCGACTCCCGCTTTCTGACAGGATCAGTGTCAATCAGCAAGTATCTTTGGCAGACTTCGTCATGCCTTCGTCTTCTTCATTTTCCCTCGCCCATCGTGTCGTTACGCTGCTCCCATCTTTTCCCTTGTTCGACTCTCGACTTCACAACTCTCATTCCTTTCAGCACCTCTTACGTCTCACCCTACCATCGGCTTCTATACCTCTCTTCAGCCTTTTCCCTAGCTGTACTATTCCTACGTCTCGCCTGCTCGGCTGCAAATCTCAGGCCACAAACCTCGCACCTAATCGGCCTGTCAAAACACCTCATATCGTGTGCATTCCACTCCAAACCCCCCAGACGCGCAAGCTTAAACTGGTGGCCTCTAGACACAGTCATGAACCATCAAAGCCCCTCGGAGAGCTTCATGGTCTTGCCAGGCATGAAGCCCAAGTACACCGAAGACCCCAACCGCCCTGGAGAGCCACGCTTAGCTGGTTTCGGATGGCTACCAAATCGAGCTCGCCATCTCTTCATCTCCTTCGCAGGTGAATTTGTCGGCACCTTCCTCTTTCTGTTCTTCGCCTTCGCTGCTACGCAAGTCGCCAACAACCTCCGTGGTACCAGGCCCATGGACATTGGATCGTTGCTCTACATCTCCTTGGCATTCGGCTTCTCGCTGGCAGTCACGGTATGGGTCTTCTTCCGCATCAGTGGAGGCTTGTTCAACCCTGCTGTAAGTAAACTCAAGCAAGACAATGGCCATTTGTTCGCTGACATAGCCTAGGTCACCATCGCCATGGGTCTCATCGGAGCACTTGGCTGGATGAAGGTCTTGCTGCTGATTATCGCGCAAGTACTCGCCGCCATCGCCGCTGCCGCCGTTGTCTCTGGACTATTTCCAGGGCCACTATCTGTGAATACGTCCCTCAGTAGGGAAACGTCTGTTACGCGAGGCCTGTTCATTGAGATGTTTTTAACCTTCATGTTGCTTCTGACCATCTTCATGTTGGCAGCGGAGAAGCACAAGGCGACTTTCATTGCCCCGATCGGCATCGGACTTGCTCTGTTCATTGCTGAGTTGGCCGGTACGTGCCTACAATTTAGGCTACGAGCACGCTCATGTTGACATAAATAGGTGTATACTTCACTGGAGGCTCTTTGAATCCAGCTCGCTCTTTCGGACCAGCCGTCATCACAGGCGTATGGCCCGGACATCACTGGATCTACTGGTTGGGTCCTATTTTTGGCGCTATTCTAGCCGTCATCTTCTACCGTCTGATGAAGATGCTCGAGTACGAGACTGCCAACCCCTGTGCAGACCACGACGGCCGTGAAGCATACCACAAGCATGGAGTTGGTAGGAGTGCTGAGCACTACGAGATCACTCCTGGTGAGTTGCCAGTCCTGCCCATGAGGCACCACTGACTTGTCTTTGTAGCCCGCCATGCGACCGATGGAACCGATGAGCATGACCACGCGAAGCAGTTGCGATCTGACACCAGGCAGCCTACCATGGATCAGCGTCAGGCAATACCTTCTCTGGACACCATGTCGACGTCTACAGGCTACGTCGAGAAGCCAGCAGCACCGAAGCTCGTACATATGCAGACGTTTGACGGCCATCGATCCGACATTGTCAATCATCCCGAAGATCGTCCACGTGCCCATCACAAGCGCAGCTCGTCGCAATATGAAATGGCATCTGACTCAAGCTACCGCAACGGGCCGAGTGCGGAGTTAGGCAGCTCGGAGTCGTAGACCGGCTCGTCGACTAGCTCGAGCTCACGGTCTCGCCGTTCGCCAAGCGCATAGGATGAGAAGCCTCCGAAGAGTATTTTCGAGCGGGCATTGTACTGGCCGTGCTGCTTCCTGCCACACTTCATACTTCAGGCTTGCTTTTGTCCTCACACATAGATAACTGCCGGTGCGTGTCGCTGCATTGTGGGCTTCATGGAAGGGAACGGGTATGGTGATGGCTCGGTACCTAAAGAACCTCTTATTTCTCTCTATAGATTAGCAACTGGCTTCATCACGCAGAGTGCACACAAATTCTGACACTGCCGGATCCAAACCACCTTGTCCGAATAGAATGCCCTTTGGCTTCTTTCGCTGATCATGAATATAGACTTGGAAAATAGTACCTTTCTCCATCGACTCTTGGTCAAGGCACTTGAATAATTTCGCAGCTGCGTGCGTTCATATGACGTCTTCGTTTTTGTGATATGTATCGGAACCACGCATATAGATACCAACATCCAGCGCCTCTAGTGGAAAGTCTTGTACTGTGTCCACTGTGGACTGTAATGAAGAAGCCTCCTTCCTATCGTCAATCGACTGAGCACAGTATGTGTTGATCTTTAGGATAGGTAGTCCAACAATCTCGAGACATCGCAACGATCCGGGCAGTGCGAGATGGGGGGTTGTACGGTTCAGGCTTATCAAGCCCGCGATCGAGGTCTTCAAGCTTCGGACATGCTATGCCAACTCGTTCCCATCTAGCACTGTCATGAGCAACTGCTTAGTATATACATCCGGAATCTCTGGAAAGACGAGGTCACGATATAGGATCAGCTTGGGCGACAATGCGGAAGTATTTGGAAGCCATGGACATGGCGGGCGGAGCCTGTCGGTCATTGTGCAGATCCTGTAGTATCTTGTTCCGTTGACAGTTGCGAAAAATATATTGTGGTCTGTGTGGACGTTGACTTGAACGTATTCTCTGCACAGATGGTTGATCCCACTTGCAAAAAGAATCTCAAAAACTTCAAAAACATACAACAGCGGGGATTCGCTAGTGGTCACCCACCTAACTACTAATCCGCCGGTACACTGCTTGTATATGGCTGAGCGGACGGGAAGCCTAATTTTCAGTGTCCTATGGTCGTATGTAGAAGAAATGGTGGGGGATAGTGAAGATATTGACGAGGATGTCCGAGGTATGCCGTAAGAACATCAAGTAGGTACGCGCAGTCGCGTGACTTTGGAACCATCAAGAGCCTGGCGCGACAGCATTCGCTGCTACGCAGATGTACAAAGTCCTCCCCATGACGACTTTCACTCAATGGTATCACAGCGAGGAATGTCTGTTGCAAATGTTGTTACGCCCCTCTTTCCAATGAATTTGGTGGAGGGGTAATTGACAAAGCGTTGCTCTTTCGCCAACTGAGGAGAGATGGTAGAAGATGGCCTACTTCTCCACTCGCAGTAAATGGGGCGATGATAGCTTTGAGGACCTCGCAGTTCGTGAAGGTCCTCGACAGCCGGTTCAATTATCCAACTTCACGCATCGGGCACTCACATGTCATGCGGAACATGGGAAAACTCCTTCATTGTATTGCTATTCGTTTTAGTGTACACAGCCCATTCCACCCAATATGCCATTCTGATGTCGCCCGCTTCGATACTAATGGCAATCGGCATTGCGTCGTCGCGTGCGCGTGTGCGGTATGTGTAGGACACCGACCAGTTTATTGAATCAGAGATGCCGTCAAAGCGTCCGTTATGTAACAAGGTGTGTGTGCCGGACGCGGAAGTCATGCAACCACATCCACATCTACCAGCGAACCACTTGAGCCTCCGAAGAGGAGAGTTCAAAGGCGGATGCGGAGAGCTGCTCAGCTGATACACGCTAGGCTTTCATCATCTGGCGACTCTGTTAGTATGCGCGCATTGAGGAACGGCGTGGGGGATGGCTTACATGTTATAAACTGGAGGGATAGCGAGAGGAAGGTGGGTGTGGGTGCCGGAAAGCTTTTGAAGCTTCTGCAGCCTGGTCTGGGCGGGCGCTAGCTGAGTTGTGGCTAGTCGGAATCGTGGCTTGGCACATCGTTGAGATCTACCTGGGAGCTCTCTGGAGACCCCAAAGACGCATTCACAATTGTCAGTGCTCATTCTATCATTGCGACAAACCATGAGTCTCGTTCGCGCTTCCCAATATGTAGTGAGTCGGGAGAGTGGTCTGCGCAACTCCTACGCAGAGATTTCGAAATTTTGTCGAACAAGCCGTCACGGGACCACGCCAAATCGCGTAGGGCTATGTACGCGGTATACAACCCGAGGATTTGCAACCTCACAATCCGTTCTCCCTGAGGAACATGTGAAAAAAACCCTGGATGATTTCAAGGCTACCAGTATGTCTGCAATATCTCTCCCAGACCCAGCACTTATCATATTGCAGTTCGCTCATCCGCTTGGGAGAACCGTGACCCAGCATGGGGTTATGCACAACTGCCAGAGAACCCTCCTGGCAAAGAAGTTGAACTCTTTGGCTACATCAGTACAAGACGGGATGTTAGCAACAAGCTCTCTTTCACCATGCTCCGTAACAAGAACCAAACATTGGCTATCCAACTCGTCTCGAGTCCCCAAAGTGATGGAGCAGATGGTCCAGATGCGCATGCCTGCCTGCGATCATTAAAGGAATGGACTCCTGTCATCGTAAAAGGAACACTCAAGGAGCGCCAACCTGCCAAGGCAAAGACGTTCTTAGGCATGAAGTTGATCGATGCTCGCGAAGTTGCTGTGCAGCATGTACAGCCTCTCAATGATATACCTGACGACATTATCATCAAGAACGACACGGCATTTGGCCCGGATCAACGACATTTGCAGCTTCGTACAGATTCGGCATTACGGTTAGATATCATTCTGCGATCAAAAGCCATGATGCGAGCAAGGTTACACCTAAATGCGTTGCAATGGAGAGAGATCGAAACGCCCATACTATTCAAGTCGACGCCTGAGGGTGCGAGGGAGTTCCTCGTGCCGACACGGCAGAAGGGACTGGCATATGCGTTACCACAAAGCCCACAGCAGTACAAGCAAATCCTCATGGCATCCGGCATTACCAAGTACTACCAGTTTGCGCGCTGTTTCCGGGACGAGGATCTGAGGGCTGATAGACAGCCGGAGTTTACTCAGGTCAGCACCAGCTGATGCACTTCCAGACCGCTACTGACCCTTGAATAGCTCGATATGGAGATGTCCTTCGCTGGCGAAGAAGACGTCATGAACGAGACCGAGGCACTACTTAGAAAGCTCTGGTACCAGGTTTTGAAACAGAAGACACCGGAAAAGTTCCAACGAATGAAATACCAGACTGCAATGGCTTCTTACGGATCTGACAAACCAGACCTACGCTTCAAGGCTAGGGTATGTTAAGTTGGCAAGCCGTGGCTTCTGTCCTAGGCTAACGACGTGCAGATACATACTATCACTGAACATCTTACATCAGACCTGATAGGCAAGATTACTTCTCTGCAAGATCCAGCAGTTGATGCTATCAAGATACCGATATCTGAGGACCCCAAGGTTACGCGCAAATTCGTTGCCGATTTCCTCGACAGTCCGGATGGGAAGGTCTATCTCGAGAACCCTGACGGTCAACCCGGTATCTTCATCGGTGATCTTTCGCAACCCATGCAGGGTCTCGGACCATTAGGCTACCAATACGTGATGGAAGGCCCGGAAGAACTCGCGGTCGAGAACGGTGACCTTCTTGTCCTCCAAGCACGTCCAAAAGCACCCTTTTCAGGCGGCTCAACTATGCTTGGTAACCTGCGACTTGCTCTTCATAGAGCGGCTATAGCACAGGGTCTGATGGATGCACCTGCCAAAGACGACTTCCAGTTCGTTTGGATCACGGACTTCCCACTATTCACCCCGTCAAGCGACAGCGAACCAGGGCAAGGCGGTTCAGCAGGCTTCTCATCGACCCACCATCCTTTCACAGCTCCCAAAACACCCGCGGACGTTGATGTGCTACTTACGGACCCCTCATCCGCGGTAGCAGCGCACTACGACATTGTTGTCAACGGTGTCGAACTTGGTGGTGGCAGTCGCCGTATCCACTCGGCCGCCATGCAAGAGTTCATCTTCAAAGACATTATCAAGATGAAGCCTGAGCGTGTGGAGGACTTTAGACATCTGTTAGACGTATTGAGAAGTGGATGTCCGCCCCATGCAGGTATCGCTCTGGGATGGGATAGGCTGATGGCTGTCATGTGCGGGAAAGAAAGCGTAAGAGACGTTATTGCTTTCCCGAAAAGTGGCAGAGGCGAGGATTTGTTAGTGAAGAGTCCAAATCGCATGACCGAGGAGCAGTTGGGTACGTATCATCTAGAGTTGAGGAAGTGAATATAGAAGCAGGTATGCTGGTCGAGTGTACGATATAGTGTTGGATGTGTATTAGTATAGACGATATCACGACTTCAGGAGCGAGTAGCGCCTAGCAAATCACAATTCGTGCTGTCACATGGTACCCGAGTACGAAGCAGGGCACCATTTTGGTCGCGCAGGAAGGCGCTCTAGGGTTTAGAGCGCAGCAATGCAGTCACACCCCGATAGAGCTTGATATGCTGCCGATCCTAAAGAACAACAAATGTCGCATCGTCACTCAAAGGTATCACTGGTGCTTACTTCGGGGCAAAAGTCTTTCTATGGGTAGATGCGCAAAATCATGGATACTGGGGCTCTCGATTAAGGTATGCAACAAATATGTCTTAATTGCACCGATATTCTTTTTCATGTCATGCGTGCAGATACAGCAAATATGAGTGCACAGGGTATACGTCTCAAATACCACCCTCAAAGTGACATAAAAGCTTACGATAGCTTCCGTTAGTCGCAAACAAAGCATTTCAGGATCTTGGAAAGACCGATCGTTCTCAAGATCATACACCTTTTTTCTCGATTCCATCATGGCAGAATCCAAGTTCCAGATTCCAGAGGAATATAAGTTGCAAGTGAGTTATGTCGAGGCCAAAGACACGCGAACCGATGCCGAAATTCTGAATTCGCTGACCACGCATATACCCATCACGTCTGAGAAGAATATTTGGACATACTGGCATGCTGGCGTACAGAAGATGCCAAAGTGGACGCAACGCAACATCATCAACTGGGTGCGACTTCATGGCCCCGAATGGACGGTTCGCGTGCTCGATACAGTACCAGACTCGGCAAACCACGCGTTGAAATGGGTCACACAAGCAGATCTTCCAGAGACCTTTGTAGAGGGTACGATGACGGGTCCATATGTAGGACCTCATAGCGCCGACTTCCTGTGTGGCGCAGCACTGTATACGTACGGTGGAGTGTGGATGGACGTCGGATGTATCTTGTTCCGCCACCTCGATAGCGTCTGTTAGGCTCAGCTTGCGGACGACGCGAGTCCGTTTAGTGTTGCTGCGCCACTGGTATTCGGACAGTTCATTGCGAATCACATTGTCGCGTCTCGAAAAGGCGATGAATTCATCAAGAATTGGTGCGTTGTTCGCGTGCCCCAACCGAGATCCACTGAGTTGACTGTGAACAGGCATCTCATCTTCTTGGAGCTGTGGAAAGGACGCACTGACTTTACTGGTGTGTTGCAATCGCCCCTCATCAACTTCACCCAGGTGATGAAGTTTGAAGACCTCGTCGAGGCAGGCTATGGGTGGGATTGGAAATTGGACGAGCAGACTATCATCGGATACATCGGACAATGCGTCGCCTGGATGCGCTTGACGTGGCTGCAAGAGCCTAATGGCGGCTTCGATGGCGTCAACTACTGGGCTAACAAAGTTTTGCTGTGGAATGTACTTCCCCAAGACTTCCCTGCCGAGAACACTATCGGTTTCGATGGCGCAGACATATTGAACGTCTTCGCTACGAGACTAGATGGGAATGGGAATGAAGCAGGATTTGAGAAGGCGAAAAAGGCGGCGTGGACAATGATGGCGCAGAGTGTGATGCAAAAGATCACTCATGGCAAAGAGCTGACCCATACGCCTCAATGTGGTACGTTGCTGGATCTCCCAGAGAATGAAGGCAAGGATGCGGCACCTGAAACATTCGGAGAGCTGCTGCGCTACGGTAGTGTACACCTGGGACAGACGAGAGAGATGCAATATGTGACGGCGGCTGTTGTGGACCCCGAGTTCGTGATTCACAAGGGACTACTGGAAGCGTAAGCAGCCAAGGCACTCAGATTACTTCACAATCCAGGCGGCGATATTTTGACCGTTTCCTGTATGATTGTGTTATTGGTGGTCAGCTTAGTATACTGATAAGTGCCCAGAAGGGCGCAGTAGCAACTATTGCCATCTAGACTTCCATCTTGAGCCTTGTGTTCAGATGAGCAGGAAAACAAGCTCAGCATTTCGGCGGCGACAAGACGTCCGTGCGCTGTATGACATCACACCTTCCTCGCATGGCTCCTCCGAAGACAGGCCAAGACAGATTTGCTTGGTTATCGCGCTTCCTCTCCGCCGCCATCAAATTCCAGCGTGAAATGGCACGTGAGAAATCAGTCTCTGGAGCTCATTCAGGAGGTCCTCGGCAGCTCCGGGTTCGACGATAATGCGCCACAATGACTGCGCCACAAGTCCAGCTTGCATTGCTCTAGGAGGCTGCACTCGGCTTACCTGCTAGCTGTCGATGACGCTTCACCACGCACACGATGCGGATGCCCAGAACGCCTTTGTCGTAGTTTCCCGGATGTTGTTCTTTCCCCACTGGAAACATGGAGCGGAGTATGTGACAGGTAGCAATCGAGACAAGACCGAACAGGCTGTTACCAAGACGAGGCAGAATTTGATGAGCGCGTACACGCTTGGTGAATGTCATTGGTCGATCGTGATTGGGACGATCTGGGGTTGGCCTCAGGCCGCACTCTGAATCTTGATGTAGATATGCTGGTTCCGTCGATAACCACAAAGAAACATATGCGCCTGATTGTCTTGTCTCCTGGACTCAAAGACAGTGCATGATGCAAAGATGTCTATGCGTTTCGGAGATTCACATTCTTGGTAGTTTAAACCTGATTTGAAAAGATACTCTATATCTAAATTCCTTCACTAGTCGGATCAGGGGCAGAAATAATAAGCATGAATTATATGTTGCCTTGTTCTCATAAGACATCCTCAGGCTGAGATCTTATGTAGATACCTACGCAGCTGGAGTTCAGATGAGCTATGCCCAACATGGTTTAGCCAACGGCAAAGCCTCAGTGGCGCCTCAGTGGCGCAGTTTAAGCCCTGCTAGCCTCACCCGATCTGCGCATTAGGCAGCGAAGCGACATTCAATCGCGACTTCAGTCTATTGCGCGTTTCTTCTTCTTACCCTGTTTCTGCTTCGACGTCTTTCAAGTCGTTGTCTGTAGCGACGTGATGGAAGCGGACGCTGAGGGCCTCCGCGCTTCATTGCGCTTGGATGGGGTTGCACTGCCCCCTTTCCAAGACCGCCGGACTCTTGACCCTCCGCTCATCTCGCGATCAACAACGTTAGTCCCCAAAAGCATCAAATCTCGCCTCCTTGGCGACAAGTCTACAGCTCGACCGTCGACGCGACGTAGGTAGAAGGCTGAGTTCTCGTAGATTCTACCAAGGTCTCAACATGTAGATGTCATCTGGTCTAGGAAGGCAAAAAGTCGCCGCGAAATGATTGTTCCTCAGGGGACTACTAGCTGCCAAGGGAGGCTCGGGCGAAAGACGTATCACACTGAGTCGACTAATATCGCGCACCAAGCGCCCTGGCGGTCTTGGATATGATCCACATTACACAGCCCGCCTTGTGAGTATATGGCGGCTTGAGATGCGTCCTCCAACTGATTTGAATCCATCCTTAATCCGACTATCACCTAAACTCGAGCTCATTAATTACTCCCCTTGCTACATTTTCCAAGTAGCTTCATTGTAGCATCGTTATTTTATCGAAGATGGAGACCGGCAAACTTGCCCCTCCGACCTTACAAATCAACACTCGACAACGTGCGCTGAGTCAGGCCGACACTGTTACATCGCAAACATCAGACCCATTTCGGACGCCGATATCGCCGAGTAATGCGTCCACAAGTGGTGTATCTACTGTAGTAGGAGACTACGATGCAGCTTTGCAACAGGAGCTGCGCGCTGAAGCTGCAGCGGACACCAACAACCCGTTTGCATTTACTCCATCACAACTCAGCAAGCTCCTAAACCCCAAGTCTCTCCCTGTTTACCAGGCTTTGGGTGGCATCCATGGCATCGCAGCCGGCCTACAATCAAATATCCACACCGGTCTGAGTGCCGACGAGTCGACCGTCCCCCAGCACATCTCCTTCGACGAAGCAACGAACCCGCAGACACCTACGAAAGAAAAAGAATCAAGTCGACCGCCAAGTGATGGAAAGCCGTTCGAGGATCGGATTCGCATACACGGACGGAACGTACTACCACCAAAGAAGGTCACACCTCTATGGAGATTAATATGGAATGCCTACAACGACACTGTCTTGATTGTCCTTACCGTTGCAGCAGCGATATCCCTAGCACTTGGACTCTACGAGACTTTTGGTGCAGAGCATCCACCCGGTTCTCCGACACCTGTCGACTGGGTCGAGGGTTGCGCGATTGTCGTGGCAATCGTCATCGTTGTGCTCGTCACAGCCGTTAACGACTGGCAAAAGGAGGCGGCGTTTGCGAAGCTCAACGCAAAGAAAGAACAACGCGAGATTAAAGTGACACGCTCTGGAAGGACGGCAATGATCAGCATCTATGATGTTCTGGCTGGAGATATCATACACATGGAACCCGGAGACGTCATCCCAGTCGACGGTATCTTCATAGACGGCTCCGACGTTAAGTGCGATGAGTCTTCTGCCACGGGAGAGTCGGATGCTATGCGAAAGACTCCAGGCGCTGTTGTTATGAAGGCACTGGAGTCGGGACAGCCAGCAAAAAACCTTGATCCATTCGTCATCTCTGGTGCAAAGGTGCTTGAAGGTGTCGGTACCTTTATGGCGACCTCCGTCGGAGAACACAGCAGTTTTGGCCAGATTATGATGTCTGTTCGCGTCGAGATCGAGGCTACACCACTTCAAGAGAAGCTTGGTAAGCTTGCAATGTCTATTGCCTATCTTGGAACCGCAGCTGCTGGCATCCTGTTCTTCATCCTTCTTTTCCGCTTCGTTGGCGGGCTGTCTGGTGACACTCGATCAGCGTCGAAGAAAGGCTCAGCCTTTATGGATATTCTTATCGTCGCTGTCACCATCATTGTGGTAGCGGTACCAGAAGGTCTTCCCTTGGCTGTGACATTAGCACTGGCTTTCGCGACAACAAAGATGCTGAAGGAGAACAACCTCGTCAGAATCTTGCGAGCATGTGAGACCATGGGAAACGCCACAACTATTTGCTCTGATAAGACTGGTACTTTGGTAAGTGCTATATATCAACTATACATAGACATATTCTAACACCTCCAGACAACCAACCGAATGACGGTCGTTGCCGGCACATTCGGCACTACGAGCTTTGTACACGCTGATTCCGCGTCGGAAAAGGACCAAACGATATCAGCATGGGCATCGAAAATTTCATCTGCTGCAAAGGAGCTTCTCATTCAATCTATCGCAATCAACTCCACAGCATTCGAAGGCCAAGAGGATGGCAAGCCAGTTTTCGTCGGTTCTAAGACTGAGACTGCGCTACTTGAGCTCGCTAAAGACCACCTTGGACTTGTCTCGTTGTCAGAGACTCGGGATAACCAGCAGGTATCGCATATGTTTCCTTTTGACTCGGCGAAGAAGTGTATGGGCGCGGTTGTCAAGCTTCAGAACGGCCAATACCGCCTTGTCGTCAAAGGCGCATCCGAAATCCTCCTCAGCTTCGCATCCGCGTTCGCGCACTTCGAGACTTTGGAGACAGAGCCACTTTCCGAAGAACACCGTCAGGGCCTGACCGATACGATCAACGAATACGCGAACAGGTCCCTTAGGACCATCGGCTTGGTCTACCGCGACTTCCCACAATGGCCACCGGCCAATGCTGCGCTCACGGATGGTGGCAGTGTCGACTTCGCCTCCCTGTTGCGCGATCTCATATTCTTCGGCCTCGTCGGAATTCAGGACCCCGTACGCCCTGGTGTGCCCGAGGCAGTTCGCAAGGCACAGAAGGCTGGCGTTACTGTAAGAATGGTTACTGGTGACAACATGCAGACTGCACGAGCGATCGCAACTGAATGCCTCATTTATACCGAAGGTGGCTTGGTGATGGAAGGACCCGACTTCCGCCGCCTCTCAACCGAACAGTTAGATGAGATGCTGCCACGCTTGCAGGTATTGGCCCGCTCATCGCCTGAGGACAAGCGCATCCTGGTTACTCGTCTGAAGGCACTTGGTGAGATTGTCGCTGTTACCGGCGATGGCACCAACGACGCTCCAGCGCTCAAGGCAGCCAACGTTGGCTTCTCCATGGTTTCCGGTACTGAGGTTGCCAAAGAAGCGTCTTCCATCATTCTCATGGACGACAACTTTTCTTCTATCATCACTGCCTTGATGTGGGGTCGAGCTGTCAACGACGCCGTGCAAAAGTTCCTTCAAGTATGTCTTACTAAGCTCTCCCCTCTAATTTACATTTACTAACGCTGATAGTTTCAAATCACCGTCAACATCACCGCAGTCGTGCTCTCATTCGTTACCGCCATCTATGATGACGAGATGAAGCCTGCGCTCCGAGCTGTACAGCTTCTATGGGTCAACTTGATCATGGACACCTTCGCGGCGCTCGCACTCGCTACCGACCCACCGACTGAGAAGATCCTCGACCGCCCACCACAGGGTAAAGGTCCTCTTATCACAACGACCATGTGGAAGCAGATCACCGGCCAAAACATCTACAAGATCACAGTCATCTTCGTGCTTTACTTCGCTGGTGGCGATATCCTTGGCTACGACCTTTCTGACCCCAACAAGCAAATCGAGCTCGACACCGTCATCTTCAACAGCTTCGTCTGGATGCAAATCTTCAACATCTTCAACAACAGGCGTCTTGACAACAAGCTCAATGTGCTTGAGGGTATCCTTCGCAACTGGTTCTTCATCGGCATCGTTGTTATGATTATTGGCCTACAAGTTCTCATCGTGTTCGTCGGTGGCCGCGCCTTCCAGATCAAGCCCGGAGGTATCGATGGGACACAATGGGCTGTCAGCATCATCACTGGTTTCATTTGTATTCCGTGGGCAGTCCTCATCAGGTATTTCCCTGATGAATGGTTCGCTGCTATTGCACATGTAGTCGGCATGCCCGTCGTCGTCGTCTACCGCTGGTGCCGCGATGGCATAAGGAAGATGAAGGGTTTGTTCACCAGAAGCAAGAAGAACGAGGAGGTTGATGCTGAGGCTGGTCCTGCGCCTGCGATCGTTGTCGTCGGTGATGACGCGAGTGTATCGGAGAACAGGAAATGAGTGTAATGATTGGGAGTAGGCGTAGATTGATTACCTGTACAACACAACACTAGATGAGATATGATACCCTATAAATTTATTTGTTTCTTACCTATGTTTTTTACTCTGCACTATAGCAAACGAGTATAGAACTCATATTGTACGTCTATTAGTATTCAACTCAGATTGTTTCTGCGAAAGAGAGCTAAGAACAGCGTTGGAAAAATACTAATTCTTCTCTTTCTTCTCGTTCATTCTATCTCGATCTTAGTCTACGTATACAAGGCATCCATAGCAGGCTGCTCAACATTATCGCTCGAGAGTCCACAATGGCCTATATTGGAGTGTTGGTGATCGTCCCCTTGCGCGAGGGCACCCCATCTCAAGAGCTTCTCCCATGGCGCCTGCTCAGAAGGCCTCGCATGGCAAGATGCTGCAATCGCTGCACTGCACGACCCAACTACAGGCATAGGACTCAGCTTCTTTCTCCCCAACAGAAAAAGCCCCGTGGTTAAAACGACAGCCACGATGAGCGAAAGCAGAATACCTAGCGGAGCGTAAGACAAAGTGATGAAGTCATTTCCACAGATAATGTCAAGGTGGCCTCCATCCAGTGTCGAAAATTGTGAACTTTTGTGGTCGCAGTATCCTGTGCTATCATGTACGCCGAACATGCTATATAATTCCATAGACACAACGGCGAGACTCTGGGATGCTAGCCAGTGTAGTAGGACTGAAAAGCCAAGTAGGGGTAGCGCGTAGCGATACGGAAGTTGTAAAAAGTATGTGCTTCTTTGTTGACCATGGCGTCTGCTTGACACCCTTAGACTTTTGGAACGTCCGAAGAAGCCTGACCACTCATGTGCGAGGAGCATAGAGGTGATTGTCCCGTTGTAGGAAAAATAGACAAGAGAGATGATGACTTGTGGACTGTTGGCTACGATTACGTTCTCCAAGATTCCAGCGATACCGGAGTGCGCCATGTAGCTTTGGACGATTGTTCGGGGATCAACGCTTTGGAGGCCGATGCGGAGAACACTGCCTATATCCTTCTGACCTTGGATGGACGAGTAACCGAAAATGAAGAGACCGAAAAGAATAACAATGGCTGCGAACAATCTGCACATGGTTAGTCGTTGTAAGTTCACTCTGTAGTCGCTACTTACGAAAGCCAAACCATCAATCGCTTTCTTTCCTTGACTGATGAAGCCCAATTAAATCGCCTGTTCGTGTACTCCCGTGGTTGTTGCAGCTCTCGCCACCGCAGCTTAGTGCTGTGGATATCCCTTTGCGATACCAGGCACATGTTGTATGAAGAAGGGTCAGGTGTCTGGAGGAAGGATACCACCGCATCGCCGACTGTCAGCATTGGATCATTCCGGAGTACTGAAAGTCCAGCAAGAACAGTCAGAGCTTTAATCGCATTGAAGACAATGACTACTATCGCAAGATGGACGCTGAAGTTCAACTTGCACTTCTGTCCAGTAGGCTCACTCAAACCTGTTTTTACGGGGAGGCCGAGGAGGGGTGACCAGATAGAGGGATCGGCCCTCAATCTTGGCAAAAACCGGTTCGCCTCCTGTTCAAAGCAGCCGCCTCTCTCCGATTTGAATTGTTGGTACACCCACGCCGTACCAGTTTGTGCTGAACAAAGGCCGGAGCGTATGATTGAAGGAAAGATCCCAGCTGCTTCATTGGTATCCATGACACCCTCGTCCACGACAAGGAAGACATTACCTCTCGCAGATTGAAAACTGTTGCTATACGCATCAATGCATTCAAGTAGGTTCAACTCCTCCAACTGTCCAGCTTCGAAAGCCTGGGAATGCATGAGTCCATTGAGGTAGGCATTAGAAGATTGTTGTGTTATATTGCGCGATCCAGCGAAAGAGCCGTTCTCGATCGCAGCCTTGGCTTCTGGCCCAAATTGTATCACACCATATGCCTGGGCGGAAAGAGACATGAACACTACCGAGTTGTAGCTGTCGTGCGTCAGCGTGTGTTTCCGACCACGGCTCTCCGCTTGCACTCACCAGAAATGTAACGGCAGTGAAGATATAGCTAGTATCCACCAGCAGATTTTCTTTCGCATCCCGAAATTGGATGAGACAACGTTGCGAAGACTTGGTATGCCGATGTCCAGCCAATTGCCTTTTTGATGTGCCTTGTCTACCTCAGGTCGAGTTGGCGCCGAGAGACACTGCATGCAATAATTGCTGGCGCCTAGTAGAGCAGAACTTAAAATGTTAATTAAAAGATGCACACCAATGTTCGCTCGTTTCGTGGCTTCGCAAGATGCTTCGTAGAGTACGCCAAGTCCACCTGTGATGCCTCTGCTGTGAACTGCCCATGCGAGAAATCCAGTATTAATGATGAGGACTACGCACGCCAGAACAACGAAGGAAAACAGTGTTGTTCTCCATTCTTGCCGCTCTCTGCGCGTCCTGCCGATCTCATGAGTATGCTTCGAGTCCTCGGAGATGAACGGTTGCAGCTGTACATCCGGCTGTTTCATTTCGTACATAATAGCGGTACGAGAGGTCATGGTGTCAATGACTGGTGAGTAGTGAAATATTGGAAATATCTTGCGAGGCTGCAAGCCTGCGGGCTGATGCCCTTTTTCAAGTGCATCCTACATGTTGCAGGGTCGGGGGATGTTCAGCTTGGCTGAAAGCTGAGTATTAACGCGTGTAGTCCTTCGACGCTGCAGCTGCATGTATGTGTTAGAATGCGCCTCTTTGCTTGTTACTTTTGGAGATATCGAAAGATAGTCCAGTGGCGTTGTTTAGTTCGCATTAGTCCTGAATCGATGCTGCTCTCGCCTGTCTAGCCGCATTCGCTAGTGGGCGTACGATCTCCCTAATTACGCCGTCAACGATCCAGTGCTGCAGTTACTAGTAGCTTGGTTTCTGTACAGCAAATGCATTTTTGCCCGCTTGCACGCAGTTTTAAGCAGGTCTACCAGCAAATTCTGCTTATGCTACTTTCTCCTTCCAAACGCAACTAGCGTTCAGTGTCGACTCTTAACATTACCTTAATCATGTCCTTGGTCATCTAGGCAGGCTCATATAATATAGCTGACTGCAAGACCAAAGTAAAAATTGCTACCATCTATACTGTGGGTATGAGAATGATATGCCCGCTGTTCGTGAAAAGTCGGGCCGAACGTGGTTCTAAATGTAGTCCTAGACGACACTGTTGGCTTCGTCTCGTCTCTACAGTAGGACTATTCCAGAAATCCTAACATCTTCGCGCAACTACAAGGAGAGCATTTCACCAACATGTCGCCGAATGCAATTCGGTCCTCGCCTCGCGATCCTAGCCTAGCTCGCCGTCTCCAAATCCCTATCCTCCGCCCGCTGCTATTCTCTTCCCTTTCCCTAGCTTCCTCCCTAGGTCTACATTAACTACTAAATACCTTGCTGCAGCTAATACCCCCTAAGTCCTATTCTATACCTGTCTTCTCTATCTCTTTTAAATTAGACTTAAAAAGTTTATTTCTACCTCCTGTTGTAATGTTTACGATGTTAAGACCTTACAGTGCTAGTGCAGCCTGCTTCTAAGGCTTAATCGTTACTTGTACAGTTAGTAGACCCTTGCTGCGCGTATCTAGAGAGGGGGCTGCTAGGGCTGACACGATCTTCGCGTTACCAGTTTGATGATGTGGATTGTGGGATTGATCCATACTGTCAATACGGAGGCTTTTCATGTACACAGATGCGAGGGAGGTAGAAGAGACGATCATCCGGAGTACAGTATATTTTGAAAAGTAGATATGTACTTAAAAAACACAATGAAATGTACTTGAAGAAGATGTATGTACTCGCGTATTCCATCCGAATGTGTTCCGTATGACTACCCCTCCATCCCTCCCCTCTCCTGAACAAAAGAAAGTATAGATATGACTAGGTCGGTGTGATCATCATTCTCCTTCTTCAAGTACAAAGCTTCTGCCCATTGGGTCCAGAAACAACCTTGATAGCGAAATCATCAGCAGCGAAGATATCCTTACCATCCTCACCCTTTGTGCGCACCAAAAGTGCCAGGGTATGCAAATTCATCCCACTCTTCACCGCAATCCTGTTAGTCATCGATCTGCCACTAGTGCCGGTCGTAGTGAAAGTAGATACCTCCTGGCCATCAAGCGTTAAAGTGATGGAAAATGGTTTGCTGTTGCTACTACCCGAACGAAGAGGCTTGATCCACGCGCTGACGTCTACCATCGCACCTGCAGGAATGAAGATGTCGGTCTGCGAGAGAGTAAGTGTGCTATCGAATTTCCCAGATGAACCAGTTTGCGTGACGCCCTTGAAACCATTAGAGTTTGGCGTCCGACCTGCCCCAGCGTAAACCCAGGACTTGTCGGAGAATGCGCCGCCAGTCTGGCTGGTCTTCCAGTAAGCCATGGAGGTATCGAAGCTAGCGTCGTAGTCGAACCCAGGGTTCTTAACGTAGTTTGTTGTGGTCGGCTTGGGGAAGCATGTCGGTGTCGGCGTCGCAGTGCTCGAGGTTGATGTAAGAGTTGCCAGAGTAGTTGGGATAGGGGTGATAGGAGCTGGTGTAGGACTCGAGGAAGGCCCTGGGGTACTGGTCGTGCTAACTGAGGAGCTTGGTGTGACTCCAGGAGTGCTAGAGACAACCTCTGAAGAGCTGGGCGTTGCCTCCAGAGTACTGGAAGTGACATCGGAAGGAGTGGGAGTAGGTTCGACCACGGCCGAACTGGATACTACCACGGAAGATGCGCTCGGAGTTACCTCTGGCGTACTAGAAACGACGTCAGATGGGCTAGGCGTTGCCTCAACGGTACTAGACACGACCTCAAAAGAGGTAGACACGATCTCAACGTTGCTGGAGCTCGGCGAAACTTCCGGTGAAGGAGTGGGAGTAGTCTCAGGTGTCACCGAAGCGGCATCAGAAGAGCTTGGCGTAGCATCAACAGTGCTGGATACAATCTCGGAAGAAGACGAGCTAGTCACCACGATGGTAGAGCTTGGAGTGGTCTCTGCAGAAGCACCTGGTGTCGATTCAGGCGTCTGAGATGCTACCTCCGAAGGAGTTGGGCTTGGCTCGGGTGTGCTTGAGATGACTTCTGAACGCGATGGCGTAGGAGTCGCTTCCGAAGAGGACTCTGAACTAGCATCAGGTGTCTGGGAAACTACATCAGAAGGACTCGGACTAGACTCAGGAGTCACGGACGCGATTTCCGAGGATACACTGGCGGTGGGCTCGGGTGTGCTGGAGGCAAGGTCGACAGGCGTGGAAGATTCTGGGGTAGCGCTTGGGGTGAGTTCCGGTGTAGACTCACGCGTGCTGGAGGTAACCTCCGAAGAGCTGGCCACGATATCGGTGGGGTTGGGAGTAGTATCGGGGGTAGCTTCCGGGGTGCTTGAAGTGACATCTGCAGATGACTCGATCGAGGAAGTGGGAGTAGACTCAGGAGTAGTGGAAGCGACATCTGCGACCGATGAGCTTGCTGAAGTCTCAGCCACGGATGTGCTGGGGAGGACCTCGCTTTCTACGGTTGAGCTGCTGATCTGTGAGATAACACTGGAAGTTGGCTCCTGAACAATCTCACTGGAGGAAGCTGGAGATGACACTACCGCAGGGGTAGTTGAAGAGACCGACACAACCTCGCTGGATGAAGAGACGGAAGCAGAGACTGCAGATGAAGTAGTCAACCCAACAGCAGAAGACGAGATTGACGACACTACTGCCACACTGGAACTGGTAGCTACGATAGCCGAGCTCGACGACGAAACCGATGCAGTGCTGCAGTCAACAGCCACAATGGAGACATCATCGATGTCGAAGTACGGTCCGTCAGACGGGTTGTTGTCGACGCGGAACTGAAGCGTATGCGTTGCCTTTGAAACAGTGTAAGGCGTCGCCTCAGTGTTACCAACTCTGACCCACTTCTTGTCACCGTTAACAGGCACGACATTCCCAAGCTCAACACCGTCAAGGTAGATTCTGAAACGCTGGATCCTCTCAGTCTCTGATCTCAGTGACTTGAACCATGCGGATACCACGACCTTGGTGCCAGCAGGGATGTTGATGTAGGAACGGGTAAAGATAGCCTTATTGTTGTCCTTGCTGTTGTTCTCGGTACTTGTTCCGCGGATGAAGTAGTTACCAGAATGGGCGGACGCAGCGTCGTTGACGATGCTGACAGTAGAGCGACTTTGATCGATAGTGTAACTGCTGAGGACTCCGTTCTCGAAGCCACCATTGATGACATAGTTGGGGGATCGAGCGATGCAAGTCTCAGTCGGCGATACACTTGCGGAGGAAGGAAGGGGAGTCGCAACGGGCGTAGTTGAGACCAGAGCAGACGACGAGACGACGGATGTTGGTGCAGGTGTCTCGGAAGATGATGTCGCAGAACTCAGTAATGCCGAGCTGGAGGATTCAACAACGACAGACGATGACACAGCGCTAGAGCTCGATGTAACCTCGCTGGAAACGGAAGGCAAGACCAGGCTGATGGTGGGAAGAACAACTTCGCTGGTAGAAGAAGCGGAGACCTCACCGACAGTCGAAGAGGTCACATCGCTGGAAGTAAAAGACGCAGTAATGGTCTCAACAGTCTCAGTTGTCGACGATGAGGACTCCAAGATGGGGGTGGACGACGCAGATACGTGGACAGTCGATGTAGTAACCTCAACGGGAGTCGAACTCGCGATGTCTGATGACAGCGCTGGTTCCTCGGTGCTAGTCGGAGTGACCTCCGAGCTGGGAGTGATCATTGACTCAACCTCGCTGATAGTGGGTGTTACTAGTGACAAAGACTCGGTACTGGCTAGGACCTCTTCGCTAGCAGACGGTGTTGTCTCTGAGGAGCTCGTAGTGATGACCGATGGTGTAGTGATATCCGAGCTAGCAGGGGTGGGTGTAGAGTCAACATCGCTCGACGAGGAAATTACATCCGAGCTGGATGTAGGAGAGGGGAGAACTTCTGTTGGAGTGACCGTAGACGAGATAGTGATATCCGTTGAGACCTCAACCGATGGAGAGACAACATCAGAAACCGTGCTTGTGGTAGAAGAAGAACTCTCGATAACAGGAGTTGATGCATCAGGCGACGTGATTGTGACAGTCTCAGTAGAAGAGACCGCATCTGGAGTTGCGGTAATGGTCGATGAGGGAGTCTCCGTCAAGATAGTTTCCGATGGGGTAGAGAGCTCAGAGGAAGACGAGGAAGAGATTTCAGGGGTAACAATTGCAGACGAGGAAGCGATTTCCGAAGTGACGACTGAGGATGAAGGCAGAATAATACTCTCGGACGAGGCATCAGCAGACGATGAAGCAATGATCGGGGAGGAAGAGGCATCGGATGAAGCCACAGACGACGATACAACCACCTCAGAAGACACGATAGGAGTGGAAGACACCACAACAACCGAGGAAGATACTGTAGGCGTCCGGGAAGCGCTGCTAGACCTCGTAGGCGAAACAGAAGACGAAGTCGACGACCCCACGGAGCTAGACGCCGAGCGAGTGGAAGAAGTCGTCCGGCCAGTAGTTGAGCGTGTAGATATCGTACGAGTAGAAGAAGACCTAGCAGAGGAACTCCTCGTAGACGTTGTGCGTATAGAAGAGCTTCGCGCAGACGTTGACCGAGTCGAAGACGATCTCACAGAGGATGAACGAGCCGAAGAAGACCGGACAGAACTAGTAGTCGGTCTAACCGAGCTAGAAGAAGAGCGAACAGCCGACGAAGAACGAGTGGAAGTCTGGAGTGTGGACACAATAGCGGAAGAGCGAGCATTAGGGCAGGTACCAAAGTCAGACTTGCAACCAGTACCGCAATGTGCGGTAGTAGATCCACACCAACCATACTCGGAGCAGCAGTCTCCGAAGCCAGATCCGGCACAGGTGTAGCCGGAAGCTCCGCCGCATGACCCATCGGGAGAGATCTTGCTGTCAGGCTTGTCGGTGCAGGTGCCAAACTGGGGGTTGCAGCCCTGGCCAGTCTCACAGTGGGCGCGGGACGAACCGCACCAGCCATATCTGGACCTATTAGTAAGGGGGAAGCAGAGGTGGTGTTTGCGAGTACGTACTGAGAGCAGCAGTTGCCGAACCTCGAACCCTCGCAGGTAAGGCCGGAAATCCCGCCGCACTCCCCGGTGGTCGTGACCGCAGCATTAGAGACCGCCGTGAGGGCAGTCAGAGCCCAAATAAATACTGAACGCATAGTTGCGATGTAGTTGAGCGAGTGGAAGTCTTCGTGTCAGAACGAGTGATGACACTGGGAGGGACTGAGTAGAAATAGCCAGAGAGGAGAACACAAGAGACGATGAGCGAGTGATGTCTGCTGTGCAAGAAGAGTTCCAGTAAAGCCATGATCATATATAGTCGTACTGTCAGTACAGAGGTTTCATCGACTCCTATCCAAGGCGTCACTGATGCCGAAAAGAAAACTCGTGGTGGAGGCTATTTCCGTGATGGCAAAGAGCCACATGCCTTGGTATTGCCATGCATGTACAATGGCGGGTACCTGTAAAGGAACCGCATAGATGAAGCGACCATGTGCAACGCGGTTAGGGGAGATCTAGAAATCGATAAGCGACATGGGATTGTCCCTTCAGCCCAGGAGTGAATGAGAAGAATACGCCACATGGTCCGACAATGTCTGTTGAGTCCATGTATGGCAATCGATAAGCCTACTCTGATGGAGATCTAGACTTTGGTACCTGCAAAGAGGCTGGACGGGGCTGCCGGAGATGTGGGGTCTAGGTGTTTGGAATGGGTCGATCCCTTGTAATTGAGGCTTGATGCTGCTAGCGCCGAGGTAAGCAACCGCGGCTTTGCAAATCTTCCATGAGAAGGGGCACTTAGGCGAGCCAAGATATCAAACAAGCAATTACCCGCCAGGACTAGAGCAACTTGTCAGTCTGACACCCGTTTGCGTGTTGCGGCTGGCTGGTTCCTGTCAGAATATGATACGCACTTATGCTTGGCACCGCACGTGGCTTTAGTACTGGAAGGGCAACGCCCACGGTACTGGTCTTGGTATTTTCCTTGTTACCATGTGCGAGTTGCTTTTGCATGCGACGATATCACGGCTGCGTACGTAGCTGGACTGGAGGCTCGTATGAGGTGTTACTCCTTGGTCTCGCGTCTGCCACTAGGTGGGGCGCTGCACGGAGAGATTCGTTAGATTCGTTAGATCGACGCGTGTGGACGACGTGAAGCGGGTTATGGCATGGGCTGTATACTGTTAATACTGTCATTACGCTGGATATGTGCGTGGTCAGGTCCAGTAATTTGATGCGTTGCTGCGACGCTCTACGTCACCGTTCCCTACCGCGGAAGACGAGGTCTTGAAGTGTCTGTAGAGTGAGCAGTTATTTCGGCGCGCACCGTACCTGCATTAGCGTCCGTATGGCTTCTCTGTACTCAGCTGTCAGCCACCTCCACGGCTTCAGAACGTGTACGCCCATGGCGGCGTCGAGACGAGGCCAAGGGACCTGCTCGAGCGCAAAGAAACATAAGCGCGAGCGGGACACATCCGCTGCACATGGTAATTCTAATGTGTAGTGCATATTATTGTTGAGTGTTACGACAATAACCCGTCTCCCTATTTCAGTGGTGGCCTACTGCCTCCTGGATTTGACTGCTTCGGTGAGGGCGGTAGGCATAGAAACCTCCTGAGGCATGGTATGAGCCCGAATAAATGCGTGACAGGCCCAGTATTCCCGTGTGGAGTACGACACAGACCCCCATCCACGCGCCAGTTGTCGGAAGACGCGGTTAAAGTTGCCTTGGGTTGCAATACCGACCTTTCAAATTCGCATGTGTCGTCCTGATGGTGGCGCTGCTGATTTGTTGCGCATGTTTGCTTCTATTACTCTGCGTCGTAATGTGGCAAGCTGACCTTACCAATACATCCATGACCCCATCCCTGATCCATGGCCATGAGCCAACAACCCGCACAATATATACAAAGATGTGCCACTCAAAAACGCCTTGGGGTATCAAACGCCATACAATGCCATAAATCGTGCAGGAAAGATATCATATCGTCGTCCGTTATGGAGAAGAGACCCGCTCAAGGATTCGAATGGACAAAGCGAGCGCCTTGACATGGGGAACGAGCTTGCTTGAAAGCTTTTATCCGGCTCAGCATCCATCCTGAAGTCCATCGCCGTTCGCCTTCGCTACTTTGGTGATGACCCATTCGGATAGAATATCCGAGGCGGCATTCGATACCGTCATGCTCAAATTGCAGACATCTGCCGTCTTTGACGCAAGCCTTCTGGCATTTGTCGAAGGACTTGGCCGCAGTCTTGCCCTTTCGGTATGTGACATCCTCGGACATGTTCGACCAGTCTTCTGCCCTCTCTTGCAAGTGTGGCTCGATCATTGTGAAGAGCTCTTCGAACATGAGCGGCCTTTCGGGATGGGACCGAGCTTCCTCCCACTGCGACAATCGTGTGAAGTCGTCTTCGCCGAGGTGGTGCATCGTCAGGATGGCCTCGCACCACTGCTCGTTGTCGAAGCGCATGGTGAAGGGCTTCTCTCCGTTGAACATGGGCCAGTATCCACGCAGTGAGACGCCGCTTTTCTTCAGCACTTGCGCCAGCATCTCGTCCCCGCAGCACTGCTTCTTGACGTCGACTCCGAAAAAGTGTGTTCCGGGGAAATGCTTGTTCTCGCCGAACATTCTGCCATATGCCATGATCTTATTCAGTGCGCCGCGCGACAACACGAAGCCAGTTCCACCGTGTGCGAAGATGGTCTTCTTCTTGGGCCAGACGGGGGAGCCAAAGTAATAGGCCGTCTTTGGGTTGAAGTTGGAGAGGAAGCGGTAGAGATTGTCGTAGTTGACGTATGTATCCAATTCCAGGAAGACATACCACTCCGACTCGGGTCGCATGTATGACGTCCACTCCATCATAGGCAGAAACTTGTACTTGTCTAGCCTCCATCCCTCCTCCGACTTGGCCTGGGTGCTGTTGGTAGCCTGTATGCGATCGTACACGTCAAAGTCGGGGTTGTTGAACTTGTATTCGGGGCGGAGGTGGGCGAGGGCGTCGGCGATCTCGAAGCCGTTGAAGCTGTCCTTGCGATCCGAGAAGATGAGCAGGTCCTGCTTGCACCTCCCTAGTCGGTTGAGATACATGGGCAGCTGGGTCGCGACTTCCCCCGCGCCGATCTTCAGCACAACCGTCACACGGTCCATGACGCCGGCGGTGAAGGGGGAGCATTCCTCACCGAAGTGGACTTTGGAGACGGGCCCGGGGCCGCCGGGAGGGGGCCGCTCCAGCAGCACGTCGTAGCCGCGCCCGCCACTCCATAGCCGGAAGATCAGGGACGATAGCAGGAAAGTGACGAGGACTATCGCGGCGCACAAGAGGCGCAACGGCGTCAATCGCACCCTCATGGTGGTGGTGATGCTCTGCCTGAGTCCGCCATGTTTGGATGAGCGGGCCTGGCGCGCGAATTTGGCGCTAGTGTCAGCTCCAATCCGGCTAGCCGGCCGTCTATGCGCGCCTGCGCGGGCGGCCTTGAGACTTCTTCACCACCAACATCACCCTCATCAACAATCTGACGAAACATCGTCGTGCTAGCACTAGGATGCCATGCCGCTATATATCCTCACACGGAGATTGAAAGCTGGCCTTGGCGTACATGTGTTTAAGCGAAATTGTATTCCTTGTGTCAGTGAGGAAGCTCAAAGACTCGACTATTTCTTGGTTCACCTGCATTCGTCTGATTGCATCATCGAATCAATCAGCGCCGGATGAGGTGAGTCTATGCTCGGCCTCATCGTTTTGGCCATAACCATGGGCAATGCAGCGTCTCCAGTAAGTGCTTCGTATTGGGATCCATCTTGAGATACTCGGCTATCTCCAAAACTTGTATAGTAAGAACTCATCTCGAAAAGCCAGTAAACCCTCAGCCTGCAATATCAACCTGCGTATTCTTCTCCGCAACCTCTACACTAATCCCTTCCAACTTCTCCTTATCCCCCTCATTCTTCCCCTCATCCTCCGCCTCCAAACCCTTCACAACCGCCGGTCCCTTCCTCAGCATATTATAATCCCCGCATGGCACAAATCCCATATGCATATAAACCGCCCTAGCACTCGGTCTAGATTCCAAATACATTGGCGTAGGCGGGTCATTGGCATCCGCCTGTTCAATCGCCCAATTCAACAACCTCTTCCCCACACCTCTCCCCTGATACTCCGGCCACGTAAGCAACGGCGCGAGATACCAATGGGGCTGCTCCTCCGTAATCTCCCTCCTCATCTCGTCGTCTTTGCCAAACTGAACGTTCCACGTCTCGTCGCTGACGTGCGACCACATTTCCTCGATTTCTTCGTCAGTCCAGCCCATCTTCTCTTTCCAGCCATAGTGGTCGATTGCGCTGCGGCGAAACATGTTGTGCACACCTGGGTTCGAAGGCCGCGTCCATCCTGCTATTCCTACTATTTCGCCGGTGGAGGTCAGGACGGCTTTGATGAAGCTGTGGTTGGGGTCGGTGATGGCTGGGGTGAGGCGCTTAACCATACGTTGGATGCGGATTCGGTCGCTGTTTTCTTTGGGACGGAGTTCTAATGGCTCTTTCTTTGCCCACCAGTCGTCCGGGAAACAGAGGTAGAGACCTTCAGCAATCTTTTCGGCGTCCTGTTCAGTGCATAGCTCGACGCGCATGTCGGAGTCAGGCAGTCGTCTTGAGGGCTCCACGGGCATTGTCTGAAAGCCATCGGTGTTGTCGGTGGGAACCTTGATGAAAGCTGCTTTTTGTTCGGTCATGGCTGTTGATGTTATTGCTGAAGTTTTGGAAATTGATTCCTGCGTTCAACCAGAAGATGTGACGACGTTTGAGTTGGTATGAGACCCTATGGATGTTCTTATGTAGTGTGGAGACCCACGCGGTGACGGGCGTCGCCCTTTTTGGTCTCACACTAGCGCTTACGCTCCCGGAATGACCTGGGGAACTCGAATTGTTGCCTAGACCTTCGCATCAGATCGACTCATTCTGCCGATGCAAGCGGAGTTGATGATGATCAAAAGAAGGGAAGTGGCATACGGGGCGTACCCCGCCTTTCCCAAAAACGTCCTAGTTCGATGCCGGCTTGTTGCTCCGCTCGGAATCGGAATTGAAAGCTGCAACTCTCTATTCTCTCTCTCTCTAGGCTGGCTTCCTCATATTTGAATTCTCCTATCCATCACCGGACCACATGCTCACGGTCCATTGCAGGCTGGTGCACGATGCTGCTGCATGGAGGTGACGTGTGTTCTGAACGACACTAAAACGATCGTGCGACTCAAGGTAGTCTTCCTCGTTGGCTCACACCTTGCTCCGCTCAACGATATATTTCCTCTCTAGAGTCGCACACTCTTGCTTTACCGGAGTTCTTTGTGTTGAGGTTGAGGATCCGCCCCACGCCAAGCGACCCTTCCCTTTTTTCGCTGGAAGTTGTCGGTGCCAGAAATCTTCCTGGTTCGGATTGCATTCGAGAGACCTGCAGTCGCAAGGAACACGAGGCTCAATCACAAGATTTAACGGATTGTTGCTATGAGAAACCTTGTGTTCCACCGACATCTCGCACTTTCGCACGGGACGGTGAAGCTTCATAGCAGTGAAAGCGTCCAGCACCTCTACGAGATCGCTCAGCAGGTGCTGAAGACGCCGTACTCGATGATCGGGCACTATAACGCTAATGTGTGGGTACTGTGCTCGTTCTCTTTGGATACTCTTTTCCTCTTCGTCTAACCTCTTCCTCCTCTTTTGGTTGTCAGGGCACGCTTTCAAAGGCTGTCCCTCTAGTTTCCTCCCGTTGTAGCTGTCGAGGGTCTCTTTCAAAGTTTCGTATGCTTGAGGGTTTTCTTTCGTGGTCCATTTGTCGGTGTAAAGGCTTTTGAACCGGCGGTAGATGATTCGTTGGAATTGGACCTCGTACCATTCGAAGAGCTTGTACAACTCAGGCGAATTGGCGTTTCCAGGTTCAGAGGCTGGCGCATACTTCTTCTGAAATTCAACATAACCAATCGTTCGCAGCTCTCGAGGAAATTCCCCGCTATCATGAAGAACAACTTCAGTCAAATGTTCTTGCGCAGCCAGTATGTCGCCCTCGAACCAGCGCATCTCCAGGTTTTCCCGTCCATCGTAATGCATGGAAATGAACTCATCTTGGATTTTCCAGAGAAGCTTCTTCAGCATCTCGGCCTCTTCACCCTTGATATGCGCGAAGAAGTGCGTCATCTCGCGAACGATGTGAACGCCGGCAAAGTATTGACCAAGCAAGTAGGATGTGAATTTGTCTGTCCAGCCGTTACCATAGGCTGCACATCGCTCTGGAGTGTAGTTTTCCTCCTCCAGAATGTCATAGAACCAGTTGGCCAGGTCCCAGGCTGCGATTATGAGGGGAACCGAGTATCGAGAAAGCGCCTTCTTGTTCGCACGGGCTTGGGTTCGTTCTTCGTTCCATCCTGACATCCAAGCAGTTCCAATTGCGCCTGCAATTGCGAGAATGCCCGTAACGATGGCTGCAATGGTAGTTCCGTCGAGCCCCATTTTCCCGTGATAGAAGCTCGTGTCTTATGAGTTGTATTCTAGCTCTACCACACCCTAAGGATATACGTGTCAGTCTACGTTAAGAATTGATTGAGAAAGTAACAGTGTATACCTTTAAGGTAAATCTTGGTCTTGCTGGGGCAAAAGGCTGGAACAGAGATCAAAAAATACTCCGTGAGCTTTGAACGATGTGTTTGTAAAGATCAGAATGGAGACAAGCTGGGTTCCTGGATTGACCAGGAGGTATTTAACTAATTCAATCCTGATGGATCCCGGAATGGCATGGCTTGCTATCAATCACAGCTGAACGCTATTACCACCGGGAGATCGTCGCCCCCGCATGCCTCCGTCGATCAACACGCTTATTCATCTGCAAATCTGAGTCCAGATTCACTTTCGAATGCAGCACGCAGGCTTCTTTATTCGTTACAACAATGTACGACCCAGCTCTGAAAATCGACTGTTCTGGATAGCTCTCAGCTCAGGCCTGTGCGCATGAAGACCTCGATAATCCGGTGTGCCAAGCAATTTGGCGAGATGGTATGCGTCCGGCTTGCACTGGTCGGAGGTCGAGGCCCGCTAGTGCACGCCACGCCCATACACTCATACCTGGGGCTGACATCGGTATCATACCTCTTGCACGACCTAGACTGTGTAAAAAGCAAATATTCGTTCCACGTATGAGCTTACTCACCCGTCGAAAAGAAAGCAAGGCACTTGCACATCCATCCATCTTTCCCCACTTTCTCAATCAGTCCAATAACCTCAGACAAGGAAGAGACTGAACAGGTGCTGAAAGCTCTTTTACTACGTTGCATCCTATAACCGCATATAACAAAAAACATAACATATCTTATACTAATGTGGACGGCTAAGCTGTCTATGTTTACATACAATAGCTGTGTTGGTAGTATTGTAGGCAACGTAGTAGAAGCGCTTTCGGCGGCAATGACTTTGGCACTCGAGCACCGACGTTACCAGCAAACTCAGTACCAATTCTGGCCCCTCCACTTCCTACCATCCGCGGCACTTGTATACATCCCTCTCTTAGCCGTTCTCACACCAAGCCTACAAAGACCAGCCAAATGTTGAACACCAGCCAGCACACCATCAATCACTTGAACATCCTCGCCAACCGCTTCCTCAACAGCAGCTTTCATATTCGTCATGCCAGCACATCCAAGCGTCAACACATCCGCACCGTCACCAACCAGCTTCTTGCCCACATCGCACATGATGTCAAGTACTTCTTCCTCAGGCTTCGACTCCAGTTCCAAGACCCCAAGATCACAACTTCGCGCACCGACACAAAAAGAATCTAGGCCATAGTTCTTCACGGAATCTTCCAGTGTATACTGCGACCGTCGTGACGTTGCAATAATGCCAAACCGTCCACCCAGTGTTCGTGCGGCAAATAGCGACGCCTCCATGATGCCAACAACCGGCTTCGACAGCTCTTCTCTGAGCGCTTTGATAAGCGCGTGATCACTATAACAGGCCACAAGGAAAGCGTCGTATTGGTGCGCGATCGGGATGATGGCTCGGGCTGCGGCTGCTGCAGACATGATGTTATCGAAGTTTCCTTCTATGGCTGATGGCGCTGGTTTGGGGGCTGTAAAGCCGTAGACGGTGATATCGGGTGGGAGTGTTGGTTTGAGCATCTCGAGGCAAGCGTTCGTCATTGATGATGTGGCGTTGGGGTTACAGAGGAGGATACGGATGTGCTTGGCGCCAGCAGAGCCAGTCACTGATTGCAGGTTCTGACTTTGAGAGTCGCCCGGCATACTTCCTTCGCTATTGCGAGTGGGCCTCAGCGTTGAGAGCCTCGGAGGTTCGATGACCCCCGTTTGAGCAGTCAGGACACCGTAATGTTCCGTTCGCCGATGTCTTGCAAAGTCAAACGTTCGTGTCTTTCCTGGCAAACATTGATCAAGATCGCAATCCGCCACGATAACTTCGTCTTCTTCTGTTTTGCTCTCGGCTATGATCTTCCCGTCCGGCCCAACAATGGTCGAACCTCCCACCAGATCGTACTTTCCATCATCCAATCCGCATCTCGCTGCGCTAACAGAAAAGCACGCGTTCGTATACGAATGTGCCTGCATGACGAGCTTATGATGGAAAATAGCCTCAGCACGCGCTTCCTGTGGACTCACATCGGGTGATGCACCCCACATCTGTGGAGCGAATCCCGGTGTGTTGAAACCAACAAGAACGATTTCGACGCCTTGGAGACCCAAACATCTCCAAGCTTCCGCCCACCTTCGATCGTTGCAGATCATCATGCCAAAGATGGGTTCACCATGTTCAGATGTGGGCTCAATTAGATCGGGTATTCGGAAGGCGTTGAAGCCTAGATTACCGGGCTTGAAGTATCGCTTCTCGAGCTGATTGACTGCATCAGCTTCAGGGAAGGGCTCGACATCTCCGGGTAGGTGTATCTTCCGATACTTCGACAGGATCGATCCGGACTTGGCGTGGTAATAGACACAAGCGTTGTAGTGATCGCCTTGGTCTGTGGCTTCTGCGAATCCGATACAGATGTCGGTTTTCAACTCTTTGGCTCTGTCGAATATCCGCTTCGTATTCTCCGCGGTACTGATATCGCCATGTTCAAAGAACGACTCGAGCTCTGTTTCATCGGTCAAGAAGTAACGGGGAAAGAACGTCGTGAAAGTGCATTCTGGGAATAACACAACTTGTGCGCCTTGCTCAACAGCGCGTTCGAGAAGAATGACAAGTCGATCCAGTATGTACTGACGCGCATCAGTGCGGTGGATTGCGCCAACTTGCGCAGCGGCTATGCGAACGGTGCGAGGCATGTCGTTTAGGTCAATCTTTGAGACATACCAAAGCGATGCAGGAGCCGCTTCGTGACCTAAGAAAGCCTTTTACTTTGGACATTGGTACGATAAGGTTAAAAGAGACAAATCTGGGCGCCGTGGAGCTTATCGAAGGTGGGTTAGTTGGGTGGGGGCAATTCCCGTGAGGTGGCGGCTTTAGCCTTCCCCGCATGCTTAGCATTCTTGACGTTTGCTCTCTTCCCATTCCTTACCTCAGAGCGGAACTTCCTAACACCCGAAATTCTCTTAAATTAGCTCCAACACTTCCATCGCATCAATCTGCCAGATTTTCCGCCCCTGATATATCTGTATAAGCAAGAGAAGGCATGTCCAAGTCCAAGATCTTGCTGTTTCGACGAATAACGCTCTCTTCTTGGAGGAAACATCCCATCGGAACGACCGTCGCGCAAAACGGGATACCTCTTATCCTGCGATGAGGAGTACAGCTATACTTGTTTCAATGAGTGGCCTTCTACGACCAAAGAAATTGCCGCACCAGCTAGCTAAGCTTCGTACAACAATGCGCTCTACCGCAATCTGAAATGCACGTCGAAATACCCGCATTGTTGTACGAGATCCCGGACACGAGAACTTCAGCAACGTCAGAAGATCGCTTGCTATCGCTACCGTTCAACCCCAGAGTTATATGAGGGGTGACGCAGTTGGAAGGATTAGTGTTCCTCTATTTAAGGCGTACCTGGTGGGTATCGCTAAGCCGTGACACCCAGCTTGGCGCATGTCAACGCCATACGTTTAACCTTGGCAACATCATACCTTTCCTAATGGATTGAAATTGCTGAGTCCACCTGAATCGGTACGCCTCGCTTGCTAACCACCTGACCTATGGCGGCCTCAAATAGCACCTGCATATGTCGATATGAGGCTTAGCGTTATAGTCGCATGGATGAAGCCGCAAAAGCACGATACTTAGCCAGGCACCTCGTCGCGTAGGAATAAAACGGGGCTGTGTTTAATCTGACGTCAATTTGGAGACGCGATGCATGTGAACTGTAACCAAGGCGTGGTAGGCCTGAGGACGTGCAAAACTACTTGATGCGCGCGCTGCACGCACACAGCCAGCATCAACATCGACTCTAGCATCAAACTGTCTACGCAAACTAATTCAATCATGGCACCACAATCTTTTCGTCTCAGGACTTTCCTCTTTGCGACATCTCTTTTAAGCACCTCTACTACCGCCCAAAACACGACGAATGACACAAACTCCTCGGGATGTAGTGAGAGATTTCCACAGAAAGACCGGCCTGTCAACGCCACTGGTACAGCAAATATCTCCGATTCTTACCTCTCCACGACCTTTGGCGACTACCGCAACGATAGTAGCAATCACTCTACCTCCTGGAAGTTTAAACCCATGACAATGGCATACCTCACCGCGCCGTTGGAAAGCCATGGGCAAGCATGTGTATATATGTATATAGGCGTCGATAACCGCGGACGAGGTGGCGGTCCAAACGGCTGTGATGGCGTACTACCACAGGCATGCGTCGATCTACTAGAGCGGAAGCTCAGGCTACCCGGCAACATACTACCAGGCGGTATGACATGTCCATCAGGGGCTCATGATGACGAGCTCGACGAGGCTTGTGGTAACGACACCATCTCGAGGGGAGTTCTCAGTTTATGTACGTCGAGCCATTCGCCTCTACCGCCCCCCACAAGACGCAAAATACGCTGACACGTGTCATCTAGCCTCCACAATAGACCTGGCCAACACCACATACTCATGTAACGATAACCCTAAAGGCATTGACCTGAATCCTAATGGCTACACGACACGGGAACTCTTCGGTTGGGGCACACAAGTCTACGACACGGATCCGCAGAACTTTACCTGGTACGATGAATTCGTCACTCGTCCTGTTCCAATGGTACTCTCTACAAATATTGATGGAACCTCCGAGGCAAAAGTTGTTTGTATCGCGATGGATGAGGTGAAAAAGGGAAGTCGTGTGCCGCCTGAGTCTGTGAATAATGGAGAGGACAATGAGAGCGCGGCGGTGGGTTTGGAGTGGAAGAGTAGGGCGGGGATGGCCACACTGATGGCCGGGGTGGCAGCCATGTCTTTTGTTCTTGCGTAGACGTATACATAGGATTCGTAGTGACCAGACACTGCTGTATAAATGAAGATGATGATTACAAATACTTGGGGATATGTCAACGCGGAGACTTGACGGACAGCTCCGCAGGCAACAGGTTTTGAATTCTTCAACTTCGCACAATTTCGATGATTTTCATGGTATACTTCAACGTGTTCTTCTCTAGAAATCGCATTGTAAGAGTCTCGCTGAAGCACATCCCGCCCTCCTGAAGCCTAGCCGACGATACCTACAACCCAAACACAGCCATATAGACTGTCTCTTTGACCTTAGCCTTCCTGCTATTGTAGGTATCCTTGTCGGCGGCAACAACGGCCTCGACCGCATCACCCAAGAGCCTTCCAGGACCTTGTTCATCTCCAAAGGTAGTAGAGTAGCCATGAAGCCAGCGCAGCAATACCTCGAAGTCATCAGGTATCTCCTCCACTGCTTCACTCATGATCAACCGCTGAGCCTTGCTCCAGACGTAGAGCTCCACGTCGACGCAAGCCTACCTGAAGCCTTCCATATCACTGTCAAGAGTGTTGACGTAGCGTCGAGCAGCGTTCCTCAGACCGTCCAGCTTGCTCTCGTCTGCTGTGTTGAAGGACGGGTAGGTCTTGCATGCCAATTCGCGTAGATGGAGAAGCTATGATTTTATCTCATCACCTTGATTGCCAACCGTGTCTCCCAGCTTATCGAAGATGTCCTTCCTCGGGAACCTTCCAGCCCACTCGCCGCCGCATACGGAGTCATGTAGCGATGCTAATCTTACATCCGACCCCTTCTTCACCTGTTGTGCAGCCGTGGCACCTGTCATCTCTCAGTCTTTGGGAAGGCAACGCAGGTTGTTCAAATACCCGAAGGCTCGATTGACGTCTTCGGGCGCGTACCAAAAGTAGGATGAGTTGTTGAAGTGGCCGGAATCGGGAAATTGGGCGGGTGATTCGCAGATCAACCAGAAGATGACTATAGTTAGCAGCAGAATTCAATTGGCGTCGCGCTCATCAATCCCAGATACGAGAGCGATCTTTTGCAGAGGCAGGCCTTCGGCTGAAACCCAGTCCAAGGCCTGAGTCCCTCCACACATGCCAAGATTTCAGTCCCAACGCCACTTACATTGCAAACGATACGCAAGATGTTAGCCAGTACAAGTTTGTCGAGAGATGCTGAGGCCAGATCGTTCATGTATATCCATATCCAAAGTGTAGGGTCTGAAACTTTCCACTTGCGCAGCTGCGACGTGTCGGAGAATCTGAGATAGTCACAGATCTTGCGTCGCCCGAACCCTGAGGAGGTACGGCGTAGGACTTGCCAGCCGATCTTCTTGTTGTGGGGATCTGAAATAAAGACCCCGATTGCTCTCTGGGCTTTGACGGCGATAGGGTTGATTAGATATACTTGCGCTTTTACACCGCTCGTGGTGACCTGCAACTAAGTTGTGGTCTCATCTTCGAGCGTGATACGGACATGTGGAGGCGATATCGGCCGGAGGGAAGGTGCTCGGCCTCGCGCTTACCCTGGGATGTTCCAAGCTGCGGAATTGCAAGAGACTCAAGAGTGGGCGTCCGTAGCAGTCGGGAAGCTGTTGAGCGGATTGATAAACGGGACTGTTGAAAGGTCTGCATTGCCCATGGACCAGTTGGCGCATTAGGTGGTGAACCTGGGGCGATACAAGCGGCCGTAGATACCGAGCGGACACTTGACGTTCCACCAATACCTAGTATTGACGATGAAGTGAGGATAAGTCCGTGATATACACCGCTGACAACCTTGGGGATGGAGGATACACCGGACGGGCCTACGTCATCCGTGAGTGGGATGTAATCGCTGCTGAAGCCCACAGTTTCAACTCTCTCGATATGCACCAATCGTTTTGGTATGCCATCAGGATGAGCTGCAAGCTTTTACAGGTGCCAATGTCCTGATCTCAGTATGTCTGGGAGGACGGAGACAGTGGACAGCCGTTGTCGATGAAGCTTCGACTACCACGGTGAGATTTCATTGTCTTGAATGGTATCGAGAATCAATTGCTGGTGAGAAGATGCGAGAATGAGGGCAGTCGGCGGGGCAGGTTGTAGATGCTTGGGAAAACAGGGTGGTTTGCCCGTTAACCCATCCGGGAGGCTTCCTCTGTCTTTGTGGATTGCCAGAAGCATTACACAGTGACTGCGCACCCAACAAACATGTCTTCATGACACTTATAGCTTTTCTAGTATCCACTTGAGCTTTGAGGACTTGACCGCAGAAGCCGTGAGTAGGACTTGTGATGTTGGGTATTTGATAACATTGTCTGCTCATAGACCATCTTCAGTGGCTTCGAGCCGCCGCCCTTCTTCTAGTCTCGACATTGGAACTTGATAAATCCCCAAGACCTCATCTGCATGCCTTGACGGTCGTCTTAGTGGACGGTTTGTAGCCGGCGATTGCGCTTACAGCTCAGCTCATAAATTTCACTGTTCAGTTGGTTGATCTTCTCCCTTGCTTCATCGAGTGCGCTTCCATCTCAACGCACAACGCTCGCTACAAGTGAGATATTTGGCTGGCTATACAAGTTACTGGGTATCTGATTTATGCAGGATGCGGTGGAGCTAGGCGTAGGCTGGGACGTCCGAAGATCACGGCGCCTTCATCAGCTATAGAGGTCAGAGATTGAATGCTCCCCGATTGATGATTCTGGGAAGAGCTGTTGTAGGGCAACGCATTCGCATCGACCCAAGTTCTGGTATGTATTGAACGACACGGAACTTCCCTGATGCCATTGAAGTTTGCTTTTGATGCTGAGGTATTTCCGATCCAGTGCGTCGATATCTTCAGCAAGCTTGGACCATCCGCCGTGAGTTTCTGACACAATTATCTTCTTGCGCTTGTAAGAGCAGTGTTCAAGAACCACAGCCTTGAATTCGAACCCATATAAAGTCTTAGCAGATGATTCTCTTTCAGAAGAGTTAGATGAAGAAACCAAGATGAAACCGCCAGTGGTGATTGACCTGGTGTACAGCTCATTCGTCAACTATAGATATCTGGGGCCATCGCGACTCCGTCGTCATCTCCAAATTTTACGCGCCCGAGGCGTCTGCATCGTCCAGAAGAAATTCCATGTGGACATAAGTAGATATCGCAATGTACAATGGTATAAATTGTGATGCTTGACGGTGAAATAGGTTGCCAGGTTAGCAAAAGTCGACGATCCTGCCTTGTTTTTCGGCGGTGCCTAGCCTCAGCCGCGTCTGGGCAGTCGCGCATCGCGTCACCGCCCTCCTCCGGAAAACCTCGTACCTAAGCTCTTTCATCCACCACAAGTGCTCTTCGCAGGACGACTTCCAACCCCATCTCGCATCTTCCTCGCGAGATAGTGTGATTAATTAAACAACTCACCCTTACTCCCGTCCTAGTGGGGGCCAATCAAGAGCTGCCAAAGCTCCAAGGGTAGCTTCCGCACCAACCACAGCTCCCTTCACTCCCGATTACCTGGAGTCCCTCTATCCGGTGCTGTCGTCAATCTAGCAACCATGTCTTCCAACCGCCACGGCCATGACAATTCGCACAACGTCTCGCGCGTCTTGTACGATCATGTCAATGGGCAGAACAACAACACTTCCGAGTCAACACCTTTGCTACACAACATCATCCCGCAGCACATCCACCCTGATGGCGAGAGCGGTCGTAAAGGCTTCCACCCATCCCACTTCATCAACGTAGCATGGCGCTCTGGAAGCAATGCAGCAAAGTATACCAATCTACTCTGGCCCTTCGTCATCGTAGCCATCGTGCTGCACTTTGCAGCCCCAGGAATGCCTATTGCTATCTTTGCGACCAGCTACATTGCCATGGTGCCTGTGGCCAACCTATTGGGATTCGCAGGCCAGGAGTTCGCGAGGAAGATGCCAAAGGTCTCGGGTATTCTGATTGAGACTGCGTTTGGTTCGATTGTGGAGATTATTCTCTTCATGATTTTGATTGCGAAACATCATTCTAGGGATGGGTCGAGCGAACATGGGAATCTTATTCCGGTTATTCAGGCGGCGATTTTGGGGTCTATTTTGACTAATCTCCTGCTCTGCCTGGGACTGTGAGTACAGAATCTAGCTTCCGCGTGTCACTTATACTGACTGAAGATCTAGTTGTTTTTTCGTTGGCGGTCTTCGCCAGATGAGCCAGAAGTTCCATGCTTCTGTCAGCGAAGTCGGCTCTGGTCTACTTCTGGTAGCTGGCTTCGGTCTGCTTATCCCATCTGCCTACTACTCTGCGCTCAAAGGCTCTGCTGTCGCAAAGGCGACAAAGCACCATGAGTTCACGGAGAAGATTCTGCAGCACAACGTTCTCAGGATCAGTCAAGTTACTTCGATTCTGCTAATCATCGCTTTCTGCATCTTCATCTGGTACAACGCCCGCTCCCAACATTCGCTCTTCGACGAAGTCCTGGAGGCAGACGAACACGCCGATCTAGACCACCACGAAGATCTCGCCAAGCCGAAATTCACTTTCACAGAGTGCATGGTCGCCCTCGTCCTCTCATTAGCCATTGTCACGCTCCTCGCCGTGTTTCTCGTCGAGCGCATCGAAGACGTTGTTGAGTCTGGTATTCCAGACCAGTTCCTCGGTCTTATTATGCTGCCTCTTGTCGAAAAAGCGGCGGAGCATTTGACTGCTATTGACGAAGCCTGGGACGGTCAGATCAACTTTGCCCTTTTTCACTGCATCGGTCCATCGATTCAGACCGCTCTCTTCAACGCTCCTCTCGTTGTCATCGTCGGCTGGATCATGGGTAAAGACATGGACCTTAACTTTGAGATTTTCATGATTGTTTTGCTGGTCTTGGCCATTGTTGTTGTGGGCAACTTCCTACGTGACGGCGAGTCGAACTACCTTGAGGGTGCTATGCTTATTGTAAGTTGCATGGAATGATTGTTCGCGAGCGAGTGTGTTGCTAACGTGCGGAACTAGATTGTTTACGTCATCGTTGCCGTGGCTGCCTGGTACTATCCCAACCCTGATGTTGCGACTTCGAATGGTGCGGAGTAGGCGGAGGTTGGAAAGGGATGAATTGGAAAGATGGGATCACGATGACTGGTATGGCGGATTGGCAGTCAGACGCTACCGACCTGACTTGAGCTAAGAGTGTCTATGTTTGTTCAGAATGTGGTGTGGCTGACGGATGTGGTGGTTGCCGCTCGACAACTTGCAGCGTAAAGCGGACGATAAGGGAGACGCATGTGATCATGGTTCATGTATACACATCGGACATGTTATAACGAGTTATCATGATCATTACAACATAGCTTGAAGCGGCTTGAAAGCGCACAGCTTTTCCCGACCAAACCTTTCTACACCGACCGCAAGTGGCCAAACTTCCCATTCTCGTCTTACCTGACGTTTCTTTATCTTCCGTGGCTGGCGACCCTATGTGGCTGTTTCTCGAATTGCAGGCAACCCTCAATACTCAATAGCTCTCTGAAAGACTGACCGACTAGAGCTCCACCAATATGCGCCCTTCGCAGATTGTATTTGCACAAGACACTGGCAGGTGCTACCATTTAAACGTTCCTTCTTTCTCAAATGCGGACCAGAAGGCTTGGAACGTTGGGACGAAAGGCAGAACATAGACGAGGTATGTGATAATCAGGATGCGGACACGTACGTAGATTATACGATCGACTATCGCCAGAGAGGCTATGACCGTTGGGATCGTGACTTGGTAGGTGAGAGATGAGTTCATGTGTATGGTCTCACAACAAGCGTTCAATTTGTCACGAATACAGTAAATTGTTTCATACGAGTGATGTATATCAGACTGGCGAGTTGAAGCTTGCTAGCGGCAAACCTATGTCGGCTTGCATTTACATTTGTTATCTTCTATCACATATTTAGATATCAGAGTGGCTAACTAGTGCACATGCGCTCCAGCCAACTTGACCAACTTGGGGAAATCCGGTGTTCCAAACCCGGTAATCGGATCCCAACCTTCGGTAACAGGGAAACCTTCAACATTGCATCCGCGACTGAATCCTTTTGTGATATCAGTCAAACCCTTGTATCCCTTCTTGTACAACCAAGGGTTCAAGAACCCAAGTGCAGGCTTTCCACTCGCCAACAAGGCATCGTTGACAAGCGCAAAGATACCAGCAGTCAGTGGGCAAGACGCTGAAGTACCGGAAATAGTACCTTCAGTTCCGTTCCAAAAGTAGGCAAAGTACAGACCCTGGGCTGCGAGATCGGGGTAGCCACGACCGGTCTTGTTGTATAGACCCTCGTAGCTGTCACCAAGAGATTTTACGTACGTAGGCACGACTTTGTCTTGGTAGTAAGGACGCGGGAAGTAGTTGCTGAAGCCACTGCCGCTGGCGTATAGATCGCGGAAACCAGCAGTCGTGTTGCTAGAAGGGCGGTAGGCAGATTCTTCGGGCTCGAAGTTCATGGTTGCGCCGACGGTGGTGACGTAGGGGCAGGAGGCCGGGAAGCTGGGCTGGAATTGGTACTTGTTCTTTCCATCGTTGGTGTAGCATGTGTCGGTTCCGCCGAGACCGCGGTCACCGGAGGAGAAGAAGAGGGTTGTGCCCCGGGCGCCGACTTGGGCGAATTGACGGCACACACGTTCGGCGTAGCTCTTTGGGACCGTTTGCTCAGAATCGCCGTAGGAGGTTGAGATGATGCGGGGAATGGAGCGCTGGGTGAGGAGCCAGTTTACCCAAGCCAGGTAGGGTTCGTTGGTGTTTGTAGGGGTAGAGACATCGGGGGTGAACGGCGGTGAACCGCCAGTTGAGAAGGAGGTAATTGGCGTTTTCCAGCTTATTCCAGCGATGGCTTGGACGTCTAGGTTGGCTTCACGGCTGATTCCCTCAACGGTGGATTGGTTGTAGGTCAAAGGACCGTCTTGAGTTGGGCCGTTGTCGATGGAGATTTGCTTGAAAGCGTAGGCCTGGGATACGGCTTCTGGGCGGTACTTCTCCAGGAACATCTTGGTGTCTGGACGAATGGGGATCTCTCCGAGGAAGTTGTTGAAGCCGACGCTGTTCTTACGGCTGGCCTTGGTTTGGTACCACTTGGTCTTGTAGAGGGTTTGGAAGCATTCCGGGGTGACGGATGTCACGTTGCAGACAGCAGCGATGGAAGTGTTCTGAGGTGTGTGGTAGCTCGCAGGTACTTCAACAGCCTCATCGACAAACGTCGCCGCGTTAGCAGCAGCGCGGAAGAAGGAGGTAGTAGGTTGGATGGTGTCAATGTGAGCGTGCAGGTGACGCGGAAGAGACCAGGCAGTTGTACGCGCAACAATAGAGCCATCCTTGTGCTTGTAGGTGTGGTACTCGGTGTCAAGAAGGCTCTCAACCATCTTAATGGGAAGATGGACGATAACCCAATCCTTGGCTGAGCTGTAGCCTACATTGTCGGTGTCGATACCGCTTTCGCGGAGCCACTCGTGAACCAGGTCATGAGTTTCAGAGCTTGGTGCAACTAGCTCATCGACCTCGTCGGCGCTCAGATGCTGACCGTAGCGGGCATGCTCTGGGTCGGAGACTATGCGGTGTCAACTACCTGAACGTGCTCAGACCTCGAGCGTGGAAAACGTACCTTCATGGAGATGGCGGTCAAGCTCCTCGAACCGTCCCTGCTTAAGACCAATCTGCAGTTGGATAGTCTTGCCACCATGCGCCCTCTCAAGCTTCGTCCACTCCCTGGGCGCATAATGTGTCTCCTTGACAACATACGGCGAGCGGGCCTGGATAGGAGAGGCCAGCGCATCATGCGCAGCAACAGCAGCCAGAACAACAGTCGCGAAGATCTGCATAATGTATGTCGGGTATCCAAAGCAGATGCAGACAACACACGCGCGCCCAGTAGTACCAAGCAGTCTTGACAGCTATTTAAGCTCATTCGAAGCACCGACTAAGGTCGCGTCATTACTACCTAAAACTTCGTTGGTACCTTGGCGAGTCTAGGGCCTGGTGCCCCATATGGAAGGTTGATAGTCGGGTGCATAGTACATGCATGTCGATCTCCGTATCATCGGAACAAATGAGACTGCTTTCCTATCGCCTGGAGCCGAGCAACCCACATTGCGGCAAGCTCAGCCTTTGCTAAGATGGCATAAACAACATTCGGTGTGTACATCGCGTGCTGCGATTCGTTCGTGGTGCCATGATAACGCTAATAGCGATGTTCAACAAGGCGGGGGTGAGGCTGGCAAAAGATTGCACGCAGGTTACAAGGAGGCCATTAGCCTCGGAAATGACCACGCTAACGCCAAATTAGGAAGCTACAAAACTCGTCATCATCGTGCGCTCGATAAACAAGCAAAATCAAGCCACTAGTTAGTGGCACCCACGGCGTCTTAGCTGCTCTTGGGAGAGCTTGAATTACTCTTGGAAGGTGATTAAGTGGAGCGTGGTCCGCACCTGGTTCTTTCGTAGCGAGGACCCCGCCAGCAACCCGGTTGACGGCTTCTTAGGAGTGCGTTGGAGTAGGTACATCGGCAGCGCATATATGAGGTCTTTGTCGGTTGCTTTGACATCAAGGTTCTCGCGCTAACCTCTATCTTGCCACACGTGCGTTCGTGACAGGGATGAATGCAGAGCGGCAGCTTAAACAAAGGGGGAGCGATATGAAGTCGTGATTGCTACGCTATAGTTCGGCTGTCTTCCCTGAAACCTATCCTTCAGCCATCTTCTGTAATAATCCCTTGGACAGATACGACCAGAACTACTGGGAATGACCCTCCCATCATGATGCGTCCAGGCAAACACGACGACCGAAATGAGTTTTCCAAAGAATGCTTTGGCCTTCCTACCAGCATTACCATCTCCCACCGTTCTTAATTAGCCATCTACTCTCTACCCTGGTACGGAACATAGGTGGGGAGGTGTCACGTTGATGCGATATACGTCGACGGTATGGTCGACGTCTGCCCTGTATTTTCGGTGGCGGCTCGAATGGGAAGCCCATAGTCGTTTGCTGGACGACCGAAGAATGATACGCGTTCGCTTGCTCGTTCGTATGTCGACTGGCATCCCTATTGGTCTGCCTATTCGCATTTACACTGGAAGACCTGAAATCAGCTAACCATCTAGAACTACTGAGTTCAGACGCTTTCCGGCACCGGCACTCGTATCTCGATATTGCTATTAGTATAGAACTAGCATTATCGTTGCCGTGAAGGAGTGGTAATGCCAAGGCAGGGCAGCACAACGCCGTCAAATACGTTAGCCTCGTAAATTCCAGCCACCTTATATCCGCATTGTGCAGCCCGAGGTAATACCAGTACTGTTACATATTTCGTATGATACTGTACAACGACCTGGGTGTCTAGAAGATGTAGTAAGTCATGTGATGTAAGTGGAGGAAGTTCTCGCGCATTAGTACTATTGTGACGTAAGATACACATTACTCCTTCTTCGAAAGCTTACAAGATTCTTTCCAAAATCACAATTTCCTCGGCTTATTAACAACCATCAACGACTCTTATGAAGTAGCTGTGCCCCCTATCCCCGACTAGATATCTTGGAATACAATGCAGTCTTACATCTCAGACTAGAGCCACAACAACACACAGAAAAAGACAAGGAGACTATTCTACCTTAGTCCTGCAGGACATGGTTGTTCAACCGAAATCTGGACATTCAATGTCCGGTAACATTACTTTATTCCCTAGCTGATGGCAGCACGGCTCGGCAAAAGAGCTTGTTTCCCCGCACCAACGCCACCGCATGGGGTAGACTACCCAATAGAATCCCTCAGTCTGCACGCCATCGCGGAAGATCTGCAGTTCATGGCTGATGGGGATAAGTCGGGTAAACCACCGACATACATTTACTCCAATGCCTAACAAGTCGGCCGAGTGGCCGTCATGGACACGCATAAGCGGTCACCATGGGCTATAATAGCAGATGTAAAGAGGTACTCGATTCCCCAGAGCTTCTGCTTTGGCTCTCTATTACACACAGTAGATTTTTCGCCATGAAGCCGGGCGTGTATCAGTTCCTCGTCGGGTGCTTTGCATCATTGGGTTCCTTCCTCTTTGGATATGATCTGGCTGTGATTGCAGAAGTGGTGGCATCCGACTCTTTCAAATCTCTTTTCTTGCAACAAAATTCCGATTCTCGATCCGGTACCGTCGTAGCACTCTTCACCGCAGGATGCTTCTTTGGTGCTTTTGGAGCAGGTTTCACCGACAAGCTCGGTAGACGAGGCACTATCCTGATGGCTTCATGCATCTTCGTTGTGGGTGGTATCATCCAGACTGCTGGAGTAGTCATAGGCATGCTATATGCTGGGCGATTTATCGCTGGTCTCGGTGTTGGGTTCTTGACTATGATCATCCCGATCTACCAAGCAGAGATTACTCACCGTCGCATTCGTGGGAAGGTCACTAGTCTCCAGCAACTCTTCAATGCCGTGGGGCAAATATTTGCCAGCTGGACGGGCTACGGTTGCTACCTCACTTGGGCAGGAACAGGTGACAGCCGTGAGTGGCGCATACCGCTCGCCGTGCAGATCATTCCTGCTCTGTTCTTGGGGAGCTTGATCTATATGTTTCCTGAGGTATGTTTACGATCAGAGACTTATCTATGGGGAGGCTGCGCTGACAATACGGCAGAGTCCACGGTGGCTGTGCGACCATGATCGAGCTGATGAGGGTCTTCGTAATCTCGCTCTTCTCCATGCGCACGGCGACATCTCGGATCCGTACGTGGTAGCCGAGTTCGACCTCATCCAAGCACAAATTCAAGCGGAACATTTGGAGAAAAAGAAGACTTACTTCGACCTTGTTCGTGATTGGCCAAACCTCAGGCGAACGATGCTTGCATGCTTTATTCAAGCCGAATGCCAGATGACAGGGGTTAGCGCGATCCAATACTTTTCACCTCAAATTTACGCTCAAATCGGCATCACGACTTCTCAATCTTTGCTATTTAATGGAGTCAACGCCATCATCGCTTTCGCCGGCACATCTGTATGCATCCTCGTCATAGACCGAATCGGAAGACGACCACTCGAGATTTATGGAGCGGGCCTTATGTGTGTTACGTTCTTGATCAACGCGATTCTTATCCAACAGTTTCCGGCATCAGCAACCAGTAATGGGGCTCATTGGGCCTTTGTTGCATTGACATGGGTATTCAATTTTGTCTTTTTCGTCACATCGGGGCCTTTGTCTTGGGCAATCCCGGCTGAGCTCTTCGGAACTGCGCTCCGCATGAAAGGTGTAAGCGTTGGCGCCATGACGAGTTTTGCCTTCAACACCATGATAGGACAGGTCACACCTATTGCGATCAGTGCGATCGGATGGAAATTCTATGTGGTCTTCATTGTTTGCAATTTTGTCAATGGCGTTGTCTTCTGGGCGTTCTTGCCAGAAACCAAAGGACTCAGCCTGGAGGACATGGATGAAATGTTCTACAAGAGTCCGACGTTCGTTCCCGGCAGCAAATGGGTGCCGCACTCCCACCTGGACGAAGATGCTCGAAAGATAGCGAATGGCGAAGATTATGTGGATGGAGTGGTTACGGCCAAATACAAGGCCACTGAGGTAGAGCACATTGAAGGCGGTGATTGACATGGAATCAAGAACCGCAACCTACATGTCAGGGATCTTGATGGGTGAATGCAACTTGAATGTTCAGGGTGTGCCGTCGCACTTTTGCGACATACAGATCTAGTCAAAATTAAACATCTTCATAGTATCTTTTAAGTTTAGCTAGGACAGTCTTTTGCTATCCGCTTTCCGCAATACGCTTAGCAAGATCTTCAGCTGTTGGATTGAGGCTATGTGTGCTGAGTGTGCAACATCGTCACTTGACCCAATGGGCACAGTTGCAACCGGGAGTCTGGTAATCAAAGGTAGCGGGCAACCTGCCCGCCTCAAGCATAGGGAGAGTTGTACAGGGCATGTCACACGACACTTCTTGGTCACACACACAGGCAAGAATTCCCTTTCCATCCATTCAAACTTCACCGTTGATGGGGAAGACGCTCATGTGGACTATGACCTTATTGAACATGGGTTGATGAAGGCGAATTCTGATCTGAGCATATTTTGCTTATACATAGGTGGTACATCCATTACCCAGCAAGTTTTTAGTTTAGGTCAAGGAGATTATATCCCACACTCTTTCTTTAGGACGTGGAGCCTCTTACTACATTGTGTCGATGACAAGATCTATGAGAGAGTGAGACTTCTGGTAATTGACCATTTCAATAGCGATGAATCTCATCTTCGGGACGGCTTAGACGACTGCATGATCATAATTGTATGACAGTGCACTTAGAAGGACGATTCCAACTGCTGATTGACGTCACAATAGAAAAGATAATGTTAAGAGTGGGCGCAGTGACAAGGAGAGCAAGGCAAAACATGAAAGAACTTCAGCGAGATAGTTGAAGAATCCCGGAATATAAATGCGCAAACGTCCAACTTACTTAATCTTGAGTAATCGAGCTCATGTGGCAAATCAAGAAATGCTCTTTGCAAGGTCTCGGTCATGCACAATGCACAGGTTGGTTTGAGATGGGCCATACATTCAAATCATCTAACGGAAGTAAGTCGGTGCCGTAGCCTTAGCAGCCATCCAAGCCTCATCCAACGCCTTTACAACGTCGTCAGGCAGCGGTCCCTTTTCTAGATCCGCAAGGTTTCCTTCTAACTGTTTCAAGCTGCTGACACCAATAATCACACCATCGTTTCCGCCTTTGACACGTGTCTTCAGCTCGGAGTGGTGCACACACCATCGCAGCGCGATTTCTAGCAAAGTCAAGTTGTGCTTCTGCGCGGCGTCTTCGGCGATCTTCAAAGCCTGGAAAGTAGCGTCCTTGAAGTAACGGTCGCGGTACATGCTTCCTACACGATCCGCTTTGGTTCCGAAACGGCCTTCGTCGGGCTTGATGTCCTTGGACTTGATCTTGCCGGAGAAGAGACCGCCAGCCAGGGGATTGTAGATGACGATGTCGATGCCGTATTTGCGGCAGGCTGGGATGAGCTCGGGTTCGATGGCACGAGCTACCATCCATTAGAGTAATCTCATAAGGAAAAAGGGCATACACTTACTGATAGCATTGTACATGGCTTGGTAGATGGTTGGCTTCACCCAACCCCGCTCCTTGCAGATATTGTACACTTCGGCGACCTCCCAGGCCGCAAAGTTGGATAGTCCCAAGTTCACAAACTTGCCTTGCTTGTGCAGCTCATTCACGGCACCGAGAGTCTCCTCGAACGGCACAGAATGGTCTGGTGCATGCAGGTAGAAGATGTCCACGCAGTCTGCACCCAACTCTTTGAGACTAGTTTCGAAGTGCTCTTTCAGTCTGTCGGGCTTGTGGACACCAGCCTCATAAGGGTAGACCTTGGTGGCGAGGGTAAGGCCGCGGTCCTTCCATCCCGCCTGGCGCGTCCATGCCTCTTGTTTGCCGCCAACGTACATACGCGCTGTGTCGACTTCATCGTAGCCTTGGGATTGGAAGTAGTCGAGATGCTTGGTGAACTCATTGAACTCTGTGATGCGTGCGCCGCTTGTCTCATCAGGGCCTGACATGCATTAGTAATTATGTTTGAGACCATCGATTCGTGAAGCACACCAAAGGTCATCAAACCGAGGATGACTCGGTCTTTCGGGTTCTGTGCGAGGAGAGGCATCTTGTCTGTCTATACGGATTGTGTAATCGTGAGATGGAGGGACTATTGAGGGAGTGGTGCACGCCTGCCATCGCTGTCACAACATGACGACAGCGGGGTGCCCCGCCCGGACATAAAGACGCGTATTTCCGACATCTCCAATGTGTTCTGCACGCTCGTCGCTTTTCATCCAGCGATACTCGTCAATAGCATGCTCATCACTGTATGACAAAATCAACCATCCACACGCGTTCCTGCCAAGTCCTGATGCAACAACCCGAAGCCCGAATCGATGAGACTTTCACAAGTGCGGTCGAAACAGGTTGCACCACTTGACCTCGGGTTCTATCGCATCTCTCACCTCCTAATAAGCGATCGACTCTAACTCTTCATTGCATGAGTCATCGTACAGTATGCGCTATGCTCTAATCCAGGCCTCTTCTAAATACTGCGGCGCGGCCGATATCGTTCCTTGCGGTGCCTTTGCGGCAGTCGCAGTATGGACTGACCATTCCTTGCTTTCGAATGGTTCCTCAATTCATTGGAAACGCCACGAGTCGGTTGGGAAAAGGCAGCTTCGCGCGATTATTGGATAACTACTTCGGACCTACCAAGCCTCCGCGAACTACTTGCAGCAAGGCGTCGGGGCGGAGCATATGTCTCACGAACGCCGTCTGTGCTAAAGTGGTGGAAAAGCAGGAACAGCACACTCCCGCGGCCGTGCGACCCTTGGGGGCGATGATGAAGAAATGGCTGAAACCTTGTGAGGGATCACAGCCAACATTCACACCTCGCTTGGGGCGGTGGGGCTCTCTTGCACCAATGACGTCGCTCATGTGCCGATAAGGATAAGGAACCCAACACGAAGCAGCGCCGGCTGGTCAGGCGGTCATCATCATGCAGCTAAGCTGTACCATGATGCAGCTAGCAATACCCATCACCTTCGCAACATGGCCGAACTCTGCACCCAGGATCGTCCCGCAACCGTCCCGCTGCTCTTCTGTACAGCACAGGTGCCACGTAGCAGCAATGCAGGTACGCACAGAAGCCGCACACAAAGAAGCATGAACCGTCGCGGGCAGATCGCTGCGCCATATAAGACTGGCAGGCAGCCCTGCGTTCCATGTACCAGCGTTCTACACTCCATTTCACAGCAGACCGACATCTGCAGTGCGCCAGACAATGAGTCGATCAGCTGGAGCCGGAGGTGTCATGTGGCCCAGTAAGCCACTGTGTGCAAACTTACGAATCAGTCATTTCCTCGCACACCATCAAGTGGGCTTCACTCTGATTGGAGCGCAAACCGTCGATACAAGGTACTTTGACTGAATCCTTTCTTGATTTAGCTTCTGGCCATGCGTCTATTGGAATTTGGCCTCCACGCTGCGAATGCGGTGCACTTGCTCCCTTGCCAGGCCGGAACACTCTTTGTCTTCACATGATATCATAATAATCAAACCGCTTCTCGTCAAGTCTCCTTTGCCTTGAAACGCTAGATTGTTCCCATCTATTGGTTTGTGTCGCGCGTCTTAAGTAGCACCTTCGTCCTTCATCGTGGATCTTAGCATTCCGAATTTCGGCATTCACATGCATGCAGTCATCACCACATCTGAACCTGGATACTGGACTAACACATTGGGCGCATAGCGATCCAAGACGTGAATCTTGGTTGCTATGTGCTGGTCTTTCAACTTCGGCTTTCCGGGCAACAAAAAGCGCAAGAGCTCGCCGCCGTCGTCGAACGAAAAGAAGAGACGGGACCGACCGGCGGATAGCGCGCTTCATGGAGAAGGGAGGCCAGTTGCTGTTGAATATTCGGAGAAGCGTAGTTCGAAGGAGTCGAGCAGGAAGAGAAGATCTGGTGACTCTACCCCGCGCTCGCCGCGTCACGAAAGAGAAAGGGAGGAGCATCGCCCACGATCGCAACATCACTACGAATATGCATACCGAGAGCGCGAAAAGTACCGTCCTGCCCCGGACGTCAAAGTGCCACAGATGTATCGACATGCACGTGAGCCAAGCAGCGTCAACTCATCTCAAGAGGCTCTGCTGAACCCACGACCCCATCGAAGCCAACATCATCGGCGGCGGCACCCAAAGCAAACGTCGCAAAGCACTCTACGCGGGCGTGGGGCAAAGCGCGACCCTGTAAGGCACACGAAGTCCAAGAGGGATATTCGACCTGAACCTTCTCGCGGGTGGTCACTCTTTGCGCCCTCGCCGCCGAAGACGCCAAAACGTGAACATCGTAATTACCAGACCTTGGACGCTTCGCCGCGTAGCCAGCGGTCATCGCGCCAGCATCGCTCCTCGACTGTATCTCAGGCGAGTCCAGGGTCATCGCGGTCTCAGAACCGCCACCACCGTTCTCGTCAGCACGAGCAGTCAGCTTCTTCTTCGCGCCAAGCCCGCTCTCGTACACCGAACACAGCTGCTCGTCGCGTGCCCGACAGACGGTTTGCCGTACTCGCTGCCACCAACCAGGCGCTTGAGGAAGTCCGACAAGAGGCATTTGCGCAGTCACCCCCGCCTCAGCGACGAGAGAGGCTGCGACGGTACGAAGGTGTTACCATTCCGACATCGCAGATACCTTTCAACTGGGATTGCGTAAGCAGCTCTCAAACTTCAGCTGGACAAGGTCATAGGAGTGGCGAGTCGAGCGGTCGGCAGAGGCGCTCGCGTCGGTAATACTCATCACTGACTGTTCATGAGTATCACATCTCGTGCCCCATCCAGGGCGACTCATGGGCTTGGCTGACGTTGGACAAACTGGTGGCCCGACATCGCACGTGGTGTAGCGATACTTTCTTTTTCTTTTGCATTTTCTCCGTTGTCTTAAAGTAGGATACCCCCCTTGGCATATAATTGGCAGTTTGGGCGTTCGCATCACATCGAATCACATCATTTGGCTCCAGCACAGTCCCCCAGGCGTTTCTGGCAGTACAATACCCCTGCATCACCTAATTTTCTATCACATATAACTACTCCGACGAAGTATTACATAGTAAAGCATACATTATCAGCATGATATCCCAAGCGATGCCATGATAAGAAGAACCCCCGACTTTACCTAGTGTGCAACGAATAGCTCAACCGTCATAAAATCCCAATGCGACGTTACAACAATCCTCACACATATCTATATCGCATTGCTTCAAACCTCCATACCTTTTAGTTTCAGATCACCAGTCTCCTTTGAGCACCGCGAAGCTGCTCACCTCTTTCAACACTAACCTCCATTCCATCCTAGCCTTCTTCCTCAGGCTCCTCACTCAGCTCGCCTTCTAACTGGCCACGGAGCAACTCCCTCAGTAATCCACACCCCATCTCTCCTGATCTCCTCGAACTTACCTTTCCAGGTAATTTCGGCGCACAGTTCAACTCGAGTGATGCGCAAATGTACATTCCCATTTTTCAGAGATGCGGGAGATGCAAATTGTGGGAGATGCTGGAGATGGGAAAGGTGTTCGGAGATTTTGACCGAAATACAGGTCTGGCCGGCCCGCCGGGTGATTTGTGGGGGCCGAGGGGCATGGCGGGTGGGGGCGGTTTTTGACAGGGGGTTACTTCGCGCTGGTCACAATTCATCCATGCACATCGCAACGTCCAAGCCGCGCTCGCCGCCTGCGCGCCGACAATCTCATTGACAGTTGTCTCTTGCCTTATCGCTATCGCGCATCATCAATACGATAACACTCATCAAGTTCTCAACTTCATTTGTTTTAGGGCTATGTACTACTTCATAAGCGCAGATGACTAGTTATATCCTAGAACACGCAACTGCCATCAGGCCTCTCCCTTTCCACACCCCAAGAACGACCTTTCTTTCTACCATCTATTGGCGACCCAGTTCATAGTATTGTCTAGTACCGGGGTTTTTCCACGGTCGTAACGGCTACTGCTTCCTTTGCGGCTACCACCTTCCTAGCGAGTGCTGAGCCTCTTGCAACGGTCGCCTCATAGTGCTCCAACAGTCTTTTCGAAGTAATGGCCTCGCCATCCACTTTCATGGCATCCACAACGTTTTTCCATTCAGACTTCAGTGATCCACTTAGCTCGTACGGATCGGCCTTCTTAAAAAATTCTGCCCACATCCTCAACACCTGTACCGCCCTTTCCTGGCTCACTTCGAACCATTCCTGGTGACGAACCTGTTTCTGTTTCCTCATCCAACAGCCATTGCAAGGTCGCTCCCGACGCCACTCTTTGATCAGCTCATAATGCGTAAGCGTCTCAACACGCTGTGCATACAAAACTCCAGTCGCTCTGAACAACTCGATTGGGGTATATCCACATTCCGACCATTCTGCCAGACGATCATCGACGGATTTGGACGTCCAGCCGATTTTGACATAGCCAGGCGAGGATTCGCGGCTGTATATGTAGACCGACCCTGTTTTGAAGTCCCGCCTGTAGTTTCTCTCACTCAGTTCTTCACAAAATTTCCACGCGACAGTTTCTTCGGATGTAGGCTCGTTTATGTGAGGATTGAATTCTGCCAACAAAGAAAGGCTGACCTGTCTCGACAATTCTGTCAAGGAATCATTGGCAGCGCGGGAACGAAGATTGTATCGCTTTTGTGCTCTTGAAGGCTCTAACCTGGATGGTGTAGTGCTTGGTGTGATCGTCGAAGAGATACGTGGAAGCGGCGTTGGACTTGCATCTAGTTGCAACGGGGTTGAGCTGGCAATGGGAGCTTTCGGTCTATTGGAATGACAGTATGATGGACTAGACAAGGGTGTCTCGACGGTGGTAGCCCGACTGGTAGCCGATGAGGCCAATGTATCGCATGAACTGGATGTCGGGGTATCATTTCGCGAGGTCCGCTTAGGCGTAGTAGGGGGAGAGGACTGAGCCGAATGTCTTGAGGTCTCTTCCAAATGTTTCTGGATCAGTATCTCATCTAGCCAGCGCTCGACCAATGGTATCAAGAGTGGACTGGATAGAACAAGATCCCGATGCCTTGCCCTGGAACAACAATTGGACCGAATGTACTCTCTGATATCCTTCACGAGGATGTTTTCTGACTCGCTCTCAGTGATGATACTGTGGAGTTCAATTGCCCGCTTATTGTCGGAAGTGTCCCAACTGCATCGTCGGTCCGGCCGGTCCTGCTTGACGAAATATATACATTGTTTCTGCACGTTTGGATTGAGGTCATGGAACCTAATAAAAAAGTCTACACTTGGATCTGATACAGGCATCTCTGGGTGTGAGCAGTGCAGCCCTAATACGAGTGTGGGAACTGGCAAGCTATATGAACACCAGTAAACCAGCCCACGTTTGCGGAAACATCAAGTTCTCGCATCACTTATTGTCTCCGAACTGAGGCCGCGACAAGGGAATCGTGACCGTTTCTAACTTAAATTTAGGAACAGGCTAGGGTATAAGCGCCAGCGGCTATTCCATAGCCATTGAGATTGTTTCTCTCGACAGGGCATAGCGAATATTTCGCTAGCCCTTGTACTTTGTCGAAGTTGCACCCTCTCATTTGCTCGTGAATTTATGCAGTTGGTATTGAGTGAGCTTGGTGATACGTAGCATACCTTTCTGCATCAACATATCCTAAACTTCGCATTACTGATCAGTACAGCCAAGATCGCACCTAACAAGGTGTGTAGAACTGCGAGAGGCTTCAGTTGGGGCTTAGCTGCTATGTTGTGGGCATCAGAATCACACTACCACTTTAACACGCGATAACTCCATCAATAAAGATCTAATTGGGGCTGCACTTACAGACAGAAAATCCTTGTAATTATGATAAGAATTTTACCACCACCGAATTGCAAAGGGATATCATTGTAGTCACGCAACGCTTGTGCGGCGCTACCAAGGTCTCTCAGCCTCGTAAGCCACCAGGCTCAAAACCAGCAAACTCTCCATCCAAAACAAGAGCTAGAGCTCCTGCGTTATAGGAAATGCCTCGGAAGGTGAAGCCTGCCCCATACACGAGCTATGACCACAAATCTCGCCTCGCTGGTTGCGCGGAGAGTGGTTAGAAACACTAGGTCGATCACTCTTCAGTCGGCTCTTTCTTCTTGATCCTCTTTTCATCGTCCGACTCTTCTCTTCTGACTTCATCCTTCGGTCTACAATGAGGCTTTGGTACTGGATGTTTAAAGACGTACCTTCCATCGTGATATTTCGCATAATCCAAAACCCTGCGATAGAAACTTGCCATGGGAGAGGTGTGAAGGCGTTTCTAAGGTCCTCTGATGGTTGGATCAAGATATCCAGGGAATTAAGGAGTCATTCTTGGATCATCATGAGGCCGTGTATGCGAACACCGGATTTGTGGGCCAAGTCTACCATGCGAGTATGGGTGAACGCATCGTCTGGGTTCCATAAGGTGTCCCAGGCGACATACGTGTCTCCAGACCATCCCATGTTCTCCTGCAGGATCGTCATACGAGGTACCGTAGCATCTGTGGAGTTCATCCTGTGGTACGTCCCTGGGACGTCGAATGCGAAGTAACGTTCACCTCGATTATACTTATCATCGAATTTGCGAAATGCTGTCTTGAGCCTGTTGAGGGCTTTCCATGTTACTGCCATCTTGGTGCCGTGGCCTTTCTTGCTAGATGAGCTGTTCGACGGATCTTATCATAGGAGGTCTAATTCGTTTCACATTTTCTTTTCTTTCCATTTTTCAGATAGTCCAGTACGATAACGACCGTACAAGGCGCAGCGTCACGGAATTTCCCTCAAAGACAGCTTCAACAGGTGGAAGCTTTATTCACAAACAAAGGCGCAATGGGCCACCCCCATCTAGTTACGAACGAGAACCAAGACTAGGCACCACGACGCAGTGTTATACCACTGTGAGTCCTCGGCGCTACCCGCCCGAATACCCTACGCGAGGTTTTAGATAGGGCGCTATGCTACAATCAATCAATCAATCAAGCAATGAATTGCCACAAGAGATCGAGCAGTATTATAGCTTAGAGTTTGTACGAAGTTTGATCCTGGCACACATGAGTCGGTCGCAATCGTTTTGGGTACTTTACACGCCGCTCAGTCGTATCGTAATCTATCACTAACTTTGCTCGACCTTTATACGCAACACTGTCGCGGCAGCCCATGAGGTATCTTTATATCAGGAGCGCTATTGTCTCTGTGTAGACACCGGCTCCAGTGATTGTATAGGAATCTTCAAAGTACTGCTATATGCCTTCAGCGTACCCATCAGTGCAAATTACTACAATTTAGCCGATACGCATGCGTACGCTATCTCTAGATCATGATTCGCGTTCATTGTTGCCTGGTAAGCTCTACTGCTTCTCTTCGTCCTCTCCTTCGTCATCATTCTCACTTTCATCTAGCGCGCTTTCCAAAACTATTTTGCCGCCCTTTCTGTTCTTGCATCTCTCCACCTTCCCTAGTCCTAGGATACTTTCCAGCTCAATCATATAGTCAGGGAAGACAATAGTATTGTTTTCCGCTTGCTGTCGATGATATGTTCCATCTGATAATCTTTCACGGCCAGTCATCGTCTCGTGTCCAAAACCTGCATGCCATCGATCTGCAGGAAGATGTACATGACGCAATTTGTAGGGGACTGTTTTCCTGGAACCTTTTGAATCGACCATGGTCGTGGTTTCGCGATTGACGATGTGGAGGGTACGTCCTTCTTTGAAGCGGTAGCAGTGGATGGTGATTGGCCCATGGCCACCTTCACCTCTAAGATGCATCTTTTTACTCGTTTTTGTACCTTCTTTGTAGCGTCTAGAACCAGTTTCGGCTTCTGCGCGTCCGTTGTGTCGAGAGCAGACGCGCGGTGCTCGAACCGTGCTCGAAAACATGGAGGAACAAACCTAGACTTTGGACAGTATCATTTTGTGACTCTGAACGCGCACTGAGAGACTCTTACGATCTTTCGAATCCCTAGACCCCAGCACCAAATATAACCACAGCTGCATTATATGTGTCTCCATCATCGACTTCTTCATCACTTGAGACTGCAACTGAGTCTTCATTCTCTTCATCTCCCAATTTCTCGTCGCTCGGGCCAGCAGCTGCATGGTCTTCATCTTCAACACTAACTTGCATCTCACTTGAGCCAGGATCGTAAGTTGGAATGGGTTTCGAAAATCGTTCTCTAGAAATGCCCAGTGCATCGTGTTCCCTCGCATATTTTGCAATTTTCCGATCAACTGAATCGGAAAGATAGATTCGCACAGTGGTTTGTTGACCCTCATTGCAAGTATGGTACACGAACAAAGTCTGGTTCAGTTCCGCAGGAATACTCAAGATACCGGGAGCACCACTGGAGGCGAATCGAGAGACGTTCTCCGTCGGGTCGGAAAGCAATTTTGACTGATTTCCTGTCGATTCTCACACTAGATACGGCTTGTAATCACTCTTTTCAAGTCTGACTACTGTGCTCTGATCACTTGTGCTTCCGGGCTTGTCGGGGACGGACAGCCCTGGAGCAACTACTACGAAATATGCTGCGGCGGCGTCTCCTTCACGATCATTGCTTGCGCTCTTAGCGATATTCATACTGACGTAGTGGGGTCTGCTTAAATTAAGATAATGGATACCAATAAGGCGAGATGGCAAAGCAAGTGTATAGTGAACGCGACAGAAAGTTTACTCGAAGCGTGTGAGTACCAGAATGCTGCATGTACAAACCCAAGATGCGATTGAAGCAACAATTTAAACACAATCTTGCCCCTTGCTTGTAGTGGTAGAAACCTTGTCATAGCCCATCTCCTAAGCTTGCGATAAAATTTAAACCTATCTTAGAACGTAGTAAGTACGTTTCCATCATGATGTTCTCCCTTGTAGGCCATGACCACAGCATACCCCTGTGACAAGCTTACATGCGCGTATCTTTACCGAGACGGGTTCAGAACAATTATGCTTAGCAGGAATTACGGCCGTATTGTAAGCTTCGTGCGCAGTATCAACTCCGATCAAAGCTTGGCAAAGGCGCTTCACATACTTGGGTATATAACATATTTGCAACTCAGGTAACAGTTTATGCATATTTATCTCTGTTGATCCTCCCCTATCAATAAGCTTTGTTGTATAAATTTTGCCTGCATGAGTGACATGTGCAATGTCCCTCCACTTCATCCGCAATTAGCTGCTGAGCACTCGCCCGGGTCAACCACCCCGTCTCTGTTGATGTCAAAACAGGAGACTCCTATTCTTATACCCGGCTCGCAGGTCAAGCAGCGACCCCGGGAAGGCCCCAAATTAGAGATATCACATTACTATCAGCAAAGGTCTTTTCATGACCGAATACAATTCCTAAAGAACAGACGCTGTTATGCAGTGTTGTAGAAGTAGACAAGACTTACCGATCCTCCACAAGGAGCTTGACGTTTACCAATGCTCTGGGGGAGAACTTCGGCTGCTTGTTCTAGCGGCGCAGCAACGGCTAGGAGTGGCAGAGCGGCCAGCATAGAGAGACTTAGAATGAGTTTCATTTTGAAAATGTATGGCGGCTCGTAGATGAGTAAGATTTTAGAGAGAAGCCACGATGTGGTCGAAAGGTACTGAGTTATGAAGAGATATCAGCTTGTTTATATACCTGAACTTTGACAGCGGTTTCTCGGACACTCCGGAAGTCAGCATTACCTTTAGTGTCGGCGTACAATATCTTAGCAGTCCGTGCGCATATCAGGCCGAGTCGAGTCGAGTTACCTCCATGTTGCTGTAAAACGATGGTCTCTCCTTCTGTAATACTTACTTTAAGGGTTGTAACTAGAAAGTTGAAGACCACTTCTTACTCAGAAAGTCTAAACTACTAGACTTGAAGACGTAACTGCGCAGGTCTAGCCTCCCTAGAAGTATTCGAGATATCTGGACACGAGGCAATGTGTGACCTGGTCTATTTAGGCGCACTGTCATCCTGGAAACGTGTTATTTACTATGTTAGTGTCCTATTGCTTGAGGCTTCTCTGAAGATGCAGTTGCTTTAATCCCTTGTTCATTCAGTCACTACCTTACTTTGCATCCACAGTTGATATCTTCATCTCATCGCTGAAGCCGTTTCTCTCCTTGTTGCAAACATTGTCGTCATCTTCAAATCGCGGGCTTCTAAATCGATTCATGGCACATTAAGAATACAATTTCCAAACTCGGCGAATGAAATTGTCCTTGCCTGGGTCAGAATCGAACGAGGCTGTGAACATGGCCTTGTAATATTCCCAATACTCTTGATACCACCCAGCTTGTTCCCAATCTACCATTGCCGCTACACGAACAGGTGGATCAGCCGTGACGATAATGTTAGCCGGTCGCAAGTCACTGTGTTAGGAATATAGGTCCATTGTCCGGTAGTAGCTGCCACCAGGGATCTTTGATGCTCTTTGGATCAAGTACATGTCGTCGCCATAGCCGGGAGAGCCAACCATGAAAAAGGGCAGGGGTAGGGATAGACCTGAGTTGCAGAGCGGTCTATCGCAGGCCCCTCAGAGATGGAGCCTATGCGGGATTAACGTTATGAGACAAGATAGCTTATGGTACTCACATATCTGCCGCTCCAACCTGAACAGTCTAACGTCGCGATAACGTGACATGATGACTCGAATATCACTATAAATCGAGTTCTTATCAACAGATGACATCGAGATCTATTTCTGGTCGAGCATAGGCCCTTGCACAAACTGCATGTAGAGGACGACCTCACAATATTCACCTTCGCGCTGCAAGATTCTCAAAGCATATATTTCGAGCACCAGAACTCCATCTCCGATAACTTTCTTGATTGCCCAGAGCGCCACGGCTTCGGAAGTAGTTACATCAACTCCATGTTTGACAATCAGGCCAAGGTCCTCAAAGAATACCGGGTGAAGGGGTTGTGCTAATGAGCGCACGTGATCTGAAAAGTGAGCGCCTGGGTTCGGCCGCGTGTGTCAAACCATGTTGAGTCCAGAAAACTCATATGTTGTTGAGTGCCATTGGTCAGGTCAGCGATGGATATTTCTCATGGGCTGGTGGTCATGTTTGCTGTAGTCGACGTACACTGCATCATGAAGATCTTGGACGTTTGGCCAGAGAACAGGAGTTGATCAGCCATTGCGTTCTTCGTGAGGTATCCGATAGTACAATCACCCTCCTTGCGATATAGAAGATGAATTCTATTTGTGTACAAAATACCTCGTCAAGTGCTACTGTTAGATAAGGACGTGTGGAGTGAGCGTATAGAAACGTCTAGAGAATGACACAGGGTAGGTGAACGTAGCTTGCCCCCAGTCGTCGACCAACGGATCGCGAGATGGTTGAGAGATGTGGCAGATGGTAGAAGTGCAACTGTGGAAGAAGGATCAAGACTTGTCGAAATCATTAATTAAAAAAAGGTCAGGTGGCCCCAAGTATCTTCTTCTTCTTCTTCTTCTTCTTCTTGAAAACAAAGCGATCTGGAATTTCTCACAAACAATCCGTACTCCATATATCCCCAACAAGCCCAACATGTCCCATAATGAACACACCAGGAGACGTAAGAAGGCTACACCAGGTTGTAGGCAATGTCCTGAGCCCAGTGGTAGCATGGAGACCCAATCGCAATCTGCAACGTTCGGCGCGATATACTAAACAAAACACATTCATCCAGTCTAGCAGTTGCAACCCCCAGGACCCTGTGTCTGGTTGGCCTCTGGCCTCAGATTAACGCCCTGTCGCTGCTGCCCCGGTCTCAAGTTTCTCGGTCCACTAGCCTGGTCAATCGGCAACTTCTTGGCAATAGCGGTAAACAGCTCCTTGACATTCTCGCTCGTCTTGGCCGACGTCTCGAAGAAGAGCAGACCAGCCTCACGCGCGTATTGCTCGGCATCGGCTGTGGAAATGGCGCGCTTGTCGGGGCTTTCGGTAACGAGATCGAGTTTGTTGCCAGCGAGGGCGATGATGATGTTTTCGTTGGCTTGGCGTTGGAGTTCCTTGACCCAGGCTTTCGCTTTGTCTAGAGAGGCCTGTGGGGTGTTAGTTCGTGTCGCAGGACATGGTAGGGGCGTAAGGAGGCAAGGAAGTGGAAAGGAACATACAGCCTGTGTGATGTCGTAGACGACTACGGCGCAGTTTGCATTTCTGTAGTACATGGGCGCGAGGGACTTGTAGCGCTCCTGGCCTGCGGTATCCCAGATTTCGAACTTGACGGTTGTGTTTTCATCGAGGGCGATGGTTTGGGTGAGGAAGGCGGCGCCGATGGTGGATTCCCGGTAGTCGTCGAATTGGTCCTGGCAATGTTAGTCTTTGTTTCTGTCTATTGATTGCTTGTTCTCGCCTACCTTGACGAAGCGCAATACTAGAGAAGACTGGGGCATGTTAGCTTATATCATGGCTGCCTTGATAGGCTTGCGCACCTTTCCGACGGCGGATTCTCCTGTTGATTGTTAGTTGCGCCTCGTTGCACGTAGAGTGACCATGCATACCCAACAACACCAGCTTGAACTGTGCGAATCTAGAGCCTCCGGGCCGTTGGCCTTGCTGCATCCTGGCCGACATGATGGGGGTGACGCGGCGCTATCGGGTCGTGGGCGGACAAGAAGAGGTTGCGTAGAAAGTACGGGAGAGGCTGTCGGAAGCAGTCGGGGAACAGGGTCGGGATATAGTGCAAGATGGAGGCAGAGGGTGGTGGTGAGAGTGAAAGAGCTGGTGGGTGCTGTGACGAGGTGCTGCGTCCCGGTGCTTGGCCCTAGCGCACGAGTCGGGGACCCTTGGCCGCAATGGCCGCCATGACGAAACATGGCCCGTCGCTGCCGTTTACGTTTGAGAAAACACATTGCGCCAAACACAAACGCAACACCACCAAGACCCGCACCAAGCAGCAGATAGAGCTTCGAGCTCCACTTCACCATGAGCATCGCTCTGCCGTACCGCGACATCAATGTCCACTCGTCGCCCTCGCACTACGCCTTCTCCTCCCCATCCTCGCCCTCGGCCCCTACACTGGTAGTCGACCGTCCGTCAGGTGACATTCGCCTTCACGATGGCAAGCTGCTGGGCTCCAAGAGGGTGTCGAGCATTGCAGGCATCCTCGGCATGATCAAGCTGCGACTAGGTATACGCTTCCTGCACAGCGCTGGCGGACACGATTGCTGACATGTGAAGACAAGTACATCATCGTTATTACCAAGGCTCAGCCCATGGGCAGGATAAAGGGCCACATGATCTATAGAGTCGTCTCCACAGAGTTCTTGTCTCTACGCGAGAAGCCGTTGCACGACGCCGACGAGGACAACTACCTTGGCCTCCTTAAGACGCTCATCAAGACGTCGCCGCTGTACTTCTCCTACTCCTTCGACATCACCAACACCTTCCAGCGCCAAGCCCACCTCGACCCCTCCACGCCCCTGTGGAAGCGCGCAGACGACCGCTTCTACTGGAATCGCTTCGTATCCAGCGACCTTATCGACTTCCGCGGAGGACTCAGCGGCGGATATGGCAGACACTCGAGCGGACACCAGCCCGGCGCAGACCCCTACATCCTGCCCGTCATGTACGGAATGTTGGAGATTAAGAATACGTCTATCAAGGGCACGCCACTTACCTTTATCCTCATCACCCGCCGATCGCGCCTCAAGGCTGGAACAAGGTACTTCTCCCGTGGTATCGACGAGAACGGCAACGTATCCAATTTCAACGAAACGGAGCAGACCATTATCCTCAACGACAATGCCTCAGGCGGCCCCGGCGGCTTCGGGTCAAACCAAAATGGAGCAGCAGGTGGAAGTGCGGGCAACGAGACACAGGTGCTCGCATATGTTCAGACAAGAGGAAGTGTACCCGTATACTGGGCCGAGATCAACACCCTAAAATACACGCCCAAGCTGCAAGTTCGCGGCATCGACAACGCCCTACCAGCCGCAAAAAAGCATTTCGCCGAGCAAATCCGACTATACGGCGACAACTGGATGGTCAACCTCGTCAACCAAAAAGGCCGCGAGCAGCGCGTCAAAGAAGCCTACGAACAAATGGTGAACCTGCTGCATACGTCGCCATCGGAAAATGTTGAAGGCGACAAGATCACCTCTGAGAAATTCCACATCATCGACCCGGCCAAAGCGCAAACCATATACGACCGTCTCCACTACGTCTACTTTGACTTTCACAACGAAACAAAGGGCCTCCGCTGGGATCGTGCCAAGCTTCTCTTGGATCAGCTAGAACCGCACATCCTCAAGCACGGATACTTTTGCGGCGTCGACATGCCCGGTGACGGCAGCGGCGTCGAAGTGCGAAGACACCAGACGGCAGTTGTGAGGACGAATTGCATGGATTGTCTTGACCGGACCAATGTTGTTCAAAGCATGCTGGGCCGTTTCGTCCTGTCTCGCATGCTCATTGACCTCGGTCTCATGCGCGAAGGCGAGTCGGCAGAAGAAGACAAGGCGTTTGAACACCTTTTCCGCAACGTCTGGGCCGACAACGCGGATGTTGTCAGTAAGAGTTATTCCGGTACCGGGGCCCTCAAGACGGATTTCACACGTCTGGGTGTTCGAACCAAAGCGGGTGCACTTCAAGATCTCAACAACAGTATCACGCGATACTGTCTCAACAACTTTGCCGATGGACCGAGGCAGGATGGATTCGATCTTTTTCTAGGGAACTATTTGCCGAGCGATGGCGTTGGTAGTGGGCAGTTGCTGTTTGCGGATCGGAGACCTTTGTTCATCCAGTCGATACCCTACATCCTGGCCGCAGCCATCTTTTTCATCCTCGTTGGAAGCTTGACACGGAGAGCACCTGACGCTACGGTTTGGCCGTTGAGGCTGCTACTTCTCATCTCCCTGGTGACAGCTGGGATATGCGCAAACTTCATCTGGGGTCATGGCACACTATACGTAAGTTCAAAAGCTCCAGGTGATCAAAGATGATGTGCTAATAGTGAATCATGTAGGTCAACTGGCCCAAGCTCAACCGCCAACCCCCTCAGATCGAAGCCTTCCAGGAGACACTTCAAAAGGTCAGAAACAATCCTGTCGTAGGACCGCTTGTGGGAGGTTCAACAAAACATGAGAGGGGCAAGAGTGATGCAAGACTGTTGGGACTCGAGGAGGGCAAGAAGAGGATTGAATGAGCGATAGCGTCACTTCTGGAGGTATTGAATATATGAGGGGGGAGGTGAGCGAGATCGAGAGAACTTTTCGGCGGAGTGTACTATTAGCTTTCTTCCTTTTTCTGATTACTATTCGGCACACAGTGGGGTAGGGGAAGGGATAAATAGATGGGTAGTAGCATTTTAATACACATTGGAGTGGATATTACACAATTCATCTTTAGTATACACGAGATTTCATGCATAGGGGTTAGAGCGGGAGGGTAAAGGGTAGGGTAGTAGAAATCTCGCCATCCAACGGGTCACTAACTCTATATCAATCCGCAGATCTAGTACTTGGGAACGCGCCGCGCGGATGTGGCTGTAATAGGATCCCTATCGGGCCCTTTGGCAGCATTCGGGGCTTTTGACAACGGTAAAGATCTCACGCTTGACTAAGGTGGGCCATGTGGCAGGGGATTCTTCTACGGCACCTCGGGAGTTGGCTGTTCCGACGATCTCCGGCCAACCAGCTGCACTGTCTTGCGGGTAGTCCAACGTCATATCGTGCAGTCTCTACAAGGTTAGCTCGGAGCGAAATCGTACTTGACGGACTTCCACTGTACTAAGACCCTTGCTTGGTCAAAGTCAGGCATCAAGACCCCGGAGCCAGGTTCAGAGAACTCGTCTTATACGGCGAATACGGCGCCAAGATCTAACAAGGACTTTGGAAACATGGAGTTGCATTCGGTGGAAGGATCCTTTAGTATCCGTAAACTGCGGCTAAGGACTTGGTTGATGTAATGTAATTCAGTCTGACGACGGAGTTTCTATAAGGACGCAGTGTTCTTCTATACACTGGACATTTCGAACCGTCAGCCATCTATCCAATCCAGCCTTCCCCAAACATGTCGATTCCTGGGCCGTCGCAAACCCCCCATGCTCTGTCCGAGCTGTCCCTCGGTGCACTTGTGCAGTCTTTGCCAGTGCTGACTTCCATCTTACTGGGCATCGTGATTGTGGTAATCTCCTTCGTGGCCATGACCAATAGATCGAAAGCGCCTCTGGCAAATCCTCCACGCTGGAATCAGTTTACACTATTTAAACGTTTCGAGTTTTTGCAGAACGGAAGGGCCATAATGAGCGAAGCTAGAAAGCGCTACGGCAAGCATCCGTACAGGTTGATTGTTGACACGGGCGAAGTTCTTGTCCTGCCTCCCGCGTATTCGGTAACGATCCGCAACGAGATGGATCTGAGCTTTGCAAAAGCAATAGAGAAGGTATGTTATTTCCAACACAATGACAGTACGACCCTGAAGCTCACCAAGTGATAGAACTTTTCCGGACATGTGTCTGGCTTGGAACCGTATGGCCTCCTAGATCACAAGAAAAAACTTGTGCAAACAGTAGTGAAGAAGCAACTCACCAAGTACTTGAGTAAGCGAGCCAAGCACTTGAATGTACCATAAGAAGCTAACGATGTTGTTCAAGACACAGTGACAAAGCCCCTCTCAGAAGAGGCCACTTTCGCTCTCAACGTAATATTTGGCAATGCTCCAGGTATGATGCATTCACCCTCGACCTTGCATTAACTAACCACGTCTGCAGAATGGAAGGAAACACTCATCACAGAAAGCATCCTCCAACTCGTTGCACGCCTGTCGACCAAAGTGTTCCTCGGAGATGAAATGTGTCGCAATGGAGCTTGGCTCGAAACATCCAAAACCTACACCGTCACTAGTTTTGTCCTGTCTCTCAAGATGGCAGCTGTTCCCGAAGCACTCAAATTCCTCGTTCCTTGGTTTTAAAGCGAAGCAAAAATTGTCAAACAGCATCTAGACGAAGCCCGCACCATCCTCACGCCACTAATCGCCAAACGCAAAGCCATCAAGGCCGAAGCCCGAAAGAACGGCAAGCCGGAACCCGTGTACAACGACATGGTTGACTGGTACGAGCAAGAAAGTCAGGGAGAAGCATACGACCCAGCTATCTACCAGACATCCCTTTCCCTCGCAGCAATCCATACAACGTCAGAATTGCTGAGCCACACCATGACGCTTTTAGCAAACGAGCCGCAATACGTCGAAGCCCTCCGGAAAGAAATCATTCACGTCCTTCGCACTGATGGTTTAACCAAAGCTGCACTTGCCAGCTTGAAACTCGTCGACAGCACATTGAAGGAGACACTGCGATTCAGGCCATCTACATACCGTAAGTTGACCCTCTTCCACCACCAATCATAAAGGAAAAAAAAAAAAAAAAAGAGATTCGAGTTAACTTTCCTTCAGTCAACATGAGAAGACACGCAAAGAAAACGGTCGTCCTCCCCGACGGTTTCGTCATCCCCAAGAACACACAAGTCGCTGTGGACGGCTTCAACATGCAGAACCCAGAGATCTATAGTGACCCAGACAAGTTCGACATTTACCGCTACTACAACATGCGCCAGGATCCTGCCACGGCCAACAAGGCGCATCTCGTTTCTACGGGGCCTGACAACCTTAGTTTCGGGCATGGCGCTCAGTCGTGCCCGGGCCGCTTCTTCGCCGCTAATGAGACGAAGATTGCGCTTTGCCATCTCTTGCTTAAATACGACTGGGAACTCGCTGAGGGTGCGTGTCTGGATCCTAAACCTGTGTTTGGCGAGACGACGGCGCTCGATCGTGAGAATAAACTAAGGTTCAGACGGCGCAAGGAAGAAGTCGACCTGGATAGCTTGACTTATGTTTGATTTTTCTTCTTCTTTCGACGGGTTTGGCTCTCTTTCTCTCTAGACTTGTATAGAACGACGCGTTCAAGGTTGTTGTCATGTAGTAGACTCTTGTTTCCAAATGCTATATGTATTCTTCGTTTTGCGCTCTCTTGCACATGTGGGGTTTTGCTAGGAACATCTTCACCACCCTCCACTCCTCTGACTCCTGGACAGAACGACGACATCGGACTCCTCATCCTCACCATCCTCAATAACCGATTCTCTTAGTTGAATTTTCAAACAGTAACATAAGAACAAGAAAATGACCTGCATCCGGGGTATCGTGCTTTCAACGCCAGTACCACGTACAGAAAAAAAAAAGTAACCGGGATATCGTATCGTAAAACTCGCTTTTGTAAAGAAAAACCTCTCATACTCCATCATTCATTAATGCCGTTTCGTGACGTGTCGTTCGTGTGGTTTGTGTTGGAAAAGCCGAATGCATGGCCGAACATTGTAGTAAGAGTGTCGTGGCTTCTCATCTCCGTCTATCCTCTCCGTTGACCCCTCGAAAGAACAACGACATCAAACTCATCATCTAAACTCTCTTCATCCTGACCCGCCGACGCTGCATTCTGCAGAGTCTTGGTCTCATCAGCAAAACTGCCACCCACGAAATCCCAGCCATCACCCTCCAACCTCGTGCGCAACCGTTCCAAATTCGAGTTGGCTGCGCGCTGAAATACTGCAGCCCACTTGTTTTGTCCTTGTGCTGGGGGTTGAGGTGCCGTCGATGATTGCGACGCGGATGGCGACAATGTTCCCTGGCTTGACCCTGTTTCCGTGTCTGCATCGTCCTCGTCGCCCTCCTCCCAATCATCAAGCTCCGGTAAGATCCACAAATCAGACTCCGACGCCTCGCCGCTTGCCGCCATGTTGAGATTTAGACATGTACTGGCGTGGATGCTCATGCCTTGTTCTCTTCTACCTTGTCCAAGGTGACTGGTAGCGCTTTGTTTTGATTGGGGAAGCCAGGTTGGCGGGGCGTTGTTGCGGTTGAGCGATATGGTTGTTGTTGGATGGATGGGTTTGCGCTTTCTTGATATATTTGGATTTGTGGATGGGGATGGAGATGGGGCACGTGAACGGTGGGGTGAGATGGGGAAGTGACCGTATATAGCGTTGCTGAGATCGTAGTGGAAACCTTCGTCGGCACGCGCGGCGACAGCGGTTCGGAGTGGGTTGGTGGTCATTTTGTGGAGATTTGGAACTGACGGTGTGGACAGGTGTTCGGTTTTGCCCAGCTGACCGTAGAGTCGTGTCGGGTTGATGTTGGCGTTCGAGAGCGTCGAAGTTGTAACCGAGGAACAACGCCACAGTCAAATTTTCTGCTGCAGACGGATATGGAAGGTGGGTCTGATTCCTGCGGGATCCCGCAAGAGTTCTGCGGGGTGTGTGTGTGTGTGGGTGTTGTTGAGCTGGAAATGCGGCTGCCTGTTGGCTTGTGACGGGCGTAATCTGATGACGTTGCAGAAGGCTGTGCTAACTTGACTTGTTCCAGTCGGGGTCTATTTTGAGTTTGCAATGTGAAAGTGAAAGTGGAAGTGTAAGTGAAAAATAGGGAGAAAGAGAAAAAGAGAAAGGGAAAGAGACTTGGAAGTGTAAAAAGTGAGCAGGTTAGCAGTTGTCAGAATTTGCTTTGAATAGCACGGTACAGCAGAACCGACTGGCTACGAGTCGTTGAGTGATTTGAGTCTCACGCGACAAGCGACCCAAAAGTGAAGCTGCAGTTAGTAGTCGAGCAAGAGTGGATTCGGGACAGCATGTTGGACGTCTCGTTCGAATTTGGGTTGGTGTTGTCGGTGTCGTGGATGGATGTGCGCCGAGAGGGTATGAGGCACAGAGCCGAAGCGTCCGTGCACCCTGACGTGTGTGTCGGTTGAGCTCCAAATCTTCATGTTGGCAGACGACCACGACCATCAACAACGCCGTCCCCCATCTAACATCTCCCGGGCCAGCCCACCATGCTGCGCGCCTCCATCCTAAGGGCCCGTCCAGCCGCCAGGCCATTGGTCCGCGCCGCCCGCCCGCAATGGCACGTTGCCCAACGCTTCTACGCCGACGATAAGAAGAACCTGGGCGAGACAGCCGTCCCCAATCCTGCACCTACCACGTCGCCATCGAACCCCTCTGCTGTCCAAGAGGGCACTATCCCCACCTCGGACATTCCCAAAGCACCGCCTGCCCCCGACAGCACCGTGACTGCCGCAGTGTCGCGCGATGCGCCCGCCATATCACCAAAGACAACACCGCCCACCGGCCCCGGATCAGCGAGCATAGCCCCCGACCCAATCCAGCCCAAGCCCAAGAAGAAGCGACGCATCTTCCGCAAGCTCCTTCTCTGGCTGACAGTCCTGTCTGGTCTCGGTTACGCCGGTGGTGTCTGGTACTCGCTCGTCTCGGACAACTTCCACGACTTCTTCACTGAATACATTCCCTATGGAGAGGATGCCGTTGCCTACTTTGAGGAGCGCGAGTTCCGGCGCCGATTTCCCGGTCGCGCTGGCGATCCAAGGCTGCACCCTCAGATATCTGGCGAGAACAAAGTCACAATCCCTGGGAGGAGCGGCCTGACTGCGCGCCCAGCTCAAGAGAACAAGAGCGACCTCGGCTCCAAGGGTCCCCATCTGAGCGCTGTCGACGCCAACACAAAGCCCGACAAGACCGAGTCGAGTGGACAACAACCCAAGGTTTCCTCCGGCACACCTGCACCGGCTAAGACAGAAGAGAAGAAGGCTGTCCCAGTCACGGAAGTCAAGAAGGAGACTCCAGCCAAGCCCATCTCCCAACTAGACCACCTCAGCGTACCCTCCGCAACCGAGCCCGTCGTACAAGATGTCGTCAAGATCGTCAACGACATCATCACCGTCATCAACGCCGACAGCGCCCACGACGGCAAGTACAACTCTGCGCTGGACAAGGCCAAGAGTGAACTCGCCAAGGTCGTCTCAGACATCAACATGATGAAGGAGAGCCTCCAAAAGCAGACCGAAGACAAGGTCAAGGCCGCCCACGCCGAATTCGACCAGGCCGCCAAGGAGCTTGTCCAGCGTCTCGACCACCAAATGCAGGCCCAAGAAGCTCAGTTCAAGGAGGAATTCGAGAACGAGCGTGAGCGTCTATCACAATCCTACAAGGAGCGTCTCCAGTCCGAGCTCCAAGCCGCACAAAAGGTCTACGACCAGAAGCTCAAGAACCAGCTCTTGGAACAGAGCATCAACATGCAAAAGTCCTTTACGGCCAACGTCCGGGAACGCGTCGAAGCTGAACGTGACGGTCGTCTCGGCAAACTCAACGAGCTCTCGTCTTCTGTCCACGAGCTCGAGAAGCTGACGGGAGAGTGGAACAGCGTGGTCGACGCCAACCTCAAGACCCAACATCTCGTTGTCGCCGTCGAGGCCGTCAAGTCAGCGCTCGAGACGCAAGCTATTCCCAAGCCATTTGTCACTGAGCTTGCTGCTCTCAAGGAGATTGCCGCCGACGACCCAGTCGTCAGCGCTGCTATCGCTAGCATCAACCCCGCCGCCTACCAACGCGGTATCCCCAGCTCCGCCCTCCTAATCGACCGTTTCCGTCGCGTAGCTTCGGAAGTCAGGAAAGCGGCGCTGCTGCCCGAGGACGCTGGTGTCGCCTCGCACCTTGCCTCGCTCGCCATGTCAAAGGTGCTCTTCAAGAAGTCTGGTCTCGCTGTTGGCGGTGACGTCGAAGCCGTGCTCGCGCGCACAGAAGTCCTCCTCGAAGAAGGCGATCTCGATGCTGCGGCCCGTGAGATGAACGGTCTGCAAGGATGGGCTAAAGTACTGAGCAAGGATTGGTTGAGCGAGTGCAGGAGAGTGCTGGAAGTTAAGCAGGCGTTGGATGTCATTGCTACCGAGGCGAGACTGAATAGCTTGCTCATTGACTAGTATACACGTCCTGTGGGCTTGCTTTTCTTTCTTCTTTTCTGTATGTGTGTGTGTTCAATAGCCAGTACTAGTGTAGTTTTGTACGAGTATCAGTCTATAGAAACCGTCTCTTGTTCATTGTTCTGTTTTTTTTTTGTGTGTCATCTCTTACTTGCTCCGAGTGACTGGTGAGATCGTCTCCCTTATAACTACTCTTCTCCTCCATCATAACTCACATCCCCTCGCCAAACCAGAAGAGACTATGCCGCATCTGCTAGAACAACGACTTCGGTAGCGTAGCTTGTGAGACGGATGCAACATGACGTGGTTTATCAAGTCCATTGATCCGATCAGAGCCTGCTTCTCTCACATTCTCCATTTCACACCTATTCTGCTCGAGACTCTCTGCGTGTCAAAAGAATGTACCTGCCCGCTCTGCTATGACCAATGCTGCAACCTGAGGTAGTGTTGATCATCTGAATTCCTTGGTAGTAAGCATGCGCTTCGAAAAGGAAGAGAGGGGTGCATGGGCGGGGAAGTTAGACAATTCAATTGTTGATGCAGCGGGAAGGGGGCTGATGATGTATCATGTCGTCGCAAACCCAGGAGACGGAAGTTACGAGCGGAAGAAGTTGAAGGTGGAGGTCTGAAAAGGGGATCTTGAGGGACTCGAAGGATACATGGGTGGTGTGGGAGGGGTTGAGGGTTTTCTTGGGGGTTGTAATCAGGATCGCAAGTGTGTGGACTAAGGAGAGCAAGAAGTTTCCGACAATGGTTCGGAGGGTGTAGAGTATGATGACAAGGTGTTGGTGCTATCTACATGCATTATGTACGTGATAAAAGGATATGAGGCCATGAGATAGACTGGCTTGTGAGATGTAGAATGTGTAAACACTCCCTAACTGCATTGCATCGTGATAACTACATCAGATACATGGGCGACGAGGAACCTCTCAAACAAGAATAAAAGCAATCACCTATCTACTTCCATCGCTAAACCCCTAAGCCAGCCCTGTGCTAAGCGCCCAAGTCGCGTCAGCATTGAATCCTGCCGCCGCATCAAAGTCGTGAACACCGCCGTTACTCGCAATGTCCCCGATGTTGTTGTAATGCCTGATGTAACGAGTGGGATATCCCCACGCTCGGATCGAGCTGCCAGAGCCAGTAAAGCCGGCTTGGGGACAAAACGTCGCATCCTCCTTAAACGCCTTGGATCCATCATTCGCCGCAAGCTGCAACACAAAGTTGTAGTGGCGGATATAACTTCCAGCGGTATCTTTCGACTCAAAGGAGAAACAGGCCGAGTTGGCGAGACCAGCGCGCACCGTCCAGCTAGCCTGACGTTTGAGCAAAGCAGTGCTAGATGAAGATACAACTTGCGTATTCACTGTAGCGCCAGTATGCGCGAGATACCGATCCGTGTACCCAGCCGTAGTTGCGCGTAGAGAGATTGAAGAACCCACAGTGTATGCAGGGCCACTTGTCAGACTCGTGGTAGCATATTTCGCCGCAACGATGTTAGCTTGAACGGCTTCCTCCGTTGCATCAGTCGGGTAACCCGATGTCATGACGCCTTCGTAGAAGGTTCCCTGAGCACCGTTACTGTTGTCACCGCCGATACCTAGGATGATGGCGCCTTCCTTGCTCATGGGGTTGTAGCCCGACGCACTGGGGCGCGCACCGTTGTAGTACGTTGACAGTGCCCCGGATGCTGCGTTGCCACCTTTGATAGCCCACTTGTTTGGTCCACCCTTCAAGATGGTGGTCAAGAAGCGTGAGGTGACGGTGGGGTCAGCAGGATTGTTTTTCGGGTTTGCGCCAGAGAAAAGGCCGTTCTCGAGATCAGCCATGACCCAGGGTCCGCTGCCGGCGCCAGAACCCCACACAGTGTTGTCGCCAAAGTAGATGGCTTCCATGTGTCCGTTTCCTGAAGGGGTTTTGTCAGCAAAGGCTGATGAGTTCAGATGTGGGATAATTACCTGTGTCCAGGTTGTTGGTTTCTGCGTTGCCGTAGTCAAAGCAACATGCGCCGTTGTAATGTGTGCCATCGAGCACGGCGTACATGCCCTCTGCTGCATCACCAGTCGCTGAACCGCTTACTTTGTTATTGCGATAACCAGTGCCTGGCGAGACAAAGACGCCATATGCTTTCTGGCCGTTCAGGGTGACTGGTGCACCAATAGCTCCAGCCAAGTTGTCATATCCGTTAGCTTCCGGGCCCTGGAAGCCTCCTGGTGGAGCTTGTGTGAGATGGTTACCACGACCAGACTGATCATAGATGATAGTGATAAGACAAGTTGTGTTAGCGCAGAACTGGTCTTGCGTTGCCGCGTTGGCAACACCACCAGCAGACATAGGTGCGACGTTGGCCGTAGCACCATCAGAGCCTCGTTTGATCTGGTAGAGGGAGCCATTGAAGGAGCTATACAAGGCGCGTGTCGTGCTGTGAGCGGCGATGCATGGCGTGTTGCCGGTAGCGTAGATGTCGCAGGGTCCAGCAGCGACTAGGGATCCCGTAGCCACAAGGCCTAGAGCGAGGGTGTTCGTTCGTGAGCGCATGGCTGGCTGTTGTTACTATTGGCACAGAAGGAATGATCGTCTGGATCAGTCAGAAAGCTTGTAAGACGGCGATATTTAAACACATGGCTATGCATCGTTGTTGACATGGTCATCTAAATTGTTGCAATGCTCCGTCCGTAGACTAGGTGAAAGGCGACGCTCAAACTCCAGGGAGTGTAGTTTTCCCTCCAACAGCGGCGAAGCATTTACCTTTACGAGCGCTAAAATGTCACGAGGCTGCACCTCCAGGTTTTTCGCGGGCGGTATCCCCATGGTTTTGGTGTATATATTGCGGGGATGACAAGGTTTACGGTCGTAGTATGGTTGTAGTGCCGGAAGAAATAAGCTTTGCCGAGGAACAGCTGTCGAAAGACAAGACCGGAGCTAGGCTCGTAAACAGGCGTTGCCCGGGGTAAACTCCGGTGGCAGTTTGAACGCACCGTAACTTTCCATGATGAGCAGCTTGTTACTTTTCAAAGTTTTTAACGCTCCGCCTTCTAGGTTTCGCGAGACTTGGCTGTTCACACCCTTATACCGTTTGCAACCGCGTTGCCTAATTTCCGACAGTTCTGCTACTGTGTAGGCGTACGCGAGTGACGTAACGCGTGGTTTTCGAAACGTATTTTCAGTGGACTCATGTACTCTGGATCACATTGGTTTCAGTCGCATGATGGAGAGAGTTCAGAACGCCCAGAGTCGACTGCTTGAACTCTGCTCATCTCCGGCGCCTTTGCAGCTTGGATGATAGGAGTTCCTTCGTTGGCGTGGCCGATGCTCGCCGGATAAAGTCAAGAGCGGTGTGCCAATGGTGTTATGAACCAGACAAAGGTGCACATACCAGAGCTGCTGCGACATGAAAGCAAAGGCCTATCGGGTTAGACTGGTATTCTCCGCGAGCGCATTGTGGGGGCGAACGAACCTGATGATGTATTGGCGAAACATCATCAACCCTCGAGAAGGGCCGCGCTCACTGCACGCATGCGCAATCTAGTTATGACAATGCAGTGTATGGTGTGTCCTGGAAGCCTATGGCGTGTGTTCGGCGGCCAGTCGCGTTGTATTCTTCAGTGTCTAATATCGAACCCTTCATACAGTAATCGAACATGGTATCATATGCTAAAGCGATGCAAAAAACCACCAAAATATGTACGCCCAAAGTATGCCAGTCGTGATGTTGTGTGCGAGCGTGGTATATGTGTTCGTCATCCTTATTGCCTTCGATCGGCTCTGGTTCGAAGCGATGTAGCTATCGTATGTTTATCGTACAAGTTCCGTCGTAGGTCACCGACTGTGCCCTCTAGATCTTGGCGCCAGTGGTGGTAACGGCATGTGGTTCTCGTGGAGGTCCCCATGTGTTGCGTATCGCGAAGCAGGTCTTTGTCCAGACTCAACTTGTAATTCCACCTCGTTTTGAATAGTGATTGTCATATCCGAATCCAGCGCTTCCGCGGAGCACCTCGGTTTTATCTTGCCCCATAGACGTGACATGCCCTTCTTTGGCGCTTCCTCCTCTTCCAAGATTGCTTCTTGGCTACCTCGTTCTAGATCCCCTTCCGTGTCAGCCCAATGTTTCATCTCGTAGCTTTGGCCTTTGTCATTCGCGAGCTCTGGTGCATTGCGAGGTGCTGCGGATCTTCGATTTGAAGTATTCGGCGCTGATGCGTTGGCCGTTAGCGTCTTCGAAGAATGGCCGGTCGATTTTTTAAAGGATATGCCACCTGAGAGTGATTTGGATAAACTGAACGGGATCTTCGCGAAGAGTGGTTTGAGTACTGGAGCCGAGGCACATATCTTCTCCTAATTAGCATCATCTTGGAACCTGAGCATCAAAACTCACCACTCCCAAATCGATCTCCACGGCAGCTGCAATCCAAAGAGGATAGGCGTACCATGTTTGGTCGTACTCATTGAACAGGCTTCGGTAAATGTACCATGTACGTACGATACCGGCGGCAGTGACAATCAATCCCATAGCAAAGAGCGATGCTACAGCCATGCGCTCACGGAGGCGCATATGAAGCTACCAAAGTTAGCCCCAGCCTTGTTCTCCACAGACATCTAGATCAACTCACACCCAGAACCAAGGGTATCGGTGTTATCGTGGTAAGAAGATCCGCGACACAATTGAGGATTCCGCAGATGAGCGTCATGACTGCCTCATCCATGCAGGTGTCTGGAGGTGCGCCGATGGTCCAGTAATTCTTCACAGGGTTGCAGAAAAAGATGGCGATGAAAGTGAATGATATGAATATGCCAATCGTATAGACAACGTTAGCATGGATCGCCCACTTGAACCATCTAAGCACGCAATTGTCAGTAAGGGTACTTCAAGTTAGAAGACAACACCAGTGGCTACATACGTTTTTCCCGAGTCTGTAACCAATCGGTAATAAAAACAATGTAGGGAAAGTCTTGTGAAGGTCGCTGCAGCTGTGAAGACAACCTTCGCCGTCATAGCGATTTTCGAAGTCGGCACGAACATTGGGAAAGGTATATCCCAGACATGTCTATTGTGGTGAGTATATTAGCGATATCATACTCGGGCAACCTGTGAGCTACATACCTGTCCCATCCATATCTTTGGTTTGCCAGGAGAACGACGGCAGTGAGACCGAGCGTGAAGAGTAGCGCCAGGAGGATGAAAATATCGTCAATACCGAACCACCTCTTGATTACTATACGCGTGTACAGGCGTGCAGCCACAGTTGATACGGCTAGCGCTACGAAGATGGAATTGACAATGACGAGGGCAGGGCCACGCGTTACGGGGTCCTCATAATTCGGAGTTGGCCAGGACAAAAGGACATCCACCGGTGGTAGCTGCATGCTGAATTATCGTGGGCCTGCCCGGGGGAGTATGCGAGACATGTGGGCGTGATTGACGAACTGCAGGCAGGCGGATAAAATCGACGAGACAAAATCGACGAGACTGGCTGACACTAGGATAAGGTCTCGATGTTATGTCTAGTGGAGAGTGGGGCTTCGCAGCATATGGCCGTTAGCTCCATCCATGCTATGAAGCGCGCAAGGGAGCTTTGTATACCGCTACGACGCTGGTGTCGCAATGGCTTCGAAGCTTGGCTATCACACGGACCGCGAGTTAGGCACGATAATCGTGGCGCATCAGCGGGGTGCTGCATGCGGCGCACAAACTCTCCGTGAAGTGTGGAACCGAAAATCATAGCAACAGGTTCTGCGCGGCCGCCTCATCCGGGCATCTTTTGCGGGCACTTGGACGCGTTCGCTCCGTGACGGTCTGCCCGAGCATTTCGAGCGCATCTAAACAACGTTGTGTATTAGTGCGTTGTAGTTCAAAGCGAATGAGCCCCGTCACTGGCTCACCGGTAGCCAATCTCCGCCTCGCTGCACTACGATATATGCCGCCACACCAGCAAAAATGGACATCCTTTGCCTGGGGGAGCGGCCATGTCTCAGGGTGTTCCCTCGAGTCGTGCAACCTGTAGCTACGGGAACTAGGTCTTGGCAGTGTTGGAAACTTTGGGCAGACAGCAATCAGGTCAGCCAGGCAATAATGGGGTCTGAGAGCATCGTCGAAAGTGTTCAGACACTGAAACCATGTGGTAGATGTAGTAGTCGAAGCGAAACATGGCGGTGTTTAAAGATTTAGTGGTTGTGATAGGAAGGTAAGCCAGAGACTGCGTCCGGATCAGATCAGGCGTCTGATGCGGAGACGTTAGTGGTAGCTGTATCTGGATTAGCGCCGGATCTTTGTCACCCTGCAGCGATCCGTCGATGTTAGGCCACAGTAAATCCCCCTCGTAAAACCTAAAACTGCGGAGACATTCCGATCTAATTATGATCCGCTGAGTGCACAACAACTGTGCCACCTGTGCTTCTGTGTTCCAAAACCTCGTCGTGGCATCATCTCCGGAGACATCGCTGCAACGGGTATCAAGGGCTTTTTGACAGCGGTGTGGCTGTCGCATTCGCATCGACCAGTGCTCAACAACATGCTATGGGATGTGCGGTTCTCCTGTCACTTGGTGGAGTGCGCAATACGCCGAGACCAAGGTACCAGAGCTTACGTGTGCCGCCCACGGGTCGCAATTCACAGAACCCATCTACAACCCACCTTTCGACGGTTGAGGCGAGATATATGACTGGGGTATCGACTGACTCTTCAACCCATGACGCCTACATGCGAGCACAATGAATCCTTCGCTTTAACTCGGTTCCGACAGCCATATCGCTGGATCCATGTGCGAAATCCTCCGCATGGGTTCAGCATTCGCAATCAGCGCCGTGACTCGCGTTGAGGCTGATGACCCTTCTGTGCGCTCCCGAGACGAGGCTAGGTCTGTGAGGCTGCTAGCTGATCGCAAGGCTTGAGCAGTGCGGTGTGCTCTCGAGACGAGGCACGGCATGGCACGGCCATCAATTGCTATCCATTCAGCTTTGTCAATTTGGACATCGAATCTGCGACTCTCCCGGTCTTCAGTATGGACATCACGACAAATATGTCCAACGTATCTGCGGTAATTGAGGGTATCTCAATTATCTCACCTGCAGTGATGATCCGAGCAGGGAACATGAATCGGATGTGGCCCCGTCGAATGGTCATTGGATGAATTTCATCAAAAAGACACGCCCCGCAAAAAGCACAATAAGGCGCGAGGTATGTGTATACAAAAAAGAAACGCCAATTGCAAGGCTTCTACGTCGAGCCGGAGAATGATGCTATTCCCTTATTGGGATCGACTACGTCAAATCCACGTCTTCCGCCATGTGTGAGCTGTCGCCATTCTATCTGACACTGTATCGGTCCTTCCATCGCACATTTTTTGCTAGGTTGCTCCTAGTTGTTCATATAAACTAAACGACTGAGAGTCAGGCACACACTCGCCCATGTTTTTTGCCGTCTCCAGTGCCGGTCGTAGACTGCGGGTGCTTGCAAGCGACCCGCTATCGTGGATAGTGTATGCAATCAGCACGTCTTCTTTCACGTTTGCAGTGTGTTCATCAATAGTTGACGAAACGGAAGTTGTGACAAATACTAGTAGCGTTTTCTTCGTGATGAGCATCAGGACAAGCTGTATCAGGGCAAGTTGGTTGCGCAAAGTTGATTGTAAGTAATCGCACAACAAAACGTAGCATCATAGGTAGGTCTAGCGAGGCACTACTCGATTACTATGTGTGTACACCCACGACCCTAGTACTGGTAGGCGCTGAGTATTGCAAATCTTTTATGAGCTTGTGGGCACGACAGTCGACCCATAACTGGATGATGTTCCAAGACAATACCCACCACAACAGGCTCATGGAACCACTTCACGCGGATGACCAATGCATACAAGTCTCATGCCTCCACCAGGTACCCGTGCTGATCTCCCGATGAATCCACCTCATCTCGACACCAGTGGTGGAAAAGCGCTCTTGCGAGAAAGATCTGGCGTGTAACGTTCTCGCATATATAAAACCATGATCATTTGTTCAGGTTGGTACGTAGGATCCACATCCCCTTCGGCATCATCCATTCGCCCACCATCAACCAGGCGCTTTGATCGGCTTGCCCTTGCCGCTTGGAAAATTCCGCTCGACCTTCGAAGGTGTCACATTTATCAGCGCAAAGGAGGATTCTCGTCGAAGTCGCGCCAAGGTTCGCCCACCCCGTGCTCCGTCTTCTGTTTGCACTTCTTAAAAGGGTGTTTCAAGCCCTTCGAAATCTTCGGATCACCCTCTTTCCGCAACCCTTCGAATCGAGAGTGCCAGTCGATATCATTGTCTCCTTTACAATGGCCGTTATGATTGCAAAAGTCCTCCCAATCCTCAGAAAACATAAGGCCGGTCTGGACGAGAAAGTCGAAGGTCTCGTCTTTCTCCAGACTCCACGTACCGTCGTTCCAGCCAAATTCGCCGCTCATGCATGGGTAGTTGCGAGCCTTTTGGGACCAGACGCTGCAGATGGCTGCGCCGCCTGGGTTGCGGGAAATGGGTAGCCTGTAAGTACCTGGAAACTTTCCATAGTTCTTGCCCAGGTTCTTCCCGCGTTCCAGAGCCGAAGAGACTGCACGATAATCCAGATCTTCTATGGCGTTCTGCAGCTTGTGCTCGTGAACGAAAATCGAGGAACGAATGATATCTTCTTTGGTAAGTCCGTACGTAGTATCTCTCTGTCCCTCAACGAAGTTTCGGTAACCAGTGGGACCGTGGATGAGGGCTTTGTCGTTAGTAAAACTGTCATACTCCCGGGACACATCCAAAGAATAGAGATAGTACACGGACTTTGGATCTTCATCGAGGCAGACCCGGTTTTCTGAAGGTCCACGCGAATCGTATTGACAGCCACGAAATGTTGCATCCGCCCAAACGATGTCCGATCTCTCCTGTGCCCAGAGTCCGTTGATCACGCTGCTGAACATCATCTCCTCGGGCATCCTCCAGATAGCGGATTGTATGTTCTCATCTCTTCTGAAGAAGTAGTCCCCTTCTAAGATGCCGATCAAATCTTGCTCAAGGTGGTTCTTGTCGCCTTCCATAAACGACTTCATATCATACGTGAGATTACTCAGCATTATATGGCGAAACTCGTTGAGTGATCCACGTATATTCTCCTCCACGTCAAAAGTGAGGTGTCTAGGATCGCGAGGAGCTGCGTTGATCATACCAACAATGGAGATGTAGGTGTTCGTCATCATGTTTGTGAGCGGAACTACTATCGTCTCCTCCAGGCCAAGCACTCCGGGGACGGCTATTGCCCCACCAGCTAACATCAGTAGCGCAGAACCAACAGCCATTCCTAGTTTCTCGTTCCTTCTCCGATCGTCGAGTTTCTTTTGTAGCTGCCGCTCTATACGTGGCGCAGCGCTATACGTCCGAATGAGTTCGGGTATTTTGCCGTCAATGTACGATGCAGCCTCCTGCATACCTATGCGCTGACTCTTGAACAGATGATTCACACCGGCTATCTGCTCGAACACGTAATATGCCATCTGTTTGTCATGTTGCGATAGCTCTGGGTTCAAAGCTTGATAGGAGAACCCACAAGCTCCAACAGTGTCGCAGAATAAGGAACTTGGCGCTAGATCGCGAGCAAAGTGATCGCGCAGGTACAAGGGAAACGTCTTGTAGGAAGGGTCCTCTAGGTAGCGGAGCCAGTGCGTTCTAGCAAACTCGCCGATGTCGTCTTTGTTGTCTTCCCAGCTCTTAGCGGTAGGGACCACGAGGTTGCAACTCAGTGGCGGTGATGTAGACGCATGTGGATTCGAGGGGGTCTTGCTTGGTGGCGGTGGCTTTCGAGGCAGACGGAGGGGGCCGGCGGTGGCAACCGGGGTGCTGGCGACGAGGTCGGTGAATACGAGCCAAAAGTGGGCAAGGAAGTTCTTAACCCTCATTGTGCTGGATAGTGTCTGAGTCGTTGGTCTTCGCTGTAATCTTGATGCAGTAATTTGAAGTTAACTAATTGCTTAGAAGAGCCATATACTTTTATATTTCGATAAGGAAGGCGACATTTACCTCTTATGGTTCTCTTGTGTCGTATGTTGAGCATGTTATTGGTTACTTGATATACGAAACGTGGATTGGTTCTCGGATGAACGATGTTTGGTTGAGGTTCCAGAGCCGGTATCAGCAGATGGAAGATGCAGTAAGGATTGGAGTTGATTGGGGTTCACAAATCAGTAGGAAAGACATACCGCCTTACAAACAGAGAAGAGTCAATTAGCAGGTACAGTCTCCTTCTGGGTAGCGTGCCTTCCACCTGCTCCCCACCCGCCCATAGTGGCTTCACCCTGTATTGCTATTGCCCCGTACCGCAACGTTCCGTATGCAATATTCTTGATAGCTGCGTGGTCAACCAATTATTTTTGTCGCAAATACAAGTCCAGTTTGCGATCGCCACTATTCTAAAAACTCTTTGACCTTCAATGAAAGGTATGACCGTACCATGCATTAGTTGTGCATATTGTAGCTCTCCCGTTGTGAAGTCCACGTTAGTACCTAGTCTTTACCTTCCACTGGAGAGAACTCTGAAGATGCTTACGCTGGGAGAAAAGACTACACATTGTTCATCATCAATATTGGCAGCTGACGAGAAAGCTAGTTGATCAGGCGCACGAATTCTGTGAACGCACATAGTGCTGGTAGCGTCTTAGGTCAAAGGATTGGTAGATGTGAGAACTCGTGGCTCACATGCACGAAATCACTGTAGAGTGTTTCGTCATCTCATAGGTTTAGAGCATTTTAGTCATCTCTGAGCCGTGCGCCGGCGTCGGCCGTTCCTCCCGGCGTCCTTCAACACTGCCAAACCATCACCACTTCGCAAAGGGACGGCGGCGTCATCAAGTTCAGCATTCATGTATATTTCTAATGCTTCTTTGCTTATGCACATCAATATCTTGCACCGCTTCTCCGTGCCTACTCACTCAGCATAAACATGACCAATAGGTCTACAGTGCAGACGAGCAGCGCACCCTATCGTGTAACGTTCTCAACGATGAGATGAGTGCCGCCACTCACACGCTTGATAGAATAATCGCCTTCACCAATCTCGAGCACTGAGTCCGCTGTCTCGATGAGTGTGCATTTCGCGCCACTTCTCCTCTCTCTCAATGCCTCCACCTTGTCCACACAATATGAGCAGCCTGGCGGAATGGATATTGTACCAGTGAACCCACTCGCGGAGCGTTCTGGCATTGTTACTAACATTTTGTTGTCGGGTGCAGTTACCGGAGACACTAAACAGCCCGCCTCTAGCTTTATGCTCAAGCCCGTAAACGTGTTGACCCTTGCGCGATCCATTTCGAGGTCGATGGAGGTTGCGAAATCGATATCCCAGCCACATCCATGCTTTAGAAAGACGTTGATTTCAACATCAAATGGATTTGCCGCAAGACGCCGCAGTGGCGCGAATATCTCAACTTCTCGAAGAAACTTAGTGGCTGCTTCCTCGCTACACATGGAGATGCGCACTTCCGGTTCCAATGAGGTGGATGTGCGCATTCGTTGTTGGAGATAACGGTTGCGCTCCTTGCCTCGCAAGCCGTGAAGCATAAGCGCGTCCCACGTTGCTGTGCAAGTGGCAATGGCAGGCAGCAGCACCCGGACGCCTTGGATTGCCTTCAATACCTTGGTATCGGCATTCATTCGCGCCAGCCGAGAAAGTTCAATGTCGAGGACATCGCCAACTGTACGGCATATCTCCGGCTCTACAAAGATGTCCTCGAAAGCTCGTACAAGAAAGGTACGCGTTCTTTTTGCCTTGTCTCTTCCAGCCAAGAGCAAGAGTTCGAAAGCTAACAAGAGCGCAGTGACGAGCAGTAACATGTATTCCGAATCCTCTGGACAAACTCCGAGCTCCTCAACGATATCAAAGGTGGCTATTATCGGTCTGAATACGCGGCTGTTCCAATCTATCCTAGGGTCGAAACCGGCCTCTAGGAGGACTAGGGTGACCTCACGCTCAATACGTTCCAGTATTCTCTCACCAAAACCTACCAAAGCCGAAGAACACACATCTGGTATCCATGGGTAAGACTTCTCGATGAGTGTCCTGTGTATACCACTCGTGATAGCCATAGAACTGAACGCTATCTTCCCGCGGGCAGCAGCAACAATCTCTGTGGTTGAGGTTGACTGCGTCGACAGGCGACACATGATGTTCGAGGTACGGTTGCAGCGGACGATTCGCTGCTGTCTTCTAGTTGGCGCATCGCCTATCCGTGTCTCTGCGGCGAAGGCCATGCCCCATTCATGAGACAACCGTCTCAACACTGCTTCACGCACTGTTTCTTGAAAGACTTAGCAGAACACTGATCACCACATCACACGGCAAGCCAGTCAGTTGGTTCAGAAGAACATCGGATGTCTTGAAATTGGTTTTGCTAACTACGGGTATTTAGGGCCACTAGCGTACAATTCCAACAATCACATGCCTGATCCTAAGTCCATAATGGCTTGAAAGCAGTCTATTAGCTGGTTGATGTGCACATCCTTCTCTCTTCCTCTCTTCGTCCAACATTTTCGTCTCCTACTGAACGCGCTTCACCATGCACTGGAGACCGACCTGTCGATAAATGTTTTGGACGCTTGTCGTCTTTGTCTCTTCCCATTGTGTAGACTGGTCCAACATGTCCTGGGGAACAGCGGTGTCCCAGCCTCTGTTGCAATAGATGGCTTCGATAGCATAGAAGATTTTACGTGCCGTGACGTACTCTCCAACGCTACCAGGGTGCAATAGTCCTGGTCTTTTTCTATGGTTCCTCCTGTAAACGACAGTGGACGGTATCTCGAAGATCTCGATGCATGCTCGATTTGCTATATGTTTTCCCAATGCTGTTCGTTCTTCGTTTGGGAGTTTGTCGATGAATTTTTCGGCGACTTCGAAGATTCTGATCTTAGCTTCGCCATCCTTCAGCATTTGATTTGCGACCCATTTACCCTCCGATATCTCTTCTCCCAGGTATCTGATGGAGAGGAAATACGAGACTGAGCATAGTTCTCGTCGGTCACCTTGGGTTTTTCGCAAAGCTCCAGACGGTAGTTCGGACATGTTGCTACGTCGCTTTCGCCTTTCTCTAGCCATTATTCGATACAAGTACGGTGGATATTGTGATGGCAGGTAAGCACGACGATTTTTTGTTACGGCGTGCTGAAAGATCGTCATACAAGACGGCACAGATCGGACATTGGTTGATAATGTTTTCGGGTGTGAAGCAAGTCAGGCCGGTACTAACAAACTTGAAAAGGGCTGGGATGTCCATGGTAGAAGTTGAGTGTTTGTGTGTGTGGCTGATAGGTTCAGATGGAAGAGAAGATGATTGGGGTCTTCTTCCATGTGGAATGGTCGACAAGACGAGATATTTGAGTCACAGTATGTAACCACGGTTCGCGCTCGCACAGCAATACGGCGGTCGATACGGAACACGAGTAGCACCTATAAAATGTACCGACCATCAACACATATGGTCTGGAATGGCAATTTGCTTACTCTAAATCGTTCGCAACCTACCGCGTAACACGTTTAGCCCAGTGGAGCCAGTGGAGGTGGCTGCTACCCCCAACCGGTCGACCTTGGTTACTTCACACGCGCAGCTTTACGCCGTCGACGAACTATATCCGCTTCGACACGGCCATGCTCAATGCTACACAAATCATGAAATGACACTACCCACTCAACACCAGTTTTACTGCGATCACCTGGCGCCGCTCCGCATCCTGCCTGGCGCCCCCGAGTTTGCGGATATCGGTATCTGCGTCATATGTCAAGAGAATTTCAACAAAGCGCCATACGATATAGTGGCGCTCGACAGCTGCTGCTCACACGTCTTCCACCACACATGTATCAGTGGCTGGACGGAGAGTTCGAGTGCGCAGCGCGACGCTTGTCCTTTATGTCGAATGGCGATGTACGAGTGGGTTCCATTGTCGATAAGGCAAATCGCGCAACTGGAGCGTGACGAGGATCAATACGCAGGAAGAGAAGTGGCGCAGGCAAGGTGCGAGGCCGTGCTTATAGGGCTCGATTCTGAGGATGCTGCGACTACGGTCGCTAGCCGTTCCGTCTCGCCGCATACCGTCGTTGCCGCAAGTTCTGGTTCTAATCTCACACCATCTGACAATGCTGCTAGCGCTCTAGACTGGGAGATACATTGCTAGCAGGACTCCCCATCAACGCCTTCGTACCACCCAATATTGCCTGAAAGGGTACCTAGCAGAGTTTCTCCGTATCTATCGAGTGGGGGTTATCGTTCTTTCGGCTCACCAACATACACTCCCTTGTCTCCGTCATGACCGACCGCTCCAGGCCCAACTTTGCCTCCATGCTCCTCGTCCAGGAGTCTCTCTTCTGCGCACTCCCCCACGGCATACCCAACTCGGATCCGATCGCCATTGGATGAGATACAGGGAAGAAGCCATGCGAATGAGATGCGACTAGCACAGATGTACCGCATACTCTCGAGCAACCTCAAGATAGTGAAAGAGATTCCTGATGTCTTCATCGTGACCCACTCCCTAACACATCCGTTACAATCATATCTGGCGATATGCCCAGATGCCACAGTCGAGGAAGTTCATGGCGCGGCCGGATATGCTATGGTGGGCACGACAGCAATCTTTTACACGTAGATGGCTCATGCACAGCTAGTCTGGGTGGGCTCAGCAGGCCGATGTTAACCTAGGGAGACGTCTTCTCTGTGGACGACGACTTGAGGGTGCCACTGTGACGATGGTATAGTTCACTTCCCTTCCACTCCTACTATAACCATTACATTTGCGTAGCTGTTGACAATCCATATCCTGTAGAATCTAAATAGATAATCTTCTCACATTCACCTCCCTGTACTGATACAAGAGTCCTGCCCGCAACAGTGGTGATGATTTGCCTCAACAGGACCCGCGCCACTCACAACCTCCGTTATCTTCTTCTTACCACCAAGGCCTTCTGAATTTCTTCTACCCCCAACTCAGACTACGAAAACTCGATCAAGGCCTACACGATGTCTACATCACCTAGCGCTAAGAAGTTCAAAAAATACGCTCCTCCCTCTCCAGGTGCATTCTCATCCGTACTTGGAACTTCTATGCTCACCGATAGAGAGGTTCTCGATGGCCTGTTCGAGGACAAGACCACTGTAGGCCTCGGCCTGCCTTCCATCGTAAGTATCTTACCTGATGCTTGTACAAAAACATCTGACAGAGATTGTAGCCCGAACTTTCCCAGAAGCGCAAACGCGAATTCATCGCCTCCGAAGACAAGTCCAACGAGGAGCTCCATCAGCCTCCCCCGTCCAAGAAAATTAAGAATGATGGTGAAGAGATATATGAAACAAATGAGCGCCAAGGAGAGGAAGCCGCTCGACGTCATCACACTCTTGCTGTCGCCGTGTCGAGGGAGTTATCCATAGTTACCAGCAAAGTCTTCGAAAGCATGAAGAAGCAAGCTCACATCCCCACACCAAAGTACGTTCCAACCGGTCAGGAGCGCCGCGACGAAGTCAAGCTGCTAGCCAAAGAGCATGTTCGCCATGTTGCTCCCACTATATTGGCTAACATCAAGACCAACCGCGACGTCGGAGGCATAAAGAACAAGTTCGACGGGGCCGATAGCAGGCGCGAGATTCGGAAAGACCAGATCAAAACTCCCGATTTTAAGCCCGAGAAGTGGGTCGACGAGAACGATGAAGATACCACTTGGCTTGTCATTCCCGTTTCGCGGAAGTTTATCAACACGGGTTCATCCATGATCCCGGTCATCGATATTCTGAACAAGTCCATCAAGCATCCTGAGTTCACCTTTGTCGAAGCGATTATGGGTGCGCACACGAAGACCGGCAAGGAAGTGATCAAGGCATACAAGATCAAGTATGAAAAGATGAGTGATGAGCAAGCCATCTCGCGTGCGAATAGTATGTTCAAAAAACAGAAGGAGGAAGCGAAGCAGGCCAGAAAAGAGGAAGCTGCACGGAGACGAAGTACTTAGCGGGCTGGTCTCTCGGACGAAGTTCTGGAGAACCGCTCGGCTGCTAAAAAGCGGAGGGAAGAGCGGGCTAAGACGCTGGCTGAGAAGGGCGGGGCATTTGGGTAGAACTGTTCATGTGTGCTATCTTGGCGTATCTATGTAACATTTGTAGTTACCAACATACTTGAAGTGTATCTCATACCCGGATGCTCGCAGAACTGAGGTTCACCCCCTAGCATCAACTGATCGTCTACTGTGCCCTCATCGCCAACGATCACCTTCACGGAACATCGAAAACGCACTACGTCATTAGTGAATATATAGAGCACATTATCGTGCAGGTAACGCACATACGCTCTCCCTCGGGCGCGCCACAGACGCTCGGATACAGTTATTCGCTTTCCACACTACACTCTATGCATAAAATCAAAGGCACCGTGCCATACTACAGACTATTCACAACAGAAAGGAGCCCGGACTCAACCGCGAGCAACTAAGCTCGTACTGAGAATCGAGAAGTCCGCAATTGCCACAACCACTACTTGTTCCTCTCCACTGGCGCACGCCTAAGAACCACCCACACGAAGCAACTTACAATGGATCAACCATCTCCACGAAGGGTGGACGAGAAAAGCACGAAGAAGCGGTCCAATGACGATGACATGGGAGCTACCCCTAAGGGCTTCCGCGGAGACAGTTCTTCAAAGGAAGGGGCTTCCGTGGGCGTTTATCCTCATTACAACACCATGAGCGATAGAGTATGCTCTATCTGACTGAGGCGTTCACAATGTCAAGTACTAACGCATACTATAAACCCTGGGATATGGCGCCAGATGCCACGCTGTGTCATGTTACAGTGGATGTTGTATGTTAGCGCCATACTCTCTCCTGGATCAGAGACTGACATGAACAGCACAATCTCCGCGAGTGAGACAGCGCGATGAAAACCTTCCGTCACCTGTAGTCCAGTATTGCACAATGCCTCCGACCAACTACTTCACACCTGGCGTACCGCGTGCTCGAGAAGATCAGGTCGCCCACGGCACTGACGGCGCTGGCAGCACTGATCCACATTATGGGCCATATGCATTGAGCTTCCAAACGAACGCCAGCGCAGGATGCAGTGACATGTACCAACCGATACCAAGTGCGAGTACGCTGGCAGCACATGTTTACCCAATCGCTCAGTCGGAATCTGGGGTTAAAGAGCAGTCGCGACCAAATGCTCTGTTGTCTTCGGCAACAGCTACCCCTATCCTTGTTCAACAACCTACGCCGATCAATGATACACGGGTCGTATTTCCAATGGCAAAACATGCAGGTAGTCCCGTTGCAAGCGGATTTGACGGCAGCGAGACTTTGCATCTTCGCTCAAAATCGTCGGCGAGCATCGCTGCCGGATTTAGGCCTGAGACACCCACGAAAGTCATTTCAGACCAGAATCAGGAAACCGTTCACGCAGGACAAAAGCGTCCAATATCTGACGTAGACGCAGAGACATCCAGAATCAAGAAGGCTCGTAACGACAGCATCGAGAAAGCTATGCAACACTACAAAGATAACAAGCCCGCAATCGATTACTGGTGGATGTCGCAACAAAAGTCCCCTAGAGCTCCTTGGTTCGAGAGATTTACGTCTTGGAAAGCCAACGGAAGTCTTGTACCTGAACCCAGAGATGCCAACAATCAAGTCAATCAATTTGAGGCCGCCGATTAAGCTTGATTGAAGTTTCATGAGGTCGCGATTAAAATTGATTTAATTGAAGCTGTTTTAGAGTCGTAATTAATTAAAGTTTTGATGCTCTTAATCATGTTTAATATGCAATCTAGGGCGATCTTATATAGCTGCCTCTAGTCATCATTCTCCCACTCGCATATATCGTAGATTCTAATTACCTCCTGATCAGTAAGGCTATCCTCCTAGCTATAAGGAGGCTTAAAACCTGCTTTTCTCTAACTCTAGGTACATTAGATAGCCGCTAGCAGTTAAGATCCAATCTTCCGCCTGCAGGGCTCTAATAGGTCGCCAAGCTCGCTGAACAGGCGCTCGCATTAACAGCTACTAGCTAGTATAGTAAGCAGATCGATTGCTAATCGCGATAAATTTAGATATCGCGATCGCAGGCTGATCCAATACTGAACTAGATTACCCTCCTGCTTAAACTGCTCTTTTGTCCACGCTAGCTTATATCGCCGCTAGCAATTAAGCTCGTCTATCTTTAATATATCCACCTCGTTTGCAGGCTTAAAGTTGACAAGCGCAGCGATTGCGTCGTCAATACCGCCTAATCGCAGCGGCCTTAGGCGCGTAACTGGCAGCGATATAGGCTTATATCGCGCCCACAGTTGCTGCAACTCTGCCTCGTTTAAGACAATCTAGTAAGGCTTCTCGCGCTAGCTGTTTAAGCAGTAGTTCTTGTAGTATAGGTAGAGGCAAGTTGCGCTATAGTAGGCAGGCGAGGCATCAAGTTTAGTATAGTAAGCGGTGGCCTTACGCCAGGCAGCTTTAAGGTTGATCGCGAGGTGATCTTCTAGAGCCTCAGGATGAGCGTTGAAGTCGACGTGATCGTAGGTCCTGAGTATCGCCTCGTAAGCTCTAAGTACGTATTCGAATACTAGAATAACCTCGTATATAGCTCTAAAGCTTCCTTGTTTACCGCGCGCCTCAAGGCGTTTTGTAGCCTCCTTGAGCGGCTTCAACACATCAATATACTCAGTTATCACCGCCCAATCTGCTACTTTTAGCCCGCCAGATCGCATCTAAGAGGGCGCGTCAGGTAGCTTGTTATCGCGCGAGTGCGCATATACGTCGTCGCGCGCGGTGCGATTAATATGAGTGTTAGCGTATAGGTTGAAGGTTTCTAACAACTAAACTGCGCGCTCAAAGGCGTCGTGATAGCTGTTCTATCGCGTAACAACAGGCTTAATCAGCTCTAGTATTGTTTTTGTGTGCTATTGATCGTTAACTGAGCGCTGAAGCGATGCGAACAAATCATGTTGCTAAGGCGTTTTGATGTAGTTGATGATATCGATTAGTACTCCTAGCGGGCCGTCTCTTCGCCAGTCTCGCAGGTATCGCGCCTCTGTATTATATTCGTTAACAATGTCGTTGTTATACGCCTCCTTGTCAAGTCTAAACATAATTGTCTGGCCTACAAGGTTGAGCGTGTGAGGTGCGCAGCGGAGGCGGCGATAAGGAGCTTCGAAGTCGTATAACTCGCTGAGTTTGGCGACAGCTTAATCGTTTGAGGATGCGTTATCAAGGACGAAGTAGCCTAGCTTAGAGCGATTAACACTAAACTATTGCAGCGTCTTTGCAACTACATCAGCAATCCGATCACCGCTGTAAGCACCAGTAAGTTGCGGTAGCGCAATAGGCAGGTCCCTAATGTTACCACAGGCGTCAGCGTAATAAGCGACAATACCAAAAAATCCTCGTTTGCCACCCTTTGTCGTCTACCCGTCAAAGCTAATATAGATCTAACTAATCGATCGCGACAGATCGTTAACAACCTGCGGTTCAAGGTGGCGATAGAGCCTCATAACAAAGCTCGCGACGCTAGTACGACTTACCCATAGAGCTTCTGCCGCCTCTAGATTAGCGTACGCTATCATCTCACGGAAAGCTGGAGTCTCAAACTCGCGGAGAGCGTAGTTGTTATCAACTAACCAGCTAACAGCAGCGTATCGAAAGCCTTATACGTCAAAGTTTCCAATCTGATTTGCGACCTCCTGCGATACAGCAACCCCACTATCGTTCAGTAATCGTAGGGACGTCTAACCTTGAGGTAGCGCAGCCCTAGCGAGCTGGCCCTAACGGTTAAGGCGGTGGCCAACTCTGTTCTGTGCCATGTAAGTTATCGCAGCAGTTGTTAATAGCGTCACCTCTATCATCTGCTTCCCCTCTAATTTCTAATGTTTATAGCAATGCCTACAGATCTAGAAAGTTCTCTGCAGATTAGCTATCAAGGCAAGGCGATAGCCGTGCTCAAAGACCTAACTTTTCCTGCCCTTAAGCGTCCTCAGCAGCTTTATAAACCGCGGTATATAAGCCTAATTAAGGCTATCGTGCCTATCCTTAAAGCGACTATCGAGCTCGCCTCTATCGTAGTTATCAGACGCCTCAGTTAAAGCCTCTGTAGCAGCTCGTAAGCCCTTAGTTAGCAGATTAATCGCGTTATCGGGCAGCAGGTTGCGCAGCCGCGATTCGAACGGAGCCTCGTCTGTAGCTTGGCTAGCTGTAACCTTAAGGGCTTTGCGCAGTAAGGTTTATACAGGCAGCTTAGACTGCGATTGAGAGTTGTTAACTTTGACGCGTTTATTTAACGCAGCAACGCGATCAGCAGCGCGTTTAGAGGCCTTTAGAGGCATAACAGATAGTTACAGCGCGTAAAAAACTTAGAAATAACGATCGTAATAGGCGCTGACATAAGATATAGGCTAATGTTAAACGCTAATAGTATGTTGCAGGGTAAGCTAAATCAGAAGGTTGCTTACTAATCGAAACTCAACACTACTAATCTATCACTCTATTGATATTATCTACAGCCTAGCAATCTCATTAGATACCTCGAAAATCGCGCTACAGTTAGTACATAATCAAGCTAATCAATCAAGTCAATCAAAAATAGGGCCTCGATTTGTTCTTGATTGAGAAAACGCTATAGGCGAATTGATCTTGACTTGTTTGAGCTTTTGGATCAAGAATCAATCAAGTCAATCAAAATGCTTGTTTGTTGGCATCTCAGGCTGAACCTAAGCTGAAGGCAGAAGATCTAAACCCCGTTCCCGCTACTCTTGTACAGACTATAGCAATGGAGACTCCAGCGGAGATCCTCCAGATTCGAAAGCAGTGGGGAGATCTGAAGCCTAATCTCCGCAAGCATCCAAAAGACAAAGCGAACGTCGCTAGCGCTAACTGGCCTGCTGAAGACTCCATCGCAAACAGTGCTAAGCGAGAGGACGGCATGTACAACTGCTTGCACGTAAATGGCAGTTTCGCGTGTTGCAAGAAAGGGGGTCTCGATGCAAAGGGCAAGAAGCGCTCCATCGACAAGCAAATTCGTGGTTTCAAGACTAAAGTCGAGGAGATGATTGTAAAGAAGGATTTACATATTGCTCACAAGGCTTGGACTAACTGGCTTAACAAAAAGGAGCTTGAAGCTTCCTACTCCGCGGAGATGGCGAGGATCGATGCCCTGTTAGCACTTGTGCATGGTCGCGCACAGCCAATGCGAACGCCAGCCCCGGTTGCTCCTCAAGCGACTGCTCGGCGACATATACCCCCACCAGCAGTTACTGTTTTCGTACCACCGGCGCCACAGATCGAAAATCTACGCCCTCTACAACAGGCTGGTTATACTAGCCCAGCATCTCAACAGCTTTATGAGACTAACCAGCACCTGTTTCTGACGCAACAGCCAGGTGCTGTAGCCAGGCCACCAGGTCAACCAGCTGCTCAGAATCAGCATAAAAAGCAACAAGGCTCTGCGGATACGTCTCTTCGAACTCACGCACTCATGTCTGCCATACCGAACCCACCAGTAGAATTGAACCAGCAAATTGCCAGTTCTAGCCCGGGTTCTGCCAGGAAACAGCATATCGACGAACCACTTCGACTGAAGGCTGCAAATGCAATTCGCGGGCAGAATGAGCGAACCAGCTGGCAACAACCGGTCATGGTTGGGGACATTGACTTATCAAAAGAGAGCTGCCGTGACAAGTACGAGGAAGTCTTTCAGAAGAATGCTGCGGCGGTGTCGTCGGTGGCGTCTATCGTCCCCTTGAACGATTCACAACAACAAGCACTACGAAAGCTCCAGACACCGCCGCCAGGAATCACTAGTCACTCCCGAGCTCAGCGTCCGCGGTTGAATCTGGCGACAAACCGAGAAGTTGAATCAGGCCTGCTATCCGCAACCATGACCCCAAGCCCTGGTACAAAGATAGCAGGAAGCTTTACATCTCCTTCTACACCAGACACGTCTCTTCTCACGCCGTCATCTTCCAAATTCACACCGGCAAAATCTGCTGTAGATTACCGACAGGTAGCGATGAAGATGTTCCAACAGCTGATCAAGGACCAGGAGCCCATCGTGCTTCCCGGATTAAAGATCACAAGGGAAAACTTCACCACCGACATGAACGGTTATATTCGTAGACTTGCGGCGGCGCTTGAGTCGCAAGCAGAAGAAGCTACTCAGCAAAAGGCTGAGGAGGCTGCTCGATCAGGTTCGGAAGATGCTGCTCAACCAGAAGATAGGGATGACGATTTTGCGATACCCGATGGTATTGCTAATGATCATGATGTCTTGGACTATCTGTTCAACGACAAGGCTGAAGACGCGGCGGACGAAGATAGGGAGTATTTGCGTTGGCATTTGCCTTCCAGCACCGCCGACCACGACGAAGCGCTCCGCATGGATCGCGGCGCTTGGGACGAGCATGCACCACCAGGATTCAACATGAACACCCAGTTCACATGTTACGACGCATTCGAAGACCCACTGCCACCGGAGGGGATCATCGAGCAACCCCAGTTAACTGACCTGGGGTATCTCGACGTGCCTGACAACTGGTTCATGGACGATCCTTTTGAAGTCATCGCTACTGGTCCAATTGAGCGGTGGTCAACGCAGCCTACATTCACGTTGGAGAATTTTTCGTACTTTGATTTGGATGAGATAACGCCGTCAGATCTACAAGATAGGTTTCGTGTCATCAAGGATGAGCGTGAGCAGAGGGAGGCGCAAGGTGATGCATGATTCGGATGCATGCGCTTGGCCCGAGGATGCAATTGTCTCGTTTTTACATCTCCTTCGTCTTTTTGCGATCTCATCCGATTGTGTCTAGATGCTGTTTCGTAACGCACGCTGAAGCGACGGGCGCAGCGCAGTCTTAGGTGAAGGCGAAAGGAAGCTCGAGGCCGGTGGTAGTGCTCATATGCCATAGCTGCGTCATATCAAGTGTCATCTTCCCTTGCGCACGCTCTTTTCGTTCCGAGTACTTCCAAATGTCGCGACAATGGCTGGTGCTGTCGTTCTGCGCTGTAGTCGCCGAGTGATACTTCATGGTGGGCACATAGGAGGAGCGGCATCTGAACATGTAGCAATAGACCTCAAGATAATCTGTAGTACAAAAGCCTTAGGTACCAAAGTAGCACGAACAGATCAATCATGTCACACGTACCCTGGATCATGCTACTGTACCATAGAATGGTGTGGTTCGTATTTCAGCACCGCAGCTAGTGAGACGCGAGCAGTCCCCAAGAGACCTACGCCAAGTCCGCCGAAGGCGTCGACAAAAAGCTCGCTAATATTCGAGCTCGCCGCGGTTCCTCGAGGAGGAATCAAAGAAGACTAGGGCAGTCGAAGCGGTAGGAACGTAACCTTTCGCCTCATATGTATCCTCCAACCGTGATCAATACATAGTCGTTGTTCGCGTCGTCACATTTCAGTGTCTTCTGGTATCCGCATTCCGTGATCTCATATGCTATAAACGTGCGCAGTATTCGTCAATGGTGCTCGGATTGTGGGGTGAAAGAGGTCAAGTTCCACGTACCCCACAAAAGCCACCTGCGGCAGCGCACGGACGACTGGTGACGTATCATGATATCGTGATTGATATGCATTACGCGACTGCACCTGAAGAAATGTACCTATCTGATTTACACTCCTCGCCATAATCATCGCAGCTGTCTACGTCAACCTCATCATTCTGCCGCTCTATCCGACTCGTGTGCGCCTACATTCAAACCGCCTCCTCACCCTTGTCACGCATCATCCGATATCGCAACATCGCCATCATCACGCCAGAACATCACCCACCTAAAAGAGCAGGTACTCAACTGACCCAAGATACGCGATTTATAGTTACTTGGTGTAGGGGTCTCGGATTCGTTGCTTAATTACGCCAATCTACCCCAGACTTGTTGCGACTAGGCGAAGCTGGGAAGGTGTCACCACTGGCCGTTGCCGAGAAAAGAGGCGGCGGAGTGCCGGACGCCTTGGACGAGCCACGAAAGAACTACGGTATCAAGCCTTACCGGGTTCTTGTTACTCCACTTGTCCGGGCGGCTTGCACATAAGGGTAGTTCGCATCAAAACGGTTACTATATAAGCTTTTTGCCACCCAAGCTGAGTACTTCAACGGACGATCGATTTCCTAAACAGAGTCCACAAGCGGCTGCGAAGTGCTCGACAAATCCAATCATAACCAGATGGAGCGAGTATCACCAGGAACTCCAGGCCCTGAACCGTGGACAACGGTCCCGCCGCTGCTTAACCTTCCTTCGGAACTTCTCCATCATGTGCTCAGCTACCTCAGCCTATCAGACCTCCTCACAGTGGGTACGGTCAGCAAGGTCTTGCGTGAACATACACTACAAGACACTCTCTGGCAAAGCTTCGTCGAAGCCGAGATACCTCAACCCAATGTCACCAAACCCGCGCATCTGACATGGCGAGAACTATTCCAAGAACACCACCCATACTGGTTCATCGCGCGACGAAAAATCTGGTTCTCCGACACAGCACACACGGGCAAAATTCTCATCGCACGCTACGACCACCGTCTTAACGCAATAGAAGCCTATGCTCTCGTCGCAGAACGCCGCGTTCCCTCAGCCCTATCCTGGGAGCAACATCCTGAAGCTATAATCCACACCTTCAGTCCAAAAGTACGCCTCGATCTAAACGCACCCATCGTCCGATTGAACAGAGATGCATACGAAGAAGCCATTGGCCCCATAGGTTACCGCCTGCAAAAGGAGATCCGAATGGGACTCTACCGCGACCGCGCCCAACAAGCAGCCTCACTCTTCTCCCAACTCATGCTTACGAGACCCTGGCCCAAGGCCATAACAACAGACACGACACCCATCTGGCCACCTCTCACCCTACCCAGCCCCGACCGCACGCGAAACGACAGCTCCCCCTCCAGTTTCCGGCAACCAAGCCAGAAACCCGCCACGCTATCCCAACTCTCAACCTCAACTTTCCGGATACGAAGGTGGATGGAGTTCTCCACGCGCGCCCTCGGCCTTGGAATGCGCATCGGCGAGGACGTGACGACGTGGGCTACGTTGCCAGAGGAATGTTACACGCCCACGCCGAAGAAACCCTGGCAGGGGATCTGGTGTGGCGACTATGCGGGCCATGGGTGTGAGTTTCTTGTTGTCATGCAACCGGATGAGGAGGATGCAAAACCACTGCCGGAGAGAGCGCTGTGGGCTATGAGGGCTAGAGAGAGGGAGGGCAGTGTGTCCAGCGAGGGGAGTTGGACTACGGCACCAACTGATGCCGCATATTCGGATGATGGTGAGGACGCGGCGATGGAGAGTGCAGATGATTTGGAAGATAGCGTTGCCACGCTCCAGGAAGCCTTTCATGAGCAGAGTTTACCGGAACATGCCGCCACTGAAGATGAGACTGTATACCGCGGCCGCATCGAAGCCGTAAAGTTAACTGGCGATCCAAATATTCCTCGCGGGGAATACACATTCATCGCACCTGACATTGGCCGGAATGGTCTGATCAGGGTGGCAAAGGAGGAGATTTTCAAGGGCGCGAGGATTGTTAAGAGCGTTGGACACATTGCTGCTACGGGCTTCAGGGACGGTACGTTTACATTCATTCATCAAGGTGATGCAGGAACACGATTGCTGACATCATCTAGACAACTACATGACTTCGCAGCTGATACTCATCTCGCACGATCGATTGGCTCAGTACTGGGAGACTTTTGGGCATGTTTCTTTTTACCAACGAGTAGATGTTGATGCTTTTACTAGGGTGTGATCTCCTGGTGGGTAGAGTGTTTGGCTGCTGGAGTTGACAGGATTGGTAGGAGTGTATGGGGTATCTAGGTAATGATTCATTCATGTCGACTCTTGGCGTTGTGCATGTACGGCAATTTCGTGTTCGCCATGTTCCACCTCATGGGTTTCTCGTTTGCAGACGACGCGCAGAATGACGACCGCCAGGTGGCAGATCGCGCTTTACCCGAGAAGCGCTAGCGTTACAATCCCTGCTTCCGCGGCTTCGGAACGTCATCGCCCATCACCAAATTTTGGGCAGCCCAACAGCGCGTGTGATCGATACTGGACAAACATTGCAACAGGCTCACATAACACTTGGAGAACTACGACGTCTCGTTGAAATATCCCCTACCTACAAAAATATTCTGCATCTCGGGTTAGATCCTCGTCGCATAGCACTCTAAAGCAAGCATGACGACCCACGAGCAGTACATACTGCACGTAACCGCAGGCGCAACATACGACAGGTCGAAACACCAAGATGTGCTCGTGAACAGCGAAAAGCCAGTGGATATATCGTCCGACCTGATTGACGCAAGACTGCACATGCGCATCAAAGACTACCGCGGTACGCTCCCTTCTCCCTCCTGCCCCTCCAGTGTGAACAGCCACTAACACCACCCAGGTCTACCCGAAGGCTCCCCAAAAACCTCCCCTTACTTCTCGACCCCTCAACATCCGTACGACCGCTACTCGATATCCTTCTCCTTCACCCCGAAACAAGACATTGCAGGCGACAAGCTCGTTTTCGGAAACGACTTTGACCACCCCATCCGTGACCGATTACCGCCGTTGTTCGACAAGGCTTTCGGTATAGTCAAGTGGTGGATCGATCCAGGGCTGGACGGCGATGTATACGCCGACGAACCATACCTATACGGCGCGCTGCTATCCTCGATAAACGTCCTGCGCATCGGAAGCAAGAAGGACGAAGACAAGCCAAACAAGGGCGACTTGGAAGGTGATGCGCAAACAGAAGGGGACGTGGAAGTCCCCGGCTCGGACGGCGAGGCAGTCGTCTATGAGGAGGGCGCAGATGGCGACGGCGCCGAGGTCAGGAAAGAGAAGCGCGTACCTGATAAGGCCGGAGCAAGACAAAAGTTTTTCCTTACGGAGCAGAACCGAAAGGACTTTACGTTTGAAGCCGGCCGCGAATACAAGTGCGATTTCTTCAACCCGTATCTTGACTTCAATGAGTTTGCGCTCAAGATTGGGTATGGACTGCCCAATATAAGTATGATTGGGCATTGGGATGGACAGCCGCTGCGGTAAGCTACATCAATTGTTTTTTGTTGTTCCTTTCCCCCCCTTGGCTATTGTTCATTACTACTGCCACCACCACCACCACCACTTACACACTTATACTTTTTCTTGGACCGTGGGAATATGGAGCTGACTTGGTGCAATTCACTAATCAGACCGCACACACTTAGATATGTGCTCAAGAACCGGGAAACGAATCAAGAACTTTTTGTTGTGGTTATTGAGCTGCTGCCTACAGAGCAGGCGAAGAAAGAGGGGGCTGAGGGTCCTGATGAGAAGTTCGAGGAAGTTCATGGAGGTGATAAGAAAGAGGGGGAGAGTGATGACCTGGATTAGGATGGAATTAGAGAGGAAGGATTTGGGGATTGGGTCACGATATGGTATGGTGGGCGGAATCAGCGCGGCGTTGGGGAAGATAGAGGTAATGAGATATGGGATGGGTTGGGACGGTCATAGAGGATGGGACGGCGTTTTGCTTGATATGAGCAGCGAGTGTAGCAGAATCTAGCTACAAGAATCCTTTCCATCATTGTTGATCATCATTGCTCCCCGTGGGGTATGGACATGGGCATTGGCAGAGGAAGCTCGGACCTCCGAACTTCGGCGACAGCTGCAGCGATACCAAAAATTCCACCACGAAGCAACCATCTTCGCATCACAGCTTCAACATGGCCGCACGCACATTGAGGATAGGTAAGACAGCCAATTGCATCGAGCACTACCCAGATAACATCTACTGCCACCGTTACCACGCTCAGTCAACTAACAAAGCCTAGGCCTCATCCCAGGCGACGGCATTGGCCGTGAAGTGATCCCCGCCGGCCGCCGCATCCTCGAAGCCCTACCCTCCTCCTTCGGCCTCAAATTTTCCTTCTCGCACCACGAAGCCGGGTGGGAGACTTTCCAGAAAACCGGCGCCGCCCTCCCCGATGCCACTGTCGAGGCGCTCAAGTCCGACTGCGATGGCGCCCTCTTCGGAGCCGTCAGCTCGCCCACGGTGCAAACAAAGGGATACTCTAGCCCCATCGTCGCACTGCGCAAGAGGATGGGCTTGTACGCCAACGTGCGACCGGTCAAGAGCGTGCGCGGTGGACTGCGGGACGTAGACCTAGTAATCGTACGCGAAAACACCGAGGACCTTTACGTCAAAGAAGAAAAGACCTACACCGCCCCCGACGGCTCCAAGATCGCTGAGGCAATTAAGCGCATTTCGGAAACGGCTTCTTTCAACATCAGCGCCATGGCTGGCGACATTGCACTGCGTCGTCAGCGCGTCCGCGACGCTGGGTCTGCGTCAATCCACTCCAGCCCCCTCGTCACTATAACGCACAAGTCAAACGTGCTGTCGCAAACCGACGGCCTCTTCCGCGAGACCGCTCGTCGCGCGCTGCAGGATGCCAAATACAGCATGGTGGGCGTCGAGGAGCAGATTGTGGATTCCATGGTGTACAAACTCTTCCGCCAGCCGCAAGACTACGATGTCATCGTCGCTCCCAACCTTTACGGCGACATCCTCTCCGACGGTGCCGCGGCGCTTGTTGGATCGCTCGGTCTGGTTCCCTCTGCAAACGTTGGAAAGGACTTTGTCATTGGTGAGCCGTGCCATGGCTCTGCCCCGGATATTGAGGGCCAGGGTATTGCGAATCCCATTGCGACTATCCGATCGACTGCTCTGATGCTCGAATTCATCGGTGAAGAGGAGGCGGCGGCGGCTGTGTACAAGGCGGTGGATGCTAATCTCGAGGAGGCGAAGCTACTGAGTCCTGATATGGGCGGTAAGGCGAAGACTGAGGAGATTATCGAGGATATCTGCAAGAGATTGTAGAAGGCATCCGGGTCATTAAGAAGCGAAAAGACCGATCTATAGGACGGAATATAGCATGACATGTACGGCATATGCTTAAATGCACAGTCCAAGTATATATACTCGTGCTTATGCCTTTGTTGCTACTGGTATCTTTTTGTTCCGCGGTTCCTATGCTGACTCCAAATGCTGAAATCTTTAGGCCTGGTATCGAAAACGAACCGACGGACCGTGGAGTTGCTACCTCCGGCTTCTAGAGCTGAGCTTCAAATACATGCGCAAGCCTCACGATATCGGCTCTGACATTAGGATATACAGGCTCTATATGACACCCAAGTTTCGCTAACGCTCAATCTACCAAATATGGCCTTTGTTCTGCTGCACATTCTTCACGTTGATATTTCTCCACATCAACACGCCAATAGCCCCAAGGATCCAGATACCCGTGCTAGCTGCCAAGAGCCGAAGCATAGCGTCTTCGTAGGCGTGCTGAATGGCCAGACGCGTTGGGGAGCCTACCGGGTAAGACAGCTGAGTCTTCATATCGCCGAAAATCTTGCGAAGGTCATGCAAGTCTTCCGCAGGTAGATATTGCTTGAGTCGATCGGGAACGATGTCCGACCATATGGAGGCCGCCACAGTCAGACCGATGGCACCACCTATGTTACCGAAAATGCTTACGATGGCGAGCATTCCGGCGACATGTTCGTGCGACCCGGCAGCCAGGATGGCGATTTCGTCCGTGACAACGAGCACACCCTGTGAGATGGAAATGAGGAGGAAGCACATGACGATGTACCCAATATTTCCAGGGCTGCGAAAATATATCATGAGACCCTGGCCCAGCATACTTAGCGGAATGCCAACAACGAGCGAGATGGTTTTGAAGTGGCCGGTCCGATGAATCAGGTATCCGGCTGAGACAGCGACGACTACACTGACCACCGTATACAACTGGGCGACGTAACTCGCTTCCTCCACGCTCAGTCCCTGCACCACTTGCAGGAAGGAACTAAAGTAGCTGTTCCAAACGGCGTAGCTTCCAAAGAGACATGTGCAGAGGAGACATGCGCCGAAGACTGTTCGATTCAAGAGCAGTCGGTATGGGAGAAAGCAGATCGATGCAAAGAATCTTTCCCACACCACGAATGCGAGCAGGAAAATAATGCCGAGCACAAGCGTGCTGATGATTAGCGGAGACGACCAGCCCTTCCCCGCCAACGTATACAAATTGAACGGCAGCAAGAACAGCGCCACACCCGCAGAAACCAACAGCAAGCCAACAACGTCGAAGTGCCGACTATAGTGTTTCACAGACTGCAGAACACTTTGTCCCTTCCTCGTGTCTCTGGCAACCACGAATCCCAAACGCTTCGCCTTGCTCCAATTCCGCACCAACAATCCAAAAAGCGGCAACGTAACAACCGGAACCAAGACACCAAACATTCCAAACGCCCACTGCCATCCGGCCGGCCCCGTTGTCAAATACGCCTGCGCCAACGGCCCAGCAACCCATCCCGTGATCAAACTCGTCGAGTTCATGAGTGCCTGGACCAACGCCCTATTCTCCAACTTTGTTGTATCGGCGATGAAAACCGACAGAATATACTGCACGCCATTATTCCCTACGGTATGCAGAATCATCGCTGCCGCATACGTTGTCACGCCTCCGCACATTGCCATGAGTAATAAACCAGACGTACCAAGGACGAGGCAGAATAGGAGACCGTGGGGGCGACCGAAGATGTCTAGAATCTTTGCTAACGAGAGGGTGAAGACGCCGCCGAGGATGTTGGATAGGATGCTAATGGTTGGAGTGAGAGAGTGCATGGAGAAGGCTGATGTGACATAAGGTATTAGAGCGAGTGTGGTACTGGCTAGGAGGGTCTCGACGAAGTAGATGAGCCAGATTAGTATGTAGGCGGCTGTGAGAGAAGTCTTTGTCCATGCTTGCGTCGTTGCCTCGATGGCTTGGACGCCTGGTTGGGTTGCTGGGGAGAGGTGTTCATGGTCTATGTATGCGTTTGCTGGAGTGAAAAATCGGTAGTCGTTGTTGGCGATGTGTTTGGTGTCTTCTGCGTCGGTGGTGGATGTGGAGAGAGATGGAGAGAGGAGTGGTTCCTCGATGGATGCGCGAGAGGGACGCATGACGCCGGATTCAAGGATGTGAGGAGGTTAAGAGAAGGTGATTGTGGCGGTACGTATCTGCTGTCTTTCTTTCTCTCTTGTTGAGTTGAATCATCGCCCCGGAACGAGATGAAAGAAGAGAGCCTGCAAAGGGGAAATACAGGGCCTGGCTGACAACGGTACTACCAAGGGTAACGTTGACCCGCGTTAGACCAAGCAAGTCACTAGTACAGTCAGCAATGTAGGAAAACCACACGAAAAGGTGCTAGAACCTCTTTTCCATTTTCCACAGACCGACTGTACGACAAGGCATGGCATGCATCAAGTGCAACCTTCGGAGCAAAGAGCACATTTGCGATCGATATGTCGCTGGGCCCTGCTGATGTGCGTGTGGGGGCTAGTGCTTCGTATATCAGAGCTGACATGCGCGTGCGAGTCGGCTAGTCTCGCGCGACATGCGTCAGTTTAATGTGCTCATCGGTGTCGTTGTTCTAGGCACTTACTGCCGCTACCGTTACCGTGGCAGCATTTTAGCGTTCATTCTTGCATTCCTTATTCATTTTGCACGTACAAACTAAGAAAAGTCAATTTACATGTTGCAACGCCTATCAAACTCCACTCCATACGTCCGAAAGCCAGCCCAGCCACAATCCCTTCCCATTCAACACACAGCCACATCAACCAACTGCGCATACTTAGCAAACTCCTCATCCCTCGCAAACATCTCCCGCTCTTCAGGGAATGTGCCCAGTACTAACTCGATACCTCCATCTGCCTTCAACGGAAATACGACCAAGAACCGAAACCGCCCGTTCCCTCGCTCCAGCTGTGGTCGCATCGTCTCAGGCGAACCCCCATTGGCAAAGTAAGCATCGCCGAAGCTGATTTCACTCATTTGAAATAAAATCATATTGGAGATCATGGCGTGCATGTGATCAAGACCCATGTTCGCCGTCGAGAACCTGCTGTGGTCTGGCAGCGACTGCAGTAGAGTGAACGCGTCATGTATCAGTGCTGGTGTCATGCGTGCAGCAGAAGCGCGCACTACCTGCGCTACCCGGGCGACACTGGTAGTTGGGGCGCAGAGCTCGTCTATTGGCATGCTCGTCCGGTTAAGGGTGAGCAAACTGCCCATGTATGTTGCTGGTAGCAGAGACGAGAAGTATGGACGCCCGTCTGTTGGAAGCTCAAGAATAGAGTATTCGTCCAGGCTGAACTCCCGGCCACTGGCTTTAGCAACGGCGTAGCGTGCTCGCAGGGCTGAACGCCAGAAGAAGGCCTGTACTATGTCGCTGATGGATGTGATGGCTCCGTTGGCTTCGGGGTTGTTCGCGACATCTACCTTGAGTAATTCGACTTTCTCGGGTGGGATCAGGAATAGGGTCGTGTCCATTTTCCGCTCCACAGCAGGCAGTGGCCATGTAGGGTGCAGTGGGTAGCGGGGTGGTCGGCCTAGAGGCCCTGGTTGCCGTGAAGAATGCTTCGCAACGACATCGTCTGATGGGATGAACGGTAGAAGACCCCATACATCAGGATCGATCTCGTCTACCGGACGTGCGTATCCTTCAAGTTCGTGCAAGACTTCAGGCAGGCTGTGATTGAAGCTCTCCGCATCATACCATGAGCAAGTGGCCGATGTGTCTCCTTGTAGGTATTTGCAATTCTCAGCCCATGCTTTGATCGCAATGATTGCTCCCACGCCATCTAGGCAGCAGTGGCTGATATCGACAGCGAGGATGCAACCGCCGTTGATGAAGTTGGCTTGTGCGACTAAAATGTCCGCAGGTAGCTGTGGGAAAGTGTCTTGTCGCAAGACCAGCTCATCCTTGAAGGCCGATGGCACGAATCCACCATCACGCAGTGTCCCAAATGACGGAAGCACATTAGACAGGTTCTTGTAAATCAGCCGGTCGCGAGCTGGTTGGCCAAAGGGGGGTATGGCAACGCAGAGATCGCCGTTAGTGTACCCAATCTCATCCTTTGAGCATCTGATCATCTTGCCACCGAGAGCTGGTATGAGCTCGAAGGTTCGGTTGAGTCCTGCCTGCATGTTCGCGAATGCAGCTTCGAATGTGACGCCCTCTCGGAGAGGGAAGTAGAAAACCAATCCCATGTAGTGGTTTGGATTGACGTAGTCGAAAGGATTCAATCGGAAAGACTGCCACGCTCGTCGCTGCGCGATCATGCGCTGTAAACTCGCTTCTCTATTGTCGAGGGTAAGCTTTGAACTACCAGCGTTCTTTGCTCCAGCAACCAAGGGTTCAAGAGCAGTGGTAAACTTGGCCAAGGTGGGGTTGGCGTAGAGGTGGCGAGGTGCAAGTTTGTCTAGGCCTTTGATCGCTGCTCTGATAGCATTGACGGCTGCCGATACACCTAGTGAATCGAGACCAAGTGCGAATAAATCGTCGTCTGGAGAGGCGGTCTGGATCGCTGGCAGTGATGAAGCGAGAATTTCCTGTACCGACTGCTGCAATGTCGATGCAGAGCTGGTGTCAACGACGAAAGAAGTCTCATTGCTTCGAGCGCTATAGAATCGCTCGATATAGTCATCGTAAAGCATCAAGGTAGCTCTGCGCTTGACAGTACCTTTATCTGTACGGGTGAATGGCTTATCTGGCTGAGCAAAGAAGACATAGTCGCGGGACAGCTTGACAGTTTGACGAGATGACGACATGCTTGTCTCGATCTTGGCCCAGATACTCTCCATAAGTTCGTCGGTCTTAGCCGCGGGATCTTTCAATTCGATAAGAAGGCCTGCCTGGAGCTTATTGCTGCCTACGACAAGGCATCCATCGATCGCAGGATGAGTACTGACAAGCGCTTCAAACTCCAGAGGCAGAATCTTGTAGCCACTAGAAAGAACGATGAGGTCATCGTTGCGGCCTGTGAAAGCCCAAAGGTTGGGCTTCGTAGGATGTCGCTTGTAGAGGTCCTTGAAGTTGACAGATTCCTTGTCCGGAAATGTGTGGAAGATGCCTTGAAACAAAGACGCGTGCTCGTTGCGGTGCACCCAATGTTCAAAGATACCTGGCTCCACTTCCTTGAACTCAAAGCCGGAGTAGGGATGGAAGGCGAACCAGAACCAGTCCTCCCTTTCCACCACGAGGTTTCCGATGAACAGACCCTCCGTCGTTCCAGTTAGATTCAGCACTCTGATGACTTCGTTCACTTTGCCAGCGCTGATTGGGCTGACTGGGCCACCAGATGCGCAAATGAACTTGGAAGACCGAAACTTGGTCAACACGTCAGGCGTGTCTCCAAGCTCGTCGACAAGCGACGGCACCATGCTCCAGATGTCTATTCTGGCGTGTTCGGCAAGGTTTTCGATAAGTGACATGTTGGGGATTACATTCGCTGGTCCCAATACACAGTGCAAACCGAAGAGAGCTGGCATGAGGATATCCATGATGATGCCAGCACCGTGACACATGGGAAAGGAAGAGTAGATCCGGTCGCCTTCTTTCCAGTTCGACGTCCAGGGTACCAGTCCATCATCGCCGTCGACAGGTGGAAGTAGGCGAATCGCATCCATCGTCCCAATCAGCCCGTGGGACCATGGGATTGGTTTCGGTACGCCCGTCGAACCGGATGTGTGGAGGTAGCAGAAAGGATCTGTAGTAGCTGCATCGAACGTTTTGGTGTACGGAAATGGTTTGACGTCCTCCGTATCCAGGAGTTCGTCAAGCAATGGCAACTCCAATAACTTCATCGGACGCTTTTGCAAGACATCCTTCACGAGAGGCGCTGTGGCAACCTCGCTTGCCTTGGCCCATATATCGCACTTGGTTGCTTCGAGTACGGCTAGAGCGCCTTCGGTGCTGTTCTTGGGCGAAAGATAAAGCGCGGCATAACCGAGCTTTACGCAAGCATATGTGATGAGAACATGCCGGAGGTCGTGAGGTCCGATGTAACCGACTGGTCGGATAGACAATGACTTGCCGACCTGATCATGGAGCCACCACGCTGTCTTGTTTACGGCTTTTGCGAAGGCGTGTGCCGATATGTCTCTGAGATCCAGACCTGCGCCCGAAGGTTTGGCGATTGAGAAAACGGTTCGTGCAGGATGAGTTGTAGCAAGCTGGTCCATGATCTGAGGTATGAGACGACGGCCATAGGCCGGCTCGATCCCTGCACCGTTGATGTAAGGCGTCTCCGGAAGTTTCATGCTCGGTGAGGAACGTGGCGGTGTGTGTTCGAAGGACGTGGGTGGAGTCGACACACCACTGACCATCGACGTTGTGCTCGGCGACGAGTATCCACTTCGTGTGCCGTGAAAGGGAGTTCGAGCCTGCAGGTAGCTGGAATTTGCCTCGTTGATCCACGGCATATCCGTTCCATGCAGATTCTTCTCTTTGAAGTAGCTAGGTCGCCCGTTCTCGTGAACAAGTTCGAGTCGTGAGTCTTTTTGGAACTCACCCGCAGGTGCGCTTACCCAATTTCCGTCAGCCAGTAAGGCTACGCTGCAATGCCATGGTGTTGTATAGCCGGTCTTCGTGTCCAACAAACTTATCGATATCTTGTGATCGCCAATGGATTCGTGTATCGATAATCTAAGGTGGTTTGGGAACGCTGCTTTGACTGCTCCAGCATATGCCTATGCCACACGTCAGCTCTGAAGAATATCTTGCAGTCACGAAGAGTGTATGGATCATAATACTCACGTATCCTCTGAACAGCATCTGCTTAGCAAGGTACTTGACGTCCCTCTTATATTGGTTGCTGCCGCGGTTCTCTCCTAGCGCGAAAATGTGCTTCAGGTCAGACTCAAGAAACTTGCGGTAGCCGAGATAAGTGAGCTTTGTGTCTGCATTGTCTCTGATCTCCTTGTCAATGTCGATGTCAGGTCTTCCGTATTCGTTCAAAAGCAGTCGTCTGAAGTTCGTGCAGTTAGCCACATAAGTGATTTCTCGCAACTTTTCCGGTAGCTCCGGAAAGTCAAGTATGTCCTTCAAGCGGGAAAACGCGATGTACGTGAACTTCTTATCCGCCGCCATCTGCCGCAAAGCCTCGCCATAGCTCCATGTTTCCCGATCAGATATGGATAGCAAATCTTCGTTTACTCGTTAGTATAGACCATTTACATCAATGGTGGTTAAGCGTACCGTTGTAGGTGATGCCATCTGATATGATAGTGATTCTTGCTCCAGGTTTGTAGACATCCTTGATCCTTGCGCACATGAAGTTTAAGCGTTGAAGCGCTAGCTCTTCCGCTTTATCTGGAAGAGACCCAAGCACCTTGTAAACCTTGTTGGCCGACTTGAAGGGAAAGGCCGGCAAACATGCTTCAACGCGTTCGCCTGCCAGGACGAATCGGTCGATTACGGACAAGAATTTTGCCGTTCCTGCAGCGAGACGCTCTCTTGAATCATCGAACTTGTTGAGAGCATGCTCATATATGATGTCGAGGATCTTATTTGATGTATCTCCGACTCCGGACGTAGCTCCAACGATCGAAGACTCTTCGCGTTGGAGCGATATTCCAAGTCCGGCAGGACTGCTGCTGGTTAGGCCATCGAGGCGTATTGTCATGTCGACCATGGCTGGTGCGACATCAGAGGATGTTTAGTCCAGGAAGTTAAGTCAAGTCTCTCTTTGTGTACAAAATCTGACACCTTTAAAGCCTCTGGAATTAAGATAGTCCGTAATGGGTTAGTGTAAGTAGGTGAGAGAATCGAGCGCCACTTGTGCTCTGGACTCAGGCAAACGCTGGCTGAAATCAAGAAGTGAATGCCTTTCCGGAAACGGCATTCGGATACAGACTGACAGCCGGCATTGCAGGGATGGCTGAGGTGATATGAGGTTGTTCGAGGCGAGACGACTTCCATGGGGCTGCCTCATTCCAAGCAGCATACAGTCAGCGAGCGCAACGTCCGAGTCATGGCAGCGGCAGCGCATGTTGCTATTACGAGACATCTCTGCCATTGATGAAAAAAGGGTTGACGAAGCCAGCTGGGATTGGAGGCACTATGGTAAGCCTGCTGATGTCTCTGGGCCAAGCCATCATGCTTGATGGTAATGGGCCTGACAAGCGACGTAGCCCATGCAACGGCCGATGTACGGGTGGAGACTAGGATGCAGGATGGATGAGGTTGGGGTGTGATGGGGCGTTGGCATAGGCCAAGTTGGAACTAGACAGTGCCAACCATCACGTGATGGCTAGCGATTGTCCATGCGCAAGATCCGCTCGTTGGGTTCCACCGCTACGATAACCCTCTATCGTACCCGTAACGCCATACACACCTTGCTGCGTGCGTAATCATGTTCATCTTCTGGTCACGATCAAAGCTAGAAGATGCTATCCCCAGTGGTTTTCAGCGAGCCGCGAGATGTTCAATGTCACGTCAACATCTGTGCGCGCGCGGAAAGCCACATTGCCAACGTTCTCGAGACTACCTCTATCTTTCTCACCATCCGTCAGCCTTAGTGCGCTTATCATGATTATAGGGCCTTTTTAGTCGACCGTGCAAACCCACGAACCCACTGGTAGACCCGAGCTGCCCCCAAGCCAACTAGGTGGAACAGCTGCTCACCGCTAGAAGCATCAACGATTGGCACCGAGCAGCATCCCGAAGCTTATGCCAAGTTACGATATAACGGTCCCCAGCCCTAGCCGGGTGGTAGACGCATAGGCTGACAACGACCCAATACGAAGTATCTCTGGATACTAGGGAAAGCGGGTAAGCACATACCGCAAGAGCGTGGGAGCATCGAAGCTAACTACGAATCACAACAGTCTTACGGCCGTATTATCCCGCGCTCACATCTTCTCGCCTGCCCGCCAACCTACGAGTGCACAATTCAAGCGTTTCAGTCGATACATACTCGACAACTGATGCCAATCATAACACAAGTCCGGTCTAAGGGAAATTAGGCGTCAGGCTCACATGGGATCTTTGCAGGGCGGAAAATCTATATCTTGGCTGCGGAGTAAACATCCGAACAAGGTTACTACAGAAGACGGTCGGTCGTGGGATTCGATGGCTGTGACGACTATGACCCTTCTAGTCGCAAGATGCGTCGCCAGACTTGCTAATAAGAGCAGCTGATAGCCGAAACGTGCTCACAGTAAATGTGCTCATTCGAAAACGCGCTCATGGCAATATGCGCCTATTCGAGAAGGTGAGAGCCTGGTGCGTGGGTCGTTGGAGTTGGGATTACGCCCACAGCGGGTAATATGCCCTGTCGAGTGGAGCGGGCCGTTGGAAGACCTAGGCTCGTCCCTGGTTCGCGGATTTTACCTGCGGAACCTGCGCACAGTCAGCACGATGTCTCAATAGTTCGCCGCAAACGTTCAGTACATCTACACGTGCGAAGTCATGCCTCGTGGCAGCTCGCTAACACACTCTCACCGGCCGTCATGGCCTCCGATTCCCCCACTTACCTTTTCCCGTACTCATTGGCCGCCCAATTAGACTCACGCATCAAGACTCCCAGACCACCCATCGACCCCGGTCTGGCACCCATCATCGACTCAGTCCTTCTGCCTGAAGAGCTAGATGTCTCCTTTCTTCGCAGTCTCGATGTTGGTGGAAATTTCGAACCAATCCTCAACGCGAATCCGCATATAACGCATACTCATTATGGCGTCCCTAGCTCGGATGGTCGCACCATAGACTTGTCCATCTTCTCCCCAAAGGCGTCGCCTGATGCACTACCAGTCTTATATTACATCCATGGAGGCGGCATGATCTCAGGCGATCGATCCAGCGGTGTCGCACAGCTGGTCGATCTCGTTCGAGACATACCCTGCATAATTGCCTCGGTCGAGTATCGTCTTGCACCAGAGACGCCGGCTCCAGGGGGAGCGGAGGATTGTTACGAAGGTCTCGTCTGGCTCTCTGCAAACGCTACGAGCCTGGGCATCGATACCGCGGGTATTGTTGTCTGCGGATCCTCAGGCGGCGCCCCCCTTGCCGCAGCTGCATGTCTGATGGCCCGCGATAGGAATGTCCCTACCGTGCGGATCAAGGCTCAGATGCTACTGTCGCCCATGCTCGACGACCGTTGCGACAGTACTTCGGATCACCAATTCGAATACGGCGTGCCGTGGAACGGCGCCACAAACCGCGCGGCCTGGAACCACGCCCTTGCAGGTCAGCGTGGCACCGACACAGTCACCATGTATCAAGCGCCTTCTCGAGCCACTGATCTGACCAACTTACCTCAGGCTTACATCGACGCGGCTGAATGCGAGGTCTTCCGCGATCCTGCTGTCATGTACGCCATGAACATGTGGCGATGTGGTTCGTCGTGCGAGTTGCACGTCTGGCCGGGTGGAATCCACTTGTTTGATGCCGTCGAGAATCCTCAAGTTCCTGTGGTTGGTGCTGCGATTGCTGCCAAGCGCGTTTGGCTTAGGAGGATTATGATGCCTGGTAAAGCTGACGGGAGCACGGCATGAGACTGTTGCTGTTGGGAGTTTGCCTTGCGTCACATTCCCAAGACTGACATCGCAAACTTCAAGTTTTTAATCATTCCCGTAACTAGCATCGAATCAGGCTTCTACTCTGTCGACCGATACTTGAGACGCCTTTTGGTCAGAGCCGACCAACTGTTCTGGTCGTAGAGACACTGTATTAATCTGGCCCACACTTGTTGCGCACCGCACATATGGATGAGCCCATTCGTACCGGAGGACTAGCTATTTATAGTAAAGTCGCTCTAGCCATCATGTAAAGCGTCAGATCAAAAAGTGCTTTCCCTGTCGTATCTGGCAAGAGTTCCAAGAGTAGCCTCAAGCACCTCGTTGTGACATGCCAGCCTAATTGCGCAATCAACCGCATGCTTCACGTGCATGCTGGATGTTTCTGGCCTACAACCACTATATATTTCCTATACAAAAGGTGGTGCCATAAGGCACAAGCTGCCTCTCCCACCCGTTTCCCCATTTACCCTACCGATAAAGTCAGATCGCACGTTCAAGATGGCTTGGCCAACACGATATGCTCTAGTGTGGTGAGTGTGGTAAAATGGTTTGCATGGCATATGCCTTCATCACCGCACAGGACGCCGCCAACAATGGGAGACTATAGAGGCATTTCGCGGTCGATCGACTTGCTTTCAGCTATCAACAGTACTATGTCATCGGGTAAGGACGTAGTGTTTTGGCGCAGTAATCGACTAACCTGATACGTTTTACTGCCTCATTCTGCTAGCACGATCGAAGCCTTTTACTATTACGTTTTTAGATTCGTTTCCGCACCTGCATATATTAGCTTCTCCGGCGCAGTTGCGGGCCTATGTTTGTGCCAAGGTCGACTATTGTAGCTTTCCCGCTGCGTTAGATTGAGCGCATTATTAGCAGACGCCAACCGAGTTACCAAGTGATGACACCTTGCTCAGTTTGTGTCGGTATCCGAAACGTTACTGTAATTGGTTCACCGCGAATCTTTAACAAGGTGACTAGTGATTGCTTGACCTTGCCCTCCATCCGAGCGGGTTCAAGAAGAAACTCCCATTCTAATCAGAACCCATCAGAGTCAAAGCCTTCTCCAAACCCCCGTATAACACTGTTCACAAAGGCATTATCCACAACACACTCTTGCCAGCTAAACCCAATCGTCAACGCCCCATCTGCACCCGAAATCACACTCGTCGTTAAAGCAGCGCCGAAAGCCAAAGCGCTTCGACTAAAAGCCATCCTGCCGATACGCCACTGCGCCTCCGCCTTGGTCTGGCCGTCGACTGGGAACCGGCCCAGGTTCGAGATCTCAAAAGCCGCATCACGGTTCGTACCGACCATAGATTTGAACACTGCAGCAATATCCGGAATAGCCTTGAAGGCAGCTACAGATGTGTACGGCTCACCGGAAGGCGATAGGTTGCGTGTCAAATATCTCTTGATCTCGTCCGCCGTATGACGCGCGGCAGGGAGTCCGTGTATGGTAGCTTGCACGTCGACTTCGTAATGCGAACGGCGGATTTGCACTTTCGTTGCATCGATGAAACTCCCCATAGCACCATTCGCGATATGAGGAGGTAAATTGAGCCATGGTCGCAGGTTGATTGGTACGATACCAGTAAGGGCGTCTATGGTAGGTGGGAGTGCATCGAACATCGCGCCAGCCATCACGGCTACCAGGCCAGACGTTACGGTCAGACCATTCTCTTTGCACCTTTGCGCAAACTTTGTTGATGATGTTGGTGAGAAGTAAATTGATCGGTAGAGAGATTCCAGAGGTAGCTGGATGGAATTTCCTGTCCACTCTTTCAGGCTTTGCGTTTGATGGGCTGAAGGGTTCGGATTCAGCGGTAGCGGGTGAAGCTCCTCCAGAGGCGGGAGGAGTTCGGTACTACCTGGAACTTTTACCAGAGAGTTACTTTGCTCCAGGAAGGACGGCAGTGAGACATTGGTGTTAAGCGACTGCCAGAAGAATGTGTGAAAGATTGTTCCTGTCGCGCCATCTCCAAGACTGTGGTGAAAAATGAACGAAGCAGTGAAGCTGCACTCAACTTCAGCGTCTCGCAGAACAGTCAGCCGCCAGAAAGGTACAGTGCCGTGGTGGGACTTGAAGTCGATGTTGTGCTGTTCCTGGAGAAGCGCATCAAGCTCAGAGTCCCCTTCACCTTGTTCAACGGACTTAGATCGCGTTTTGAAGAAGACACAAGAACCAAGGTCTATGGTGGGCAGACGAGCGAAGTAGGCATGCGGTGATGCTTCGTCAACTGGAATGGCCGAAAGTATATCATGTTTGCGGACGACGTCCGCCAATGCTGCGTAGATAACGCATCGCAGATCAGGTGAAGTAGCGACTTCTTCGAGAGTATAGTGTGCAGACACTCCTACGTTCTTGAAGAAACCCAGCTCATGGGAGACTGCCGAAAGCTGCTCGGACTTCCCTACGTAAGATCAGCTGTGATGAACAGGTACGCGCTGCGACAACGAAGGCTACGTACCTAGTGGCCGTAGCATAGGAGATCTCTGTACGTTATACAAGTTTCGTATAAGCTGTTCGATGTATTCGTGCAGATGCTTGTTCAAGCCCAAGAGAATGAGATTTATCAGACAAGTAGTAGACTAATATCGTGGGGTATTGAAAGCTTGTATATATATTGTCTTCTAGCATACGTAAGCAATGTGGATTGTTGGACCCAGTGCGATGACTAATATCAAAGAGCAAAATTACACGGCACTGCCAGTGTACTAGAGCTAATTCCGTTATTGCATCTCTCTTATCTTAGTGACGTTCTAACCGCTTTTGTAGACTCGTTGCTTAGAGGCTGTCTTCTATAAACACCTTTAATACCGACCTCAAGTATTCGTTGGGCTGTGTATAACCAACTACGAGGAGTCTAGAGTATTGAGATTGGCTGCAGAGGTCAAAGATTGTTTTGTTTGAAGAAAGAAGCAAACTAGATAATTGTTAGAGTTAATTGCTGTTAGGCTTTAGCTATGAACGCATCGTGGAGCGACACGAGATTACTGCCTGTGAGATTTCCTAACATACTAGCTTACTCCAAGCTTCAGATATGCGTCCCATGCGGTTGAGCTAATAGCTCCGACATCGTTCTCTAGCATGGTAGTGTAAATAGCACCTATGCAGGAGCCTTACGTGTTATCTGCGCAGATTATCAAAACATAATAGATCTTGTGCGTGAAAAAGTGGTTGGCGTTGCAAGAAGATGTGTCTTGCTTAATAATATCTTATTTGATTCGCTTTGCAGACCCTTTACGGTAATGCTCTGCTGCCGAGAAACACGATTCTAATCACATGCTGTATCCCTGTACCTCTCATCCTCCCACGCGACACTGCAAGATAACAACAGTTATACGTACCTAGCGCTAAGATGCATCTAGCCATCTCCTCCATGTGCGTCAAATGTCCTACGAGATCTGACTACCTTCTGCTGCGTGTCTATGACTACGGCTCTTCAGCTTCAAAGGTAGCTCAGTGTGTTGACGAGGAGCTCGAAACAAAGCTAGAGGAGGATGTCATTGGTGTTGACAAGGAGACAGGTATGGGGCTATGGGTAGGGCTGCGGCGGGCTGGTGTGCTGCGCAAACAACAACCCGAAATCGTCAGCGATGATCCCGAAAATCAGAAGGCACCGTAAGTCCGGGAGAAAATTATCATCAAGTCCTCATTCTCATTCAATACTGTGTCGGCGCTTCCAGGATTATCGATCTGGACATGTGAGAACGGTACGACCCGTGGTGTTTTAGACAGCACAAATATCTTGAATTACCGCTTGCAATCTGCGAAGAAGCTGGTTTTCGATAACCTATCTCTAATACTTATCAGATGTTCTAAATGTACACACTGCTCCTTTCCCATTAGACCTTCAAAGCAGATTACCATCTATACCTTCCGAGTGTGTGTTCTACGTAGCTCTAGAATACCGTACTAGCGACAGCTTACATCACCTCTTCATCTTGGGTCTTATCATCATCATCACCATCGCCTGATGTTTCGCATTCCAAGCACGGTGAATTCTGCCGGAATTCCTCCTTGTGGAATAACACCTTGTGGCAGATCGGGCAATCATCAGAAATCTTATGTGAGTTCTTCCACCACAACCAGAGTTCGCAACAAGCAAGTAACTTGCAAGCCTTGCTTGCTTAACTTGGCTTGGCACCAAGTTAAGCAAGTCAAGTTCATCTACATAAAAACATCAAGCAAGTCAAGTTTACCTAGAAAACTTGCTTGGTAAACTTGAATAACTTGAGTAACCTAATAAGATTTTTGTTGTGGCAGGAAAATAAAATTGTGATAGGATTTTTGGTGTTGCAGTAGGTGGGCCTATGCTTACGATACGGTACGTAGTTAGCTTACGCGCCCTAACACGTAGCGTTAACACTTACTACCTACTTCTGCACCTATTGTTATATCAGCGTGTGTTATTACAGTCTTTTCGAGCTACTGTGTTATTATTAATTTTTACTGCCTTCTATGCCTGTTTAACGAGCCGCTAAAGGTACTAAACGTAGCGCAGGACTTGCTGAACAGCCCGCTAAACGCGTGCGCGTCACCCGCGGTACAGGTACTAATACGCAGCTATTAGAGCTAGCTGATACTTAGCAAAGCTCGTCGATAATATCAGCACCTAAGCTACCTTAGCGGCAATCACCACGCAAAGCCTTGGCCGACGCAGCGTCCCAGGCTACCAAACAGCACCCTTTCGAGAGCCCGTTGCTGCTTAACGCCGTGCCTAACGAGGCTATTGTACCGCCTATCAAGGGTTCCAACGCTGCCACGGTAGCTAGCGCCGCTAACGATAATCGCGAGGTCGATAGCTCGTTTGATAAGCGTTTCCTCGACAACTTTGACGGCATTGATTGGAGTCGATTGTCGCGCTTTTGCAAGCCTCTGCGCTCACAGAAGCGCCAAAAAAGCTAGATATACAACCATGGATATCGAGTTGCGCTGCGCAGTAACACTGATGAGATCTACTTTATCTGCAAGTTCTGCTATTAGCGTCGCTCACACGATAGTGTCCTTAAGGTTACGCAGTCAACTACATCCGCGATTACTCACCTTAAGCAACCGAAAGCAGGCCACAACTTCACAAAAATCGGCTTACAAGCAGCGACAAAGCGAGCATTTAGCTAGCGATCGCTTGCGATAGTGACTAGATCTAGTGTAGCAATTAGCCAGGAGCTAGTTAATGAGCTAGGCAACTTCGACGTACAGGCCTTCCGCTACGCAGCTGTTACGTAGCTTATTAAGAACAACTACCCTCTCTACGAGCTTGAAACACCTGCTTTCCGATCGATGATTGGCTTCGCAAGCCCTAAAGCAGAGAGTGCGTTGTGGACGAGCGCTAACAGCGTTAAGGCGTATGCAATACGGCTATATAAGTTCATGTTACCACTAGTTGTTACTGCGCTATCTAAAGCTATTAGTAAAATCTATATAAGCTTTAATAGGTAGACGACAAAGGGAGGCAGGCGGGGCTTCTTTAGGATTGTTGCGCACTACGCTAACGCATTAGGGATGGTTTTCGACATGCCTATCGCGCTGCCGCAGTTAACAGGCGCCTATACTAGGGAACGGATTGCTAAGGTTGTTAGTTAAACGTTGCAGAAGTTTGGGATATCGCCGCTAAGGCTTGGTTGTTTCGTCCTTGATAACGCGTACGCTAACGACACAGCTGTTACCTATCTTGCTGGGCAGTACGGGTTTACTGCAGCTTACCAGCGTCTACGCTGTGGCCCTTACACACTTAACCTTATCGGCCAGGCTATTATATTTGGTAAGAATCCAGATTCGTACGATAACGACGCAGCGGAGCGCGCAGAGGAAGAGGAATCGATGACGAATTAGCGCAAAGATGGCCCGTTAGGCGTACTTGTCGATGTAATTAACTATATCAAAACGCCCTAACAGTACGATCTGTTCAACTGTTTCTAGCTCCTTGCTAACGCCAAACTCCCTACAAATAATTAGAAGGCGATATTAGAGCTAATTAAGCCTGTTGTTACGCGTTGGAATTCATTCTATAGCTGCTTTGAGCGGGCTATTGAACTACAGCACGCTGTGAGCAATTACGCTAATTACTACATCTAGCACACGCGCAATCTTAACGATATCGCTAAGAGGCGTGGCAATAGGGTTCCTGACGTACTAAAGTGGATGCGGTCAGACGGCCTTACAGCCGCAGATTGGGCGGTAATATCAGAGTATACAGAGGTGTTGAAACTACTTAAGCAGGCCACTAAACAGCTTGAAGGGCGCGGTAAATCAGGTTAATTTGGCGCCCTATACTTAGTAATACCGGTCTTTGAAACGCTACTACACGAGCTTGAGCAGCGGGTTAAACTATATAATTACGTTAACTACGAACAGATTAACGCTCCTAAGGATTATCTACCTATTAACCTCCGCGCCGCCTAGGCTAAAGCTAACACCTACTACTCTAAGCTTGATAGCTTACTATTTTACTACGCCGCAACAATACTCCATCCGTACTACAAACGATATTGCGATCGCAGCTGGCGCTCGAAGCCAGAGTAGTTACACGCTAACAACGTAGCTTTTCAGCAGCTTTGGCAGCAATACAAGCTAACTAACGCTGTACAAACTACTCCTAGGCCACTACAAAGCGCGCTCGAGGACGCTATCGCCGCGATAGCTGACGCCGACGATAGTAGCGACGACGAGGATATCGACGAGTTCTAACGCTAGAAGAAGCTTGAGCCAAAATGGACGCGCGAGCAGTTCACTTAAGGCTGTGATCCTATCCGTTACTGGATTGAACTACAACCAAAGTATCCTAACTTAGCTAGGTTGGCGTTTGACGTTCTAACGATACCTGCTAGCAGCTGCGAGTGCGAGCGATTGTTTAGCGAGCTTGGTGATCTATTAGAGCCAAAGAGACGCAAAATAGGAGCTTAATTACTGGCTACACTGCAGTGCATTCGAGCTTGGACACGCGCTGGATTCGAACGTCTAACTCTAGGGATCGTCGAGAAACTAGAGGCAACGCGTTCTGAGACGCTGCTAGAGGGAGAGTATGATCTTTGCAACTGGGAGGCGCACCCGCAGTAATCTGCATGTATGTTAACTATAATAATTACCTAAGTTACCTAAGTTATGGAAGTTTACCAACCAAGTTGTGCTAATATCGCTTCCAAGTCAAGCAAGTTTCGTTACTACCGTAAAATCGTCCCAAGCAAGTTAAGTTGAGCCTCAAAACTTGCTTAACTTGCTTGTTGCGAACTCTGACTACAACGAAGTAGGAATAACATACCCGGGAAGAAGCGGCGGGCGGAGATTCGAACAACCCGAACACATCTTTCGAATGATGACCGGGAACAGACTGTCGAAGGCAAAGCTATTAGGAATACTGCTATCGTCGCCATCCGTATTGCTGTTGTCGTCCTCTTGCTGGGAAACTAGGGGGATATATTTAGTGTTGCCAAAAAGCAAGTTGACTTGCTTGCTTGTTCAAACTTGCTTGGTTTATACTAAGCAAGCAAGTCAAGTTAGCGTGCCTTACTTGCTTAACTTGCTTGGTTTACTTGGTTAAATTAACTATAATCGACTGTATAGCAGATCTCGCGATGCTTTTTTAGCCTTGCAGTTCTTTTTAGTGCTGCAACTACCTTGGCTATTTCCTAAACAGGCTACAATAGGCTACACAGCTGCTAAAACAGCTTAGCGCCCTACTCCTATCCTAACCTTAGCCTTGTTTTGAAGCCTATCGCGATTTCTATTTTCCTGTATCGACGCTTCTTTCTGGTGTTTTCGACTGCTCTAATATGGCCAAACGCCGTGTACTACATACCTCTTCGAGTAGCAAACGTTTAAGAGTAGCTGCTGCTACCGACGACGTCATCTCAACTCCTGCGGCCTCATCTCAGCTAGCATCTTAGCTAGCATCTCAGCGTTGATCGCCTCGTAAAGCCCTCGCTGCCGTAAGCTAGGCTACTGTCTCGTCGCTAGTCCCTACATTTGAGTCGCAGTTTTTGGAATCGCATGTAGAGGATAATATCGTTGCGCCTACTAAGGGTAGTAGGGCTGTTACGGTAGCTACAACTGAGGCTAGAGACAAAGATAATAGCTAAGATGAGATAAACAGCGCTGCTGATAGCTTTGACGGCATTGACTAGGCTCGTTTACCTAGCTACATGAAGCCACTAGCGGGCTCTAAGCGTCCTAAAAGCTAGATTTTTTGGTATGGCTACCGCGTTGTTGAGCGCTAGGCTACTAATCAGATCTGGTTTGTGTGCAAGTACTGCTACATCTACAAAACTATCGACGCTAGCGGTGGTAGTTTGTTTAATATTACTTAGGCTACTACCTTAGCAGCTACCTATCTTAGCTAGCTAAAACGTGGGCACAACCTTACAAAAGATGGCCTAAAGTCGACGCTAAGAGGACAGGGGCAGCTATTATTGCGGCAAGCTTTTGACGCTAGATTAGAGATGCCTCAGCCTACCGCTAACGCACTTGGAAACTTTGACGTACAAGGCTTTCGAGTAGCTACTGTTATGTGGCTGTCACGGTAACCACCGTGGTTCCCTTGACACTGAACGCGCTACAGAATCCGAGTGCTCCGCCAAGCACCAGGATTCTGCTGATTGGCCGGCCGGGCCTAGCGCCATGCG